TGAGGGTGATGTGCAGAGTGAGAGTACAAACTGACAGCATAAAAACCATCTGGCTTTGCTCGGAACTCGACGCTCGCTGTTTCCTGAAAGCCCCGTGGCGTGAGAATTTCTCAACACCAATAAAACTATATCTCAAATGCAGTCGTAAATTTCTCTGCACCCTTGCGCACTTACGCGTCTCGGGGCGAAAGAGCCACGGCTTCGAGGGGAAAGAGTTCGGCGGAAGTAACTTGTCAAATGGATTAACGATCACAACGTGTTAAAATTTACGGACTGCAGTCAAATAAATGTCACAAAGCACTCCCCGAGAGCGATAACGATTCTTTGGGCACACACCTGGCCAAAAGTCCACTTAGCCACTTAGGCTCGTAAATTTATGGGAGCACGAATATCTAGCGGCTCTTAAGGGACTACACATCACTTCTAGTCTTGAGAATCATTTCGTTAAAACAGTAGTCGACTTTAAAACAGGACGAACAGCGGTTTTCTGTGAGTTTAGGGCATTGTTCAATTTGTTAGTTCAACAAAATCTGGCGAAGATTTGAAATTGTTTTACCAAAAAAGGCCACTGTCGTCTTAATTAATCCATCAAGCAATTCCTAAGGCGATCATCGAAAAGCCTCGGCGCACAATGACAACGCCTGGTTCTTGTTCTCTTTTTATACGTTTCCGAAAAGGCACAGATTTCGGACACTTTTCAATCTAACGATCAATGGCCTGTTGGTTTTACAAATCTGGCTAAAGAGGAATTTTTGAAGAGTTTCACTGGAGTTTAGAGTTTTATTGAATAAGAACCAACTTCATTTACGAAGCACTCTATTGGAAATATTCTATAACTTTTAGCCTATCACGTAGTCTGGGCTCGGCAACCTGTGTAGAAAACCTGAGTCAGGAGCTGAAAGATCACAAATGAAAAGCCGCGAAGCGGCTTTTTTAAAACGAAGCCGCAAAGCGGCTTTGCCAGAATTTGAATATCGACTGTAAAGGAAGTTTTGCGGCTTTGTTTTTAAAAAAGCCGCTTTGCGGCTTTTCATTTGTGATCTTTCAGATCCTGACTCAGGTTTTCTACACAGGTTGCCGAGCCCAGTACGAAGTAGCATCCGTAGAGATCGCTTCGTGAAAAGCGCGAGAGCTCTTCCCGCAATTTAAAAGCCCTGTAACTCGTCATTACGTACTGTTACGGGGAGATGCTCAAATTTGATTTATGCGCCCCTTACGAATGAAAGCTTGGATAGAGTCGCTTTCCGAAGCTCCCCGTTCTGCTTCCGGAAATGTCAAATCTCGCTATCAATCGTGTTTACTTGTCGAATCCTCAGTAAGTACTGTATCTCCTCGCTGACTTTGCTATCGAGCAATAATTGCTGTTCCAAACTTTCAATTTCGTAAAGAGCAATTTCGTATTTACGCGCGGCTTAAAAAAAGAAAGCTATAGGAAGATAAATCCCAACGCCCCGGAGCAAGATTACTTTTGGTTCACAGGCAGCGCCCCTATCACTCTCCTTGGATTAGTGCTGAGTACGCGTGATGCTTCCGATTTCGACCCTCTTCAGGAAAATCCTATCTTAGTTCGAGTTCGTCGAGTGCGAGCACAAATACACAAAATACTCGGCAAGTAATTCTGCCAGCACAAATTCAAATTGTGACCTTGTACTTTGAGAAGTTTACAATCCCCCCTTTCGAATTGTAATTTGAAATTCATCTTTCACATCGTAAATCATAAAAATTTACTAAGATGATAATCCAAAAGTGATATTTTTTCTGACGTCAAATTGTTCAAAGAGCAGTTTCCAGGACTAGAACTATCACCAGTAGCGCAGTGACAGAACGTCACTTTCGCTCAATTTCAAAGAGAGCCGCCGCAGGTGCATTCGATGACAGTAGTGGACAAGCATAATCCCCACGCGCCTCGGGGCAAGCTATGCACTCACAAACCGGCGGGTCGAATGACATCGCCTGTCGATTAAAACTTTCTTTTTGTAAACGTTTCTTTAACGCTGGTGGCCCGAGCTTTTCTCTCTTCTCTTTATCGAACTCTAAAATGCGCGTTTATCCAAAAACGGCGATATTCGAAAAAGAGCTGTTTTGGCCTCACGTGCAATCTGGCGCGCATCTTCCGAGTGGCACTGCAAGAAACTGGGCCCAAGCCCTTATCACCCTTTTCGCTCGGCGGGATATCAAACCGAAACTTAGACTTCTCAGAGCCGCTATCAACCACGGCCGGGCGCTATAAGTACGTTAGAACTGATAAAGACGCGCGCTATCACTATCCGAGCGTCTTCTAAACAATTTGGGTTTAATTAGGGGACTTTTTCCCTAATCAGCACTTTTTAACTTTTGGAAGTTTGTCGAACTGGAAGAACTTTGTCAGAATTGAAGTTCACTGCCCTGAGCTAATAGTTTCAAGTGCTCTAGAGTCGTTTACCCATGCTCAGAAGGTCTCGATATGTTGTGACAGTATCGACCCTTGAAAGTCGCTCCGCTAGTACTTAGTGTCAATAGAAGCAGCAGTCGATACAGTCTCCATCTCGGAAGTAACTGTAGGAAAATAAGTAGAATATCTGTTTTGAGATACTTCCGGCGCGAATATGGAAGGTCAATATTAAAAAGTCGAATTTTTGTAAATAAAAAATTTAAATTAGAGAAAATAAAATGAATTTTCTTTGAAAAATCGGAAATGCAAAGATCTTCTACTAGTTGCAAATATTTTCATAGAAATTTTTAATTAGATTTTTTTCTAGTCGAAGCGCGAGTTGGTGGTGGTGGTGTTAGACGACAGGTGGTCGCCTTGAACCGAAATCGCGCTGGCCTTGGCTAGCGATGCAGGAGAGGAGCCCCGCTAACCCGTTAGAGCGAGGTGGCGCTGCTCCGTGCGCGGAAGAAGTACATTGGTGGCGCTCTAACGCTCCTCCACCCGGAAGATGAGCCGGAGAGCCAACCAGCGAAGGACTCACTTTTGTAATTCGTAACCTCTTTCGATTTCCAAAAACTCACTTGACTAGAAACGAAAAGAAAATAGTTGATAAGAAAAAATCTTCTTTGAAGTTCAAATTTTCCTCATTCAAGAGATTGGATATTTTAACCCGCCGCAGCGCATCGTTCCCGAAATCGACCATCTTCTGAAACCAAGAAATCAACAACGAGACTTCTCAGCTTCTGAGGTAAGAGTTCTTCACCAGATTTTGCATCTTTCTTAACCTGTTAACGTGAGAAAGACACAAGCAGTGCACGTGGGGCCAAATTGGACCCGGCCTCAATGCGACCTTTACCGGTTAAGTTGTCTAAAAGAGCAGAATTCGATTTTCGTTCTAAATTATTTGGATCGGAACCAGATTCACGTCACGCCAAAATAGCACCTGATTTTACGCCCGGAGATAATGATTTCAAACATTTTCAATTTCGCTCAACTCGCCGCGTTTTTTCTGACGGCTTACATAATCCAGCTCAATTGGTTCTCATTAGATACTACTGATAGGAGCACTTGAAGGGCTGGTGGGAAAATTCTTGGAGAAATAAATTCTTTCCTAGAAAATAGTGGCCGATTCATGATGAGAGTAGTCAAATTTTAGGGTCTAAAAGAGAACTATTCTTGAACAGAGTTCCCCGAAGTAAACAAAAATTTTCAAAGAGAGCCTCAAAAATAAGGGTACACAAGATAGCCGCGATAATCAGAATACACAAGCGCTTAGCTTCATTAGTAACTGTATCGAGGTTAATTTTGTTTGTGTTCTACCACTGGGCCACTTCCGTGGATATCGTTACCGGACATCCGACCCTGTCAGAAAATTCCCTCACTTACTATGCTATTTCTGCGCTCTATCCCAAAATAGTCCCAAAATGGCTCATTTACGGCGTTACCCGGATTCCGGAAATCCGTCAAAAAATGAAAAATCGTTTATTTTTTTTTCCTCAATTTTATCATCTTTTTCTGGACTGAAGCTATTTTGGAGCAAGGTGACGGATCGGTGAGGCCCTCGAAGATGAAATTTTGAATTGGAAAATTTGCGCTAATCGGACAAATGCCACTTCGCCGTGTTCCGACTGGTCAGCCGGCCGATCCTTTTTCAATGATCAATTTTATATCAAACGGAATACCCGTAGTGCCCGTTTAGCCCAAAACAGGAGGGAGTAGACATGCTTATCTAGAATAACCGAGGCGTCAAGGTCATTTTCCCGGCGTCATTTTATCACTGATCGACAATTTGATTAGAAAGTACACGGAGTCGACATGCCCTGTTTTCAAAATAAAGACCTACTTTTGTTTGAAGAAAAAGAGTTTGTAAGATTCCACGTAAAGGGCTTGGCCTGTGTAAAAAACCTGATTCAGGGTCTGAAAGATCTTTACTGAAAAGCCGCGTAGCGGCTTTTTTTTAATCGAAGCCGCAAAGCGGCTTCGCCAAACTTTAAAAATATATCGAAAGAGTAATTTTACAAAGCCGCTTCGCGGCTTCGTCCTTCAAAAAGCCGCTACGCGGCTTTTCATAAGAGATATTTTTGACCCTGACTCAGGTTTTCTATACAGGTCGCCGAGCGCAGGGAACGCATCTCAAAATTTTTACTCATCCAGTTACTCAATGTCCAAGTACAAAAAAAGTGGCCGGATGTGGTCAGTGTAAAATCTAATCTTGTTTTTGCTCGCGGTCGAGAACGCAACAAATGCGAATATCTCTCCCTCTCTCCGTTTCCGCGCGTGCTTGAAATGATTCTATTTTTTTTTGAAAATGGGGGAATGCATAATTACAAAACCGAAAAAGCGGAAGCTGGAGAAATTCGCGCGGGAAGTGGTGTTGCGGGAATTTCGCGAAGCCAACACAAGAATTAGCTGGACAAATTAATCGAAGAATTCAGTGGCCTTTCGCTTTATTCAGCAGTTACACCTTAGAAAGGAGTCTCGATTAAATAACAAATCAGGACATTTAGGAACTTTGTGACCAAAGTTCAGCCGCTTTTTAAAATAATCCGAATTTATAAAAGCCGAAAAAATAAGAAAATATTTCAGAAAAATGGCATCAATATCGAAAATTCTCGAGCTAGACGACCGCGCGTCCTCCAAATCCCCCGCTTCATCCGACAATGGATTCGAATCCTTCGAAGCGACAAGCTCTCCCGAGCATCATCAAAACCTCACCAAAATCTCGACCGAGTCTGGCTCGGATTCCGGCCGCGTTTCTTCCGTCGAAGACTATGCAATGAAGGTTGATTCAATGGATTCTGACGAGATCGGCGGAGCGTCGCCAATTTCAAACTCGAAAAATTTCCGACCTTGGGAAGTTGAATCCTCCAAGCCGCAAGAATCACGTGTGCCAGGTTAGTGCCCAAATCTGCCTCGAGCGTTGTATGCTCAAAGTCACCAAAAACAGCTGCTACTGTCAGGGTACTTAGCAAAGTATACTTTCCACCGCAAATAACAGTAAATAATCAAATCTAAAAAAGAACAAAGTTCCGTAAAAACTCATTCGGAAAAGGCCCGAGAAGCGTATTCCTAAAATGGCCTCTCTGGGTGACAGGGGTCGATCATTTCATGGTCGGAAATTGTTCATTCTCCTCTCCGACGTGGTTATGCAAGAGGGCCCCAATCGTGGCAAGCGTGAAAATCAAGTCTTTCAAAGTTTCAATTCAAGTCGCGTTTAGCTCACGCGAGGTGATCAGTGCATCGCGCATACTTTTTTTAACGTCAGGAAAGTGTCATTTTACGGATATTCAAAAAATATACGAAAAGTAGAATTTTCACCTTGCCACGCGCCAAAAATTTTGATGGGCCTGTCGCACGCTAGAATTTTCCTTGTTTTTCAAGCTTTAGAATACTTTTTATAGTTATTTAATTCTTTATACACACAAAGGAATCTAAAGAAAACTGGACTTGGCAACCTGTGTAGAAACCTGAGTCAGATTCTGAAGAGCTTAAATGAAAAGCCGCGTAGCGGCTTTTTTAATAACGAAGCCGCAAAGCGGCTCCACAACATAATCATAATGATACTAAAGATTGAAATTCCCAATCTTTCTTTTTTCAATAGTGGCGTAAAGCGACTTCTTATTAAAAAAAGCCGCTACGCGGCTTTTCATTTAAGCTCTTCAGAACCTGACTCAGGTTTTCGACACAGGTTGGACTCGGAGTCCAGTTAGAAACTCGGCCATTTTGAGTTATATTTATGCTTATGATTTGAAAAAGGAAAAGCCTTTCTTGGCACGAAAAAGGTAAACAACTTTCTTTGATCAATCATTGCTTTCCGTCTTAGAATATATTCCCGCGGTCGTTTCTGCAAAATATTTATTGTTGGTGACGAGAAATGTTTCTTAGATGGTGCGGATCCATTCAAAAATCAAAACTGCGGGCAGTCTAAAGCGCGCAAAGATTTCCCAATGTTTTCCGTCGTTTACGCTTTGTTAAAAATTGTTTAAATATTTCCGACTTTCGAAACAGCAAAAACGTGACTGGCGACATTTTGTTTTCGCTAATGCCATCAAAAAGCAGAAAGAGATTGCCCGTTTGAGCGCGTTAGAATAAACACATCTCGTCATAAGGCAGCTCCGAAATAATCCACTCATTTTTGCGAAGCACTGGACTTCCTCTTTCATCCCCCGAAAGAACTAATTATGCATAATTTACAAATTGCCCCAAAAGCAAACTGGCGACTCTCTCGTTCAAAATCAACGTCCTAACTGATCAGTTCAGAACTCGGCCTTCACAACAACCCCTTCGGCCTAGGAGCGATCGCCCCGCCTCTCGGTGGAATACCAAATCTCTTCCATGGTCTTCTCCCCGGTCTTCAAACGTTTCCAACAGCAGCTCCGAGTTTTGGCCATCAGTTGGCGCTACAGAACTTTTTGCAACAGTCGCAGAACTACATGGCGCATCAAAAGGTAAATTCGTCACTTTTTTTCATTATTCACAATTTTTCTAGGCATTGGCTGCTTTGCGCTTGAAATCGGAATTCGAGCAATTTTCCGGGGCACGAAAGTCTGCCCAACGTCAGGATGCTTGGCAGTCAGGCGTCATCCCAGGAACCCCACCCATCGCTAGCAGCTTTCCTCATCTTCCAGCAAAAACTCCAGAGCCAGCGAATCTTCAAAGCCGCGAAATGAAAAAGAGCAAGGATGAAGACAACGATGAGAACGCAAAAATCGCGAAGACGAAAAAGAACCTGGTACAATCAGAATTTCAATCAGTTCTTTATCCCTTTTTCGACTCGTTTGAAACAGAAATTTACAATATTTAGGAGTGAAGCCATACAAATGTCCGATTTGCGACGCGCAGTTCAACCGGCCAGCCAATTTGAAGACACATCTGAGGATTCACTCTGGCGAGAAACCTTACAAATGCGACACATGCTCCGCTAGATTCGTTCAAGTCGCTCATCTTCGGGCTCATATGCTCATTCACACTGGCGAGAAGCCTTATCCTTGTCAAATTTGTGGAACGAGGTATTTAATTATTACTAATAATAAGTGTTTAAAATGCATATTTGCTGTGTAAAATGTCATAATCTGACTTTCTCTTTTGCAGGTTCCGGCATTTGCAAACATTGAAGAGTCACATCAGGATACACACAGGGGAGAAGCCATTTTCCTGCGACGAGTGTTCCCTGCGATTCCGACACAAGTCTCAACTCAGACTTCATCTCCGGACCAAGCATGGAATAAACACCAACACAAAGAAATCCTACACTTATGTAAGTATTTAATTTATTGCTAAAAACAGAGAATAATCCTTTTTTAGGTTCCTGGTTTGAAAACAGCCGATCTCTCGAAAATCGTCAAAGAGACCAAAACCGAGGCGACTTGCTGCTCTCACTAGAATCCTCTTCCGAAGACGGCGATTTATATTTTTTGCACATTCCCTTCATTCCTCTTACTACATGTTTCTGTACAAAACCGAGTCCTTTTACAATTTTGTAGTTTGAAAATTCTTTCTATTGAGTCAATACTGACACTGCAATCATTTTCTGTACATTTTTGATTCTGCTCCGAAATGTTCCAAATCAATCAAACAGTAAATAAATACAAATCAAAGAAAAAAAAACGAGCTCTCTTCCTATTTATTAAAAGTAAAATACCGTCGAATTTCGTTACCTTTTTCTAAAAGAAGAATCTCTCGAAAGACGTCCTTTCTCTTGACCTCTTTGAATAGGCAGTATCGGAGATAGTATTTCCATCTCTGGCGAAATGGCAGGTGCTCGTGGCCTGTCCAATAAATCGCGAAATAAATTTCTTTTCGGCTCCTCTCTGTCTCGCTCGATTGTTAACTTCCGCCAAATAAAAGTGCAAATCAGCTTTGTGGACTTTGCAGTTGTAAATTTACAACTGCATCCGTAAGATATTCAAATTGTGGTAATTTCCTTTAAAAAATAACACACGATTTAATGTGTTTGAAACTCGTCACTAAAACTTTGTATTTTCTCGTAAACTTCAATCTTGAATGAGAGTGGATTCGAAAGGAAATTATATTGAAAAAGGAGAAAATAGAGATTGCATAGAAGTTTTAAGCTTTGTTCTCTTTGAAGGCTCCGAATCAGAAGAAAGCTTCTGTGACTGGGCGAAGCTTGAGGTTCGATCCCATCGCTCGCACAATGAAGTTAGTTGGATCGGTTGTTGGCTCCTTCAGTTTGGTAGAAACAGTCTGAAGTAGTCTCGTAGTCATGAAATCAACAAGGATCGACTTACGATGAGATATTTTCCTGGAGCGACATCGAGAAGATAGCCATTATGGCTGTAGGGATACGGTTGATGGCCTGACTTATTGGGGAAGACTGGCTCAACTTTTTGAAGTTTTTTGAAGTCTGGAGTTCCACTCTGAGGGCGATTGAAAGGATCGTCTCCGGATTTGCTTGTTGTTGCCCAGAAATTTACCAGCACAGATCGTTTTACTTTTACAGGCGAATCAATGAGTATCTTGGAGAAATTAAGGAAGAATAATGTGAAGACAAAGGCGATGTACCTGTAGCCAAATAAGTCTTGTGTCGGTTTGGCCGTAATCACCAACTGAAAGCTCAATTTGACTTGACAGATCTGGATTTTTGTTGTTCCCTCCCGAGAGAGGATCATTCTGGGCTCCTGGTGGGAAGGTTCCACTTACTCGCACATCTCGGCTATTTTTCTCTCTAAGAAAATATTATTTACAAGTAATCTTGAAAAAACTCACTCTTCAGAAATATCACCATCTTCGTCATTGACGTCTAAGCCAGGCAAGGCACAAATGGTCAAGTTTTCGAATTCATCGACCCAATCTTCAAGTTCCATCCAAAAAGACCCGTCGTTTGAGTTGACTACCCCTAGTCGTTTCTTTTCGTCATCAGAAACACTTGAATATCGTAAAAAATCATAAAAAGAAAAACACAAAATAATAATAAAAATTCTAAGTAAAATTTATAGCTCTAAGAACCATAAACATGATAATTAGCTGACATACTCGGCCCACTTCGTGTCATCATCATTCCAGGCGCCGTCCCATTCGCCACGCCCTTGCGGATTTCGAATCTTGACCATATCCAACTTACTTCCGTCTGACAAAGTCATTGTGTCCACAAGCAGCAAAGAGTAAGCATGTCCCGAAACTAGTCCCTTCGTGACTTTTTCGTTTCCGGCGCCATCTCGATTTGAAGTTGTGATGAGTGAGTTTCGTTGGAGTTTCTTTAGAAGATCACCGAGATTGACACCGGTACTGTCCAAATTGTTCGCATCTACAGCGATTCCTCCACTCAGTTCGGTCAGTGCTACGGCTGTCTCTCCGCCGACAATGTTGTTGTACCCACCATGAAACTTAGCGTATGCCTTTTCAACGAGAGGCACCCACCACTCGCCATTCTTAGATTCGATAGCTCGGTTTATTTTGCCTTCATGTCTATCCGGGAGCTTATCATCGATCACCACATCGACCCACTCGCCCATGCGGAAGAACTTGAAATGGTATCCACCAGCGCCTTTCGCCAACATCGTGGTATTGAAGCCAGTCTTGGATGAAAGTAAGTATCTAGAGAAAATCTCTCTCTATAGAGCTACCTGAAGAACTCTTTTGATAGAATCTTCCTTGATTTTGGCAACTTTTGTTCCCGACTGATCTTTCGCCGCGATTGAAGAAAGCGCAGCAAGAAACCAGCAATCTCCGAGTTGACCTTGTTTCACATCGCAAGCGTCGGATCCTTCATCAATGAAGCTAGCCGAGCCCGATCGGTCCTTCAAGCGAAAGGTCTTTACAGCCTTAGTGAGTTCCTTGTTCGCCTCGATGTCGAAATCTTCGTCATCGAAGCACGATCCACTATCGGATGCTTTTCGAAGCTTTTCAACTTGCGCCATGTTTTTCTATTTTTATTTTCAATTGAAACTTATTTACAAGAAAAAATACCTAGCGGCCGACTCTCGTTAAAAACTCTGAGTGCGAAAGTTCTTGCGGCAGTTGCCATTAAATGCGGTACTAATAAAAACTCTTGAAGACGCCATCTAGCGGAAGGATTTGTCCAAAAGAAGAAACGACGAAGCCCACCCGTATTTTATCATGGTTAGATAGAACACATAAATTCGGATCATTTTGTCATTGCTTCATTGAAGTGCCAGTTTGATAATACTACCAGCTTTCGATGTTATTTCTTCATAAAGTTTATTTCAAATCATAAAGAGCACCTTTTTTATCTCCTGCGGTCACCGTTAATCATTTTATTGATGTACCTTTGCCATCGGACAATTGTTATATGACGAAATAGTCTTGCGAAATCTTGCTACCTGCGAAATACTTATGAAACCAATAAAGAAGTCAAAGCTTGATCGGCTCCTTTTCGATTCGAACGCTGTTTTGCCCATTTCTCTTTTTTACAAAATTTTTCAGTTAGAGAAACTTTTTGAAAAAAAAAGAATTGAAAATGGGCAGTAAGTCACGTGCTCTTCAGCGAAGAAGGACCAGATGCAAGCCCCGATTTCGAGGCCACAAAAGAGCTGGAGGTATATTTATTTCTCTAGGGGAAATCTAAAATTGAAAATTTTTTAGAGGCAGCCGAGCGCGTCCAGGCTTCCCAAAAGTCAGCGACGACAATCAAGGAAGAACCGTTGCCTTCACCACCACAACAAGCTTCTAAAGCGGCTCAATGGACACCCAAGTCGGCTGGTTTGCAGCAAAAACCTCAGCAACGAACCCCTACCAGAAACGAGAGAGTAAGCAAGTACTTCGAAGAAGCAAAGAAACACTTCAGGGAAGAGGGAAGTAGCTTCTCGATGGATTTCAGCGAGTCGCCAGGAGGAACACTCAGAGTTCACTTCGAAGGGGGAAAACGGATTCGGTTGGCCCAACTCCCGCAGAGTGTGAACGTGCAGGAGGTGTCAAGCTGAGTGAAGGAGATGCAAGGGACCACGCCGCCGGTGTGAACTCCTGCAGAGACTGCTCGTGGGCCCAAGTTGGCGCAAGTCTCGGTGTGAGTCCTTGAGTAAACAGTAATTAGGTGCATGTTGAGCCGGAAATCAAGATCAAGCTCAGCCTGGATAATCTTCAAAAATGAAGATATGGAAAACAGAAAATATGGAATTTTCTGAAAACATACCTACTATGGTAAAATTTAGTGCTGATTACGATTGTGGAGTTGGAATGTTTTTCTTATGTCAAAAATTCAAGTTTTTTTGCGAAGATTCAAACAAGAACAATTCATTTTCAAAAAAGTTTGATGAGTGAGATCCATGCATCACACGGTAGGTGAAGGTGGATTGAACAATTTGAAAATGGAAGTGAAGACTTTCACTTGTTCGTTCGCCGGAACTTCCGGCCCGGAAGTAATGCAGAGCAGCTTTGGAAGAGTGTTCGTGCCATAAATATCAGTTATCTTCGAAATCGGTAAAGTATCTGCTATTTTCTGGTAATCACACATTTTGAACGAAAGAAAAATGAAGCTTTTCAAGCATTCAAGCATCAAGAAAAACGAGTAAGCTTGGATCTTCACACTGAGTTCATCCCGAAATCTTGCTAACTGCGAAATATCAATAAAACCAATAAAGAAATCAAAGCTTGGTCGACTTCTTTCCGAGCTCATTTTTACCAATAATTTTATTCAGTAATCAAAATAGTTGAATTTGAATACAGATGGATCCTTTTTGACAATGGTTATTGGAGAAATCTTGGTAAATATACAGATGAAATAAATTCACAAAAAATGGTATTGAAGTTGAATTTTCAATGATGAAGCTGGAGCACAAAGGCTTCTCCGAGAGCCAGTTAATTTTGTCGAGAAAAGAGGGTTTTCATTTCGCCTGTTATCGAACTTACTCCCTGGTACTTGAGCTTTGAATCAGTGTTTTTTTATATTTTTTGATGTTTCAAAGTAGAAACAGATTGTCGGCAAATGCCGGGTTTTGATCTTTGTCTTCACTGTAAGCAAATGGATGCTGGCGTGAATAGCTCTGGACCAAGTTTGTGTTCTTTTTAGGCTTATTATAATTAATAACCCCCTTTTTATAAAATTGAGATTGATGTGGCGCTCGAAAAAGTTAGTTTCATAGTTAGATCTCCTAGTCCTAGAAAATATTGAAAGCCTACGAAGAAGGTTAGGAAAAAGAGAGCAAAAAATAGTTCAAGGAAAAAGAAAAACAGACAGAAAAATAAAATAAGTACAGAAAAAAAACTTACGGGGCACGACCAGGCTGCCATGCGTCCGCGGGCAGCTTCCCTCCTTTCTTTAGTTCCATAAATTTCTCGGCAGCGCGATTGAAATTCCAATCGTTTTGTTCCAGGCACATTTTCGAATAGTTTTCGGTCATTCCAGAGTTGTCCATAAACTTTTTCACCATGGCGTTTTTGTCGGCGGGAGGTTCGGCGGCAGCACCTCCACGGGGGTTCGGGATGACGGATTGTTTCTTTCCGTGGTTGGCTTTTTCACCGCTGCTCGAGTCGCGGATGTAGAGCTGATCGTGATTGACCAGAAAGTTGTTGTCCCTAAAAGGAGAAGATGAGTTTTGATTCTCTTCCTTGCTGTCAAAAGACTTACACGAACGAGCAGAGAAAGTGGCGACTGAAGAAGCGAATCTTTCCATTGTCGGTTTCTTTGAAAGTTCCAGTCAAAGTGAATCCAATGATCGAGGGCACTTCCAGCGTCACGTCCAAAAAGCAAGAGGTCAGATCGTGCGTCGTCTTCGGCAGTTCCGAAAGACAGGCGAGTACTCCAAGGCGCTTCTGTTTGATCGTGTTTGGGTCTGAAAATGTCCTTGGATTAACTTGTCGGTGGAGTCAAAACTTACGGCAAGTGCGGTACTTTTCAACGTCTTGGTTTATCAGGTGTCTGTGGTCGACGATGCTTCTTTGGTGCTTTCTGTAGGCGCTCAAGTCGACTCCTCTTCCGACGGAGAGCGTGAAGATCGCATTCGGTCCATAGCATTTGAAGAGATCTTCCCTATTGGTGTCGTAGGCCTTGACGAAATCAGTGATGAATTTGATCAGCGGTCCTTCCAGTTGCTCATTCAGAGGGAGGCAGGAATCTATAAAAAGTAAATGATATCTTTTGAGAGTTTTCTTCCCTACCGTAAATCTGAGAAACAGTCTTCTTCTTTTCTTCTTTTTCTATAGATGCATCAAGATCAAAAGACGCAACGAGTTCTCTTCCGTTGAGTTTTTTCAAATTCTTGAATATTTTTCTTGCTTCTTTGGACAATTTTAAATTGTTTCTTCCTTGAACGAGTTTTGCTAGTTGAGTGTCGCGAATGTCCAAATCTTCAAGGTCCCAATCTTCGACGTATTTTACATCGCTCCAGTTTCGTATCAGCTGATTTCCGGAGAGATTGAGTTTCTTAACTTTAGGCGTTTTCTCGAGCAACGGGACGAGCTGTTGCAGATTCCTGAGCATGTTGCTCGAGAGGTTGATTCCAGAGATGTTTTCAATCGGGAAGTTCTTCATGACGCGTACAAGGAGCGCGAAGTCTTCTGAAATCTTCAAGTTCATCTTCATTCCAGCTTCATTGAGTCGTGTATCAGAGGCGAAGGATGAGAGATCGACGGTGTTTTCAGGTTGGTTGTATCGTTTTCCAAGAACTTCGCTGAGCGTGTTGAGCGCGTTGGGAATGACTTCGAAGCGGGCGGAGATGGGTGTCCTGGCAGTCATCTTTTCGAGCTTGATCCACTTGGCCGGCGGCACATTGTCCGGCTTCGTATCCTTGATGATGTCGAGCATTTGGCGGTAGACCTCGGTTGAAGTGGCGGAGGGAATGAAAAACATAATGTTTTCATACTCACAATGAGGCTGAATTAGATTATAGCAAATTAGAAGCGATTATGAGAGGAATGAGAGACGGATTCATGTGGGTGCCCCTGCCCAGATCTTTCTTTTTTTTGAGGTCTTTTTTGTTAAAATTGTGATCAAGGCACGGGAGAAAAAATGGGGGAATGGTGGCATATTACATCTTTGTCAGCAAAGTTCGGAATTTTCTCGTGGAAGAGCTTCATCATCTCGTCTTTGAATAGTAGCGGTCTATCAGACTCGCTTCTCGGAATGCTCATCTTGATACGCATCCAATCGGATCCTGCTTTTTAAGTATCACTGTGTCTTACTCTTTGAGCCTACCTGTTGCGTCCTCATACAAAACCTCGTCCATATCAATCTGATCGTAGTTTCTACGATCGACTCGATTGTCAGTCCAGTGCTTTTTCTTGCCCTTGTCTCTGAAAACCCCTAGTAAACCCTATCGTCATCGAATACCAACCGATTTCCAGCCCGCTTGGATAGATCTTTAGCCCCTGCTCGTCGACCGCGTCCATCATCGTCTCTATCATCATGATCGCCTCTGTAGTCTTTCTGGTAGCGGCTGTTCCTCGACTTTTGCTTCACATGAACTCGCCGGCTGTGACTGTGGTAGTCTGACATGACTTTCGCTTGGAAGTCTTCTAAAAAGGTGGTTTGTATCGTGAAAATTGAGGAGTGGAGATTATGATCATAAAAGCACACAATGAGGTTTTGTTCAAATAGGAAGGATGCAATTAGCCTGGGTCTCAGACCCAGGATTCATTTCAAAAGTGACGCCTGGGTCTCAGACCCAGGATACCCCCTCAGAAGTGACGCCTGGGTCCAAAAATAAGGAGATGGGCGTTGTAAGAAGAAAAAAAACAATTTCCTTCTATGAATAATTGATATGGAGTCTTGTATTCACTATAATTCAGGTTAGTGTTAGGGGGCACCTGCAAAAATGACGGAACAGTCTCACCCGAGGGGGATAGGCTAGGGTTAGTTAGGGTTACTGAAGGTAACCCTAAGTAACCCTAGACTAGACCCCGGCATCTTAGGACCTAAGGGGCGAAGCCCCGTGGTAAGGGGCAAATAGATCTGAGCGTTTGGGAGAATCAATCGACGAAGTCTGCCTAAAATGCCCATTTTTAAATGAATCCTGGGTATTGGACCCAGGCGTCACTTCTGAGGGGGTATCCTGGGTCTGAGACCCAGGCGTCACTTTTGAAACGAATCCTGGGTCTGAGACCCAGGCTAATTGTATACTTCCTTCAAATATGCTTTTATGACTCATAAATGAATGGATAAATGAAGATAAATGCAATGGTGAATGATAAGAAGATTTACCCTTATCGTATTTATCAAAACTCAAATTGACTTTAATCCCTGAATCTCGCATGGAAGTCCTAGAGTCGTAATCAAAACTCCGGTCAAGACTTTCATCGAGCTCGGGAATGGGAGTCGGACTACGACGTCCGCGATCAAATCGATTTGATCTTGACCTTGAAGATGCTAGCAATTGATGAAACAAATGGATAAAAGAATGAAGGGGCCTTCTCACCTTTAGTTCGATTATAGTTACTGTTGGATCCTCTGTTATAGGAGCCGCTTCCCGATCCGGAATTGGTAACGGAATTAATCTGCGCTATCTGCCTTGATAGCTGCGACATTATTTCTAAATAATCGAAAGTTTAAATTTTCATCGGGTGCTCGATTCAGCTGGCAGAAATTGATGTCCCCCTATTTCTCTAGTGGTAGAAAAAACTCTTGGCCGTTGAATAATAAATTCGCGTTGCGAGGGATGCTCCCCGCCGCTCCTCCCTTCTCTCGGGGAACTTTGCCGCCGGCGTTGTAATGGAAGGAATTCGATCAGTGCCTTTCTTATACAACACTACCGGCAGTTTATTTCTGTCGAGGAGTTGTTGAAGAGAACAAAAAAGTGTAATAAAAGAAGAGTAAATGATAGACCATCAAAAATTGAAAAAGATCTTTTGCTGCATAATTGTCGCTGGGATCGCTACAGTCCTCATTCAAATAACATCACAGAGTGTCTCAACAAAGAAAATTATTCAAGCGAAACAGGCAGAATTGACGCTGAATCAGACTGAATTTTCAGGTTTTTTAATTTATCAACTAATCTCTAAAATGCTCTTCAGACTTACAAATGAAAGTCCACGGGCGATCGAAACACTTGAAAAAGATCTGCTCGGAAATGAAAGAAAAAGGAGCAAAGTTTTCAGTTTCAGATTATGTGAAAGGTAAAACTATCAAGAAATTGAAGAACGCTTTATTGATTTTCGATCATTGAGTGACTCGAAATTCAGAACGGCTGCTCGTGGACTTGGAGAAAAAGATTCTCTTCTGTCCGATTCCCAAAGCAGGAAGCTCTAATTGGAAGCGGATCTTCGCGAAATTGACAACAGAAAATTATGACGAAGTGGACGATTTGTTAGAAATAAGAAAAGTACATCATATTCAACTGCCAGTGCTTTCGGATTTCTCTGGTGAAAAGCAGAAAAAGATTCTCAAAGATTTCAGTTAGTTCAAAAATAGAAACACCCAGCGTGATATTTTTGTGAGAAAAGCCCGAAACAGGATCGAACCAGACAAAAGAAAGATGACTCTTTGTTTGCATCGATCTTTCAGGATCTAACGCTCGAGCAAATATTGATTGAAGTTCAATGATTGAACCTAATAACTGACCCTGTAATTTATCGTTAGACAATGTGTGGTTCTTATTGTTGGGAAAAAAGTCATTTCTCTACGACTTACAGTCTTTTTTTCAGCAAAATTCGTGTTTGTTCGACACCCGTTTGACAGAGTTCTCTCCGCGTTCCGCAACAAATTAGAGAATCCCTTCACGGATGAGTTCCAACGCCGTTACGGTACAAAAATTGTGACAAAATACCGCCCCTATGCGACCGACAAATCGAAAAAGCTCGGCGACGACGTCTCCTTCACCGAGTTTATTCATTATCTGACGGAGGAAAATCCAAACAAATTCAACAACCACTGGCAAAGATACTGGGACCTTTGCCAGCCCTGTGCTTTAGAGGTAAAATCTAACCGTTAAAATTATCAAATCAAATTTGTTTTCAGTACGATTTCATCGGAACCGCGGAAAACTACCAAAAGAAGCAGAACTACTCGTGCGGACTTTGAACATTACTGTAACTTTCCCAGAACATGAAGCAAAAACCACAGCTGAGTCTAGTTTAGGTAAGACTTTTCAAGTACTGAATCAATTACCCTCTTTATAAGAAGTGTTCGGGAGCCTTTCCAAGGCTTATCTGGCGAAGCTGTACAATATTTATAAAATCGACTTCGCAATCTTCAACTACACTATCGACCACTTTGTACAGTTAACCAAGAGCTAGTATCCGCCCATTACAGTACTATTTATATCCTTACTGCCAGAATAATAGAATAAACCTAAATAATAACATGTTCCGCGTTCTTTTAGTTCGAGGAAAGTGGCAGGAAAGGAGCAGTTATTTTGGATAGAATTCAACTAACAGGGCACTTTTCAATGCCATCATGCACTTGATCTTGGTCGTCTCTGGAGTTGTCGACCTTGTCATTGCCCAATCCAGTGAAGGGCTGAAGCTCGTGGGTTTCGATCGTTTCGTCCATATCGTCCATGACTAAATTTTTAAATGTCCCTGCCTCTCAATACATATTTGGAACTTACATTGAACCTCTTCGACATCCCCTTCATCGGGAAGATACTCTTCTAGCAGAGCGCGCTGCTCTGGAGTGAACTTCTTCGGAATTTCCACAATGATCTCCAAGAACAAGTCTCCAAATTGAGTAGGCTTTTCGAAGATCGGAAGTCCTCTTCCTAGATAAATTTGAGTCTTGAAGCCGAGGTATTATCGATTCTTTACCTTCAAGGACAAGCTTCTTCTCAAATGGCGGAATTTTTACTTTCAGCATTTCGTAGGTTTTCAGTTTCGATCCAGGGGGACTGGTCTCTTTCAAATGCCGGAGGTATTTATAGCAGCCCACCAAATGCTCGCCAAAGGAGATCTGGATTGATGCAACCAGGTCCTTAGTGAAAAAAATTTCATTTATAAGGTTGAAAAACTTCACTTACATTCCCAACTCTCGTGTAGATATCGTGCTTTTTCTGCTCGCAGATAAGGTAGATGTCTGATGGAATCTGATTCGCAGGGCAGTCTCCTTCTCCCTTCAGTCTCTTTCGGTAACCATTTCGACAGCCAACAGGAAGATTGAATTGAAGCTCGTTCGGAGTTCTTATTGTTCCTTTTCCCGCACAGGCAGTACATAGTTGAGTTGGCTTTTGAGATATTAGAATCGACACACTATTTTATCTCATAGAACTTACCGATATTGCTTTGCGACCATGACACGTCGGGCAAGCCTGATTACGCTGGATCTTCAATTTAACGTTTTTGCCATTGTAGTAGTCCTCCAATGAGCATTTTAGTATGTGATTGACATCTTGAAATACAAAATCAAAGATATTACATGGATGCAGAGCTTACCTTTGGCTTTCGGCTTCAAGCTCCAGATGTCCCTCATCTTGTTGAGCTTGTCATCGCCAACAAGCACGCGAACTGTCTTATGCATTCCAGGAGCGTGGTGAGTTCCACCGGGAGTTTGCGCGGCATTAACATACTCAACAGACTTTGTCGTGTCATAAATTGCTCGCCTTGAAGGATCGGCAAGTAGGTTAGCAATTTCTGCGTATTGCTGCTTCTCCTTTAAAAAAACATTGAAATCAAGGAAGAGAATGTGATTTAACCTCAAGTGTACTCTTCTTCTCGGCGATCGTGGAGCATTCTTTGATGATCGCTTCCAAGTTGGCATCCTTGGTTAAATCGAGGCGATCATAAATTGATTCAGTGAATGGAATTTTTTTCACTTCACAATATTTCCTCGCTGTCTTCAATTCATGTCTCGGTTTCTTAAGAGGGTTTGTCGCCATTCTACGAAAGAGAAAACTGAAGAAATAAACTTTATTATTGCATTATTCCGTATCATCAAAAATACGGGCTTATTATTTTCAGGAATATTAATTGCAGTTTGCATTTCTTTGCAAAACTAAAGCGGTCGAAATAGAGTTTTTTTACTTGATTTTTGGAATGGAGACGGCGAAGCATGCACAAAAAAGAATGAAAGTTCAGTAAGTTTTTATATCAGCTTAGACATGTTTTAGTGATTTTTTGTTTGAACATGGAAACAGGAAAAGAAGACATAAGGTGCGATCTTGGGTACAGGTGACATTTTCTTTTGTTTGTTTTGATAGGTGAAGTTGGTAAAATAGTAAAAAGAATGAATTTCAAAAAATAAAGAATTGAAAGTGATTGTAAGTGAAGTGCAAGTGAAGGAAGTCGCCTTAGGATGGCTTGTTTAGCTTGCGATTAAGTTCGGCGGCAAGGGCCTTCTTTGCTTTTTCATCTTGCAGAGGCTGGATTGAGCGCAGGCCGTGGACGATATCGCGCGACTTGCCGAAATAGATCTCGTTCAGCGTGTGGCGAATTTTATTCTGAAAATCAAGATCATTCAAGAGCTGGGAAGGGAAACAAAGAAACCTCGTGCTCTTCTACAAGTTTGCCAAAGTTGATCACGTGTGGCGAGCTGGCATCCAAAGGCATGTCTCTCTCCAATTGTCGCATAAGAGAGCCACCAAGGTTCATCATTCCAGCGCCCTAAAATCATGACTAAAAGGTCGAGCAGATTGAGTAAGTACTTTTGTATTCGTCTGCAGCCAGAGCATAACCGTAGAAGTGAGCTTGTAATGCGCCGATCTCGATTTTTCTTGGCACTCGAAAACATGAATCGAATCCCAACAACCTTTTGGTGCTTTTTCTGTCGCTTTTTTAATTAGAATGACTCCGGCGAATCCATGATCCAGATCCCAGAGATATACTGAACTATTTGGAACTTGAAAATTACTCAAGAGCAAGACAAACTCACCTGACTCCACCGTCAAAATATAATTCTCGGTACTGATTGAAGGCTTGATTCATTTCAATCTCTAATTTCCGTAGGTAATCTGATGGAACAGCTCTACAAACCAATCATTTGACATTAAAAAATAATCAACTTACCCATCTTCAATCGGGGGATCATACTCGTTCGAATGTGGAGATCTGTAGGAGTCGCCGTCTCTGTTATAGTCGCAAAAGAGATAGTCCTGCCCGGTCTGAACGCTTAGAAGGAAGTTATTGAATCCCAAGAACAAAACCTACCTTTTTGTCTTTGCCGACTTTGAGGGGTTGATCAACGGCCGCTAGGAGATCATCGCAAAGATCAGGGACGAGGTCAATTAAGTTACTAAGATTTCTCTGAACGTGATGAGGTGGAAGCCTCCTCATCATATCCAAAGCACCGTCCAGTTGTTGGTCTAGATTCGCCATTCTAAAGATCAACAATTAAATTGTGAATCTAAAACGTGAATCTATCGGTTCTATGAAGATAAGGGCAGGAACTGATGTGGGCAGCTAAGTGAGTAGAAAAATATATAAAAAATGAGAAACGTTTGGAAAAGATAGCTACTCTTCGACGTAATCCATGTCTTCTGGGACGCCAAAGTGTTTAGCCATCATTTTGGCTTTGGTTGGATCTCGCTTCTTGACGAAAGAAGTCACGTTCCAGATGTTATCTGTCCATCGATTGACGCCTTCGATGCACAATTTCTAAAGCTATTTTTGAAATAGAGTATAAATATGAAGAGACAAACCTTATCCTGATCTAATTTTTGAAGATACTCGGGTGTGAACTTCTTCGAAGCCTCGCATTCTTTGGTCAAGGAAGCTTCTTCGTTTGTAAGAGCTTTGAGCTCATTCTTTAGCTTCTGCAGCTCTTCTGGGGAGATGTCCTCGTCATTCTCCTGGTAGAAGCGGAGCTTTTCCCCCTTCGTCTTCGTCTCTGCGTTCAGTTGCTCAAGTTCTGCTTTGAGCTTGGTCGTCGAGCTGTCTGAATAATGTTGATGACGGAGCAAAATAATGCATCAAAATGATGAATCATAAAAAAACAATCACCTAAAGAATTCACGAGCTGAGAGTCGAAGCACCAATAAAAGCTCGAGGAGCCAACCTTTTCCGTCATCAATCGGTCATCATCAACGAGCGTTTGAATTACATCTTTGATGGACATTGGAGTGATACCCTTGGCCTTCGGAAGGCTTTTTTCAAGGTCTTTCATGTGGAAGAAGGAGTTCTGCTTGCGAATCCAGTCAAGTGCGGCGTCGCATTTTTCTTCCATGGACATGCCACGCTTGCTTCCAGGCGCCATTCTTCAAATTCGAAAAGTGAATAAGACAAAGTCTAAGTTGGGAAACTAATTATATTGTTGTAAATCGTAGATTGCCTAGCCAGCAGATCAAAAAATAAATGCATCAGAGCCCGTTAAATTTTCAACTAAAGTGTAAGAGAAGACACAACTCGCGACGAGTACAGTACATCGCCAGCAGTTGCGCTTGCAAAAGACGAAATTGGCGTAACTGTAAAATTCTGAGGTGGCAGTAAAATGAGCAGAAAAGGGACTAGAAATAGAAATGCGCACGGACTGGCGGTTTGATGCTGGTTTTATTTGAACACGCGGCTGAGATTTTTCACTGGCTGATTCGTTTACTCCTTCTAAAGAAATAATTGAAGAAATTAAAGAATTTCATAAAATGACCTTTCTGTCGTTCAAGTAGGCGTCCATTTCAGCGTCGAGTTGTTCTTGGGTGATTTCCTCTTTCTTCTCTCGTCCACGGCCGCCTCCTCGACCACCTCGGTCTCCGCCGCCTCTGTTGCCACCACGGCGGTTTCCGCCGTCTCTGTTACCGCCAAAGCCGCCTCGGCGTCTGGGAGATCGAGATCTGTCTCGATTTCGGTATTCCTGGTTTCCACCGCCCTGGAGGGTGATGTTCATAGGTCGCCCTAAAAGAATAGCGCCTGGGAAGTTATCTATGCTCTCACCATCAAGAGGAACCTGGTTGTAGGTTTCCTGAGCGGTTCTAGCGTCCGCGAGTCGAACAAACTCCACCTCAGCCTGGCCAGTTGATCGGCCAGATCTGTCGTAAAGAATCTGCGCCTTTTTCAAGGGCCCAAACTCGGTGAAAAGTTCCTAAAAGAAATTAATCGACTTTCACGGCGATAAAATCTTACCCGCATATCTTCATCGGAAACACCAAAGTCCAAGTTGCTAATAGAAAGCTTGGCGGAGCTAGTTCTAGCTCCTCCACCGCCTCGACCACCCTATAAAATTTTTGATAGAGAAGAAGGCAAGTGTTTGGCAAGACTTACCGAGTACATGTCGTGGTCCCACTTGTCTGGCAGGTCTCGATTCTTAGTTTAGTTGTGAGTTAGCGAGTACAGTTCAGAAAGGAAATATAGAGAGACAGACAGAGCGCATGCAGCTGCCCAAGCCTTGCAAGAAGATCATACCCGACGAGAGAACGAGCCAGAGTCCCCACCACCACGTTTGCTAACGCCGCCATCTCGGCGACCCCCGCGATCTCCACCGCCGCGGCCTAAGAAAAATTGAACGGTTTCGTCAAACAAAAACTGCTACCTCCTCCTCGGCCACCGCCTCGGGAGTTGTTGCTTCGTCCGCCCTTTCCAATCTTGTTCTTAGAGATGAAGTCGTCAAGGGAGATGTCGGTGTAATCCCCGGAAACCATGGTGAAAAGCCTATCTAAAAGCCAGAATTGATAAGGTTTTAAATGCAAATAATTTAATAAAAAACGACGGAAGATCTTGATATTTCTAATCTTTGCAAAATACAGCGTGGTTTCAATAGAAGAAAAACGGTGGAAAATAAATGGTACAAATTGTTAACTGAGCAAGACGGGCATTGACAGTACTTGGCTGAAAAATACACTTTTTGTAAACACTTTTTGAGAAAACTTTTTGGTTGAAATAAGTACGCGTTTTGACTCAATCAAGGAAAAGGAAGATAAATGTTTTTTCAATTTTCTGTTTATTTGAAGATAGTTGGGCGGAAAGAGCACGCGCGGAATCAGTATTGTCGAGAAGAGGGTCGGCGGCCGTAGTACTGTGGCGAGCGGGAGCGGTCTCGGCTCGGGTAACGAGAAGTGTGGTCTCTTACCACTGTGATGTGCATTGGTCGCCCTAGAATAATATTGATCCTATCTGGCACGGTCAAGAGACAAACCATCAAGAAGCACACCATCGTACTGTACTTGAGCGTCGTTGGCAAATTCCGGTCGGCGAAAAACAATCTCCGCGGAGCCTGTGGACTTGCCCTGGCTGTTGAAGAGCACGGAGACCCGCTTGATGTCTCCGAATTCACGGAAAAGCTCCTAAAAATAATTAATTGAAGCCTCTTTTCGTTGTCACTACCTCCATATCGTCATCGGTAACGCCGTAGTCGAGATTGTCTATGATGATCTTGCATCCAGAGCGATCGAGAGTCCGATTCTCTCGATCAAATCTCTTTCCGTAGCGAGAACGAGGGCGGGACACAGGGGATCTCGAGCGCGAGCGAAACGATGAACGACGATTTCCAGCCATGGAGGAGCGGGGTCGTCTTCCATCTTCGTCGTACAAATCGTGTTCCCAGAATGCGGGACTGCGACTGCGGTTATTGTTGTTGTAATAACCGCCGGATCGACGACGCCCTCGTTGATCAGGTCGATTGACACTGATGCGGCGTTTTGCGATGTAATCATCCAAAGACAAGTCCTCCGTGCTCATACTGACGCTCTCAAGAGTCTCTGAAAATACGACTTGCTAGAAAAAGAACCTCGGACTGAGCTTATACTCGGAATGTGTATTGTAGCCATGAACAGTTACTTTCTTCAACGGAAAAAATTAATCAATTGTGAGAAATTGAAATTGAATTTTCGAGAAACATAAAAAATAAAGAATAGAAGGGTTGATGATGATCAAGGATTGGTCAATACTGAAAGGGTTTGTCTTGCTTCACAATTTACTGCGAAATGTTTGAGAGTCAAGCAGTGTGTGAGATTTGGAGCGAGCTTTTGTACAGAAAGGCCTTTAGGATAGAACATAAAACTAGAAATAGTAAATGGTTGAAGAATATTTTATCTTTTTTATCTGGATTGAGAATCAATAAGGGGTTTATAAATTTTAAACTGGTATTAACTTTTGAAACATGCTTCAAATCTGATTGTTTAAAAAACTCTATTCGACTTGATCTTATTCACTTGAAATTTCAAGTAATATAATCACGTGGCATCAGCCTAGGCATCTTAGAAGTACGATCCAGTCACAAGAAACATATTTTCATGAGAAATTTTGAACGCAATTTGTTGAACTTTATTCATATCATAGAAATGCTGTTGTGCAGTTTTTTTCCAAGCATTTTCGAGTTTTTCATGTGAACCAATGGGTTTTGTCATAGTTGGCACTTAGTGAACGAAATAAAGATTTTTTAGATAGGATTCTTTTCGGTGAATGTTTGTTTTCTTTAGGTTTGGGCCTTCTTTTTGTGCTTGGAATTGGGAGAAAGACAACAGTACAGAAATATATATATAAGATGAGAAAAGAATATGAATGCAAATCAGAAATTTTAAAAATCAACAATTTTTGTGATAACGAAAGGCACTTTTTCATTACATTCTTCGTGACAATGAATGAAATGTGCGCTAGTGAATCTAGCGAGGATGAGAAGTGTGTGGTTGTTTGGGTTTTTGGAGGTAATATTGAAAACTTGAAGGATTTGAATTTTTGGAGGAGTGTGGAGGAGAATGTTATCGCTTCAGACGAGATTTTATTGATGTCGTCATTGGCGAGTGCCGGTTGAATTGCTAAAATTACAGTTAGAGATGAAAATATAGGTGTTTTTTGTTAAATCGATTCGATGTTATGCTCTTTCTAAGGGCTTTAAAGCTCTTGAAAGGGTAAAACGTAAGTTATAAAGATTTATATAACGAAAACTGGTGAACTCCTTTCCCCGAATAATTGATCTTCGGAAAATGGTATCTACAGTGGTGCGGATACTTAAAAAAAATGGAAAATACCATACGTTCTATAGGATTTCTTTATCTATGAGATTTGGATCTCATAGGACTATCGCGTCCGATTTGAAATGATGTCGAGCGGACAGGCAAGTTCCTTCCTGCTCTCTTGATTATGATTGGTTAACGAACACTGAACATGAATGACTATCTTACCGGCTGGCTGCCTTGATTCCCTGGCGGCGCTTTCTCGATCTTTTTCATCAAGCATCTGAGCCAATCGTTTTGGTCGCCAATGTCCGGCGCAAGGACGAGCATCTCCTCGGCGACGATGCCTCGGCACTGCGGCACTCTCATGTAGTCGGGCGAGTTGGGGGCCACGTGCGACGCATGATACTTGTGGTTGCACTTTTGGCACGCTACGGCCTGGGGAGCGCGTACGATGCCCCACAGTTGCCCTTCCTGGCAGTTTTCGAAGTCGCACTCGGCAGGTGTTCGATAGGTGATGTTCACAAACTTGTGTGCTGAAGGAAATGACTCAAAAAAGCTGCGTTTACACTGAAGTTACCGTATTTCGAATTTGGATCGCCCATGGTAAGCCCTTGCTCGCCGTACATGATTTGGAACATTCTCGGGATTTCGTGCTCCTTTGCTCGGAACGCGTCATTTCTCGTTACCGCACGGACGTGGTAAAGCTTAAAAAATGATCAAAATTTTTAATTAAAAAAATCGTAGGTGGGCGCGTCGTAAAACTTTCGTACCCGCTGAATGCTTCTTGGTAGAGGAAAGAGGGAGTTTACTTAGAATAAATGACTCACCTTTGACAGCTCAATAATTTTCTTTGGCTTGTGTGCCTGATAGTCCTCCATTTTAGCGTAGAAAAAGAGTCTATCGTCGGACAAGATCACATAAACCTTCACCCAGCCACCATCTCTCCTCGTGGAGCTAATCCCTCTCGCTGACGGTATCTCTAACCAACCTTCTTTTCTGCCCGATTCTAGCGACATTGTGCTGATCGACAGATTTCCTGATCTTCCCAGCGTGTTCGTGGCTTTCATCTCTTCTAGATTCTTTCTAGCGGTCTCTAGCTCCATCTTGAGGGCTTCGTTTTCCATCTGGCGCTCCTCGAGATTGGCGGATTCTTTTTGGATGATGTCGCGTAGATCTTCGATCTCGCGGTCTTTGTTTTTGACGATGTTGAGGTGGTTACGGTTGTCGTCCGCTTTCGCCACTTCGTAGTCCTTGAGCTTGCGTTCTGCCTTCTTGAGCTCTTCCTGAACGAGTTAAACGTGTCATTTGATGCTAGAGATGATGGACCTACCTTGAGGTTCTTCTTGTTTTTGCCAGAGATGGGAGTCTCCGTCGGCTTCTTGGTCATAACCTGGACGAGTTTGTTGACAGACTGCTTCTTCAGCAAGATCTCTTGATTGAGCTTCTTTTCCAGCTCGCTCTTTTCCTCTTGCCATTGGTTCTGCAAGTTAGCATACGCCTCTTCCAAGCCTAGAAAGGTTGAAAAAGAGAAACTCAATTAAATGACTACCTTCGGTTTCCTCGATCTTGAGCTGGAGCATCTTATTCTCCCTGTCGATCTCTTCGTAGCTGTCATTTGCGTTAAAGAGCGCCTGCTCAAGCTCTCGAATTCTACTCTTGGCGTCCTCCAACTCGCGCTGCGATATGCCCGTGCTCTCATTCGCCAATCTATCGAGCTCTTGGTTGAAACGCTGCTGTCGCTCCTCGGTCATCTTCATGTGTGCGACGTTCATCTTGGCTTTCTCTTGCTCCAGCTGTTGTATTCTGCCGTTCAGAGCTTCGATATTCGCCTTTTCGTCTTCGAGCTCGTCTTTTTTCTCGCGAACTTGCGACTATAAAGAATCATTATCTCATTGAAAGGTCAAAAAGTAGGAAGATAAGTGAAAGCTGATAAAGAGCATAAAATAAATGGCATCACCTTACGATGAACTCTTTGCAATTCGAGTATTTTTTCTTAAATTTTTAATTTGGAGAAATTATAGCCTAAGTGTACCTTGTAAAGAGTAGCAAAGTACTGCTGCGTCTCATGCTGATCATGAAGCTCGCCGAGTTGTTTCTCCAGCGTCTCGGACTTCTTCTTTTCCCGCTCGAGCAACTCGGTCAAACTGCCGATCTCCGCTTCAAATTGATCTTAATGGAATTTAAAATTACTGGAGAGATAGAACGGATGAACCTGATTTCTGCCGGCTTTCGGTTCTTATCCTGTTCTCATGGTCGCGGCGAGCTTGCTCAAGTTGAATCTTGAGTTCGTGATTTTCGCGGGAGATCGCCTCTGCTCGCGCTTTTTGCTCGTTTTGGCGATTTGCGAAGTCGGCATTGTCTCTTTCCAGGAGAACGATACGGTCCTGAAATTGATTAAAACAAATGTACGGGCAAATACGGCACCTCTTTCTGGCGATTCTCAAATTCAGACTTAGCGCACTTGTCCTCGAGGTCCCTCATCGCTTCGCGCATCTTTTGGGCGTCTTCCTCAAGGGCCATTCGCGTTCTGGAAGCTTCAGTTCTCGCGGCTTTCATGTTCGAGTCGCGCATTTGTGCAAGGTCGCCATTAAGCTCTTCGATTTTACGTTTTCGGAGCTGTGACTCTTGCTCGAGAGCCTAAAGTAGCAAAGTTTTAACCTACAAAGATATCATCCCTTTGATTACCTGTTTGCGCCTCGTGACCATGTCTAGCTCGGATCGGAGTCGCTTGGCATCACGCTCGCTGCTCTCCTAAAATCATGGTTTTAAAAAAGAATCAAAAGAAACCACTCCTCACCTTGACTTCGGTCAAGGAGAACTTGGCCTGCTTGAGCTCGGATTCAAGAGTGACAATCTTCATTTGTTCCCTGCTCTGGCTGCTAGACATCCTGTCTCGCTCATTTTTCAACTCCTCTCTGAGCTTCGCATTTTCCATCTTCGCCGAGTTGTGTTTTGCGGTAAGATCTCGAACCTAAATTATATTGAGGAAATGTATATTTGGTGGACTTTTCACCTGATTATCAAGCTCCGTGTATGCGTACTTCTGCTGTTGAACTTCTCGTCTTTGAGCTGATTGCGAGTCAAGTGTCGATTGGAGTTTATCTTTTTCATCCTGTAACTCGCGCGTCAGCATTTTAATCTTCTCTTGATCGCGACGGTGGAACTGACTTTGCTCAGCAAGCTGAAATTATTTTTAATTTCGAACATGACATTTCGAATGAACCTTTGATTTCAGCGATGAAATATCCGCTTCAAGAGTGAATACTTTTTGAAGATTTTCTTCTTGGCTTCGTGAAGACTCCTTCGTGAATGATTCCAGCTTACGGATTTCTTGCTCCAGCTCGCGAACTCTTCCATCAGCATCGGCTCTACTTCTTTCAAGTTGATCTACGGCCGGTTAGACGGATGAATGAGGTTTTGTTATTACCTATTTTAGTATTTTTGTTTCGAAGCTCTTTTTCTTTGTCTCTGAGTTGATTTTCTAGCTCTCTAGAACGGCCATCAGTAAGAGCACTTGTACTGGCTCGAGAAGGCAATGACTGTTGATGATTTAGCGGAGGTTTAGATGAACTAGAGCTGAAGATAAAAAGTTAATCGATGCGTTGATTTGAGGCTGCATTCACTTACGATGAGGTATTTCTGTTAGCACCGGGCTGGATCCACTTCGGATCGTCGGAATATGAAAAACCAACAAAGTTCAAGTGGTTCCCGAGGTATGTCTTCGGGACAGCGAATGCCTCCGTACTCGACTCGCGTTCTTCAATCTCGTCAAAGTGCTTCGTATCAATTTCAGAGGTGATTTCGACGGCATAGGGCGGCACGGACTCGCGAATATTATCCCAGGTCCACTCGTCATTGATAAAAAAGGGGTGTTTCTTGATGGGTTCGATTCCTCGAGCTCCAAGACGTTGATCTTGATAGGTGAGGAATTTACGGATCAGATCTTGCGCCACTTTTTGGAAATTATTCTGTGGCACGTCGTCAGGAAATTTAAGCGAATTCTGGTGGTCGAGAATTTTTCCGTAGGTTCCGACAAGGCCGTCGGAGTAGAACGGTGGGTCGCCGTAGAGCATTTCGTAGATGACGACCCCGAGGGACCAGAAGTCGACTTCACGACCGTATACAGCCATTTTACCTGAAAATTTCATACATTTCGATAATTTCAGAACAGAAAATTAATGAATTCATTTTAAGATATTTGGACGCTGATCAAGTCTGAGTAGATTGAACGGCGTAAATTCCCGTAAAGACAGCGTTCAATATGCCAAGGTGATAAATCACCCTCGTAAGTATGAGCGCGAATACAAAGAAATTGATAAATGCCAAGCGTCAAGGCTGCTTTTTATAATTTTACCTTGTGACTGGAGGACTTCTGGCGAGATGTAATCGGGCGTCCCCACCGCGTTGTCATTCCTGACCTTTTTCTTCGCGTCCATTTTCATACACGTGCCAAAATCAGCGATTTTTAGATGCCCGCCCGCGTCGAGAAGCATGTTTTCTGGCTTGATATCTCGATGAATGTAGCCCATTTCGTGGATAGCGTTGATTGCTAGAACCGCTTCGGCCGTGTAGAAGATCGCCCATTTGTCCGGAAACTCGTAATTGCCAAGGACATTGACGAGGTCGCCGCCGGGCATGAACTCCATCACGATATACAGATGCTTCTTGTCTTGAAAGGCCTCGTACATTTTTACAACCCAGGGGGAGGTCGTTGTCGCCATGATATCGCGCTCCTCCCAGAAGAAAGCCGTGTCCGACCTCTTGGTCACCTCCGTCTTCGACAAAATCTTCATCGCGCAGACTAAAGAGGCGATTACTCGGCCGCTTTGCAACTAATTACCTTTCTTTGTTGTCTTGTGCCGACAGAGCTGCACCTCGCCGAAAGCTCCGCGCCCGATGATTTTGATTTTTTGATAGTCGCTGGTTTATTTTTAATTTTGAATGGGGAAAGATTCGTCTTTACCTGATTCGAGGGCGTGCATTTTGAACTTTATTGATAAATGGCTCTAGTCTTTCTATGAACTTTTTGATATTGGTATTTGCCTTTTCTTGGGTTCATAATACGCCAAAGAATCTATAAAAGCGGCAAATTTGAACCCTCTCCTTGATCGCCGGCGAGTTACAGTCATTATACAGTGCGACGATGCAATCCAACAGTACGTCGACATTGAACTTTCCTCTCTTGTCATACAGTAGCTCGTGGAGCACCTTTTCTTTTGGCTCCGTATTCATTTTTTTCTATTTTCCGATTTTCGATTGTATCTCTCTCATCCGAACACACTTCGCCACAGTCTCTGAAAAATATAATCTTGCATTTATGAAAAAACGGTGTTTTTAACGCTTGACGCCGCCGGGATCGCTCAATAACATAACCATTGGTCGACATTTGAAGGAAAAATGAGATTTACAGCTGCCAAGAGCAGCGAGAAAAAAAAGCTCTTTTGAACAATGGAGGCCCACTCCCGCCTCATGCTCTTTGCTCAGTAGCATGCGCAGCATAATCTCAGCATAATTAACTCATTTTTTGACAAAAAAATGTCAAGCTCACTTTTTTACGTTTTACGGATGCGTAGGTTTCGTTAATTTCCCCAAGCTCAAACTCTCAAAAACGCTGAAGTCTCTGTAGCGCTCAGAATTGGAGAAAGCGAGAGAGGAGAGCGTAAATCATGACTTGTATAAAAGCAAACATGCGTTGAAAATATTCTCATTGAGGCGCAAGCAAATATTAAAAGAAAAATGTGAAAAAAATCGATCGAAAAATGAAGGAAAATGGGGCGATTTTGAACTTGAACGGATTTGCCGGTGAAAATCCCGGATCAGATAAAGAAAAGAAAACATAATGGTCCGGCTTCACTTCTTCGTTGATTTTTTCTCCTTCACTCGAGTTAAAAATCGTTGAAAACAAAAAGCGGTGCCAATCATTTTGGTGATTAGATGGCGGTACTCATCGTTGATTTCATGAATCGTCTGTTTTTTGAAAAAAAAAAGCTTTATTGTTAGATTTTTATTGCACATAGGTTTTTGCGAATAATTGAACTATAAATTGAAAATAAGCAAAAGATAAAAAAAAAGAAGAAGAAGTAAGTGAAATTTTGGGAATTGCACGGATATGATGAAAGATGCGACAGTTACAGTTATAATAACAAGTAATGATGGTTTTGCTTGAAAGGAAGTGTACGTGAAGGTGGGTATACGAAACGAGTAAGCAAGAAATTGGAGAAACGAGAAGGATTTTGGTGAGAAGCTTCAAGTGCAAGGGGATTTGTGGCAATATTAGAGCTGGCTAATACCGTTATGTTTAGAAATGTTTCAATTTGTGATTCTTTTTTAATTTAATAAGGCAAGATGCTGTACTGAAAAGGCGCTGGAGGAAGTTAAATCTCGTTGAGCGCTTGGAGTGTCTGGTCCAGTTCCTGCTGGACGGCGTCTTTTTTCTTTTGCAGATTGTCGAGTTCGACTTCGTAACTCTCGACAGCCTTGACGAGCTGGTGATTTTCTTTGACAAGAATGTCGTTCGTCCGCTCCAGCTCCATGTTTGCCTGGCTCAAATGGCCGATGCGATTTTCGAGCTATAAAGAACAAGGTCACATTTTTAAATACGTAGCGCTAAAACGCGAAAATTCGTGATGTCAGAGCTTGAACGCTCGGCGGGTACACTGTTTGCATGCCGCCACTTTGCAAGCGTGTGTTTAACTTTCAACTCTGTCTGATGAGAGGAGAAGCCACTCATGATTTTGGCACGGCTCCATTTTCATAACGCAAATAGTAACAAATTTGGACAAATCAAAAAGGCCAAGCATAATTCAAGATTGAGATATTAATAAATAATTACATGAGTTTCTCGAGCAGCAAATTGCTCATCAGAGGCCTCAAACGACTTCCGTTCATTTGATAATTGGCGGACTTCTTCCTTCAGTCGAGCGTTTTCGATCGATAATTTATCCACGCGATCTTCACTCCTCTCGAGCTCGCTTTCGAGAACGTTGAGTTTTCTTGCGCATTCTAGTAGCGACTGTTAATGACATAAAACGAGGACGAGCATACCTTCATATCTTCGATCGCTGTCGTTAGCGCTCATTTGCGCCGTCTTGAGTGCATGTTCTTGTTGGTCGAGCTTGTCGTAATTTGTCTGTTCCGCGTTTTCCAACGATCGAAGAGCAACATCAGCCTCGTCTCGTGCTCTTTCCGAAAGCTCGAGTTTTTTCATCGTCTGCGCGAGCGTGTCCTCTGTTCTGTCTAGATCCGATTCTAGCAATTGACACTAAGGAAAAGAGGGTTAACTGGTTGATAGCAAGGAAGAGAACTGACTTTTCTGACGAGAGAAGTGGCTTCTTGTTCGTAGTGTTCTCGCTCGTTCTTTTGTCTTTTTAGCTCGTCCCGTAAATGCTGAATTTCTGAAAATCACAGTAATTTTTTCTTGTCAAATATTATTTTTTACCTTCATCTTTACGTTCGATTTCGTCCTTTAGCGCATTTATCTTTCTCTTTATCGTCTCCATCTTTCTAAAAAATCAAAATAAAACCTCGACCTTCTTGGCGAAAAAAGTATCAACCTCCGGTGTCCACTTCTTTGACACTTGTTTTCGGAATCTACGGTAAGTGCTCCCCGGTGGTGCTACTCGTCGACCTGGCGAATAATGAAATGAAGAAGCCGGTGGCAATTAGGGTTGAAATTGGGGAGGAAATTTGACAGAAAATGCCTCGGGGCTACAATTCTATCGACTGGTGAGTCAATTCTAACGATCGTTGATGATAAAATTGCTGATTTCAAAGCCACTTTTAAAGCTGACTCTTCAACTCTTTTAGAATTTATTTTTTTATTGAAAAAAGAATAACAGAATGGAAAATTAATGTTTTATTGATTTTCCTATTAAAATATGCGTGGTAGTTATTTTTAGTTTGAATGACTTTGATTTCTTGAAATTATTAGTGAATTAATGAAATTTGAAAAGCTATGATTTTTTAGTAAAATAGTAATAAGTGGATAGTAAAATAACACGAATCGTACAAGACATGAAACGGCAACGCATCAGAACTACGGTATCAGGAAAGGAAGCATCTGGTTCAGAGTTCAAGTGTTGAATAAAAAAGGATCAACGAACTTTCTCTTTATTTTTTTTTTCTTCTTCCTCCTTTTGCCATCTGCAGTAGATTTTTGTTTGAGTAAGGATTGAACTTGGAGAGCGGGGAACGGTCCCGGCTGCTACTTGAGAAGGCAAGCTTCAACTTACAGTAAGTTAACTTTGGGATTGTTTCAGTTTTATGCCTTGCAGCGATCACGAACACGACCCGGAACGGTGTTGAGAGAATAGCCGAGGGCGGAAGATCAGTTCAGGTTCGACTGTCGTTGTTTGCTCGCGCCTGTCGCTGACCACGATAGCCTGAATTTTTCATCAGATCAAGAAATACTAGGAACAGTCTTGATAAGTCGGCTACCATGAAATTTTATAGTTTTCGAAGTTTATTGGTATTTCATATAATTGCAAGAAATGTAAAATTGAACATCTCCTAACAATCCTATTCAAGGCTTTAAATTTGGATTCATTTTCATCAAAATTTTTGAAAAATAAAATTCTCATTCATATTTAGTTTTTGTTGTGAGTTCGCTCAACTTCCGGCCTTTTTATTCGGTTACTTGGTCAGAAGAGGGCGCCGTAGTCAATAAAATTCCATGCGGGATATCAATCTGACTAAGAAACTCGCATCTATGGCGATTTCGAGTTGGCTTCCAGAAATTAGACTAACAAGATAGACTGATAGAAATCAGCACTGTAACTTACCAGAAGCTCTGTTTCCTCGTCCTCGATTGCCGCCTCCCGGTCTTCTGTTGTGTCCCTCATTGTAATGTCCTTCTCCGTTTCTTCCCTCATCATTTCTCGGTTTCTGGTTTCGATTGCCTCGATGCCCGCGGTATCCTCTTCCACCACCGCGGCCTCCTCTTCTTGGCGGAGGAGCATCGCTGTGTTCTTGAATCTGCTCTTGATTTTCTCTTGCTCGATTTTGAGGCTTTTGAGAAGGACTGGAAGAGCCGCCATCTTCTCCGAGAATTCGACGTCGCGCTTCTGCGTATGCTCTTTCTCGCTCTTCTAGCGTCCTGAAAAGATCATTTTGGAAGAGGAAAAGGGGACTTGGTCTTACTTGTCGACGGGTTTTTCAGCCTGAACTTGTTTCGCGCCAGTGGAAGGAGCATTGTCTCGCTTCATGATTCTCACTGTCGGTTGAGCTTCGATCGGTCCATTCATTGTTCGGGCGGTACTGACAGTTGTATCGTTCCATTGCGAATGCTAGGGAAAAGGTTTATCAGATGGAAAAACAAGATATTTAAAGCGTAAAAGACACAATAGAGAAAATAGAACTGATCAAAAAATAATGTCTAACAGACAATTTCAACAGAAATGAGTATTTTCCGATAAAAAAATAACTTACAGCTCTGTGGGAGTTAATTTTAACCCTTGAAATTTTCTCCTCTAGTTCTTCGACATGAACATCCTGGTCATTCCACGGATCTGCAATTAGCGACATCGATTTCTAGAATTGTTGATCGTTAATTTTTCATTTTTTCTGCATAAATTTCTCGATTTCAGTTTAAAAGGAACGAGCTCTGGAAATTTGAAAAACCCGGAAAGTCGGATTTTTCGAATTTTTGGAAAAGAGCGAAAAAATTGATTGGGCTCTGGCCGCGCTCGCCCACGCCCAGTTCGGAGCTGTTTGAAGAAGCGCGCGGAAGCGAGGCTCAAGAAACGATCAGACGATTTTGAATGGAAGGCGAATCCTAAGAGACATGATTCAGAAAGAAAATGCTGAAAGCGAAAAAGACGGGGAGGTTCTGAGGATTACGAAGAGAGAACTGATTCAAGGATTTATATCAGGTATCAACTTTTTTGTGCTCATCTTTAAGTTCTAGAGAAGAAGGCCAAGAACGCATAAATTTCAATTTTCTATTATTATTCAGTAGGAACTTCATAGATGCAGAAATGTAGCTTAGAAATCCATTGTAGAATCATTTTGTATATTATTTGACTTTAATCCCTTTGAAACTACTTACGAAGACTCCGTTTCATTTTTAAAGTGGAGCTCACATCGCTTCAAAATGAATTTATTTTCAACCAAAGCCAAAAGAGGGCGCTAAGAAACGAGTGATTTCAGCGACGATAATGTCATTCAGTTTTTCGATATCCCGCAGTGCCACTGTGTCTTTCTAAAAATTTTACTAATCCTATCTTTTTCAGAAATCTCCGTCTCCCAGAACCGCTGCCTGCGCCTTCTCTCCCTCCCCAACTGCGATTTGGAGCACTTCGACGTGATTCTCCGCCAATGCCCGTCTTTGGAATGGCTCGATCTTTCTCAAAATCTGATCGACTATCTTCCCTCCGGAAACGCCTTTGCCCGCGCCAAGAACTTGAAACTGCTCAATCTGCACAACAACGGAATTCATACGGTCAAATGCCTCCTCGGATTATCTTTTTGTCAGGGACTCATTGGACTCACGCTCTACAATACCCCGATTGCTTCGCGAAAAGGATATAGGCACCGGCTTAAAATACATCGTTTCCTTTATTTTCTTTGAGAAAAATTTTCCAAGAGCGAGTTTTGTCAATTTTCATTTATTTTCAAAGCCTCAAAAAGACATCACATGCTGAACACAGTTTACTCTCTGAAAGCCCTGGACCATTTCATCGCTTCGGATCAAGAATTAATCGAAGACGCCAACTTCAAAAACGCCGATTTCCGCCCTTTCGGCAAAAATTTCCGCATCAACCTACTGCCCGCTCTTTTTTCGCCCTCTTCACTTGCCAAGATCATCCACCAAATAACGCATGTTATGTGCCACTTTTCGCCAGTGACGCTGATCCAGCGAGTCGTGAGAGGACATCTTGTTCGTCGACGAATCAGCAGAAACGGCGGCAAGCCATTTCGTCCAGCTTCGGTGAAACCGAGAGGGCGAGATCTTCTCCCAGAAGAGTGGAAGTTCGAAAAAGGATCGGTGGAGATCAACGAACGAAAACTACGGGAAATACTCAAGGACGAAAACGAGAAAAACGCGAAAGACTTCTGGCGAGAACTCTCCTTTCCCGATTTGAGCAAAAACAGCGTAGAAGATGGCCTGTACGGAAAATCGACGAAAATCGCAGATGCAGAACGAGCACTTCCATTTGAAGCGCTTCGGCGAAAACAAGCACATGAAATTGAAAAAAGAAATCTGGAAATTTACAGAGACGCGCTGGCGGAAAACACGCTAGAAGAAAAAACGGAAAAATTGCGAGCCTGGAAAGCGGAGAAAAATGCAAAAAAGAATGCGCGAAATGCGACAAACGATATTCTGAGGCGAGTTTCGAGGAGTATCGATGCTGCGAAAGCGATTGAGTCGGCGTATTTGATTAGAGACAAGAAGACGAGGCATGTGAAGACAGTCGAGCGCAAGAATAAATTGAAACAAGAAGAGGCTAAGATTCAAGAAAATATTGAACATTTCAAGGTACTTTATTTTTTTATATGGCATTCGTTTGTAGACATAATAAAAAACAATACAAACATTATTCCTTTGCCAATAGAGACTTCAGATGCTCAGTCTGACTAACTGATGATGTATCATTTTGAGTTTTTTTTTATTTAAGTTATATATAGAAAACAATATGAAAATATCTATTTAGGAAACGTACCGAATAAATGCAGTATCAGCACGAAAAGCAGAACGCCAGGAAATCAACGAGTTCCTTGCGGCCCAATCTCAACAAATTTACGATAAAAAGAAGAAACTAATCAGCGACTTCCGCGAAGAGAAATCGTCAAAAGACAAGGATCTGAAATGGAAGCGCGAGAACCAGCGAAAATTCTCAGAATATTATGTCAAGCTTGAAAAAGAAATCATCAAATATAACGTGCGAATCAACAGAGAACAGTACATTTCCAAGTGCAGAGAGACCTCCGAGCGAGTTAGAGACGACCTCGAAGCTGGAAAGGATAGAAAGTTCAATCTTCTGGCGCAGGATATGCAATACTATCATAGATATAATAACAGATATCGTTCAAGGCTGCAGAATTCTCGAAAGTAAGCTTACTCGAAAAATATTGGTCCCGATTTTAAGGGTAATCCTATACATCGGCGCGGCGCTGCTCGCTCGATCCGCGCTACGCCAGAACCTATTTTTCACTAGCCCATAAAATCCGAACGGAGTGAGAGTTTTTCAAAATTCAAAAAGATTTAAGATGCTTAAACTCTCTACTATTTCTCTAGCAAAAATGAAAAAAATCGGCAACAAGGAACCATTTGAAAACCGCCGGTTTCCTTCGAAAGACATTTCCCGCCACATTTCTCATTCAAATTTCACAAAAATCAGATGGTCTTGTAGAGAATCGTCTGCTCTACAATTCCTGTTTCTTAGATTTTGATTATGTGCTCTCAATAATTCTCTTTGATAGTTTGAAGAGAGTGCTTTTCTTTTCTGCGCGAGCGCGCTGTGAGAAATAGGAAGCAAAGAGGCGCGAGGAAGAATAGCGCTCTTTTCAAATGACCATGTAAAATTATTGAGAGCATAAAATAAAAATCTAAGAAACAGGAATTGTAGAGCAGACGATTCTCTACAAGACCATCTGATTTTTGTGAAATTTGAATGAGAAATGTGGCGGGAAATGTCTTTCGAAGGAAACCGGCGGTTTTCAAATGGTTCCTTGTTGCCGATGTTTTTCATTTTTGCTAGAGAAATAGTAGAGAGTTTAAGCATCTTAAATCTTTTTGAATTTTGAAAAACTCTCACTCCGTTCGGATTTTATGGGCTAGTGAAAAATAGGTTCTGGCGTAGCGCGGATCGAGCGAGCAGCGCCGCGCCGATGTATAGGATTACCCTTAACGGAGAATTAAAGGATGTCAGCATTTTAACTGATTTTGACGGCATGTTGCCTTAAAAATCCGTTAAAATAGGGGCCCCTTGATGAATATTTAATCCGTTAAGATGCGGATATCCTCCGGAACTTTGCCCGTTAAAATGGGGACCACCTATTTGATTTGAACGGCGAACTCAACAATTTTCTTTGTAGCAAAGTGCGCGAGAAAATCGAAAAACGGACGCTGGAAGCTCATGACTACGTCAACACAAAAACTACCAGAGAACCTTTTCAACTTCCCTACGTCGAACCAGCTTGAAAACTTTCTTCTTTCTTTCCATTATTTATATTCTATCATTTATACAAAATATACTTTATTTTCATACAACCCGCCGCGTGAGTGTGTACGTCTCTCTTTTCGTACAGTAAAAATAAGCTTGTAAATCGATGCGAGGATGTATTTTTGGTCAATCTAAAAGGAAAAAGTATTGATCTACTTTTAATTGTTTTTTCTCTTCTCTGAGCGTCGCCGTACTTTCCTGATTATCTTTAGAAAGTAAATAAAATGGAAGTTACGTCATATCACTTATTCTGTTTGTGACGACTGTCTATTGAAGATCTACAAAGAGAGAAAGGGAGAGAGGATCGGAAAATGAAGGAAATAAAGGTTTTTGCTGGCTCCTCTCATCCAGGCGCGAGCTCGAAATTTGATAAAAAGAGGTTAGGAAGGAATGTTATAGAGCTCTTGCAGCGCTCGTCGGTCGAATATGCGAGCGACTTGGAATCAATCCGGCAAAAGCCAAAACTACAAAGTTTAAGAATAAAGAAACAAACGTCGAAATCCAGGTTTACTTTATTCTTGAGCATCGACAAGAACATGTTCTTTTTGCAGGAGTCAGTGCGCGGCTGCGATTGCTACATCGTCCAAACTTCCAACGAAAAAGTCAACGATTTAGTGATGGAGACGTTAATCATGACGAGTGCTTGTGTGACAGCTTCGGCAAATCGGGTTTTTGTTGTTCTTCCGTGTTTTCCGTATTCGAGGCTGGATCAGCGCGGCGCAGAAAGAAAAGCAATCGGTAAATTCATGAATAGAGGATTATTCTGCTTTTACTTTCCAAAGGAGGAAAGCTTATCGCGAATTTATTAACGACGGCTGGTGCAACTGCTATTATAACGATGGATTTGCATTCTGAGCAAACGGAAGGATTCTTCGATATCCCCGTGGATAATCTTCTTGCCCGGCCTCTGATTGTACAGGTAGCCGAAATCCGATTAACCACTCTCTCACATTTTGCAGTGGCTCAAGCAGCACTACAAAAATCCCGAATCGTGCGTGATCGTCTCTCCCGACGCTGGGGGAGTGAAACGGGTTACTGCGATTGCCGATCGCTTCAAAACAGGATTCGCGATTTTCCATCGGGACCAAAGAAAAGAAGCCACTTCTACACGACACGCTGTTATCGGCGACGTGAAAGGAAAAGCCTGCATAATTGTGGACGATTTGGCCGACACTTGTGAGACGCTTCTGACTGCCGCTCGGGCGCTGAAAAACTGCGAGGCAGCTTCTGTAATCGCCATCGTCACTCATGGACTGTTCTCTTTTGACTCCATCGAGAGGATCGAGAAAAGCGCGATTGATAAACTCATTGTGACGAACACCCTACCTCAAGCAGAAAACCTTACAAAAGTATAGGAAAATCAACTCGTTTCCATAGGATAAAACTGCATTTTCAGTCCTCCAAACTCGAAATAATCGATATTTCTCAACTTCTGACCGAAGCCATTCGTCGAACTCACAACAGCGAATCTGTACGAGCATTGTTTGATACCGTTCCCGGAATCTGGAACTAGAAGAATCTCAAATTGTTTCTCATCTCCTTATTACCTCATTTTATTTATTGCTTCATTTGATTTTGAACTTTTTCATTTTTCCAATCTTTCAATAAAATTTGCAAAAAACTAGAATGGATGATTTTATCGAGGACTCGTATTTGGACTCAGCAGTAGGAGTTGACCCGGGCATCAGCGCTAGAATTGACGTAACTAATCCGAACTCGGCTTTCTTTTCGATAAACTCTGACGGCTCTGATGAGGAAAATGACGACTGGATCGACGTCAAAAAGACAGAAATTCCAGTCGAAGAGAATTTCATGGCAGAGCTCAGGGCAACGATAAATGAGACTGATTGCGACCCGGGAATGATTCGCAAGATTCTCGCTGGTCGACCTCTGACGCCAGATGAAGAGGATACCGCAGAGCTTCGACAAAAGATTTGGCCAGCTTTGTTAGGCGTTGCGAAGCGGGAAGCGAAAGAGTTTTCCTGTGAGCCATCCGAGGAAATCAAAAAGTTTTTTGAAGAAAATGGTCTCCCCGTCGGGTCCATTCAGTTGGCGACGTTTTTTGCTCAATCGAAAGGACTCGAGCCTGGCAACTGGATTTATCTAGTCACTCCCTTGTTACAGTTAGAAATGACGACAAGTCAGCAGTACACACTTCTTCATCCGATCGCCACAAAACTGACACCATTGAATGACAAGTCTCTTCACTTTGCTTCAGAGGTTTTTCAGTCATAAATCTCCTTCCTAAACAAATTTAGTCCATTCTTCTTTTGCTTCAATATCATGAACCAGAACTGAGCCAGAAACTATCAGACTTACGCGTTCCATTCAACGAGGCTTTCTCGCCATTTCTATCATCCCTCTTCGCCGTCGCCAAATCTCAGGCCATCATGAGCCTTTGGGACGGGATTCTCCAGTGCAATGATCCGATTCTACCTATTTTCCTGATCGTCGTTTTACTTATCAACTCTGCGGAGCAGTTGACGGAAGCAAAATGCACTGAAGATGTTGTTAGGTGATTTTTGAAAATTTAAAAGAAGATTGCTAAAGCTGAATTTCAGTCAACTAACAAATTGCCTCCAACAAATGGAACCCGATGACATTCCTGATTTCATCGAACTAGCTATCAACTACCGCGACCTTTCTCCCCGAAGCCACCTCGAAATGAGAATAATGCCCCTTTTCACCGCCAGGCCGACTTCTGATTGTCATGAGTCGATCCTCTGCGCTGAAATTACCGCTTCCGAGGCCCTCCTCAGCATCGCCGGGGATCCCTCTTGCTTGCCATTTGTTCTTTTTGATGTCAGAAGCCCGGATGCTTTCAATCAATGTCATTTGCACTCGACTATGCATCTGGAAGAATCAGAAGACGGAGAAAAGCTACTAGCGCAATTGGAACACCACATTGAGTCGCTGCAAATGCCACCAGAAGAAACGCATGTTTGTCTAATTGGAGAGTCGAAGAATGATCCTACAGTGATTTCTTTCGTTTCCCAGTTGTTGAAGCAAAGAAGAAAGTATCTTTCGATCATAAACGGAGGCTTTGAGGTAATTTTTGGCAGTATTTTTAGAGATTTGCATCAACAGGTGCATAAAGTACGTGACGCGATTTTTGGAGGGCGCTTATCTACTTGTTGATTGTGTGCAGATTGCCTACATAACCATATTTAAAGAAATTTGTGGGCTTTGACGGATCAGTCCTTGATTAAAATGAAGCAAAAACCATAAATCTAGTATATTTATCCTTGTTTGCGGTTTAGGTAAAAAATATATTTGTTCTGTAAGAGCACACTTGTGCTAGTAAAGTTTGAACAGGAGATTCCTCAAGATATTTCTGACCTCCATGTGTGTATATTTAATTGATATTCAGAATAAAATGATCATTCGGAAAAAATACAAATGTAAAATATTTTACTGATATATGATATATCATATATCACTTTGCGGTAAATATTCAAAAATATTAAGGCTCTTCAAATGCACATCAACTCTTCCGAATCGCAGCTCGATCCCTATCAGTGGCTGATCGAAGAAAAAGCACCCGAGCCTCCAAAACCCACTTCTAAGTTTTTCTCGTCCATTTCAAAGTTCACCAACCAAGTTTCTTCAAATATCAAAAGTTCGGATTTCGGAGCCAAGCTCAAAGCTGGCTTTGAGAAAACTATCAGTGAAGCAGAAACGTCGCTGGGTCTCGGAAAGAAGAATTTGAATCAACCTTACAGAAAGGATCCCCCTATGTTTAGTATCGACGATGAAAGTGATGGTCGATTGAATTTTATGATTCCACTAGTAGATCAGTCTTTTAGGCTCTGACAATGACGAGGAACAGCTGAACATGGAGGCATTTCTCCACCGAAAAGATATCAAAGGCAACTGGTCTGCAACTGGCCCAAACAACAAGAAATTCGTCCTTGCGCTTTCTTCCTCTCAGTTGATCATTTGTGCGCCTTGTTCGGACCAAAAGTGGGCGAAAATCAAAGCAAGAAGGTTACTCATATCCCCAAAACTGATTGCTTACCAATTCCTAGACCGCTGTCAACGATCACAAGAATAACATCGAAGAAAAAATGCCCAGAAATTATCACTTTCCGATACACAGATGATACAAAAGACACATTCCATTTAGAAGAAGCTGGAGATGCCACGAGGTAGATTCTGTGAATCAGCCGTGAATGACAGCCTTTTTAGGGAGATAAAGCGACAAGTCGTAGCAGTTTTGGACGCTTTAGGCCAAACAGGGGACGCAAAATGAAAGCCTTTCTCCAGATAATGATTGATAAACTCAAAGTAGATGCTTGATAATCGACACATTTGCAAATACTCTCAACTTTCTTCTATCTTGACAAATGATGGTGGTGGCGCTCGTAAAACATGCCTGAAAACATAAAATATTCGTATTCTGCTCTTCTTCTCAGCGACTTTTGCATATATTATTCATATTCATAAAAAACAAGAGTTCAATAAAAATATATAGCACTTCTGATTTCTTTCTTTTGATTGATCTGAATTTTCAAAGATTGTCCAAAAAAAGTATGGGAGGCGGAAAGCGCGCGTACGGAAAGCCAGGCGGAAATTTGGGAAATTCTCTGAAAAATGCAAGAGACAAAAAAGCAGCTGGGGCGCGAAGAATCCAAGTTGGCAACGAAACTCACATCCACACATCCGAAATTCACAAGAAAGAAGCTCACTATGTCGATTTAAAACAATCGTCAACTGAGCCAGATTACATTTCCGACTTCCTGGCTACAGTTCAAATGAAACAGCAAGAATTCGAAGTCGAAGAGATCCCAAACAGCTACAGATTGCTTCAGCCAGATCGAAAGGACTTCGCGAACATTATCGAGCACATGAGCGAGCTCCCACAGGACATTTTGATCCCAAGGCGGCCAGTTTGGACGGAAGAGACGACAAAAGAGGAGCTTGATCGGGCGGAAAAAGATGCATTTTTAACTTGGAGGCGAGAGCTTGCAGAGGTCGAGGAAACGAGCGGAAACGTTTTCACACCCTTTGAGAAAAATATCGAGTTTTGGAGACAATTATGGCGAGTCATCGAGCGATCCGGTAAGTTTTCACCTAGAAGGTTCAAAAATGCTTACGTATGTGTATTGAGATTAGTAATTACTGTTTTATAGATCTTGTTGTACAACTTGTTGACGCCAGGCGACCACTGCTTTATCACTGCGCTGACGTAGACACTTATGTTGACGAGGTAAATACATGGATAAACAATAGTTGTGATGGCATTTGACAATCTGTAGGTCAGCGAGCGTCAAAGCGCACAGAAAGAGACCCTTCTTCTGATCAATAAAGCCGACCTCATCTCGGAATATCAACGAAAGGCTTGGGCAGAGTATTTTGAGCAAGAGGGCATCAAGTTCATCTTCTTTTCCGCTGTTGAAGAGCAGGAGAAATTTGAAGATGACGCGGAGGCTCCCAAAGAGGAGGAAGAAGATCAAGAGGAAACTCCTGAAAAAGAGGTTTGCATTATGATATTGAAATAGATTTTAAATTTTGGATTTAGATAGTCTTACCAGAGAATAACTGGGAAATCTACGACAAAGACCAATTCAAACTGCTCGTACGAACTCTCCGTGAAGGAAAAATGCGAAGGAATGACGAACACATCACTGTCGGAATGATTGGCTATCCAAACGTCGGAAAGTCATCTTGTATAAACGTCATGCTGCAGGACAAGAAAGTGTCAGTATCTGCTACACCCGGAAAGACGAAGCATTTTCAAACGCTGAAATGGGGCGAGGATATCGTTTTATGCGATTGCCCCGGGTTGGTCTTTCCGTCGCAGGTTTCAACGAAAGAAGAACTCGTTCTTGCTGGAATTCTACCGTTGAATCATATCAGAGATCACATAACTCCAGTCGCGCTGATGTGCCAGCTCATTTCAAAGAAGAAGCTCGAAGTCGGATATGGAATCCACATCATGCTCGTCGAAGACCTAATGGATACGAATCCCGACAGAGCACCAACAGCTGGTGAATTCCTTGATCCAATGGCGGCCGCACGCGGTTTCAGAACCAGTCGGGGTCAGCCAGACAGATCTCGTGCTGCGCGTCTCGCGATTAAAGACTTTATCAGTGGAAAACTGTTGTATGTGCATGAACCTCCAGGATTTGAGAATAAAGAAGGTCTGAAAATACACCTTGAAATTGTATTTACGGTGCTTTAGAATTCCAAAATGAAACCCTTGAGACAGAAAAAGACTTGGCAAAGTTAGAAAGAAGAATGAAAATTGTAGAGACAAAGATGCTCCAGAGGTAAGCAAGAAGTGAAATGAATTGAAAGATAACGCGATTTCAGTTGGAAATTGGACAAAATCGATCGTGCGTTCTTCGGGCAAAGTGACGTGAAAGCTTTTGAAAAGAAAAGAACAGGGGTTGACGGAAAGTATTCAGGTAAGCGCCGATCAGGCGACTTAGGCTCACTTTTAACGGCGAATGTAGCTAGTCGGACAGATGGAAAGCAAAGGTTACAGGACTTGAAGCCAAAGAAGAAAGACAAACAGCGACGCGTGCGAGAGAAAGCGCTCAAAGAACAGAACAAAGGACTTCCCGACTGGTTATAACTTTTTCCAAGAAAGTTTGGCTATTTATTCATTCTCGTTTCTGATTCAAGGAGACTTGAAAATTTCGGATGATGCTTTCTGTCTCTTTCTTCGAGAAGTAGTGTTTATTGAAGGTGTTTTAGAATGGTGAATGTTGAGAACGGAAAGTTGGTGACGGTAGATCCAGCTCTGAAGCAGTTTTTATTGAATCTGGACGAGAAAAGAGAGTTTCAGGGAAGAAGGTTTATTCTCAAAGGTAGCTAAAAAATAATGGATTGCACCAAAAACAAAACTAGTTGTGTCATTTCAAAAATATTTCTTAGTGGTTTTCAAAAAGTCCTCTTTTATGTCAATATTACCAGGTGCAAATTTACGATGAAATTTTTAGATCATATCATTTCGACATTCGAACCATTACTAGTTCTTTTCAGATCAAACCATTATTTTCTGTTCAGACCTGGACGAAACGCACCTCTTTGTGATAGCCGACTGCGATACCTGGCTCAAGGGACGTCTTGCTGACTTGATGACAGAAAATTCCTTCCCGATCGGAGAACATGTCTAAACTGCCACAAATGTAATTTGAAGTAATCCATGAAAGCTTTTCAATTTTGATTCAGAATGACTGTGAAGATTTTCTTCGGATCGCAAACGGGCAATACTCAAGAACTTGCGGAGAGAATATATTTCTATCTGACAAAACATGCTGTTCAATCGTCTCTTGACGAGATCGAAAAAATTGACTTGAACGATGAAAGCGCGCAGCTTTTCGTTATCTGCATCTCTACCACTGGCGTTGGGGACCCGCCTGCGGATTCGAAAAGCTTTTGGAGGATGATCATGAAGAAAGACTTCGAAATCCGCCAAAGCCCACAAGTAAAAGCAATTGTCTTCGCGATGGGTGACTCAAGGTAAACTTAAGACTGGGATGTATTGATTCACAAGTAGCGCTTCTCTTCCTTGATCTCAATGTTATTTTTAGTTATAAAGAGTATAACTGGGTTGGGAAACAGCTGAGTCGTCGGTTAGAAACTCTTGGAGCGGAGCTTGTTGTACCAACTGTACTGTGTGACGAGAGACATGAACTTGGCTTTGACTATGGAGCTGATAAGGGACGGTTCTACTGCTCTTTCATTGAATTTCCCAGATCGAATTAAGATTATCCTAGAAAAAAAAAAAGCTATTTGATCTCATAAGTAATTACTTTGATTGAACCTGCCAAAAGGGCATTGAAAGTCTGAGGGATTATTTAATTTCCAATGATTCGGGCAATTTCGACGTCCGGCTCCCTTTCACTCCGCGTCACAAGCTCACCATCACAAAATCCTCCTCAATAGAGCCAGTCACTACTCAAAGGAATGAAAGCGGCTTCATCGGAAGAGTTGTCTTCAACAAGAGAGCGACGAGTGAAGATCATTTTCAAGAGACGCGGCATGTACGCTTTACGCTCCCCGATGACGTTGTTTACGATGCTGGGGACGTTTTGAACGTCAAACCGCGCAATCCTCCGCACTTGGTGAAACTTGCGATCGAGGCACTCCCCTGGGACCCGACCGCAACAGGAACGTGTTTTTCCCTCATTGAGTGAAATAAATATACATTTTTTTTTGCGGAAAGGAGTTTTTGTGAACGCGGTTTTGAAGTTAATTGGGATGGAGAGGCGACTCTTGCGAATTTGGCTCTTCCAAAGACTGTACAAGAGATTCTCGAGTCTGAGATCGATCTTGTTGGGATTCCTAAGGAAAGGGTCATCTATAATATATCGACTAAAAATAAATGCTTTGTGGTTGAATCAGGGTTAATATCTGACTACTACTGTAGAAGAAATATCAGCGCTGTAATTAATACTGCTGACCTTGGATTAAAGCGCTCATTTTTCCAAATCCTGGCTGAGTATTCTTCGGACAAGATGGAGAATGATCGATTGGAAGAGTTTTGTACAGGGAGCGGGCGCGATGTACTAGTTGTTTGTTGTTTTCTAATTGCTTAGCTCCGTAAGTGATTGAGCCCCGAGTAAGCTGAGGGCACTGACGATCGATGGGATTACGCGAATCGGCCAAGAAGAACTATCGCCGAGGCACTTCAAGATTTCCCAAAGAGCGTTAAAGACCTGCCAGTAGAAGCTTTGGTCAGGGTTCTGATCTATCTATTCGCTTATTTCAATTTCGCGAAGTGTAAATAAAATATTCATTCAAGGAACCCAACTAGCTCGACATATTTCCTCTCATCCGCCCGCGGCCCTACTCCATATGCTGCTACGGAGAAGGATATGTAGAGATTTTATGTGCAGTGGTTAATTATAAATCGAGAATGGCAACGTAGGAAATCAACGAAGAGAACGGAAAACATATATTTTTCATTTTAGCCCCCGAGTGGGCCTTTGCTCCGCATTCGTCAAGAAACTTGAAGAAGGTGATGAAGTTGAGCTATCAATTTCGTCTGGGACGTTCCAACTGGTTAACAAGGCGGATTACATAATGGTGGGTCCTGGCACTGGTATCGCCCCGTTCCGATCGATTTATCAAAAGAGGTACGTTTTTTAAATAAATATTTATGACGGCCGAAATAATAATTTGAAAGGACGGCTGACACATCTTTTGAATGGATTAGAATAATAATGAGAGGTGTATACTGAGAGGCCCATTCAGAATTGCGTCGAAACGCTCGCTGCTCTTCTTTGGCTGTCGAGGAAAAGACAAAGATCTGTACTTTGAAGATGATTTTGAGGAAGTGACGCGACTAAACGCATTTTCAAGAGACAAGAACGAGAAAAAGAAATATGTCCAAGAGGTCATTGAAGAAAATGCGCAACAAGGTACAGTTAAAATTTGTATTTACAAATTTCTGTTGATTATTTTCCATTTTTAGTATTCGAAAAGATTATGAGCGGTTGCATCATTTTAATTGCTGGAAAATCAAAAGATATGCCAGATGGTGTGAAGAACGCAATAAAAGTAAATATCAAAAACGTCACTTTTTTATGGAAATTTCATATTTTGCTAGATGGTGATAGCGAAAAGTGCGAACATGACGGGCGAACAAGCGAACTTATTCTTGAACATGCTGCAAGACCAAGGAATGGCTTTTATTATGTCCGAAATTTGTAGAGAGTGGAATAATAGAGAGCCACGAAAAAGGACGATTACAATTGGAGTGCTGGTGAAATAATTTCTGCCGAAAGAAGTGATAGAACTTGCTTGGTCTGACATTTCTTCTTTTCAGATGGATGTTCGGATTCGGACAGTCACCTTCAATGTCGCGGATGAAAACCCACCATCCGACGTTCCAGCGGCACTGTTCGGAAAGAATTCTGAAGAAGATTCTCCAGATATTTTCATTCTAGCCATGCAAGAAGTCAATTTAGGTACATGAAATCATTTGAAACAAAACGAAACTCTTTTAGGACTGCAAGTTGGAGCTCTTTTATTTTGGGATACTTGGACTGAAGCGATGTCCGAGCATCTGACGAAAAAGGGTTACTACAGAATTGAAAGCATACGAATGCAGGTACATTAATCATATGATTACTGAGTTCAAATCGGTTCTACTGTAGGGGATTGTTTTATCAGTCTTCGGTAAGCGAAGCCTGTTGCCTCAATTTCGCGATGTCCGGTGCGACTGGATCGGGACAGGCCAACTTGGATTCTGGGGAAACAAGGGAGCAGTTGCAATCCGATTGAAACTATTCGGAAAGACATTCGCTCTAATTAACTCGCACTTGCCTCACGGGACCGAGAAGAGCCAGTACAACCAGCGGCTTGTGTCGATTGAAAAGATTTTTAATCTAATCAAGTTCGCAGATTTGGCAGTTTCGATATTTGATCATGAGTAAATGAAATCATAGAAGAGAGTGATTTCTAAAGCCTTTTTAGTGTTGTCTTGTTTCAAGGAGACCTGAACTTCAGGATATCAAGTATCTCACGTGACCAGGTTCTCCAGCATTTGGAATGTAAGTAGAATCGACAAACGACATGTTCGTTTAATATTCCCCTTCAGCGAAAGAAAAAGATAAGTGTCTGAAAGAAGACGAGCTAAATAATCTGCTGGAGTCGCATCCAATAATCGCCAAGTTCACCGAAAATGATATTGTCTTCAATCCAACTTATAAATACGACAAGCAAAGTCGTAACTACGATTCTTCAGCGAAAAAAAGGAAGCCAGCGTGGACGGATCGCATTCTGTACAAATCGAATGGAATCAGATGCCATTCTTATGATGAGATCTACGAAGTGCTCGTTTCAGATCATCGGCCAGTCTACGCAGATTTTTCTGTAAAAGTAAGGCCTCTCTTCAGCGCTCGAATCAATTTTCTTTCCATTAGATTTCTTCAAGAGATGTTCCACCACTTGCTACTATTACTGGGAAGTTCGATCCAGCAGAAAACGACGATTTACGAATTCAAGTGTCGATAAATAAATCAGCTTTTGTCAAAAACCAAGATTGGATCGGAATCTATCGCCCTCACTTTAAGGATTATCGGTAAGCTCTCTCAGTCTTACCTCTTCTCTGAAAAATTTGCAGTGATTGGGTCACATTCCAATGGACTGCTTTTGGAAAAGAGTCCGAAAACAGCTCAAGCGAAAAGATCGACTTGGAGATCTCCGTCTCCGACATTCTGGTTGGTGGACAATTCATCGCCGGCTACTTTTCTTCCGTCAACCAAAATCTTGTTGCTCTATCCGAGCCCTTCCACGTGACGTCAAGGAACCCCGGGCCGACAATATCAAATGCACAGCAAAACTGAACAGCACAAAAATCTTGAGAATATTTTGTAAATAAACTCTCACTGCGCATCGTTATTACTACTTTACCTCAAACAAAATGCATGACCGTTTTGATACCTGAAAAACAAGACAAAAAAATTAATAGTTCAACAAATACAATTCCAAGCTTTGGATTATGACCAGGTCGTCGGCAAAAGTCATGTTTCTGTGTTCAAAATTAAAAAAAAAGTTTTCCCTTCTTTACCATTCCGAGGCCTGATCAAAATCCGCCAAACGGTACTCAAGAATTTTCAACGCACAAAATAACTCGTTATATTCTATTGTCGTCCCCAAATCAAGCCAAATCCAACACATTTTCTGGGATTGAAATTTGCCCCAATTTGCTTCAAAAAATCTCTCTTTCTGAAAATCTCTTCCTTGATTTCTCGTTTCTAATTTTTTCCGATTGTTCCTATTTATTTCGCGAATTATTCAATGACTCGTAATAACTTTAATAATTCTGCTAATTCTGACATTCTTGATCTTGATTTTTGTCATTGAGAATTTGAAAAAATGCCGATTAGCGAACGAGGTCGGGAAAAATTGCAGTCATCGCCGGATCCTTCGTCTTCCGATAAAAAGAAGCGAGGGAGCATCTTTAGGAGGGCCAGTCTTTCGCGAAAGGTACGGTTACCGAAGAGACCTTTCAATATTAATCCGAATCGACAATTGTGAATGCAAAGCGGCCCATCAATAGATAATTTAGAAAAATAAAGAAGATGTCTCTAAGCGGGCGAAGAGTAGAGAGCGAAATCTTGTCGCTGACGCTGTTGATATGTGCCCCCAAACACCAGAGGATAACAAGGTAGCCCTCACAGTTAATAGATCCAGAGAGATAAAGCAAACCACTTTAGAAGAAGTCATCATCTCTTCCCCGAGAAACTAAGTCAAACTTCATGCGTGACAGAAAGTCGAAACGCGAATCGGGTCGGAGAAAAACGCTCGACCTTGACTCCAAATCCGAATCCATCAAATTCACTTCCTTGAAAGAGTCTGTCGCGCGCTCAAGCTGCGAAAAACTAGCGCTGCCAGAGATTGTTGGGGCGACGATAAAAGAGATCGAGAAACGCGGATTGAGCGAAAAAGAAATTTACCGAGTTCCAGCGCCAAAGGTTGATGTCATGAGCATTATCAAGTCGTATGGAGAAATGGACATTGTCGACTTGACAAAGACAGACATTCACATCGTCGCGGCGTCTCTAAAAAGTAATATCGCAGATTTCTTGATTTTGCCTTTTACATTCTTTTAGTCTTCGTTGGCAAACTGTCTGGAAATCTGCTCGATTGCATGCATGACCAGATCGAAGAATTGGCGAAAGAACCAGATACTTTCGTCGAAAAAACAAAGATACTCATCGAATCGAAAATCTTCCCTCCTGTAAGACAACCTGAAATGGCTAAGAGATTCATTTGTTTTTTTTATTAGGAAAACTACAATATCTGCTCGTGGCTTTTCACTCATTTGAACAATGTCGTACAGGTATTTTGAAAAGATTAAGGGCTTACGGAGAGTGACAGTTATTTTAGTCATCGCAAAACTCGCAGTCTATCGAAAGTCTCAGTCCGATTTGGGTGCCGAATTTGAAGATCTCGAAGGCTCTTTTTCAAAGCATGGTGAACTTTGCCCCAGGTCTTTTCGGAAAGGTCGATCTTGATCCGGGAAGAGCGATTATCCGCTGGAAAGACTCTTCAACAAACCTCGCCATTCCAGAGGGTAGGAAACCGCTCATTTAACGACGTTAAACATTTTCAGACGTGACGCTGGAGTGGCTGAAAGAAGAGACCGATTGCCAGGAGAAAATTCTTTCCAAACTGCACTCCCTTGAAAACCCGGACTCGCATTCGGAAGAGCGAATGTGGGAAGTCCAGAGGATAAAGACCGCTCTCAAGAGGAAGCAGAAGCACATGAAGAAAGAGAAGGAGGAGAAAGAAGCCGAAGAAATGAAGTTCTTGCTTTTGGAGGAGAAAAAAGCCCTCATCGCGCAAGAAGAGCTGATCAAGTGGGTCCCAATAAGATTCTCTTAAAACAAATATTTTAGGATGCAAAATCATCTTCGCCGAAAACTTGAGTACGAAAAGGCGAAACTGGATGTCCTCCGCGCCCAAGAACCGAACATCGAACAAGTGTCTCTCCAAGGCAGCGAGTCAGAAGACGAACTCGATCGGGAACAGCTTCGAGAACTCTGCGACGAGCTAGTGAGGGAAAACGAACGACTTGAGAAGGAAAATGAAAAGATCATCGAGAACATAAACGAGGAAAGACAACGGCTTGTTGAAGCAAACATTGCTTATCGAGTCAAGAACGAAATTCTCAACCAAGCTTGATGAAAAACATCTTCACAAACAACTCTCTGCCAAATGTCCATTCCTACCTTCACATAATACTTGTTTCCCATTAATTCCATATTCAAAATAATATGCAATAAAATCGCCTTCAGATAAAAATGGGAATATCTCAAAATCTAAAAAATCTGCGCAATCGCCGTCCAAAAGTGGCTGCAAGTCCCTTCCCTTCCAAACCATACTCAGCTACGAATAAAAAAGCTATCTTCGACAAAAGTAAGACATCAATAAAGTTTATTCAATGCTCAACTTTGGTGCAAGTTTTTTCGACAGTGATAGTGATTGGTTTGATGACAAGGTCCTTTTTACTCCTCCTTGATTTCTTCGGATTTCGCGATGCGCTGATTTCCGTCGCGGTTAGGCCTGGTAAATCGAGAACAGCGAGAATTTCATCTTTGCCGATTTTGTTCTTTTTGGCGAACTCTTCTTGGGAAATCTTACAGTAGCTTTCCTGCAGCTCGTTTTTGTACTTGACAGCAGGGGCGGACGGGTACTGCATGTTCGAGGCCCAAATAGCGGAGATTTCTTGGCCAGTTGGCAATGGCACTGGAACGGGATTGTATTCCGATTCCATTGACACCGTTCTCGAAGCAGAAGAAATCGCTTTCTTAGCGCCAGAGGAAATTGCTACTCGTTGACCAAAAATGGACACCTTTTCTGTTTTCTCGGGCTAGAATGTTTTTTGAACGTATATTTGTTTTTTATAACTTACCTCAAGTTCTTTTTCATTCTTGACATGAACATAAATTGTCCTCTCAGCGAAGGGCATCGGAATAGGTGGGGGTTTCGATTTTGGCGGTTGAAATATTTTCGTAAAGTGAGAGGATGCACTGGACATTGCAGACTCAGAAACATTTCCCGGGTCGTAAGAATCCATTCTCGACAGAGATTTGGACTGGACCGTATTCGGTCCGTACAAGCCATAGTTGGGAATCATGTTGCCTTTTTAGGTTAAAAATATTTTTTTCTCTAAAGTTCTCCGAAAATGTTAACCAATTCCTGTGTAACTGGCAAATGAATCCCTCGATGGATCGCGCGACAAAGTATACGCTCTTTGTGCATCGCCGATATTCGCAAAACTATGCCGGGCAAGTCCGACGTTAGAGTTTCGCTTCCATACTTTTCGATTGCCAATGTTGACCTTTTCATGGGCGAAATCAACAGATTTTTGAACGGGCTCTTTTTTATCCGGCAAAGATGATAGTGTCTCTGAGTGCGGCTCTCGAATTGTTTTTATGTTTGGCATCGACCTTATTTTTTCTTGAAAAAGATACGGTTGACGCTTCTTACTTGAACGTTTCTAAGTTGAATGGATCTCCCCCGTCGTCGGAGTCGTTAGAGTCTTCAATCCATTCGTCGTACGAGTAATCGCTGCAGGCGCTTCTAATTTCTACTTCAACAGCATAATCAGAAAGCTCGCTAGTAAAAGTTCCGGATTATTGAAATCTAGTTTACTATCAACTCACCTATCAGAGTTGAAATCGAAAGCGGATGTCGCTGAGCTCTCTCTTCTAGCGCCGAGATGACTTTTTCTGCTAGATTGAGATCGCTGTGAATTAGGCATGGATTTTTTACTCCCTCTCGAGCTTCGTGAAGATGTCGATTCTCTTGATAAGGTTTTTTCGCTGTTTTTCAAAAGAGATTTTTTCTGAGGTTCCGGTTTCTTTTCTGGCTCTTCTGGTTGATTCTCTGTTATTTTTTTATTCCGCTGTTGATCCACTTTTTGCTTGAATCGGTGGGAAATTAATTTTCGCAACGCGTCAGCAAGTGTTTCTTCAGTATCATCTGATTTCTTCTCTTGTGCGCTAGAATCTCCCTCGGGTGCTTTCTCATTTGCTGATTCCTCAATTTTGGATTCAGCACTTTGTTCATCATGTAAATCGGATGATTGTGGTGTTGAATTTGCATTTATATCGCTGTCGGATGATTTGTTCTCATTAGAGTCGGACTCATCATCATCATTTCGAGGTTTGCCATTTTCGCGAGGTGGGGGTTGAGGCGGAAGAAAGGGCATTTTGAGGTTTTATTATGAATTAATTCGAAGGAAATGCTTTTGGAGAATCTTGTTGTTGGAAAAACGTGTCATGTAGCGAATCGTTTACGTATTTTGATCAAAACAATTTTATAAAGCCTTATTGTTGCAATAAATTAACCACAATTAAACCTTTTCCTGCATTAATTTGGGTGCTGAAGAAACATTCATGACTCCGGAGCTTCGAAAGAATTTCTCTTCAATCGGCTTTTCCTCTTTGTTTTTCTCCGAATTTCCGAAATCTCCGCCAGCGGTGAAGTTAATCTCAAGTGATTCTAGCTCCGCGATTTTCGCGCTTTCCTCGGTACTACTTGCCATGGCTAATGTCTCGACGATTTTTGCTAGCTCTGCATAATAGACCTTTTGGTGCAACGCAGCACAGAGATTAGAACTCGTATTCTTCATTACTGCGGCCCGGGGCCATTTCACCGCAATTTCTGTGAGCATTATGTACTTGTAGCTGAGGGGGAACTTATGGAATTTCTGAGTTCCAGCCTTTGAAAAGTAAGATAAGCGCTGATAACGTGGCTTTCTAGCGCGCGAAAAAGAAACCAGCGAATGGGCCGCCTTGAGCGCAAAGGATCAGCGGGTACTCTACGCCGCCGAATTTGGATACACGAATTATGCGACCTACTTCGTTCATCTCAAACACAAACATGCCGCCGCGGTGGCCCTCCAAGCGCCACATTTGCTAGACAAACCTAAAATTGTAATTAAAAATCATCATTTACCAAAGCTGAAACCGATTTAAGATCTGGTCGAAGCTATTAGAAAGATCTCCTTGGGGAAGTTATTCAAGAAAGCGATTGATCTATTTTGTCCTGTCAACTGGATTTTGGATTGGTTTTTTCATCCTTTTAGCTAAATTTAGCCAGTACGACTGGCCACCGTATAATCTTCTTCCTGTTTTACTGCCGGTAGATATTTCATTTCCAACAGTTCATTATTCATTGAAATCATAGACGACTATGCGCCCCATCGACAGTCAAATCTTTAAATATTCCTACGACCCGTCCCTGTCAAAAATGACCCCTGTAGAAGTCGCGACAAAATATTGGCTTACGAAGGAGCTAGCAAATTTTGGAACTCACTTATCATGGGATTGCTCATATCATGGCTACCGAAGACCCTGGATGAATATTCAATTTTCCTGATTTGAACAACTGTTAAATAAACTGTCAAATAAACACGCTTATTTGGTTTTTTTTTGAAGAAGTTATCGGCGTGTTCAAAGATTTACTATAGTCAGAGATCACTTTGTAAACACGAACTGAGCTAATGTCAAGTAACTATGGAGACACTGAGAAATATACTTCTTTGCTGGAGGGCCGCCCAGCTTATTAGTCTTATGCTACCTGTAGTTCCCTTTTACATCAAGAAAGAGATAAGCCGGAGATCAAATGGAATCTAATTTAGATGAGGGCACTGGGATGGGCGAGACAGACAGTCGGAATCTGGAAGTTATCAGTTAGAAGGACTCATTATAAAACACTTGGGATTGACCAATCTGCGGATAAAAAAGGTTGGATTTCAAGACAACCGAAAATATAAAAAAGTTTAGAGATCAAGAAAGCGTATTTGCAAGCGGCAAAGGTGCATCATCCCGATGCAAATCCAGATGATCCAAAAGCGGCAGAAAAGTTTCAAAAATTCAAGCCGCGTACGAAATTCTTTCTGATGCGACAGCAAAATCAGAATATGACAATCAACTGAGGCCACAGTCTAGTGCAAGTGAATTTTACAGCGATGCTGGTTATAGTTACGATGAACCGTCATTTTCGAGTTCTGAGGAATGGGATCAGTTCGATCGCGACTTTGGATTCAGTGGGTTTAAATTCGCCAACGGAAGTTCTTCAGGCTCAAGACGAAGAGGGAACACAGGAGCTTATGATCCGTGGGAACAGTACGTTAAAAATCAACAAACAAGAAGCTTCTATCACGCTGCCATGGACGCAGGTCAGGGTTGGACATTTTTATAACCATAAAAGTGTGTTTTCATCAAAAATACCTTTGTCCATTCTCGAAAAGAATACGGCGATCCAAACACGAACCACGACCATTATTCTCAATATTTCAACGATGACGATATCTTCGACGATTTCTACTTTGAAGAATATCCGAATGAAAACTACCAGAGATATTCTTACAAGAACTTTGACCAGTGGGAGAACCAGCGTCAGAAGTACGAGTCAATCTTCAATCAAAAATATGGTTTCAATAAAAAGCGGAAGAGCTCGTCGAGAAAGAGCTTTGAAGATTTAGAAGACGAATATTTCCGGCAAAAGGAGAGATATTGGGAGACGAAAACGCATTCCGGCGACGATTACAGTAATAGAGACTGGCGAGGGCCGTATTATGAAGAGTTTGACAATGAACGCTATGGGTTTTATGATCAAGTTCAATACGAAGAATGGGAAGAGTGGATCAAGACGCAGCCGCGTTTCAAAGAAAATCAAAAGAAGAAATCAAAGCCGAAGCAACGAAAAAAGCCGAAAGATAAATCTGGTGAGATATCTTTTATGTACAAAGGAAGGAGCTCAGTAGTTTGAGCAAATATTTATATTATGCATAATTTGAGTTCTTGCGAGTAAAAAACTCAAATGTGATTTCAACTCTGAGAAATATTTCAGAAAGTTTGAAAAACGCGCAGCGGGTTCACGCCGAGCTGGACGAATTCGGCCAGGCTAATATAGAAATGGATGGGAAACGGTTTAAAATTGCTGTTCAAAAAGGTATTCTGCGATTGTTGAAACTATTAATCGAGCAAGTGTAATTTAGACGGCTCCATTGTGATGGAAGACCTTGACAACTCAAACCCGTTCAAAGACAGTAAGAAGAAAAAGAAGAAAAGAAAGTAAATGTTACTTTGTCCTAATTTAACGACTCCATGGAAGGCTGTTTGAGATGCAAATTGAAATGATTCAGAATGTTGCTACGGGTCGCGAAGCACTGTATCGCAATCCAACGCTATAATTACTACAACTTCCTAAAGATACCTCAACAAGCGCCAAGCTCTCAAATAAACGCGGCTTATTTGGTAAGGAGAAAATCAAATTTAAAATTTCTCTTCCTTGATTCCAAAACTGAGAAAACTTATTGAAATTATCATTTCAGGCGCTCCATGAAAAATTAACCGAGGAAGAAGACTACCACTCTTTAGAAAAACTAGAGCGCGCCTTTGTCATTCTTAGCGACGAAGAGAAACGGAGTAAATATGATAAATTTTTGACAATCCAAGCGGCGAAGGGAATCCTACGCAGCTCCAGTGGCAAAGTAGACCCGGAAGAGGAGCGAACAAAGGAGATAATGAGAAAAAACTATCCTGACATTGAAGCGCGCTTCAGCCAAAAGCAGCAAAGAATTGAGAGAACCAGCGAAGCCAACACGGAAAGCACGAGAGTTACGCTCAAGGAATTCAAAGACAATCTGAAGAAAGGCGAAGAGGTGAAGCAAGAAGCGTTTCCTTTTATGCATTTGGTTGATACGAAAAATGCTCGAGTCCAAAATAGAAGGATGAAAGAGGGCGATTTGAAGGCTGACCTGAGAAAAGATTATAGAGACCTTTACTGCTCTTGAAACTAACAATTCTTTTTTAAAAGAACTAACAGTCATAAACGATAGAAAATCTCGCTCGAATTATTCAAATTTTAGAATGAGACCGAAATCACTCATTTCCGACTACAATCCGTTATTGGATCCAAATTTACAGGGCCATTTCGCAACGAAATCAAAGCAAAAGAGTCTTCGTAAAGCTGGACTCGTAAGCTCGTCTTCTTTATCAAGAAATTATGCTTATTCAGATAAAACGAAATGGGGAAATTGTATCTGAACGCGAGTACAAGCTCCGGGCACAACATAAGGAGACAAAAGAGCACATGAAAGAAATTTTGCAAGAGTCGATTGTTCGCAGAGGTAAGAGACTTTTCTTCTTAGCCCACTTCAGCCATTTTAGCAATCGAAATCGAGAGACAGAGACAAGTTGCCATCAGGGACGAAATGGAACGCGCGGCGAAGCAAGAAAGAGTGCGACAGCTGCGGCTAGAACGCTCGAGAACGGCGCCTCATATGATTTATCCAGGAGTTCCTCCTCAGAGCGCGCCGAGGGGGTCCGCTTCAAAGCGATCAAATACTTCGAAACAGTCCAGTCGGGCTGGTAGCGCAATTCAAAGGGTCAGTTTTAGGACTCTTATTTGATGATCAATGAATTTTAGGACCATCCAGAAGAAAGCGTAGATGAAAACGACCCGAGAAATTGGACTCGTGAACAACAAGTCAACTACGTTGCCCAGCGAAAGGTAAGCATTTTTTCTCGCCACAAAGCTAAATTCCCAAAAGATGAAAGAACTTGACCGACCTACGCTGAAAATGCTAAAACGCGAAGCTGAGCGATCCAAAGCTTTCGGCCCCGGACCAAGTCCCTATAATTTTGACAAAGCTGATGCCAATGCTTTATCTCCCCCTCCTCGTGTTCCGCGGCCCATTGACGAGGATTACTCCGTTCATGAATCTCAAGAATACGTCAGAATGAAGAAGAGTAGCAATCACAGACTTCATCGAGCACAGCCTGGAATGATTGTCAAAGTTCGGTAAGAAGTTATATCAACTCACATCGAAGATATTAAACTCAACCGTAGACAACAAAGTATGGTGGACGTTTCAATGAAATATCTCGGTCGACCGTCTGTTGGCGATACAGCTTTTCAAGAACGAGAAGATGTAGTCATCGAGCAACAACACTGTGGCGGTGAAAATATCAAAGTCTTTCATGGAAATCTCAGACGAGGAGAAAAGTTTAAGTTCATTTCTCGACGACATCGTGGATATCCTTTCAGGTTTTTATTCATAAATTAATTGATATCATAATTAAATGATAAAGTTTCGTGGTTTATGTTAACTCAATCCGAGTTGAACGAATTTCCTCGTGCTGTGAATATCGATACAAGAAAGGCTCGAAACTTGGTTGCGGAACTATTCGATTGTTGAGCGTCAAAGGGGCTGCTCCATGCTATTCGTGCAACATCAGAAACAACAATCCAAAGGTTTGATGCACGATCAAAATTTAAGAGTATTAATTCTCATCAAGGAAAAGCCTGATCCAGCACCAAGGCCAACCAGTCGACTTGATACTCCCGAAACAACCGTCAGCTCCAAGAAATCTGGCAAGCAATCAGCACCAAAGGGCAAAGGCAAACGAAAAGTTGTCAAAGACGAGGAATTCAACACCCGCGAAACTCCTGAAAATGAAGAGCCTCCCCCGCAAGAGCCTGAAGTCATGAAAGTCCACAGCAGCTCGAGCTCGTCAAGTTCGAGCTCAGAAAGCGAGGATGAAGCCGAGACCCAGGTATACACACTTTCGATGTGAATTTTCAACTTGAAAATTCTTGTGCTTTGAATCACGGCTTCAATCAAAATAAATATTTATATATGTGTTGATTTGCAATTTGTCACGTGTCAATTCGTAAAATTCAGAGTTGAATTTCGAATTTCAATCATCCAAATGCTTATCTTTTGGTAATTCATTTACGATCACCTTTATCGCTTATTTTTCACTGTAATTCGAAAGAGAGAGAGTCTATGATGCGCTTTAGAAATCGAACAAGTCAAGCTCATCCTCTGAAACGAATCCAACTGCGGTCGAAATTGAGCAAGAAAAGCCAGGATATCTGACAGCAGCTCAGGCTCCCCAAGACGACGTGAAATCAATTTCATCCCAGAGTGAAGCACCATCAATCAAGGATGAGCCAGAAAGCCGTCCAAGCACTGCATCAAGCTCTTCATCATCTTCCAGTTCGAGTTCGTCAAAAGTCAGCTCTCGAAAGAGCTCAGTGTCGAGTGTCGTAAGCGTTCAAACAGTGGAGGATACAAATGCTGATCCACCAAGCGCAAGTCCAACCAGTATCGCGAGCCAGAGCGCTCCGACACAAGAAGACATCGAAGCTAGTTACCAAGAGCAGGCTGCATCTGAGCATAGCGCTGATAGAAGTTCTAGCCAGGTGAATTCCCCCGAGAACTTTTCATTCCAAACAATGATTTTAGGCAACTCACTTGAGTGAGCAAACAAATGGAATGACCTCTCCATATGCAACCAACTTGGTGAACGATGTTATTTTAAAAAGTAAGTTCTTTCTTCTGCTTTGAGAGGAAAAACAGTGAATAACTTGGCAAAACTCCCACTCCCGTAGACATGATTTACAAACTCCCGTTGTATCCCTTTTCCTCCTCGAGTGTGTAATTCATGACTTTATAATTTCAGTACGCAAGGAAGATAACCTTGAGGGCACGCGATCGCCAACCTCGCCCTTGGCGGACGATTTGGTGGGTGCTGCGTTGACCACGGCGCAGCGCGAGGGCAGCAACAGGAAACATTCAGTTACCTCCGCGTCTGATATTACTCAAGTGACCCCGCGAGGTGAGATTATCGCCCTCAATTATCGCTCATTTACGACGAGCTTATTCTAGAACCTGAAAACTTCAGTTCATCTTCATCTGAGGATTCAACGAGCGACAGTTCAAGTTCTGATTCTGACACCGACTCTGAAAGAAATTAATTATCCTTGTCCATATTTATTTTCATGAATTTTTGCACAACTTTCCCCCTCTTGAAATCCCCCCAATGAGTTCCAACTAGACAATCATTCTTTAAATCCTTTAATATACATTCTCTTTCGAGAGAAAAGTATCTGTTAACACGCCTTAAATCCACCCCAGCTTTAGTTTTATCTACTTTCTCGGCATTTCAAACAGTTGGCTAGGTGCCAACAGCTGCACTAAGTTCATAATTGCCTTTGTCAAGTTTGAAATTTTTGTTCTTTTTCCCTTTTTTAAATTTTCAACGAGAGCCAGAAGTCACAGAGAATATTGCCTATGGCGGGCATAATAACTTTGATGAATGCGAAAGTGCCTCGCGCGCGACAAATAGCCCCAGGGGAGTGAGATGAAGGCCAAGGGAGCGTGCGACAGCTAGGTGAACTCCCATCCGTGCTGACATTATATATAGTAACGCCGTCGTGGCACTAAGTTTTCGCTAATTTGGGTCCCTTATTATCGCGGGGAGGAAAACAGAGATTTCAAATTTGACGAAGTTTTATTCCAAAAAACGGTGCAAGTGTATTTTTATATAAAATCGTATATTTGTATAAATGTTATTCTTCCTTGATTTTTCTATTTGATGCTATTTTTATAAACAACAAATAAATGAATATTTTTAATAAGTAAAATGCCAAAATTGAGTATTTATTCGCTTGAGAGAGCAGCGCAGATGGAAGGTCTTCAAAAATGATCGATCGAAAATATAGATTTGAAAAATTTACAAATTGAGACTCGTGGCTCTTTATTTTAATCAAAGAGAAAACCGCCGGACAAAGAGCGTCCGATCCGGAGAACATTGAAATCAACAAAGATTTTTTAAATAGAGAACTTTAGTTCGGACCATTTCTCGGCAAATTTGCTTATTTGCAATTCAGTCAGAGGAGAAAAAGAGAAAGCTACGGCCATTATCGTTAATTGAAAAAAGAAATGATTTTGCCCTGAGAAAACGATTGCATAAGGTAGACGTGATGGCATTTTTCCCGTCATTTCATGCATGGCTTATTGCCATACAAAGACATTTTTGCGTCTGTTGGAAGAGTCATAAAAAGCGGTTCCAGAGAAAATATGAGTTCGAGCTTGACTGAAAAAGTTTAACAAGTTACTTTCTTTTGGAGACTCTTTCTAGAGCTTTTTTTGCGTTTTGTTTCTTTGCTAAATAAAGTTGGAAGACTGTAAAGAGCCTGTCATAGAGAGATACACGGGCGGAAGTAATTTGTGTGGTCAAAAAACCTGAAAAAGTGATGAAAGACACGGATTAAGACAAATAAGCAGGAGTGACGAAAGCTGGTCAATCCAAAGTTTTAAATGATTGTTTTTCTTTAGACTGGGTGAATGGGAAATGAGTAAACGCGCTCAAAATGAAATTCGGGGAGAACTTACAGTATTACGCCACTGCTGAATGGCGGGACAAGTACATCGACTACGAAAAGCTAAAAACACTTCTCGAAGAAGCCCAGACTGGCCACACAGACACATATCTCGGAGATGACGAAAAAGAAAGGCCAAAACAGTAAAGCACTCTTCTGTGAACAAATAACCATCAAATTTATAGCAAAACGCTGCAAACCCCCGGAGACGAAGTGTTCTTCCGGGAAATCGCCGAGCAGCTAGAAAAAGTCAACCATTTTTACAATGAGCGTTATTCGAAAGTGGTGCAAACGTTTAACGGACTCAAAAAAGATGTTGAATTTTACAAAAATGTAAGCGCCTTTTCAACGGTATTAAAGCTAACGAATATTTAGCCAAAAGAAGAGACAGAAAGCTCAGGCGGAGTTATTCGAAGAAGAAAGTTTCTTCGCGCTGAGCCGGAGAAAAATGCCATAAAGCCGAAATCGCTGAAAGAACTCAAGGCCAATTTTAGCGACTTTTACTTATCCCTCGTTTTACTAGACAGATACCAGGTAAGCCGATATTAATCGACCTTTATAATTCCGCTTTTAGAAAATTAACTTCGATGGCTTCCGAAAAATCCTCAAGAAATTCGACAAAAACATGTACAGTACTTACGGCGACAGCTGGAGAAAAAAGCACATCGAAAAAGAACGATCTTTCTATACGAACAAACACATTTCAAACCTATTGTTGCAAACCGAGGTAAGCAACAAACTTTCGATCTTATCAGATCTTTCTTTCCAAAGTGACCGAAAAAATTTTAAAACCGTTTTTTAATGAGAGAATGGGAAAATAATAAAAAGGCAGCGTCAGTCAGGAGTTAAAATTCAAATGAGAATCTTAGATGTCTACCATACAGGATTCATATTTTATATGTAATTGTTTTATCTCAGAAATATCTCAATATTTAATCAAAACTCGCATAAGCCTCGTATTTCTGCCAAAGCAGAGGAATCGGCTACCCTCTTTCCTCCTCCCTTTTCACCAACACATGGGCTTACAGTAGTTTCGCTAACAACAGCATCGATTTCCGCATCTCTGATGAATGTTTCAATCCCCGACCAAGACTCAAAGATCGTTTTCTTTCTCAAACAGCAATTGATGAGGAATCTGGCATCAAAAGCTATTCTACGCCAAAAAGGCGGAGGAGAGAAACTCTATCTTCTCGTTTCGAGTCTCGGACTAGAAGTGCTACGTTTGATTTTTCGGTCGAAATCAGCTTTACTTTGATATTTATAAAATACTGTTTCAGACCATTGTGGCAGAAGAATTAGAAGATGGCGACAGAAAGAAAGCCAGAAAGAAACTTGGAGTTCCGTCACTAGAATCAAAGGTAGAATGCTGCGCTTCTAGCTCTCTCTTCTATATTTATTTCAGGAGCTGAGCCAAGACAAAAATGATTTCACTTTATTCCGAGTGGGGATCTTTCTCGGGATGGGACTCGTCGTACTATCTGCCATTGTTTTATCTATTTATCCAGCGAGGAGCTGTATATTTGCCGATTCAATCTCCTCCCAGGACGATCGTACTTTATCACTAGAACGTACCTCATCATCAAACACTTCTTCCTTCACTGATATCTTTTGCGAGCAGAAAGACACAATCATTAGACTATACCGCCCAGGAATACTTCTTGGTAAGCTCCCTATTTTAAATGATGTTCGTAGTCGTTATTTCTAGCATTTTTCATCTTCTTGCTTGGATTTAACGTCTATGGCTGGCGCAAAGCAGGCGTCAACCACGTCCTTATCTTCGAGATCGACTACAGAGAGCATCTCGCGCCAACACATCTCTGGGAAGTCTCCTTCGTCATCGCCCTGACTTGGGCGCTGTCCCTTCTTGCCTTCATTCATAACCCCCTTGCAGACTATCTACCTCGTTACGCACACCCAGCTATTCTCTATTCTTTTCTCACGATCCTTATAATCTTTCCTCTTCCGGTAAGTCTTTCATCAACGCCTCCATTAATCAATTTTCCTAGATCCCGGGCCTGAGTTGTTACCGCAAAGCTCGATCATGGCTTGTCGGTCGATTCTGGCGGCTTCTTTTTCCTGGTTACTGGTCGGTTACCTTCGCCGACTTCTGGCTTGCTGATCAGCTGACATCGATGGCAGGCTTCCTCGTTGATATGGAATATGTGACTTGTTTCTACGCCGTGGATGGAAATATCAGCAACGGACTGTCCTGCTCGTCCACGAACATCAATGCTTCAAGCACGGACCAAAGTGTGATCACATACCGAATGAACGGAACGAGTCTGAAAACGGCAAACGAAAGCCTTACAGATGAAAAATGTCTCTGTGGAGAACTCGTCGGTGGCTCCGCCCTTGCTGGAGGAATTCAAGTTTTCTTGATGATGTGGCCGGCAATTATTCGATTTCTTCAATGCATCCGGCGATATGTTGACTCTGGCAAACTCCATCCGCACATAACAAACGCTGGAAAGTACTCAACAACTCTGATCAAGGTGTTTATCAGCTATCTGATGGCGTACAGCCTTCGAAACGTTCCCAAAGACGATTCTTCGAAATTTGTCTGGGTGGTGGTGCTCTTCGTCGCCCATGCAATTTCGTCCTTTTACTCGCTTGTTTGGGACATCAAAATGGATTGGGGCTTTCTTGACCAAAGCGATGATTCTACCTGTGTTGGTGGATTACTTCGGTTAGAAATAGATTCCGGCAATTGTTTTGATACATTTTTAGGGATCATTTGGTTTACGCAAGTCCGTGGAATTGGAAGTACTACGCTGCTTTTCTCGAAGATATTGTCTTCAGATTTCTCTGGACTTTACAAGCATTCCATGTCCCTTATGTGAGCCCAACGCTACTCATGTTCGCCGAGGTCTTCAGGTAGAGAGATAGCTATTGCCAATAGCCTATTGGAGACGCTTAACTTTTTTAAGGCGATTTGTTTGGAACTATTTCCGTCTTGAAAACGAGCATCTTAACAACTGTGGTGAGTTCCGTGCTGTCCGCGACATTACAGTCACTCAGCATCGGTAAGTCACTTTCACTTCATCGCATGAAATCACATCTTCTGTTCGATGCCCAGTACTGATTGTGTTTTTAGCAAAGAGGATCTAGAACGAATTGAAGATATCATGGATAATCGGATGGGTCCAAAGCATAGACGATTAATGTCGGACCCGAATGATAACCCAGTGTAAGTAGAGATTGATCAAGGGAGAAAGATCAAGTTACTCATGAGCAAGAAAATTCAGGCCCGAAAGAGCAGATTATGAAAGGGATTCTCAACCGCGCAAGAGAGTCACAATGATGCCAGAAATGATTTCTAGCAGCGACGAGTCATCAGTCAGGCTACTAAATTTTGATAAAATAGAGCAGGAAAAAAAACTGTTGCAGGAACAAAGCATAGCCATTATATGAGAAAACGACAATAAAGATTCATACGGCGCAGTTAGATTAAGTAGGGTCCGCAGGAGATCCACGAAAGCGATGAGAAGGGTAAGGATGAGCCTTTCAAAGTTTGTTTGAAAGATGAAGATGCAAAAAAAAGATGTCAAGGTTTTAACGGTATCTAAAGCAACACTTCTTATTATCAGTTATCGATCTATTTATCTTTCATCTACTTTTCTGGGGGTCGTCCGCTTTCCTAAGGATCACATTAGGTCCATATTCTCGGTGGGGGAAGGCGCCAAGCCGAGAGCAGGGAGATGCAACGTGCCCACCGCCATGTGCTAACTCCTGCCGAGGCAGCGACTCGGCCCAACTCGAGGCAGTCTCAGCGTGTGATGACTGAGCCTAAGGGCAAACATTGTGCACATTGAGCTGCTAATTAGGATCAAGCTCAACTGCGGATGAGCTGCAATTTTTGGGGATAAAGAGGACAAAAAAATAGAATTCCCTGAAAACATCCCCAATAGGGTAATTTGAGGTGCTGATTCCATTTTTGAAGTCAAAAATGAGTTTTAATGACAGGTTAACGAAAAATTGCCCCTCAAAATCCAGATAATACCTTGAAGGGCAGGATTTTTCGCTAAATTTACTGCCCTATAGACAAAGAGCCCATCATAATCCAGATAATACCTCTATGGGCAGTAATTCTCGCTAAAAATCCTGCCCTTACTGAGGTATTTTCTGGATCCTACGTGGCTTTTCTCTTCAGGGCGGTAAATTTGGCGAAAAATCCTGCCCTTTGAAAGATCTTTGATCTTGGATCTTAATTATTCTCTATGATGTTTAATTGACGATGAGAATCAGATGTTCGGTATAACTTCCGCCGCTATTAACAGCTGGCAATCACATATATAATTACTTTCCGTTTTCCAGTCATCATAATTCAAAAAATGTCACAGTATGAAACAGCAATGAACTTGCTTCAAGACGATGAAGATGCAAAAGGTACAGATGAGCTGCCAGAGTTTTTGATGGTTACAAGTGGCGCCCGAATGAACTCAAGTTTAATCTTCTGGATGCGAATCGGAATCAATCCTTACGAATACAACGTTCTTGGACCGAACACGACAAGGGAAAGGCTCACCCTCATCTGCAAACATGGACAATGCTCAACTCCTGCTTCAAGACGATGCCCTGCTCGCTGTTATCTTCGCGTCAAGAATCCAGACATCATCGAAAGCAAGCTTGGAAAGAAAAGACGGCGAGATGGAAGCTTCTACGATTGTTTTCGGCATTCTCTCAAGAAAGACATGGAAGAGTCCCGCGACAAATCCAACTACGAGGTTGAAATTTTCGAGTCTCCTGCTGTCCATAATCATCCGCCTCCAGCTGATCTCTCACCACTTCAAAAAATCTTCAAGGAGAATTCAGTGAAGCGCTCTCTAGAGAAGAAACGTGTCGAATACGATCGAGAATTCGAAGCCTTACCAGACTCATTCAATGCAGACATCAAGAAAAACATCGCTGGAGAAGAAACCTACCAAAAGAAACTCATCTCTGCTCGCCTCGCTCGACGTTGGACCTCTCCTCAAGATCAAGTCGCTTTGGGATCAACAACGATGCTTCTACACGATCCTTCCGCAACCAAGCTGTATGCGAAGAACTCCATCATCGAGCAATTTCTTCTCTCTGAAATCAACACTCACGATGGCCTGCCGATCAAGATCTGGGGACTCGCAAGCGAACTTCACCTCCTTCACGATAAAGACGATCCCTGTTTTATCGATGGAACATTCAACTTCTGCAGCAAGCTCCCCTCCGAAGGATACGTACCGAGTCGCCTTCAATGAGGTTCGCCGGCTGTACAAGGAGCACTATGGCCACGAGCTTCACATCGACAACTGGCGCGTCGACTACGAGGGCAATCCAGCAAAAATCATCAGAGAATTCTGGCCCTACGCTCTCGTCTACGGTTGCCAGTTTCACTACGCCAAAGCCATTCTTCACAACTGGGCACTCAAACTCGGCAGCAAGAAATTGGTCTACGACAAGGAGCTACGAGCGCAGATCCTCAACATCTACCTTGGGATGCCTTTCGTCGATCCAACCATCGTAGCAGAAGCCATCCGAAAGCTGGAAACCGAGCTCATCCCATCTCTCTGCCCTACGAAGCGATCGAAAGTTGTAGCCTTGCACAACTACTTCATCAAGACTTGGGTGAACAAACGCCATGTGAATGCTGACTGGAATCTTCATGCTCTTCTCAAGCGAAACGACACATTTTGGACGACCAACCAGAGCGAAGCCCTTCATTTGTCGCTCAAAAAGTCCTACAAAACTCCTCCACCAACCATCCGCGTCGCCTCAGAGGTGCTTCACGATTACAAATCTTTCTTCCGAGGAAAATACGCCAATCGTCAACTTGTCCCAAGAAAATTAGACTCCCTGGAACGAGCAAGAAACATCATGTTCCACCATTCAGAAGTTGAACGTCAATCTTCAGCATGGAAGTTCGAAAATGCCGTCTCTATTTGTCGCCAGTTTAGCAGCAACGAGAACCTCGCCACGAACATTCTTCATTACCCTTCTGCTTTTGTAACTGATGAACTTGTTTACACTGTGCTTTAACTGATATTCGAATACAAAATTTGTCGGAAAACTCTGTAGCTTGTTTCTTGAAATCGAAAAAAAATCAGTAAGGGCAGGATTTTTAGCGAGAATTACTGCCCATAGAGGTATTATCTGGATTATGATGGGCTCTTTGTCTATAGGGCAGTAAATTTAGCGAAAAATCCTGCCCTTCAAAGTATTATCTGGATTTTGAGGGGCAATTTTTCGTTAACCTGTCATTAAAACTCATTTTTGACTTCAAAAATGGAATCAGCACCTCAAATTACCCTATTGGGGATGTTTTCAGGGAATTCTATTTTTTTGTCCTCTTTATCCCCAAAAATTGCAGCTCATCCGCAGTTGAGCTTGATCCTAATTAGCAGCTCAATGTGCACAATGTTTGCCCTTAGGCTCAGTCATCACACGCTGAGACTGCCTCGAGTTGGGCCGAGTCGCTGCCTCGGCAGGAGTTAGCACATGGCGGTGGGCACGTTGCATCTCCCTGCTCTCGGCTTGGCGCCTTCCCCCACCGAGCCACTGGCCATATGTGATCCTTAGGAAAACGGACCCACCCCTTTTCTGCACTTACGAAACTGGTGAAAATTTAACAATTTTTGTAGATCTTCTACCTCACCATTGCCAACTTCATCGGACGAAGAAAACGCTCCTCTCTTGTCTTGAGCCTTTGCCGTGCGCAGAGGCTTCTAAGTTCATCATCTTCTCAAGTTCATTTGTTTTCATACCTTTCCTTAATTTTTAAATAAGTTAAAATACAAATATATATCTAGAATACATCTCATTACACAATCTTCCACTGTACCTAATGATCTTATTTATACTCAAATCTGAACATCAAAGAATTTTTTTTTAAGTTTTTCTTTTAAAAGTTGCCTATTTTTTATGTTTAGCTTCAACATTATTGCCTCAGTACTTCTTTTCGGTGCATTTTCAAAGTTTTATTTATGTTGCGAATCGACTATCTACTATTCGAATTTCGAACTGGAATTTATTTTTTTTTCTCTAAAAAGAATGAGTGAAATTGTAAGAGCTGCGGGTCTGCTGATCTTTCGAAGAGCTAGGGAAATTGAATTTCTTCTGCTGAAGGAAAGGATATAAAAAGTTCATCACTTGGGCGTTAATTGAGGTTAATTGTTATCCTGGCAAGGCAAACTACGGAAAGCGCCACTGGTCGATTACGAAGGGACATGTTGGAACGGTATGAAAAGGTTACATGTTTCATAAAATTATTCAACAAACTTGACTAACCAGAGAAAGACCCCGGCGAAGGTAACATGCGTTCTGATAATTCCAGACTGACTATTGTTCATAGACGAGTTTAAAACAGCGCTGCGTGAGACGGAAGAAGAAGCGGGCTTAAAACAATCAAACTTGAAGATTTACGAAAAAGAGTGGACCCTACGTTACGATGTCAAAAGCCATATCGATGGAATCGTCAGACCAAAAACTGTTAGAATTTGGCTTGCAGAGCAAATTTCTGGCGCTGCTGTTCTCTCTGAGGAGCACAGGTTTGTACCTTGCACTTTTTTGATCCTTTGAAAACGATATCTTCAGCGAAATGTCCTGGGGAAACGAAGAGAAAAGCTGCCACCTACTCTCTGACTATCAAGACATGCAGGAGCTTGTTCATGACGCTGTACACTTTATCAAAAGTAACGAATAAAATTCTCATGGCAACTCTCTATCGACTATTCTTAGTGCCCGCCGGACGAAGAAAAAGTCTTCCTTGATTTCAGTTTTTTAAAAACATCATGTGCATGTGAGATCCTAAGGGCAGTAGCGTGGTTGGGAGACCAGAGGGGAGGTCATTCTTCATTCATATGAGTTTTTGGCTTGCGTAAAATGACGTTGCTTTTGTGTACAGGAAGCGAACCATTTACCGAAATTTTTTTAACTTAATTTATGCCTCTGTAAAATACATATGACGCCAAGAGAATCGCATCGGCTATCTGGAGGAGGTAAATGATATTCTTTTGAGCTTTATAAAAGCCCCTTTGATCCGAGTTAACAAGCGCCTTAAAATAAAGATAAGTATATTTTCCCCAAAATACCATCAACCCGTAAAACCAGCGCAGTGAAGTATAAAAACCAGTCAATTGTTCTATACTTTCGGTGTAATTACTTTTATAAGAGTAGTGAGGTCTTTTACGACGTTCTGGATTATTTCTTCTTTTGGAAAGATATAGCTTCAGATCCCAAGTGAATCACAACGCAAGCTTTTCATTCAATTTTTTTTACAAAATAGTCACAAAAGATTTCGTCAGAGAAAAAAATCGGCAAGGAAAAAGGGTTCAGATTATGAGACGAAATTGACGTAGCATTTTATTTCCTGTGTTTATGGATTGACGTGAATTTCAGGAACATCTTTAAATTTAACTCATTAACGCGTTATATGAAGACCTAAATTTTAGTAAAAAAAGAAGCTTTCATTTACCTTGATCACTTCAAACTTAGTCGCGGAAGCGTAAAATGATCAGAATATTCGAAATTTTACGCAACTGCTTTTGTTCTCTAATGCCTTTGTCCCTGCCTTGCCCTGGGCCTGTGAGTGAACCCTAGAAAAAAGTGCGCGCCCCTGATCAATGCAAAAGATAAATTGTCTAGCAGTACAGTTACGAGGAGGGCGACTGATCGAGAATCTGTGCCATTGATGCTTTATTTCGGTATGTCAGAATAATTACGCTTCCAATTAGGCACATGAGCCACCAGGTTCATTAAAATTTAGAAGCTGTTAGCAGCCCACGAACATTTTGTTGAATTGTTACAAAATTACCCCGAAATAGTTTTTTATTGAACTAAAAATTTGATTGAATATTTGGTTTTCATCCCGGGATTCAACTGTTTTTGTTATTTAAAATAAGTAGCAAGTACTGTTTGAATGAAAAAATCATGAAGGATTCGAGGGCGAATCAAAGAGTTCACTCAAGAGCTTGTATAATTGAAGAGATTCTTGTTCGGGAGTGAAAGATTGAACACGCTCTTAGACTGCGCCCCAACTGAAGCGGTAGATAGCATTTGAGCCACTTTCAGTAGCGATTTATATGTTGACCCTTGCTAGGTGAGCTGGATAATGTCACTGTAATAGGATCAGTGTGGACAATTTGTACAGTCTCTCGCCAGCTGAAAACACTCATTATAACCAGCACAAGTAGCTTCAATGGGCCTTGGATTTCAAGGCCTAATCCTGGCCAGTGTGTTCCTCTCTTTATTATATTTCTGCTCATTGTTACACTGTCGTTTGGGCACACACCAACAAAGAGCTTTTCGCCGCTGGACAGAAAGTTAATTTTATTTTTAAATGCTTTTGGGTCAAATCAGAAGATTGACGCTTTTTTTCGATTAAGATTCTGATTGAGCTCTGGCCTTTTCCTTTTCAGGGACTCTTGAGCCTCTTTACGGTCTATTCTTTCAAAGAGATAGTCTTCCTTGATTTCAAAAAGCTGGGTACCGAAACACAGAGAGTTCAATAAGGAATAAAATGTGCTTGGACGTCAAATACTCTGGGAACGTCAAGTCTTACGTACTTTACTATTTGTTTGTTACTTTACTTTGTCGCAAGACTGTAGACTCTTTGATTGCTTTCAAAAGAGGCTACTCCTGCGCCAGTGAAAGAGACTTGAGAGAGAAGAGATTTAATTTCTATCCCTCATTATCGTTTTTCGGGAATAATCAATGCGCGCGGGCTATTCTGACACTGTATCCAGAATTTCTATAGTTATCTTCTGCTAGCGAATTGCCGCGGGCGAGTGAGTCGCTGAGATTGACCAACTGAGGGCGGCCAAGGGATGAGGAGTAGTGAGACAGCGGCGTTCCCCAGGGACCAGAATTTCTCTCAAATCGTCCCGTTTGAGTAATTGCGCCCCGTGCCAAAGTGCAGTTAGTTGCTGACAAGCTGACTGAAAATCACTCTGCCCCGGCGAAAGAAAATACTGAAAAACAAAGCCTCCGTTTTCCCCTTTTTTAAATGTTCAGATCGAGCTGACAGAAAATTTCTTTTAGAGAATAAATTGATGATGAAAAATTTATGACCCAGTGAGATATCGACTCGGTTTGGCTGTATTTGCAATACAGTTTTCTTATTCAGAAGAAGTTATAAATGATGTGGATTCAGCTCCTTCTGAATCTCCAGTTACAAGTACATTCATACGACGCGCACTCGTACAGTAAAGGTACTGGATGCTAAATTTGGGTGATTCCAAACGATTCCATGATTTTAGCTTTTTAAAATTCGCAAAATTATGGGATGTGGGAGTGCGGGTGCTTGGAAAAGTATAAAAGCGCTGATTTGCTGCGGTAATCAAGATTTATTGTTAGAAGCTATTAGAACTTGTTGTTGTTCAATATTTACACTTTCTCGTTTTTATGTGTTTTTCGTAACCCTCGGGTCAGTCATGTTCGCCAATAGAGGTAGTTTCAGTAAACTCGCCTGACGTCCGGACAGATTTTGTGTAACAAGTAGAAATAATTGATTTTCGCTTTGTAAAATCAATTTGAAAGAATGATATCCATGTTATTCATAATTAACTTACCAGTCTAAACGCCGCTCTTTAAGAACTCCAGCAGACACAATCTGGCAGCTCGAGCAACGAGGAGGACTGTAATTTTCCCCTGGCTCGTCTGAAATCGGAATTCGCTTCGGTCCCGGAGGCGCAAACATGGGACTTTGATATATTCGAATATGCTTCTACGCATCCTGAAGATTTCATGACGCGTATTACTGGCTTCGCTCTTGATCATTTAGGATCAGTTAAAAGTCTTAGACTTGACCACAAGGTACATTTTCTTATAAAACGTTTCTTTGTATTCTTCAGCTTTTATCCACATTCATCGCCGACATCCAGCGCTCCTACCTCGACCATGTCCCTTATCACAACGCTGTCCACGCCACGGACATCGTACAAGCCGTCTTCTACACACTCACCTGCGGGCAAGACGGCTTCCGCCTTCGGGATCTCCTCACGGCCGACGAAGCATCGGCGCTCATTTTCGCCGCATTAGGACATGATATCAATCATCAAGGTAAGTAGCGCTTCTCCAAGGAATATCCCGGATCCAGTAGGATTGCGCCCTCGGGAGCGCCTTTTATAGCCGACCTGCCAAAATAGAGATTATGCGCAATGAATGCGATCTGAGACGGGCTTCTGACGTGTTTAATCCTCTTCAAACGATAATTAGTATCAATATGGCTTCAATGTATGTATTACAGGGTTGACGAACTTCTTCCTGCGAGAGTCAAAACACGAGCTTGCTCAAATTGACGAAGAAAATCCAAACGAATCCATGCATTGGCGAGTCTTTAGCGATAAGCTTGCTCAATGGGTAAGTGAGCCCAGCAGCCAAAGGATGAGTCCGCTTATGCGCCATTTTAGAAGGTATTGGATGATCTAGAGGAGAATCGTCGTGAGAGACTAAGGGAGATGATCCGCGAGCTCATCTTGGCCACGAATATGGACCATCACGCCAAGATTCTTTCTGACTGGAAGAGATTGGAACCACAATTTACACTTGACAATCCTGAGCATAGAATGGCTCTTATGCAATATGTTCTGAAATTTGCAGATATTTCAAATCCCGCAAGACCAAAGGTATTTTATTTTAGTGGGCTGTATCTAATTTCGAACTGTTTAGATATTATATGATAAATGGACAAGAAGATTGAGAGAAGAGCTTCATCAGGAAGGCGACAAAATGAAAGAAATTGGCCTTGAACCAGATCATGTAAGAAGACCTAAAGCTTATTGTTGATCAGTTACCGTATTTGTTCAGACGAGAGATAGATCGCATAAATCAGCAGTGAGCAAAGTTCAGTGCTGGTTTATCCAGCACCGAGTAGTCCTTTACCTCAAAAACATCAACAAATTTGGACCTCAGCTTCCCGAACCAGAGGTGAATCGAAAACTCTCTTCCTTGATTTCACCTCATTTCTTAGGCTCAACTTGAAAAAAATCTAAAAGACTGGAAAAAACGCCAAGCTTGCTAAAACTTCTACTGTCAAAACAGAATGTTATATCACGACCCGCACTTCAACTCGACCATCACTTCAACTCAACAGCTCAGAAAACACTGCGACATCGTTCTGAAATTATTCTATTCCAAAATCTACTGTATGTTCCGCGATAGTTCCGGTTCCCTTCTTTTATCAACAGGATGTACATTTTCTTAAAAATAATAAAAGAAACCTTGCGTTCAGATCAAAAGCTCTTTTTGTCTTTCAGAATCAGATTTTCCTATTTATATTTTCATATCTATGCGCAGGTATGTAACTCATTACTTATAACCAGAGGAGAATAAATTTCGTATTCAAGAGCAGGGGGATAGTCGTAGAAAATTGTAGATGAGCTCATGGTTCCGTTAGTCGTATCCACCGTAAATTTTTCAATTGCATATGCTCCAAGTGCGTAAATTTCATCATTGAAATTAATCACGGACCCAAAGTAATGATACTTAAAAATGATATTTCTTAGATACAATGAAAACTCAAAATTTGCCTACTCAAAATTTGGCCGGTTTTGGTCAAAATTGACTGATTTTTGAATCTGAAAAAGACTCAAAAGTTGGCCGCTTTTTCAAGAATAAAAAATTTTGCATCAACAATGAGCCCAAATTATGCTATTTTTGATCATTTTTAGCATTTTTAAAGTGTTTAAATCATTTTAAAATGACAAAATTCTAATACAAACGACTTCAAACAAGCTAAATTTGAATAAAATTCATCAAAAATGTGAAAATCATGGCGATTTTCGAATTATTCGAAAATTTTCTTTTTTGAAGGGTAAACTTGGCAACTCGGAAAAAAACTAAAAATTTGGCCGGTTTTTATGCGAATTCGGATCTGAAAACCGGCCAATTTTTGAGTTTTCACTGTATCAGACTGAAATAATAGATCATATGATTTTGTATCGAACGTTTTCGTTTATTGGATAAACTTCATCAGGATACTAAACTTAAGATGAACGAAAAAGAAACAGAGGAAAAAGAATACTTTTATGTTGAGAGAGCAGTGTGAAATTGCTAACTGAGGAAAACAGAAAAACAAGATCAAAAAATGGCTGTTTTTAGTCGAGCGCCAAGGTGGCCCAAAACAGTGCTCGACTAAATTAAAAAGTTTTGAACTGTTTGAAATCAGATTGTTCATTTAGGGAGGGTCGATGCAGTAAAATAAGAAATTGTTCAGCGCTTCTCCTTTGACTCTTATTAGTTAGATTAGTTTGCAGAACATCAAAGTATTTTACTTTGACTAAAAACAGCCATTTTTTGATCTTGTTTTTCTGTTTTCCTCAGTTAGCAATTTCACACTGCTCTCTCAACATAAAAGTATTCTTTTTCCTCTGTTTCTTTTTCGTTCATCTTAAGTTTAGTATCCTGATGAAGTTTATCCAATAAACGAAAACGTTCGATACAAAATCATATGATCTATTAACGAAGTCAACCCGAAAAGATATAGACTGAAATAAGTTATAAATTTCTTACGGTACTCAAATTCCCTAATCGATTCCAGGATTCATTCTTGAATAAATAAATTGCTTGACTAAGGTCACCGTATCCTCCAATAGTAAGCATTGCATCGCCAACTCCTATGCAAGAAGCACCTTCGGTGTAAATGCTATAGAAGGGTTAACGTCAGGATAATAACGAAAATAGCGAGAAAACTGTAAGGAGTATTTACTTATCTATTGGAAAATTTGTTGTATATGACCAATCTCCAGTTTCTGGATCTCTTATCTCAGCATACTTTCCACGACTTGTGCTGTCACAGCCGAAAGCTTTGTGAAAAATATTAAGAAACCATTTTGTATCATATTACCCATAATAGCCTCACGATAATTTCCAATGCAGCCCAATATATGGTCAGAGTTCGTTTTTGATGATTCCAACCCAACTGAACTTCCATCGAAATACATACAGCTTTTATAGTCAATATCTGATGTGAAGCATAGAAGGACTTAATGAAAGTTGTTATTATTTTTAACTATGCCTATGAAATTGAATATATGTAATTCGAATGAGTTATTTTGATAACTAAGGAACCTTTTGAATCGTCAGATAAAACAGCGACACTGTTGGAGTAGTAGTGGCTTTCTCCATTTTTGATTTCAGTGGCAAAAAAAATTTTATAGAAATCTAAACATTCCTGTATGGCAGCTTTAAATCAAGCTCGATTACACTACAGCCATCCAATTTCGATATCTACAATTTTAAGAACATTTTTCTATGATTTCTTGACTGACCATATATCTATCGTATTCTCCGCCAAAAATGTAGAACGTGTCTTGAAGATAAGCGTAACCACTACCAGTAATGTATAAAGGATTCCCAATCGGGTAATTTATTTGGGTCCTCTCTACGTTTCCCTCTAATGGAGCGCTGAACGAATAAAAATAAGTCATTGCCAGAAAACCATCATCAATCTCGCACTAGAAAAATTATTACGTGAGATTTAAATAAAAAGATGACGAACGTTATAATCTGGGCAAAATGGGCAACCCTGTGGACATCCAGGATTACAAGGGCAGTTTTTCGTATTTTCCAGAAACTCTTGAGTGCATATTTCAGAGCAATCATATGAGTAACAATTTGAAAGACAGCCATTGAGCATCTTAATATTAAGATTAGGAGTAATCTTGATTTGAATATTATTTTTACCTTTTCATTTGAGTTTTTACAACGGAGAAAATCTTTATTTTCTTCCGGTATTTCACATGGACTTGGTTGACACGTTGGATGTTCACAATCTTCGCAGCCATTCGGGCAGTTAACCCCGCACGGGCTAAGATATTATAGAATGTTTGTCATATTTTAAACTCATTAGTTATGGCCCATTGTGGCATATTTCAATAACTTTCTATTTTACTCACCAGTCCGATAAGCATTCTACGTACTCAATCGCGCATTCACTGAATTATAGCTTACTTATTTGCCAATAATCAAGTAATACTTATCGCAGGTCAAATCATTGCAGTTTTGTCTACACGCTATGTAAGCTCCTCTGCAATCGGTATCGCACAATGCTCCAAGGTCAGCATCGCTAGGTAAATACGGTGATCGATAAAATTTTTTATTTTATTATACTTACGGACAAGTATTATTATCTTTCGTTAATCTTTGACTGATAGCCATGAAGAAATCATCGTTCTCAAGATCAAGTTCTCTCGAAATATCTAATGTGTTCTTTGCGACACAATTTACCACAAAAAAGGCAAGTTGTACAAGCTTTCTCCTCATTTTTACCAATAGAATACGACTTATGCGAGTTACATAGGACTAAAAGTTGCTTTTGCACATAACATCTGCAGTTTTCCCAAAGAATTACTCGCAATATAATTTTTAAAGGAAGAAATTTTACTTCCCTCATTCTTAGATGATTTTACTTTTTTGCAGGATAAACTTGAAAATGATCAATTAATTTCATGCTTGGTTATTGCGGTTTGTCCTGTAGGTTGTGTTAAATCAGCAAGATGTCCGTGTTTGTTTTGAAATAATTTATTAAATCATCATTTGGCAGAAAGATTACAAAACTCTGCCGGATATCCGCTTGGAACCAAGCTCAGACCCCAATTTAGTGTTTCATAAATGAGGTTGAATCTTGATATCCAGGAGCGGAGTAGATTGAAAGTGGGAAAAGGTGAGATAGGCTTACCTAAACTTGTACTTTTAGGTATGGCGCAATACTTTTCTCATGACAAGAAGAGTACCGCAGGAAATTGGGGAAATGTTGGCAGATTGTATGATCATCATAAAAACAGAAGTAGATTTTATACAAAGAATAAAAGCAGAAATTTCGCAGGGAAATTATCTGCGTGTGCGAAAAAGAGTACGAGAGTATTTTTTCAGGAGCGGATAGTGACAACAGATTGCACTTCACAGGAGGAACACTGTGGCCGTTAGACGCTAGAAATTCTCATTAGTATAATGAACAGACGAGGGAGTAGTTACCTGAAGTATTTACAAGGAGAAGTTGGCCATAAAATTTTCAGAAAAATGGGCTGATCACCTAAAAGAAGCGTTGAGAAAGTTGAATATGCATAGAGAATACTACCTTACTGGCTCTCAGTAGGAGTCTGCTGAGGCAAGTGAGTGGGGTGGTTGTATGGCTTGAGGACTCCGTTGTAAAACTCTTTGACTTTTCGCATTTCTCTGATCTTATTTCGTTGTTGGTTGTATCGTCGGTTGCATTGGACGTAGACACCGACGCAGATGCCGAGAGCAATGACGGCAACGACGAGGGCGATGGTGATCATCATAACAATTTGGTTGTTGTCTAGAATGACGAAGTTAGTTGATCGAAGAATGTTTCAGACAAAAATCCAGATTTTCAACTAAGCTGCGTGATTAGACAAAAATTACAGCAGCTTGGAATCTCAGAATTATCTTATTGCAACGCATATTTCACCCTTTGCGCAGCCCGAGGGTTTCTATCGTGGAATTTGCATAAATTTCAATCCTTGAGAGGCCTTTTTCGCCATAATTTAATTATTACCTTGGGCAATTTCTTCAATCTCGGCGCGGAGGATCTCTTCGGAGATGACATTGAATTGTCCTTCTCGCATGACTTCGGCGCGCTTCTTGAGCTCTTCGGGGCTCATTTCGTCGACGACGGTGATAGACATGGTGCTGTTGAAAGCATTCTCGGGCTTGTACATGCCCTTTGGTGCTTCAGGACTCTCAACTGGCTGAAATTTATTGATAAAAGAAGGAAGTATTAATTATAAAGTTACCTCTTCCGCAGCTCTTCGCTTTCGGCCAGTATCGTATTGGTCGTTGTAAAGTTCATCAATGTAGTTGATGTAGTAGTAGTTGACGTAGTAGTAGTCATCGTAGTTGATGTCGTTGGCCATGCAAACACACTGGTTGGCAATGCCTGGACCGGCCTTCTGGCAAACCTCGACTTCGCAGGAGATGTACACCTGGTCCATCTTCTCGGTCCACTGGTACATCTGGAAGCAGAAATTCACATCGTTGGAGAGACCGTTCTGGATGAGCTGGACAGTGACGTCGTCAACCTTTGAGCATCGGTCGTTGATGAGAGTGTTTTGGAGACCAGTGCCGTCCATGTTGGAATAAGCGGCGCATTTGTTGGCGGTGAGGACGAGATCGTCTCGGATGGTGTTCTAGGTAAAGAATTAGGTGGTGATTTTTGAGCTGTGAACTTACGGTTAGAGAAAGCTTGACACAAACATCGGATTTCTTGGCGATGACTGGGTTCTCGGGGTATGGCTCCATGAAACCTTCATCCTTGAAGAGGGCCATCTCGACGGTGAAATCTCCGAGGTCGGATTTATGATCGACAGTGGTGACGGCGGGAGTGAGAGCATCCGAGTGGACGGTGTACTCATCTTCGTAAGTGCACTTGAACTCAACGATGTCAAAAGTCATCTCGACAGCTTCTTCGGATGGAAGACCCTTTCGCTGTTGTCGGTAGACGACGGCGTTGGTGTATTCGTAATCGCCACCTTCGTGCTTGGTGACGGTTCCGCACTGGGAGAAGGGAGAGTTGATTCTGAAGAAATCAATTACTTCATTATCGAAATCAAGACTTTATCTTGGTGTTATATAAAAACTAACCACGTGAACATCAGTCTCAACACGTGTTTCCAATTTCGCGAAAAATTTACAAGACCTGTTGCTCAATTTTACAAATCTTCCGCGTCTTTCTATCTCTATCTCTATTTTGATTCCAGAGAGGAAATTACTGTTTGCTTACCGGAGAGTGTACTCGTCGCCATCTTCAGTGACAGTGCAGCCAGTTCCCTTTCCTCGGAAGCCAATGTGCTCGACGGAATCGTCAAGATCGTGCTCGGTGACGAGGTCTTTTTTCACGTTCACCTGCATGAAGGAATCGCCACAGACGACTTTTGGTGGTGCGACTGTACAGAAGATTCCGGTCCAGCCATCTTCGCAACGGCAGAAGAATCCTCGGTTGTACTGTAAAATTCAGATTAGTTTTCTTTTCGAAAATGATGATGTCAGTTGTCCAGTCCTATTAGTGAAAAGATACGGTACATTTCGTTCGATAAAGCTTCTTATCTTAGGCTAGGGGTCAGCTGCCGCTTCGCCACATGTACTCATACAAACTTATCAGATAGGGTCATTTATTAATAAATGTTCAATAACCTTAGCGGTCGAATACTAATCCAATTATCGAAAACCCAAATAATGAAAATGAGGAATAATTGAACCGTTGTTTATAATAATAATGAGCAATTACTAATTAGCGCTCGTCAGAATTCAGTTGCATTTTATGTGTTTTTAAATAGATGCTGCTCGAAAGGCCAAATATTATTGAATCTGAATCGGGCATTTATCATGAATCGTTGCTATTATGGAATAATTGCAAGATAATAATCGCAAAACGTGGTCATCTGGCTCGACGCTGGTGTTAACCGTTTAGAGATTAGAGTATGTTAAAAAGAAGGATGAAAACATCAGAAGGTGACCAAATGAGTCTTTTATTTGACCAGTTCTCAATTTTTGGGAACTTTGCTTCAGAAAATATTTTAATGAAACGGACTATACAAATCCGATTATATTTATATACTTGGAAGACTTAAATTACAGGCATTTTTACTCTTATCATCATTTTTATGAGCGTTTTTAGCCAATTAAGAGGTCGAAAAAGCAATTGAAAATATTATTAAAATGGCTAATTTTTGATCTAAAATTCAAAAATACACTTACGATATCACTTGGAACACAAGTTCCACCATTAGCGCATGGAGTATCGTCACAGGTCTGCTTGGTCTTGGTGACCGAGGCGGAACCTGGACCAGCTCCCAAAGCGGCCACAGTTGTAAGTGGCAGAACAGCAAGCTTCATAATATGATGTTTCTGAAGGATAGTCTCTTAGAAAGCGTTTTTCGTGGTTATTTCTCTTTTTACCTTATACAATATATACAAAAAAGTAAAAAAGGGATTTTTCTATTTTCTTTATTTCGCTAGCGTACTGATGGCGGAGGTGCTGATGGTGGAGTCGCCACACGCTGGCGCTACCGAGCGGTGGGGCGAGTTGACGGCCCGGCCCGCGGTCAGACGCCGCGGTTGCCACTCAGAGTTCCATGCTCAGCAGGAGAGCTCTCTGAGTTTTTATCAGCCTCCGCCAGGCTAGTGGTGGTGCAGTTAATTGAAACCCCGGTCTAGTTACGCCTAGGGTTGACTTTCATAGCAGGGAGGAGAATTATGCTCTGGAACATATTGATGATTTTACGGTTGCTAATTTAAAATTTGAGTGGGCAAATATTCTGATCTTGGTCAAGATATCTCATTATTGAAGATGGAACTTCTACGGCAATAAATTTTCATCTGCCAGGATCCAAATTTCAAAAGCGCAAAGGTACACCACCCTAAGCGCGGAAAACTCATCAAGGCAGAAGCAGGTACTGTTAGCGTACTAGTAGAAAAGGGCGGAACGACGAGGTTTTGAACACGCACCAATTTGTGCTGGAATGCTCACGTGATCTGATCAGTGGTTTATTTCTTCTCTCTCCCAAAAGAAAAACCGCATTTGGGGTGATACTATTTTCAAAGTGGTTTCAGGTGGATAAATTGAGCATTAATAAAAACGAATCAAAATTAATAGTTATTATTTTTATCCGCAATTAAAATGAATATTCTTTATTTTTAACATTTTTTTGAAAATTTTGCGTTTGAACCGTGCAAAAAAATTAGTAATTGAACAAAACGAAATTTTTATCAAAATTTCCATGCTTATCCTTATTTTTAAGTGCTCCATTCTAAGCGATATCAATATAATCCCACTCTTTCGTTAACCCTAATCCTCTGACTCTACGCTTGAATTTTGAACCGTAATCTTCGAAATCGAAACAGTGAAAAACTCTTCTGCAAGATGTCCTTTAGAATGTTTTATTTTCAAAGAAAAGTCAAAAATGTCCGGCGACCGCGAACACTGGCCGCCGCGTGTCACATTTTTAGGAATGAGGAACGAAAACGAGTTAAGCTGGGTGAACTGGTGGAACTGAACCGAAAGTACTGAAGAATAGACACAGGCGAAAAACAGGAAATGAAAGGGTACGAAATGTTTTTTGAGTATTTTTATGGCTGCTTCGTTAATGTTTTTCAAATATGGTTTTGACGGTATGGATAAATGTACAAAATGTTAAATAATCACGAAAATATACAAGTAAATTTCAAGATGAAAAATTATCATCGTCGTCAAGCATTTTCGTAATGACTTTGGGCCTCCTCCAAGTTGTCCCGCGAGTGGCGCCGCTCAAACTCATCTGGACAGTAAGTGACTTGCGTTACTGTGCGTTCTAGAGCCATGTGACCAGTAGTCGAGAGTGAGGACCGGCGACCGCCACTGCGTCCAGCAGCTGACATTGGAGCTGCGTATGAGACGGCTCCCACGGAGTTTGTAGAGTAAGTACTGAATTAGGTAAGTTAAAATTAATTATTTTCGATATATGATCCTAATAACGCCTTTTTGAATATTTTAGAAACAATCATCTTTGTAACCCTCCAATTACTATTGCGAAAGCCCGTTTCCAAAGTGAAACAAACCGGAAAGAGCGTGAAAGAGGATCACTGCGTCGCCACTGGAGCAGTTCGTTGCACGTTAGTTTTTTTTCCTTACCTGAGCTCTTTGTGAAGAGGCGCATGAGTTCGTTGTAACGTTGGGTGCTGTCGTAGCGGTGGCGGAATTGCTTTTGACGCTGGTAGTTTCATTCGCTTGCTGAAATTTTTTCATGTTAATTTTTTCATTTTCATGTTTTACATGGATTAATACTTTCAAAATGAACGTGATCTCGCTAATTGCTATAAAAACTAGCGGTCGATTAAAAACAGATTTCGCTAATAATAATTAACATTAATTATTATAATTATCGACCATTAATTTTCTCCAGAAAAAAAATTGGCGAGAATGAATTTCTACTATTTAGCATCCACGTTTTTTCTTTTACGACGATCAACTTGCTGTGTTGTTTATTTTGTCGACACTTACCAAAGAAGAACCGCGACTAGAATGAAGCCAGAAAGAACGACCGCAGCCAGCAACAAGCCCCCCGCGTACATCAACCACCTGTTACTCTTTTCTCTCGCTGCCAGTGCGTCGAGAGAGGAGGAAGTTGACGCGATTTGATGATCTTGTCCGATGTCGATCGGGACGTCCCAAACGGGCACTTCGGGAACGTAGATTCGAGGCATCACCGGAGTCTCCGACGTTCCAATGCCTTTCGATCGTAGGAAGGTGTAAATTGTCTAAAAAGAAAGCGCTTTTAGATCAGTTTTAAAATGAACCTTCTGAAAGAAAAAACGTCGATTTCCTGGTGCTATTAGAACGCTGACCGCTATATCCTCGCCCAGTAGTAGTTTCATCATTACATAATTGGCCCGCCAATTTCGCGATGGCGCATTTTAGCAGAATTCAAAAATGTCACTCACGTCAAAAAACGCTCAATTAAAAATATTGTCCTTTTAAAAATGCCAAGCGAAAGTCGAAAACCGTTCAAAACTTGCTTTAAATATTTATACGTTTGTTATTGCTTATCTCCGTTGGCTGTTTGTGTCTAAACTAACCTTGAATTTATATTTATTGCCTGAAGGTTCGCGATCCATGGCGAGGAGACTGTAGTCGCCAAAGCGATTTCCGTGTTCGTCGATTTTTACTTGCGAGGCGATCCCGTTCATCTGCCGGGCTCGCATTTGCGCGGAGATTTGGGTACCATCGCGCCAGTCAGTTCCGTCGCCGAGGGACTAAAATATGTTTCAAGAAAAAATTCGAAGAGAGGAGCTTACGGCGTCAATCGCCATTGCGTATAAAATGAGCGCATCGTGAAATCCCTCGACGAAAGAATTGACTCTAAATTCTTCCTCGTCTTCCAGAATCCCCATTTTCCGGTAGTCCTCCGCCATGGTCTGGGAAAAGTGTTCGAATTGTCCTTGTCTAGGTGCCACATGCGAAGCCGAAGATTGGTAAGGAACGTATTCCTCGTTGCCCTTGATTGTTCTCCTCGCGTTTCGAATGTTGGTCCGCAGTGTGACTACTTGAAGGGCTAAATAGAAGTCGTTGAGATGGTCACCAATAGTTATCGAATATTACACAGGGGTCAAACGATGTTAGATTGCGCGAATCAAATTTATTTAGAAGTCCAAATTCAACGCATAAATAAAATCATCTTCGAGGAATAGCATTTTTGGAAGTAAAGGCCGTTGATTATTTAGACACAGCGGGAGAGATTTAGCTCCACATTCCTCGCGCTTTTAAAAGATCAATTCGCACGGGGATGATTCGTCGATTTTTGAGAATACTCTAACAGTGTAGATCTTCATCTTACAGTCAGCATTGGCTTTACCTTTATAAGCATCTCTTGCTTCTTCGTCTTTGTCGTCATTTCGTTTCCACGATCCATGGCCGAAATACGAAGCATTGAAGAGATCAACAGTGTACCAGACATTTTGCTCTGGTTCAGTCATTCCTCGTCGTTTCGCAGCAATCATCATGTTTCTCACGAAATCTTCGCTTCCGCAGGTGACCACTACTCTTGGATCTTTCATCTGATCAAGCACTTCGTTGTAGTTGATGCAGCACATTGGATACTGGACGACTGTGTTGAGGACGCGAAAACGAGTGCCTGTATTCATCTGTAGGGTGTATTGAATTGCTTCCATGGCGAAATAGCAGTCTTTGGTCAAATCTTCGGGCGAATGGTAGAGGAGATGAATGGTGTGCTTCCAGTAGTCGAGCTGGACGAAGAGGCTTTTGAAAAACTCGCCGATCTCCGTGAAAGGCGCAGTGATCCGAGTCAGCGTCGGCTGGTAGACATCAGTAAACGCCATCGCCATCGCACCAGACGTGATCATTGCTTTGTTCCAAAACTTGGAAAAGTCGTTGACTCCATCCGCAGCGTGTGAGCAAACTGGACCGAGAATCAGATCGACTTCTGTTCCTAAAGGAAAAAATTTTGAACAAGGTTTATTTTTCTGGGAAAGAATCTTTTGTTGGCATAGCTTTTCTCAATTCGCTATTTTCTTCCATCAAAATTCAGTACCATGGAGTCTTCAAAGTGCCGCTGCTCAAAGTTTTAACTCAAGTGGCGTCTTCTTCAAACGCTGCTTTTCCCTCTTTTCATTAGGGACCCTTATTACCTCCAAAAGCCCTTTTGCTATATAAATCTTGCATTTTCAATGTTTTTTGATCTTGCGCCTTCAAAATAAACAAAATCGGGTTTATTGGCATCTCGTATTCATTGTTGTAGAAAATCCTGTCAAAATCCACGCTGGAGATTTTCATAAATCCCCGAGGATGCTATTTATTTGGGCTTTGATATGCTCGAGCGGCTCCTTGAGCTCTGTGATTGTTTTCCATGCGATGGCCTTTGAGAACTTACTTGTCGGAAAAAGTGGCGGCTTTTGTTGGCCCTAAGTTGCATCACAATGATATGGAAAACAGCCACTAAATATAGTATAATCATGGGAAAACTTTTTCTTTTGTAATTTTTTCGATTTTTTCACTGAAATTTTTTGGTTATTTTTTTCCAAATTAAAGTTTACACGAAAAGAAGACTAAGCCTTAGTTTCAAAATATAATCACCAAACCCGCTAATCAAGTATCTTCTTGTAAAGTTTAATCAATCAAACGGTCGTGGAACCAAGTGGGAAATAAAGGGTAATGAGCAATTTTTGTGCAACGGAGCAGAAAATGCATTTCAAGTGGCAAGTTCGCCACCGCAAAAATTTTAAAGGGGGTTAATTGAAAAAATGCCTTTTAGAAAAAACAACGAGTGGGGAATTTCAAAGAATCCTTGGATGAATTTTCAAGCTCTTACCATTTTGCTTGTTTTTGTAAAAGGTATCGGCGGTGGTCAGCATCGCTTCCCGGTTGCATCCCGAGTCGATGTACTCAACGTCAAACTCGAAATTTGACAGAAAGTTTTGCTCGTCTGTCGACCAGGTCCCCATAAATGTCAAAATTTTCATACAATTTTTCGTTAAAAGATTGATCAAACCCCTTCAGCCCGCTCGTAAATCGGTTTTAGATGATCACCTCGGAAAGAGCAAACGAAATATAATCCGATACGGGGTAATGGTGTTGTGTTATGCTTTGAACGATAGGACAATGGGACCTGTTCCTTTGATTGTCTGCAGCGCGTAGTTGATCGCAGGACGAACGTGGTTTTGGCTATTTTGGGGCTTGAAATAACATGATTTTTTTTTCAAAAATAGAAGGTATGTTGTCCTAAAACAATGTTCTTAACGAAACTTTTAGTGCCAAAAGTAACTTTTTGATATCAATTTGGTGTTGTCTTTACTAGCACTTACTAATTGAAAGTATCTTTTTATAATAAAAAGAGCTTCTTTCAAGCCGTTTCCTGAATAAATACTTATCATCTTCCGGCAGCGAGGCGAGAATCTTGACTCTTTCGGTCTTTTCTTCTTTTTGTTTCCTCCGATTTCCGCGCGACTTCCCGCAGTTAACCTGGAAGATCAGAAGGCACCATTGCCAAAGAAACATTTTCTCCGTCTTATCTTCTTTCTTGTTCTTATCTCTATTTCGTTGTGAAAAGCGGTTGTGAAAAAAAGCGGTTGAATGTATTTCCGGAGGCTGTTTTTGCTCCTTTCTAGCTTTGGATCGAGTATGTGCTCGGGCGTTGAAATAAAGCGCATCGGTGCGTATGGCGCCCGCGACCGCGGACTCGTTGGCGCCATCTGTGGCTACTCGTGGAGGGATCAGATGTCCTGCTGAGAGAGAGACATTGATTTGAAACAGTGTTCCTCTTGTACAAATAAGGTCATTTACTGGACGTACTCAAGCATGAGAAATGAAAATGACGGTCGTTTGAAATCAAGGAAGACTATCATTTTTACGCATCTCAATTTATACAAATTTTGATAAAATCAATCTCCATGAAGTTAAATTATTTCTATCAAAATTAAAAATTTTTCTTTTCATGAAAAACTTTGGATAAGAAGAAATTTGAGTTGATTGCCTTGTCGTTGTATTGAGTTGAAAAAGGTGCTATTCCTCAAAAAGGTGATGTTAAAGTCATCAATTTTCAAACGGAAAAATATTTTCTCCAGCCAAGACGATAATAATGGCAGAAGTTGTAAATCACCGTCGATTAGAATCAAAGTCATTTACAACCCTAGCTGCTAGGGCCTAGCAAGCTCAAGATCGCGACAATCGCATGCCGTTTGTGGAATTAAAGTGGCCTCTTTGTGCAACCGCGTAGAACATCGTCGCTGTATTGATAATCCCCAAAACATCCAAGAGCCCAGCTGGGAAGGGAAAATCTGAAGACTTTTGTCAAGCTCACTGAGTCGTTTCTCAGCCTGTTTTGTAGCGACCGATAGATTTTAATCGCGCGCGCCGACCTAAACACCAACTCAATAATTATAAACATCGCTCAAAACACTTCAATCAAATTCGTACTCGAGCTCTGGCAACATAGAATTTCGCGCTCGCCGGAGCGAGGAGGAAAGTAACACTGTTACAGGCTTTGAAGATGAAGGGGATTTCTGACACCTGAAAAGGGTTTTACGACTTCTGGAAAATCGACGAATATACAACAATTGATTGTTTATCAACCAAGCGGTTTTTGAAAGAATAAGTAAAAAAATTTTTTGACAAAATTTGGGTTTCAAAATTATGCATCAGCCAAAAATGCAAGGCCAACAAAAAAACAGCTGTGATGGCAATTTTGGACTCAGTAATGAGCAAATCTCGGTGGGAGCGCGAGCTCGATCAATTCGACATTTTGAGAGGGGATCTCGGTGGTAACCACTTCCTAACGGCGTGACGATCAATTTTAGGCATCGATTAGACGAGTTCCTAAAGAATAACTCTGATTTTATGGATGACCTGGGCGGCGGATGTTCTCGAGGCTAAAAATATCACGGATTTGAGGACTTTCTGTCAATCAAATAGAGTGGTTATGCTCTTACATATAATTTTGTACCCCAACATGATTGTGACTTCTTTCATGCTGAGAAATTTTAACTTGGAAATTCGAAGATGGAATATTTGAAAAAATAACATCTGTTTTCGCGTTCCTACCGCTTTATTTGAGATAATAACGTTAATCGCGTTTAGATAAAATTATTTTCAAGGGAAATATTCACGCCATCTATCAATAACAACGGATTGTCTCAGAATATAAAGCGCTTTTCGCCCATCTTTTTTCATTATAAAAAGTCAACCTTTGAGTAGAGAGACTTTTTCTATAAAAAAATGAAACTTTTTGCAGCTCTTCTTGTCTCTACCGAGGCATGGAGCCGAGGTTCTTGCTCTGACAGCGATGCTCCAGGCGAGTGCCGGACCGAATGCGACTTGACCTGGTTCGGAAGACGAGATAAAATCAACTTCAAGCAATTCGGAAAGAGCGAGAATGGATTTCTAGCGCAAGCTGCTCCTCTTAGCTGGAAAGACGCCCATCTCAGCAAAGATGGCCATTACATCGGTATGCTGAGATTCGACCGACAATTCTGCAAGCGACCAATTCTCAAGGCAATTGGAGAGGGTAAAGTAACCATTAATGTATTTGATCGAACTGATGCAAACTACGCGCTCGAAGCTCAATTTTACGAGAGACCGCTAAACAACGACCAAAATAAAGAAGCAGCTTTCGTTCAATTCCGCCGCTCTGGATATCTCAACGGAGATATGCTTTTCAAGGGCAAGGATCGATTCTTCATTGAAATGTCGAACATCGCGGACCATTTCGAACCTCTTGATCCACCAAACGAAAATGTCTCTCATGATGACTACTGGATGTGTTTCAATAATGTCGGCTTCCTTCACCAAGCTGATGTTGAGCAGGAAGACTTCAACGTTTCCGACTACACCAAGTGCGCTGCTTACACGCGATATGGCCAAGACATGACCGAAACTACTACAACTACCACCACCACAACGACAACGACGACTACCGAAACTCTTGAAGGAGGATGGGAGGTCGCCGGAGCGACGCTCAAAGACGGTCTCACCTGCGATGCACCTGGAACTCCGTGGTCACCATCTCTTCGATCATGGGACGATATGGTCACCGCGCCATGGAGCGAAGGCCGAATTGTTAACGGTGCTGTCGTTGAAGAAGGAAGCTGGCCGTGGATCGCCGGACTCAACAGCGGTGGATCTCACTGGTGCGGCGGTACCGTCATTACAAAAAATTCTGGTTCCCAATCTGATTGGGTTCTGACCGCCGCTCATTGCTGTGAGGGTTCGTCGTCTATCAAGGTCACTGTTGGCGATTGGTCCCAAGATACAGTCAGTGAGAACGAAGTTACTGTCACATCGAAGAATATAATTATGCATCCCAGCTACGATGACTGGACACTTTCCCACGACTTCTGCATGATCGAAGTGCCTAATCTCGTTGCTGCGGGAGCTGATCATCAACCTGCTTGTTTACCAGGTATACACAAAATAAATAAATAGTCGGATATATAATCATTGCAGCTCAACACGTCCAGCCACAGAGAAAGTGCTACACTGCTGGATGGGGAACAACTTCTTACGGTGGCTCTGCTTCAAGAGATCTTCAAGCTGTTGGCTTGTGGATCTTTGATCAAGCCTACTGTAATTTGACAGCGAATGCCGGAGGTCTTGACGAGTCTATGTTCTGTGCCGGTATCCCAGACTTTGACGGAGATGGAATCACTGACGGCGGAAAAGGTACGTTCAGCTTTCAATTTAAGAGCTAAAATCAATCTTAGATGCCTGCCAGGGAGACTCCGGAGGACCACTTGTCTGCGAAGAAGAAGGCCAACCAATCCTCTATGGCGTCGTTTCATGGGGATACGGATGCGCCGCCCAAAACAAACCTGGCGTCTGGGGAACCGTCGCTTACGCAATCGACTGGATCACTGATATTATGTCTGCTTAAAAAGGAAGTCGATCTGATGCTTAGATTCTAGCCGCTAGAATCTTGACTGACGGATTGAATAAAGTAAAACAACAAAATGATCAAATTGAATATTCTGTAAGGGGTCAACCTTGTTTTTATATTGAAGACCTGTTGGGAGAATCGGAAGAAACTATAATTAAATAATGGCATAAACGAATTATGCCACTAATACAGAAGAAAGTGGAATAGAGAACGCGATGACCGGTTATGGAAGGACCATGGATTATGATTGTGTTAGTTGGTTAGTAAATGGAGGTTGAGAGAATGATGAGGTCGAATTAAATAGTGTTTTGTTGCTTTTTAAATAATTTAGCTTTCTTTAAACTAGGTCGACCTGATAGAGAAATGAGCGAGGTGTGAATTATAACGAGAAATGACTTGACAGATGAAGAACAATCGTAGCAGGAGAATAGTCTGCGTAGAGGTTAGAATCGTAGCAGGAAATGTCCGTGCAGAAGGTGTGTATAAAATGACAACAGTATTTATGAAGGATAAAGAAGAGAGAGAGATAGAACACAAGGCAATCTTCATAATTAATCGGCAGCACTGCAGATTTTCTCGATACCTTCAAATGGCGTGAGATAGATCTGTGGTGAAAGATTAATTACTGAAATTGTCAAATGTACCATAAGAAGATGAGCCCTCTACGACAAAAAGTAGCAATTGTTTAATACGTTTAGATGGAAGTATTTAAGCACCAGTCGACACGAAACGGTTTACGTCGGCGATGACTAGGTGAAATGAGAGGTGACAATGGAAGAAAAAAAAGTGACCGCGGAAAAGCTCCGCGAGTCGCAGTATAAAAATAACATAAAAAAGCAGCAATCATTTGCAATATTAATATTAACAAAAACTTGGGAAGAAAATATTCTTGTGAACTCTTGATAAGAACATACGCGGGGAAGACGATAAGAAATCGGGAAGGAGAGCGTTTGGGAAGACTTGACGGGCGGGAGACAAGGAGGTCAGTTTTTGAATACATAGAGGTTTTGTAATTGCTGAGCGCGTTTTCTTTGAAGCTCGAGTCCTAAATCTTCAATAAGTTAAAATTGACAAGTGGCGGGATGTTTACCTAGGTCTATCCCAAAATTGTCGGACTTTTCTTGTTTAGCTGCAGCTTCGATTTTTGGAAAATCGACACTGGACGGAGTTGCTTGAGCTACAAAAAAGCGATGATGAATCAAGGAAGATTAGTTAGAAAATTTATACAAAAAATGGAGGCAAGCGGGTTTCCGTCACTGACTTGGCTGAGTCTGCGAGGTAGTTTGAACTGGGGAAGTATGTACAGGAGGCACAATGTGTGCATGTGGCTGCGCTATACCTTGCTGAGCGGCGAAGCAGGCGAGCGGAAGGCCGGCATTCTGCTGCAGTCCCATATTGAAGTTCGCAAGCTGGCCTAATCAAGCGTTATTATTCACGTCAGCGGATTAATTTATAATTTGAAGTGCGCGCAAATAAAAGAATAGGGAGAATATTCTTCATGTCAAACCTGTGGCGTCGGCAAATATTGGCTGGAAATTCGTTGCAGCCATATTAGGCAGCATTGTGTAGCCGCCGAGCCCTGTCATGCCTAGATGAGTGTGATGTTCCATTTCCATTTTTAATGTGATTGTACGAACCTAGCGTGCCGAGGCCCATCTGGGCCTGTGTCATGATGGGCGTGGTAGATGCGATCGGGAGCATTATCCCACCACCGGTAGATGCAGTTATCAAACTCGCATCGGCATATGGAGAGCCTGAATTATTTACTCAGCACGGTTAATTTTGATATGGAAACATATAGTAAGATGTGAGTCCTCCATGATTTCAGCGAGAACGAATGCTCGATGTGCTAAAAGTGGAAGAAGAGTCTTTACCGGTGGGGTTAGCATTAGCGACGGGGCCGGCGAAGCCAGAGTAGGAAAGATTGGGGCAACTGCCGGACTGGGGGTCTTCTTTGATTTTTGCCAAAATCACGTCCCCTGCATTGTACAGTTCCGATTTCTCGCCAGTTACAGTAATAACACGTTCCTAATTTATGAATAGAACGTAATACGCTACATTTATTCATCCTTCACGCCTTCTACAGTTTCCCCAGGGCCGAAATAATGTAAACTGTCACTTTTTACGGCGATTGAAAAGTTCAACCGTAAAAAGTAGTGTCGTACTTAAAATGTAGTACACATGAACAATGAATGGCAAATGAGTCTGTGAGCTGTTTTCAGTTGTTGTTTTTCTATTTTTTAACTTAGGTCAGTCAGTGGCACTAATTTCGAAATGAAGGATGAATAAATCGGCAATAGTGAGAGGTTCAGTAAGATTACCTGTAGGTTGATCTGCTCGGGCTTCTGGCTGAGCTGCACTTTCGCGCCCGTCGATTCCATAATGTGTTTAATAGTTGCGCCCGCTTTCCCAATAATAAGGCCAGCTGTGGTGTTTGGCACAATGATCTTAGCCTAATTCGAAATTCATGAGCAATTAATTTTCCTTCTCTATTTACCTGTTTATGTCTATCACCGTTTTGAATCGCCATATCTTTCGGAACTGGAAATTCGAATGTCTTCTCGGTCATGAATCGGTAAACATGTTTCAAAGCAGCGGCATCGCCTGTTACGAGTCCTATTCTTTCTGTAGTTCCTGAAGAAATCGATAAGCGATAATGGTAAGAGAATGATTTATGATCAAAAAAGATTTGCTGCCTATATATTTTACTATACGAAATATACAGTAAAATGCAGATGGTGATTACGTCCTGGGGCGAAGTAGATCCACCAGGACATTATCGACTTCAATTCGATAGATCATCTAATCTATACACATCATACCAAAAAAACGTATTAGTGCTGCTATTGCATTATATATGCACTACTGTCGCACACGAAAGGGTAATAATGCATGGCTGATAAGTTATGCGACATACTGTCAAAGTCATCAATGTGTTCCTAATTAGCGTGGCGCTTACCTGGGTAAAAATCCTTCGCCTTTGAAAGTTTTATGACGGCGCCAGAATCTTTTTGAAGCTGCGTGATCGTTTGTCCACATTTACCTAGAAAACAAATTTACTACTAAAAGCCGTAAACAATCGACTAAACAAACAATCGTGTAAATAAACCTAATCCGCATTAGAGTGATTGTAAATTCTTAAAATATGACAAGCCAAAACCACTTAAAATCTTACCGATTATTGATCCGGCGGCGTAGGCAGGAACCAGTATTTTCAGTAATAACGGACCAGCTTCTGTTTTCTCTCGGAGCACCAGGGATGACGCTGGAAGAAACTCATTATCATCAATAAATTCAATTTCTTGCTCAACCATTTTTCTTTTTGAAAAACAAAAGACGGAAAAAATGGTCAATTTCAAACTGCAATTTGCTTTTTGCACTTTCACTTTTCCGCCATCAAAACGCGAAAATCATAAAATTACAAAGATGCGAATTTTAATCTCCTTATTTGTTTTTGCGAATTCGCTCTAAAATTTCAAACCTCGAACAAATGGGTCCATTTTATATTCCAAAAAAGATGCAAATAAATAGGTTAAATAAAAAAGTTCTTATTGTTAGTTATTGTTCATTCTCTTGTCGGACATTATTCGGTAGCGTGCCCTGCGGCGTGTGAAAGGCCGAGAGAATGGAATACGGGGAGGGGATAAGCCGTCGGTCTCTGGGGATGACGCCACCGCTTTTACTGAGCGCAACTACCAACCTTCGGGCACACTCATGCCGGAGAATTATCTATCGACAGGCGCTGTTGCAGTTTTTCAACCTCGCGGAGTAAAAACGCAAAAAAACGAATGAAAAAAAAAATGTCTGAAACTCGAAGGAAGGCGATAGTGAGGGCGATGCTCGTGTTTTCCCCTTTCTGTTTTCTTTTGAGGAGATCCGAGATTCCGCCCCGCGGTGAGCGACCTACAAAACCAGAGCTCGCTCATTGAGCCTTTCTTTCTGGCACAAGACCAAGGGTGAGATCATCCCCTGGACCGTTACAGGCGTTGATAGATTTCTTTGAACAGATATTTTTTATGAAATCGAAAGAAAACAAAGCTAGTAACAATCTGGGATCGGCAACCTGTATAGAAAACCTGAGTCAGGTTCTGAAGGGCTCGAATAAAAAGCCGCGGCGCGGCTTTTTTAAAAAGGAAGCCGTGAAGAGACTTCGCCAGTATTTAGACAAAGATCAAAATAATAATTTTGCGAAGCCGCACAGGCGGCTTCGTACTTGAAAAAGCCGCTACGCGGCTTTTCATTGAAGCTCTTCAGAACCTGACTCAGGTTTTGTAGACAGGTTTCCGAGACCAGGTTGTAACTAGCTTTGTTTAGTTTTCATTTCATAAAAATATCTGTTCAAAGAAATATATCAACGCCTGTAACGGTCCAGGGGATGATCAAACCGCTTCAAATAGGGTTACTTACATGTTGTGCCTGAAATGTCACTCTGATGTCTCTTGGAATCCTGGTTGTCTTCCGAGCCATTGTCCGAGTATCCACAAAACTCGTTATACGTTCGTTTTCGACCTGTGCTAGTCTCTGTATGTGCTTTGATCGCGCTGTCTTTCCTCTGTGCTGCCTTAACAAGAAGTATCATAAAGCCATCAAGTTTTGGGTTAACCCAAACAAATAAATTTGTTTTTCGCTTTCGGTTTTGCTTTAATCTTCAGACAGATTTCTGAGTTTATATTTATGAGACGACTGGTCCCGTGCTGCCTGGGACGGCCATTAAGTTCAACTTGTCGTAACAAAGGTCGTAATCGTTAAGACTACATTAGGGCGTTTTTAAGGAATTCGATTGAAGAACTTCCTCCGTAGTAACTACCTGTAAGAGCTCGGCGTACTGTGTCTGTGCGTTGTGCGCCATCTGCAGTTGCTGCATGTGATTGTACTGCGCCAACATCATCTGCACTGAAGATGGAATCATCGCGTACGAGGGCCTCTTCTGTATCGAAAATGCGTCTGAAATAGAATCTAATTACTATAAACAATCATTTATGCAGCTTATCATTAATTCTATCCTCAGAGCACCTATATTTTTATAATCGCTCTTTTTCATTTTGGGTGTTTTGATGAAGATTAATGAAGACTTCGATTTTCAATTGATCAAAATTAACATTTTTATTGCGTCAAAGTATTTATTTTTTAGTTTGATTTGATTCCGGAGCTAGTCAAAACTAAAAACTTCCAAAAATTAATAGTCTCATGATTTCACGGAAGTGATTAGTCCATCTGTGAAATTTCACACCCCGCGGGGCATGGCACCCATATTTACCCGTTTCCGCACCTTTCTTCATGTTTGGCTACCTTACTTAATTCCTTTGAATTTAAACTTTCGGAATTGATTAAAGTAATGCCCGTCTTTTTCTTAGTTTTGGCTGTTTTCTGTGTCGAAAAATCTCTTTTCTTCGCAAGGAATGCTCTTTTTTTCCGTTTGAAGGGGGAAGGTCTTATCCAAGAACAAAATCTGCGAACAGGAATCTCAAAAATTGAAAATCTCGGCGGCGAATGGGAAATAAGAAATGCCCCAAATTCGTTTTTTTTTTCGCGTGATTGACTTGATCCGCCAAATTCTCTCTCCGAATGACTGATTTCTATTGACTCTCAATTCTAGAGTTACAGTACTTTTCTGTACTCTAGATTTCCGTCAAAGCGAATTTATTTATGATCTTTGTAAAAAACAGTTTGTTGATGCTTTTTAGGTTGTTTTCTTTTATTTGACAGCCTCGATTTGAGAGGAGACCTGGCTGAACCGGCAGCCAAAGCCTCCGGACTCGAGCAATAAATCCATGTCCGACATTGCCGCCTCACAAAAAGGCTACGTAACTGCCGCCATATATAACTTACAAACGAGGCCAAGTTTTCATTCACTATTTTTTTAGACTTGTAGTTGGAGCCACAGTGCGCACTGCGGACAGATTTGGCTTTCCTTTCAACATAGCCAAATTGTTTTTTCGGTCATTTACGGCTCATCAATATTCATCTTTCCCAGGCGTGTGCGAGATGCGGCCTTACGGGATGGGGCCAAAATAATGCTGCCAGGGGAACAACTGGAAGTTCGAGGAAATGACAACTTATTGACATGAAAATCAGGTGATTGCTGGTACAATAATAATTATTACAAAGTTCACTGGTGAACGTTTCATTTTCTATACGATGGGAAAATGGCCGTCCTAAAATTACCGTTGTTTTGAGAGCCCAAAATGGACATAAATTTAATTCGTCCGGGATTTTATGATACTCTCGAAAGTGATTTATTTGCTTGCTGAAGATACCATAATTATTACCTGTTTTGTTCACCGCTAATTACAGTTGTTTTTCTACCCCTCGGTTTCTCTTGTTAGTTATTATAACTTTGGCAATTGACAATTGTCTCTGTTTTTGGTTATTTTTTGCGAACTGTGGTAACAATTAGCCGCGAGATTAGCTCAAAGTGCGAGTGGACACTGGATCGATTCTGACGATGATTTTTTTTTGTCGGAAGAGTGGCCGGTGCGGACACTGTGGAACTCAGCATGTGTCCCAACGGTGGTCACGTGACGGTGTTTGTGGACGAGTGCATCCCCCGCTGAGCCTCTCTTTATCTCATTTGAATTGAGGCAACGACAATCGAGGGGGACGAGTTTTTAATGCGCATTTCAAAGTTTTCACAAGATAAGCCTTTCAACCCGGCCCACATTCAAGCGGTATTAATTTTGCAGCGTATATAGATTCTGTCGCTAAATTAGCTGGCGAAGAAAGGCTCTATAAATGATTTCCTGTCAGCGGCGATTAGCGGCCTGCATAAATGATGATCTTGCGTCAGTTTAATTTTCCAAATTGCAACTTGTTCTTCAATAACCCCAAAATTGAAATCAAGGAAGACTTTCCGTACTTACAATAATGAGGAAAGGCTTTTCCCTTTTTGCTCTCTCGTTACTCGGTTATTCTCTCTGTATGATTCAATTGGCAAAAACCTGAATTATTCACACGACCTTACTTTTATCGTTCGCCTCGGACAATATTCACAAATTGCTGCCATGACGCATATAACGATTGATAAAGTCACTAATCATCTCATACTCTTTGTGAGGAACCCCCACTGCGTCTTTCAGACCTGCGATTCGACCAAATTGCTGCTGATATCAGTGATTTTGCAATAAAGCGACAAAGAAGCGGATTTGAAAATCGTGGGCATGAATTTTTATTCACTGAATATTTATGATCTTGAAGGAAATTTTGCACATTAAACATCAACTTTTCGGCGTTTCTCCTTTTTCTGCTTCTTGCTCTTTTTCGAGTCTTTGTCCTTTGACTTTTTCCTCTTTGGCGAAGATTCCCTGAATTCATTCATCATCCACTGTAATTTTCAAAACGCGTACCTTTCTGGCGAGCCAGCATACGAAACCTTCCTTATGTGAGTATCTTCTCTTCTCGATGATTTCTTGGAGTCCTTGGACTTTTTAGACTTCTTCTCTTTCTTATCTTTCGACCTTCAAAATACGGTAAAATGTGGTTAATCGGTGGTCCTTTACTTCTTTCTTTTGAGCGGTTTAATTTCGTATCCGTCGGAGGCGTCCGATTGTGAATTTGACCTAGAAATGACCGTGCGCAGGTCGGGTAGTTTGACATCAGCCATCAGCTCGGCATCTTCGCCGACGTTGATTTCAAGTTGATCTGATTTTTCTGTGTTGTTGTCGTCCATGTCCATATCCATTACCTAAACAGCCAGTTTGCACGAAGTCTAGGGGTGTCCCTTCTTACTTGGTGAGTAATGTCATCAGCAGTTTCGGGCGAATGAGCTCCATTGGTTTTCTCTGTATCGACAGGCTTCCATTTGCATGCATCGATGAGCTCAGGTCCAGACGATGGCTTCTCGTCTTCGGGAGAATCTGGCGCTTTCTCGCTCGCTTCATTTGACGTCGCTTCTCCCTCCTGCTCGGTTTTGGAATCATCAGACTTCTCCGGGCCAAGGCTTTTTCGCTATAATGACAGTTAAACTTCAGCGTCCTAGAAAGCTGTTTGATTTTTAAGCTACAAATACTAACCACTGGAAAATGTTCCAGATTTTATGCTCTTACGGATTAAGTTTGGGATTATTTTACTTGGAATTTTTGGCCCTCTGCGGGACTCTTTTTTTTGTAAATAAAAATTACGCGGGGATTTTTCTTTTTCTTGATCCCATCTTTTATTGGGTGTTTATTTTGAACTGAGCAGTATAACGAAGGCAATGTTGAAGAAATGAATGGCAAGGTGATGTAAAGCATACAGAGAGAGAAACTGTGGAACGAGTAGGAAATGTACAATTTGAGGGAGAGTGATTGCGTTTGATTGCGGGTCACGTGGTGTGACGGTTTATTAAAATATCTTATTGGAAATTGAGGAAGTTGGAACTCATGGGAGTGTTTCAACGATTGGCGAGGCAGTTTTTAATAAATAATAATTGATAATAATATCTGCGTTTATATAATGGCAATAATCATGGACGTCGAAATAAAAATAGCAAAAGAAGATTGCATCAGAAGGGAAAACAAATAAATTTAGCGCACCTTATTGATGAGATTGTCCTCTGCATCGTCTTCCGATGATCGCTTCCGCTTGTTTCGCACTGGGCTGCTTTCAGAAGACGCGTTTGACCCTTGTTCCTCTTGAATAGGCGAAGGAGGTTTCGACAGTTCCTCTTCAGACTTTTCAGGGAGAGCTTTTTCGACGGATTTTGATTTGGATTTCGTCCGAGACTTGCGTTTCCGAGAATGACGCTCTCCAGATCGGGAGCGTGTTCGATCTCGTCGATGCTTTTTCTCTTTCTTTTCCTTTTTCTCCTTTTTGGACTTCTTAGATTTCTTATGCTCCTCGGGCCTAGATTTTTGTAAGAAAAAGCAAGATATTTGAATCTTACTTGGGCGAGTCTGAGCGTTCCCCAGAGTCAGCTTCTTTGTCGGGAGTTCTTGATCTACCGCGTTGTTCCTAAAGGAAGGTAGATATTATTAAGTTTTTACCGAAAATTACCTTTCGATCAGGTGTAACCGATCGTCTCCTTGGCGATCTGGAACGAGAGCGACTTCTTGACTTGCTTCGAGATCTGCGCCGCTTTGATCTGTCTCTTGATTTGCTTCTGCTCCGACTTCTATGTCGTCGACTTCGATCTCGGCCACGATCTCGCGAGGACGAGCGGTCTCTTCTTCGATCTCTCCCCGAACGTCGGCTTCTGTCTCCGCTTCGGCTTCGACTCCGGTCCCGGCTGCGATCTCGACTACGATCCCGGCTTCGGCTTCTATCTCGGCTTCGACCCCTTTTCTCACGGGATCTTGAACGCGATCGGTTCTTCCAATAGCTGCGATAACGATGACGGTCTCTGGATTTCGAGCGTGAGCGGGCTCGTCTAATTTCTCCAGTTGTTCCTGGTGGCGGAACATTCATTCCTGGCATTGGATAATTCCATGGCATGCCTAAAATCAGGTAAAAAGAAGAAAATCAGACGATGTTTACCTGGTGGAACGCCCGGAAAGCCTGGGAAACCGAATGGGGGCATTCCTGGCATCATTGGCGGCATACCCGGCATCATCGGTGGCATTCCTGGCGGCATGGGTGGCACTATTGAAGAGATTTTGAGAATATATTCAAGCTTATTTTTAACTCACTTGTTGGCGCATCCGTTGTGGCAGTAGGAGGGGGAACACCAGGCGGTGGAATTGGAGGGGGAGCTGTTATGCTCGGGGCAGTTATCTAGAAAGACGGTCATTTACGCATATTGAAAAGACGCAACCTGGTTTGCAGCAGGAGGAGGGACGTTTGGTGGAGGAACAGTAGTGTTCATCCCTGGAGGAGGGACAGACGGGTTCATCGGCGGCATTGCCTAGTCAAAGTAGGGTGATTGACATAAATACAAGAGGCATACCTGACTTGTCGGCGGTGGAACAGGAGGGAACATCGGAGGAGGAACAGACATGGTAGGTGCTGCGGCAGCAGGTGCAGTAACGGACGGACTTGACTCAACTTTAACTAGGGTTACAGGCTCTGTCTTTGCCGTCACAGTATATCCGGAAGAGAGTGGGTTAGACTCTGTATTTCCAGCTTTGTGGACGGCTCCGTAGCCGCCGTATTCAATTTTTCTAGGTGCAGCAGCGGGCTTCTTTTGAACTGCTGAAGGCCAGATCTGTCCCTTTCGTCGGTAGTCATTTCGATTCCTCAATAATTATAAAATGGCGAAATCACCAAAAAAATTACTTGAATTGAATAACTTCGTCTTTGACAATCTTGTCTTCCAGCATTTCAACAGGCTTCAGTTGTTTCTTGCATTTTGGACATAAGCTGTCATCCGAGTCGAGTAGCTTCTGAGTAATACAGTTATTGCAGTACGTTGTTGAGCAGCAGGGTGTTTTCCTCGCGTCTTGTATCAATTCATTGCAAATTGGGCAGCAAAGTTCGTCTGGAACTTGCTCTTGATCATCTTCATTCTCTTTTTTGAGTGGAGGAAGGAAGGGAGGTCGCTCCTTCTTCGGGTCAAGGTACGCTTGTTTTTCAAGCTTGGTAACAACATAAACTCCGGGGGATTCAAGCTTGGCGCCGGGATCAGTTGCACTAGCTTTGACGAAGCTTGAACGAGGAATGCCAGTTGGAGCGCGCATTGGCTTGTCCATCTTCTTTGGCATTGGGCATTGATTGGGATAGTGCCCCTGGCCTTGGCACTTGTAACAGCGAAGATAGCTTGGAGCTGGCTGGTCGGATTTGTAACCACGGCCTTTTCCCTTCCAACGATGCTCATCGTAGCCGAGAGAAGACTGCTTGATGACAGCATCCATCAGATCTTCTTCTTTCGCCTGAGAGCTCATTTCCGCTAGATTCGCATGATTCATCAGCTCTTCTTTAGATACAGTAGGCTTAGTCGTCTTTTTGACAGCATAAGTTTGGCCACCTTGGTTGGCCAAACGAGAGGCACCAAGTGGAGTACGCCTGACTTGAACTGACGAGTTTTTGGGTATCTGCTCGTTTAGATTTCTGTACTCTTCTCTAGTTTGAGCATTGGAGATTGACAGATCATTTTCGGTTGGCTTTAGCTGCTCCTTTTCCATGATCTCGCGCTATAATGGTCATGTTAGATCGATTTCAGAAAAGGCTCCTTACCTTGAGATCCGCAAGAGATATACTGAGGCCATTGAATTGGACGGTGTGATATCTCGCAGAAGCGGAGAATTTGTAGTGGATAGAAGACATTTTTCAAGGCTTCTCTGCAAAAATTATCTATTGCTGTTATTTTTTGCTCATTTCGATAATCAAATCTAAATAGGGAAAAAGGTAAAGGGGTAATTATTTTCTCGAAAAAGGGAAAAGGAATTATCATTATTTATTATATTTCGGATGAGCCATCGCTGGCACACTCTTATTCGCCTGTTTTGATAGCTGGATTCTCTTACGCTCATGCGCAGATGCTGTATTTTGAAGTCTGTGAGCATCGTGCGGATCGAAAACATAACGAGGCTGCGATAAACGCTTTGAAAAAGAATGATGCCTTCGCCTTCTCGCTCCGCGCAGAGTAAATTATAGAGTGAACAGGCATTTAGAGAGTTTGAAACTTCAACGGGGATGCCTCTTCGTTTAAATTCGTCGGTTAACTCTGTCGGCAGTCGTTCAAAATTGTCACCAGTGCCGACAACGACAAGGAAAACACTTGGAAAGACCATTGTTGCGGGAATAAAATGCTCAAATCGCCAATCTTGGACATTTTCCGGAGGTCGCCAGGATAAAACGAGATCTCGCATGCACATTAGATCTCCTTTGACGGTATAAATGTGTCCTCCTGCAGCATTTACAAGTGTGGAGTTTTCGTCGATGTTTGTGATTGTGACCATGCCTCTATATCTTTCACTGAAAGTTATCTCATTATCGTGGAAAGGAATGTAGAAAACTTGCCTTAGAGACGAAATAGTGGCAGTAGTCCTTCCATAAGAAGCGTCCTGCTCATGTGGCTCCAGATCTGGATCGTCGTCTGGATGTCTCGGGGCCGTTCTCTTTGTTTAAAAATTCCAAGTAAGCGTAAATAAAAATTATCGATTGACTAACCATGCGAAGGTCTAATTGGTCCTGAAGATCAATTTCTTGCTGGACGCCCGGGTCAGCGTGGTCACGCAGCATTTGATTTTCGCTTTTCATTTGATTTATTTCTGCCTGCGAAAAATATATGAACATGAAAAAGGGGGAAGTAAAGAAAAACCTGCGCAACTTTACTTCTGGCTTCATGGTTCTCTGCTTGCGGGATATACGTATTTCTCAATCTTTGGCTTAGAACCGGCGTTCGAGTAAGCGCCCTTCGCAGCATATTGCTTTTTATTCAATTATGCCGATTTCTGAAGAACGAGATCGTAAGAAGGGAAAATGTACACTAGGGCAGGTCATTGTTGATTCATTCCGGATTGGGTAATCTACGGAAAACAGCTGGCCATTTCGAGCCTTCGTTTCGGGTCACTTTCTTTCCTTCTTCCGTCGCTTCGAACATGGTTTTGAAGCAAATGTCCTCTTTGAGGTCTTCGTCCGGGATTCGTTCGAAAAGAGGGTGGTTCGTCAAGCAGTCAACCATCCATCTACAAAACGAGTATTCTCCGTATTTCAACGCTAGAACTTACAAATGAAGATCTTCGACATCCGTGTTCGTGTAAATCCTGCCTTCTGGCTTGAGCAAATAAGCGTATTCAGATAACAGCGTGTCCGAGACAATTCTCCACTTGTGCTTTTTCTCCTTGAAATGAGGATCTGGGAAGAGGAAGAAAATCGTCGACAACTGCCCCTTTTCGAAGAAATTCGGAAGATGCTTCATCGCATTCGTTCTGATACAGCCGAGATTTGAAAAGTCCTCCGCTTCTGGTGCTTTTTCTACTTTTGCGTTGTGCTGCAGCGCTTTGATACGGTCTTTTACGTAGTCAGAAACCTTTTAGCAAAATTAAAAACTGAGGCGGAAGATTTTGTGCCTTACCTTTACACGAATTTCTAATCCGCAGAGAAGATCTTCTGGAAAATGCTTTGCTAGCTATAATTTCGATTATAGAGGAAAAATCGAAGAGAATCTACCTGAATAAGAAGCCCTCCATAGCCGCATCCAATATCAAGAATTCTTACTTGACGATTTCTTCTGTCTGGGTAAACAGTATCCCAGTACTCTTCATTCGGACACGGAGGATAATCGAAGGTATGATGAGCCAGAGGATTCGAATGCGCTCGCTGCCGGTAGAATCGCTTTTGAGGGAGCTGGATCAATTTTGCCTCGCTTCCTGCACTTTGACTTTCCATTCTGAGAATGATTTATGCAAAACTTTGACGAATTCATGGACGTTTTATAATAGGATTTTTCATTGATAGGCTGTATTTCCTTGACACTCCAGAGTTTCTTAGACATAAGAAACCTTAGGAATCATTTTACGAAGTCATTAAAATTGGTAAATAATATTTATTTTAACAGTAATAAAAGCATGCAAAACGTCTCTCTGATCACACTTTCAGTGAATCATTTTAGAAATTTATAAAGAAAAAGACATTTGTTCAGCAGATTCTTTGGGAGAAAAACATGTTTTCGTGTTGGAATCTTCTCGAAGCTGTCTTGCAGCCTTGGTGGCGGTGCAAAATTGTCTCTTTGGGACTCTTGAGGCGCCCAATCGCCGAATTCGATTTTCAGCTAGCGCCTTCGATTGGCGCTGGACCAATCGACCAGTTACGCAACGAGTTTATAGATTTTCCAAAAATTGAGCCAAACGAACCACTTTTTAGCGTTTCCAGCCATTTGAAATTGAGGGTGTGAGAGAACCTTTTGACCTCGATTATTATGACCTCTTTTCTTATTTGAATAGACCTCGAAAAGAGACAAATTAGAACAAAAAGAGGAGTGAAAACGACGAATTTTCGAAAAATGCGAAAAAGAGATTATTTTGAAGATTTATTATCGAAGAGAAAAATAGAAGATCAATTCAAGAATTGAAGATTTTCATAAAAAAAAAACTGATTTTTACATTTATTTTTCGACAAATTAGGTAAACATCATCTCTTACAGGGACTATCGCGTAATTACGTTAATTTTCATCATATTTTTAGTTTTTTCCCAAATTTTCCGCATTCGAACCTGATGAAACCTTTCACACCCTGTTGTCGATTTTCTGTACAATGCATGGGGGTTACGTAATAACCTGTCGGTGGTCGCTCAAAGCTATCAGACCTCCTCCAAGCCAGTGCTCTTCCTGTAGGAGTACGAGTATCGCTTTCTAGAAGTCGCCCTTGTCCCGCTCCTCAACTTTGTTTTTTCAGAATGAATCGCATTCTGTTAACCTCTCCGAGATCGGTGCTTGGGACGCTCTTGTCAAGCTTCCAAGCCTTGCCAGGATCGATGTTCTCCAACTTCAACTTCAAGAACTTCAAATGCGCCGCTGCTTCTCTTTCCGCCGGCCTCGTCGGCGTCGGAGCTTTCTGGTATTATTATAGCTATCTAAACGACGACAGCAGGATACCCAAGACCAAACATCGCGGAATAGAGATTCTTTACCAAGAGCATGAAAATTTCGCCGCGCTGCGCAAAAATTGGAAAATTGTAAGTCAATCATAACGGCCAACCGTTGTATAAACCTGAGTCAGGATTTGAAAATGCCTAATAAGAAGCGGCATATTCAGCATTTTTAAATCCTGACTCAGGCTTTTTACACTGTTTGCCAAGCCCAAGGCATGACCTCCCAAGCGCAGTTCAAGAGTGATAAGTAGGACAGGGATAGTAGTAACAGATTTCGAAAATACTCAGGACTTGACCCCGATTCTAGCACGTCAGCGCTATTTTCTGCGATCAAGCATTAGCGTATGGGAGACAGTCACGTTCCAGAGTCTATTTCGTATTCTGCTAGTCGGTGCTTCAAATATTTGTTAATACTACTACTAAGCTTCGCTGAATAAGCGGCTTTGAAAGTTGTTGATGGCGAAATAAAGTTGTAAGATCATCGAACTCGGGAGACTCTGGCTGTTTTCGAATTGACGCTAAATATACTGCAACTCTTGTCTAGGTTCGAATTTAGACTCTAATGAATCTCTTCAGACCTTGTCAAATCTTCTCTCCGACGCTGAGAGATGCCTGAAAGCCGAGCAAGTTGAAGCTGGAGTTCGTTTGGTCTGCACGGCTGCTGCTTTAGTCGCCCTTGTTCAAAATGAAAAAGAAGCCAATAGCTTGCTGAATTCGTTGCTGTGTCTTCCGGACTTTAAAAAGCACGAAAGCCTCATTCGGGACGAAATCAAAGAAGGTAGGGATTCAAGGAAGAGAACCTCATTTCAAAAATCTAGACATGGACGCAGTAGAACTCATCATCAAGGGAGAAATGTCGGACATCTCCACCGCCACACTGAAAGAACTGCGAGAAAGCACCGGCGGCCAAACAGAAGGAAGCTAATAAACCCACGAAACTCTTTTGCCTTTAAAATCTCTGTAAAATATTATCACTGACAACCATGCCAAAAATATAACGTCTTCCCGGAGTAAAAAACAAGCTTGCATAGAATGGGTAGAAAGCAGGAAGGAAATGGGATTCGAGCGAAGCTTCATTCGGCGGGAGTTCAGATCAAAGTTCTTGATCAAAAAGGAGTCATTGGTAAGATTCGTTGAGTGTGAATATATTCATTCCAGATGATTGTTGGACTAAATTTTAAAAGCCTTCTCCTCAGAGATCAACTAGTGATAATAATTGTTTTTGTATTCCAGCTTGGAAACATTGATAAAATATATGTATAGATCTTGGTTCGATACAGTTATGGTTTGGCCTTCTGTTCGGCTCTTTTGGATTTCTTTACGTTTTGTGGCAATTCTTCATCGTAGAAACAGACCCAATGTCCCATTTTCCCGCCCATATGCGTGCCGAGTTTCAAGATCAAAAACATCTTTATGAGCGCTTTGGAGATCGACAAGGTATCGCGCGCACTATAAATATCGCGATGGTAGTGTGTGACCCGACAAAGGTCGACGCTGTTTTTTCAACGATAAAGAATATCGTCTTACTTTCCATTTCCCCGGTGCATTTGCTGCTCTTTACTCAAGACGAAGTGATGAAAAAGCTCATCCCGGATGTCGAAAAGTTTTCTTGGAGTGTGCCGGGCCGACTTCAATTCAGAGTAAGCGATTTTTATTGTAAATGGAAATGAGAATTCTTCAGTTCGAATTTGCTCAAGAAGAAATATTCGGATACAAAGAATCGGTTCCCTGCGAGCAGCAAAAGCTCATGCTCCCATCTGAGCTACAAAATCATGGATTACCAGCGATATTGGTCGTTGGTCCCGAATTTTTGGTAACAACGAACACGGACGAAATCTGGAGAGATGAAATCATCGGCCTCGGAGAGAAACAGGCACTTGGATTATTCGAGGATCGACACCAATTGTCAACAGATGTTCTTGCAATTGATCTAATCCGTAGCTTGACAAACGGTAAGAAAAGTTCATTCACAACACTTTCAATCTTCGAATTAGACTTGAACGTCACATGCAAAAAAGAAGAGCCCAATGAGCGCGGTCCATGGCACAACTGGAAAGTCTGGAAAGGAATGCGTGACCAAAAGCCACAGTTGGAATCTATTCAAGCTGAATTACAGCAACTCCGGCACTGCAACCAGGATATCGTGAAACGAATATCTTACGAATTTGAGAACGGAAAGTACGGATTGAGAAAAGTCTTCAACAACCGAGTTTTCGAAGCTCTCCAACATGCGTTTTTGAAAACAGACAAGGACTTGTCAGGTAGGGCAGCGGAAATACTTCAAGAGTTATTCAACTTTAGATAAAGCCTTCAACGACCAGGCTTGGGAGAAGTTGGAGAGCTTGGAGCCGAACAATATTGATCGAAATCTATTGACTGATCTTTTGGAAAGAATCAAAGACGGCTTTCAAACCGGTAGGCGTGCTTATTTTTTCGGCAGTCAGGCAATTCTACGTATTTCAGCGATAAATACTCAAAACGAAAAAATCAAGCGAATCGAGGAAGAAGCAAACTTTGTATAAAAAAGTGGAAAATGTATTGTCCTCTTTAAAATCATCACTGCTCGGCTTATGTAAATATTTTTGAACATTCCTTCTTCTGCACGTTTCTTCAGCACTGTACTTACTCTTCCACTGTCTTAGATATTGATTCAAGTTCTTCAAATAAAGCACTACAAAGCTACAAAGCGCGGGATTATGTTCCAGCAAGTTTTATTCAGTGCAAATACAATAGTAATGATCAACGAGTAATCTTCGTTTTCAAACTCAGCAAAGCATGACTCCAAGACTCTTGGACCAAGAGGCGTATAATTCAAGTCAAATAAACGGGTAAAATTCGAAATGCCACGAAAGAAAATAGCTTTGATTGCCGGACGGAAAGTTTCTTCCGAGAGAGTTTCATTCAAGAGAGAATATAAATTATGAGAGAGATTTTATTGACTCCCACATGTTCCTAGAGAATTATTGATAGGAATCGAAATTCTTAAATAAAATCGCCAATCGCTCATTTGAGGTTCAAATATCCTGTTTCTTTGTTATTCTGAGCCGTATAAAAAAGCCTTTGAGCTACTCTCTGAGATAATTTTTGGAGTTTCTTTCAGAGAAAAGATGACTGTCCGCGAGCGAGTCCAAAAAGCCGGCCAGGAACAAGTGTTCAAGTTTTTCGATTCTTTGTCGAAGGCTGAACAGGAGAAGCTCGAAGCTGATGTTGGATCACTCCCGATTGAGGATTTGGAGCGGATGTTCAAGGCTTCGCAGAGCTACGTAGGACCTGATGTTGCGGGATGCAAAGCTGTCAACGCGGATCGAACAGGAGTTGCATCAAAAGACGATGGAACTTGGTTCAAGAAGGGACTTGAGCTTGTTAGTGAGTCGAAACTCGCTGTTGTTCTCCTCGCTGGAGGACAAGGAACTCGACTTGGCGTTAGCTACCCAAAGGGAATGTACAATATTGGGCTTCCAAGTGGAAAGTCGCTCTTCCAGGTTAGTCGTGCTTATTTGACTGAAGTCTTACTCGATTAAGATTCAAGCAGAACGACTCCAACGAGTTGAAGCTCTTGCTGGCAAGGGCACGATTCAACTTTATGTGATGACATCTGGACCCACCCGGGCGAAAACAGAAGCGTTTTTCAAGTCAAACAACTTCTTCGGTCTCAAACCCGCTCAGGTTCGATTTTTCAACCAGGGTACTCTTCCTTGCTTTTCTTTCGGAGGAAAAGTTCTTCTTCAAAAGTAAGAACTACTGTTTCCTCACACAATGATCATTTTTCCTCAGCAAGTCTACAGTAGCACGCGCTCCAGATGGAAACGGTGGCATTTACCTCGGCCTTAAAAACGAAGGCATCATTGAAGACATGAAAGCAAAGGTAAATTCATGAAACGGCCAAATTAAAAGGCAAATGAAAACTTCTAAGGGTATCACCAGCTGTCACTTTTATTGTGTTGACAATTCTCTGGTGAAAGTTGCTGATCCAACGTTTGTTGGATTCTGCGCCACGCTTGATGCTGACTGTGGGAATAAATCGGTTGTCAAGACGATTCCAACTGAGTCTGTTGGTGTGGTTGTCCAGGATGCCCAAGGAGTTCATCATGTCGTTGAATATTCCGAGGTAAATTGTAAACGCTCTTTTGAGTTCTTAATAAATGTAGCTATCAACTGAAATGGCGGAAAAGCGAGACGAAGACGGTCAACTTACATTCCGAGCTGGCAACATCTGCAATCACTACTTCACCGTTGAATTCCTCGAAAAGGTCTGCTCCCTCGAGCTCCCCTACCACGTCGCTAAGAAAAAGATTCCAACAGTCAACGACGAGGGCGAATTGATCAAGCCCGAAACTCCAAACGGAATCAAATTGGAAAAGTTCATCTTTGACGTTTTCGCCTTTGCGAAGAATTTCGCTCTTCTGGAAGTCGATAGAGAAGATGAGTTCTCCCCACTGAAGAATTCCGACAAGGCACCAAGAGGTACATTTTTTTCTTTCTAAAAATGTTAAATCTCCTTTTTTAGTTGGTATGTTAACCTAGTTGGTAACGGTTTTTTCGCACAGTTAAAGTAATTCTAGCGCACTTTTAGTCCATTCTTTGCGAATTTGATTCAAGCTGTCGAGATTGACGAAGATATTCGCTTCGTCTTTCTTACGAAATATTCAGATTGCCCTTCTGCTTGCCGCTGGGACTTCATGAACATGTGCCACCGCCATCTCGTCGCCGCCGGAGCCAAGATCCTTGACGGTGAAGGCGCAGAAGTTGCCCTCCCAGAGCGTCCATCAGCTGGCTACCCCGAATCCTACCCAGTCGACATCGAAATCCTTCCTTCTCGAAGTTACAAGGGGGAGAATCTCGACGAGTTCAAAGGCGCCGCATTGACCACTCCTGTCATCATCAACTAAGCTCAACTTGCACACCGAAATAAATCAAAATTGCAATTATTCTAATAAAAGCTGTCTACCGAGCTCTTCAGAAGCCTACATTTTTCCTGGCAGATATTTCTTCTTTACAGTGTCATCAATCACAAGTGCAATTATCCAGCATCGTTATATTCTGTATTAGACTAACTTCTATATATTTATTTTTTTTCTGCAAAAAAAAATATACTAAATAGTTCCGATTTCGAATCTGAAGGTGAGTGGCGAAATTTCGCGAATAGTAAAGACTTTTGATTTTTTATGAAAAAAATATGCAGTTATCTCTGCCGATAGCAGTAGTTTTACGAAGAGTGATCTTTCATGATCCCTCTTTGAAATTCCAACCCGTCTGATAGACGGCGCTCTATCGCGTCCAGAGATAATCAGTGCCAGCGACGCTCAATTCACTTCCCATTCACCTTCTTTTTTTCTTTATTTTCTGGATTCAACTGACTCATTTCTTCGAAGTCCGAAGCAAGGCTCGACCCAAAGCAGGTGAGAAAGTCGCCCAATAGGAGTTTGCTCTCTTCATTTGAGCTCGACTCGAGAGAATTTTCAAAAATAAATCTTATTTATTTTTTTGCCTTTCTACATAGGGGGCTTATTCTCTTTTCTCCACTTCCGACGAAAAATCGATCAAAATAGAGAAATCTTCAAAAAGCTAAGAGACATTTTCTGTCTGTAAAATGTCTCGATTCGTCTCTGTCTTCAAGCTTGCTGAAATATGCCAGCACTCGGACCCGACGTTACTCTCGATAGTTGACAGCGCCGATGTGAGTTTATACTTTTTATCGAAGCTCGACGAGAGCAGGAGATGGATTTGTACCTTCCAGGTTCGTCAAAGTCCACTTGTTCTTCTTTTATTTTGAATTTTCAAAAGAGCGCTTCACTTTTTGTCTACGCCACTTCGGCCCGCTGCCGTTACAGATTCGCAATTCTCAACAGAAACATAAATTACATACCTTCAATTGTAAGTGTCAAAAATACAGGGCTCGGCAACCTGAGTCAGGGTCTGAACTATTATTTCATTATCTTTCTTACGCCTAAGAATCTTTCAGGCCCTGACTCAGGTTCCCTACACAGCCTTCTGTTAACTTTTGACTGTAGGACAGAGTAATCAACAACGATATTGTCTGGGAAGATGTCTCAAGCAAACTAAAAATAAGCGCCGAAAATATTGAGCACACTGGCTTTTTCAGCTACGAATCAGGTATTTTTTTCTTTACTTCTGCTTTAACAGGTTTTTTTTTATACTGACGCAAATTGGTGGAGCGTTTTTGAATACCTTCCACTCAACATTTTTCATTTCTCTCTTTTGGAGAGTAATGTAGAGTGTCTGTAGTATGTTAAATAAGCTTTTGGTGTCATTTGCACCATTGGTGGTGGAGATATGACGTCATCAATCTCGAGGTCGCTTTTCATAATGCATTTTGATGACGTCATTACTCCACCACCAGAAAAGCTATCAACACCAAAACTATTCAAATCACGTAACTAACCTCTTAGCTACATCGTGCAAGTTACAGCATTTTAATATCTCAACCCAGTCAAAAGTTACAAGAGTCCTGCATCAGTATAAAAAAAATCCTGTTTTTATTAATTAATTTTCTTATCCAGAAAGAGCTAATCAGACGGATCGTGGGATGGCCTTTGCGAAGAAAACTGATTGCCAAAGAATCTACTCTCTCATTCTCAGACTAAAATACATCGTCAGCCCGGGCCCGATACTTTCATTTCCTAATCGCCATGAGAACAGAACGAGCAGGGAAGATCACGAAATGAGAGCAGTCCGCGAACTCTGTGAGAAGAAAGAGAAATCACAGAGTACAACATTCCGTGAGAGCAGATATTCAAAAGATAAAGAGACGACGAAGAAGAAGCAACTGCGTCCCAGCTCGCCCGTCCATCGAAAACCAAGTCCACAGCGTAAACAAAAAGAAAACCGGGGCGGGAACTATCCTCTTCACAAACTAGTCAGCACGGGGTCGAAAAACAGGACCAACTCGAAGGAATCATTTCAATCCGACAGCGAGAGCGAGACAGAGCCTCAAGCCAAAATCGAACAAAAAAGCAACTTTGAAAAAAGTGAACCTAAAAATGATGACAGCGCGAGAATACAGTTCGCCAATCTCCTCCAAAAGCTCAACAAGGGAGTTGATAAAAAAAGAAAGATGAACGAAACAACGAAGATTCCAGACCTGGTAAGAGCCATACCAACCCCTTCACTTCCAAAACTTTGAATTCAGAAAGACTCTGGTATTGAAGTCAGCTCCAGCTCGCCAACGAGTTCTTCCAGATCCTCGTTATCCTCCAAAAAGGACTCATTCGACAGGACTCCTTCTGTAAGCACCTTTATTCATGCGTTCTTATCTATTCTTTCTTCAGTCGAGGTCTCAAAATCCCCAGAAATGCTATTCTCGTCTGATCGAAAATCGCCAGTCATCGATATCGAATCTCTCCCTATCCCTTCCATAGATGAAAACAACAACATCGGGAGACAACAGTGCACCTCCTGCCGCTCCAAAAACAATAGCCCAAGCGACTTGCTTCTCCGAGGGCCTCTCGAGCACGACGTCATCCCTGAAGTCGACGAAAGCTCATTGACTTCTTCTGATGATGGCTCCGAAATCTTCAACAGTATATTCTCCCAGTCCGAGCTAAAGTTCACGACGGATACATCCTTGCGTGAGAAGATACGAAAAGTATTCTCGACCGAGTCAGAAGAATCGTCGGACGAGTCTGTCAAGTCTGATTTGTAAGTTTCCTGGTTATTTTCTCTCTTTGAATTCATGTTCTTTAGTTTGGAGGACGAGAGACTTTACAAGTTTTCTGGCTCAAAATCAATGACGGACTTGTCTCTCAGGAGCTCAGAATACTATGAAGCTGATGGGAGCTTGTCATGTGACGAATTAATCGACAAAGAGGTGGCCGTCCCCTCCTACGATGAATTCCTTGGGGTTCTAGGGGACTCCCTGAAGACGGAAGCGTTTTACCGAAAGTTTAGGTAACCTGACATTCTATGATGAAAAATTTTTAATCAGTTCAGAAATGAATTTCTAGTCAACAGTTTGTTAACCGGAAGAAGATTGTATCTGTGACGAAAGAGGGAAGTTGAAATTCTCCAATTTGTAAAAATTATTCTTACTGCCAACAGATGATGAATTAAAAATCAGAAAGCATCAATTGACAATTGTTTCATGTGTCGTTTTCCATCAAGTTTTGTAGAAGGGATGAGTAAAGGAGAGATTCCGCAGTTGGACGCTGCCGCACGGGTAATTCAACGAGCGTGGAGGCGATTTACCAACATGGAACCGTACAAGTGGTGCCGAAATATGCTTTTCCACGCGCAGAACAGTGGCAACCCGCAGGACATTCTTAGGCTCGTCTCTCCACACGATACTCGTGAGGGCGATTTCTGATAAGTTCCAAATTAACTGGCGAGCTTTAGAATTAGCTGATCACGCAACTGGGGTACGTCTGCGCCTACGCCTCGGGGTCCACTCGGATCAAGACGGCGAGAAACTCGCCGTGTTCTACAAGGTCTTTACGATGCGAACTGTTGTGGATATTTGCTCGATGAGCCCGAAAGTGTACAGCGCGGAGCCGATTTTCAGAAACAAGCTGCGCTCCAATGCGCCCCAGAATACCCAAGGATACGTGCGAAAGGAAAATAATGGCTGGGTATGGTCCGAGACTCGTTTTTGTATCGTTAGACGTCTCCTTTAGCGAGTTGTGGCCTGGGATTCGCTGCTGACGCATTCGCTTACCTCGAGAAAAGATGATTTCATTTCTTTCTTCCACCATGATCCCAAAGGAAGAGATTTCATGAGCGATAAAACAGAATATAGAAAAGCAGCTTGAAATCCCGGTCGAAGCGCGAAAAGACCTTGAGAGACTGAAGAAAAAGCTCACGCATCGACGATGGCTTCGCGCGATCGCCGACGATCCAGAAAACATCTCTGAAGATAATGATATTGACGAGCTCATTAAATGGGCCGAGGTGCTCGACGTTGACCAATACAAGGATAACTGGACGAATCTTGTCACCTTGCCAAGCTTATAAAACAAAAAAGAGAGTTTTTCTCTGTTCCGTTTTTCTTGCCCGAGCTGATTTTCCGTTTATTACACCAGATTTTATTTTCGTAAAAAATAAAAAGTTGAAATAAATTTCATCAGATAATGGAATCGCCCGATACAGAAGGAATCGTTAATCAAGCGTTTGAAAGAGCACTTGACAATAATGAACGAGAGGTTGATTCAAGAACAGATCAAGGTAACTTTCTCAAATATTTTTTCAAACTATGTCGCCCGTGTGAATAAAGGGTTGAACTCCGCGGGACACAGGGGTGGATATTTTGAAATCAACCATTATTCCATTTTATTCTAGAGCAAATTTGGCTCGATGAATCGGCTTGAAATTTCGCATGTTATCATTTTTTATATATTCGAATTAGTCCCTTAATTTTCAGACTGATTCATCAAGCCAGTTTTGCTCTGGAAAAAATGGAATAATGATTTGATTTCAAATTATCCACCCCTGGCGGGACAGCTGATCGTTTTTCTTCGCGGGGTACCGATTTTCTTCAATAATCAGGAGAAAAAAATTGAAAAAATGAAATATATTTTTGGTCTTTGGCGTGATTATGAGTTTGATTACGATAAATTTGGTGTTTACAAGGTTATGGAGAATTTTGTGTGATTTTCTTTTCAGATATCTTGGAATCAACAGAGCGAACTCCTCTGATAACCTCCGGTGCACTGTATACTCCCCGCGACATCCTCAGTTCTTCAACAACTCAACGATCGTGGCGCAACACAAATTCCTACATCGCCCGTCTCGCCTATTACTCCAATTTACGTCTCCCTGAGAATGCACTTGCCGTTCCGCCACACGTCGCTGCGCAGTATCTCGTTCTTCCTCAGTCGCAAAAGTTGAAAGAAGGTGGCCGTCAGAGTTCGTTAGTGACGATTTTCGCAATTTGGAACACGATGATGGGCACATCGATGCTTTCAATGGCCTGGGGGTTGCAGCAGTCTGGATTTATCCTTGGAATAGGTAAAACATCGTCGAAGAAATAATACTTAGTGATGAAATTAAGGACTGATGATCGGAATGGGCCTTGTTTGCTGTTACACGGCGAACAGAATCGTCCGCGCTCAGTATCACGCACCCAGAGGAGTCGTTATTTTCGAATTTCCAGACATTTGTCGCGTTTTCCTGGGCAAGTGGGCGGAAACGACCGCAGGTGTTTTCGGTCTGTTGACCTTCTTCGGCGCTATGATGGTTTATTGGACACTCTTGAGCACTTTCTTGCTCAATATTGGCGAGTTTATTCATATCCAAGCGACGACGAACGAGACCATCGAGTTTTTGACGAAAGATGTTCTTTGCTCGCAAAGTATCCAGGCGTCTGGAAATGTCACGGAGTTCGAAAAGTATTGGAACAGTAAGACAGTGCCTCTTTACCTCATTGTTCTTATCATGCCGCTGTTGAATATGAAGGATGCCGTCGTATTTACGAAGTTCAACAGCTTGGGGACCATTTCTGTCGCGTTTATTACTGTTCTTACAATTGTCAAGGTAACCAAATTGACCAGATAAGCGGGGAATCATCTAATTAACAATTAGATTTCTTTGTGGGGTGTCAACTGGTCCAACGATCCACTGAGTGTGCACTACGTCGAACTAGCTTCTGTAAAATTTCCAAGTCTTATGGGCATGCTTTGCCTCGCCTACAGCATCCACTCGGCCATCATTACACTTTTGAAGAACAACGCAAGACAAGAGAACAACTCGCGTGACCTGGCCATTGGCTTCTCCCTCGTCGGACTCACTTACACATTCGTCGGGACAATGGTCTTCATCAGTTTTCCACTCTCGAAGGACTGCATCGACCAAAATTTTATCAAAAACTTGACGAGTTACGATGGAATGGCAATTATCGCGCGCTTCTTTCTCTTTCTTCAAATGAGCACCGTCTTCCCACTTCTGGCCTTTCTCTTCAGGGTTAATTTTTTGTACGTCATCTTCAAGATGCAAGATTTCCCTGGCTACGCGAAAGTCATTGCCTTGAACTTGATTACGATCGGAATCTGCGCCACGATTGCCATCGTCTATCCAAATGTGAGTATTCTACATTCAAGCGTATTATTAATTTATATTCAAGGTTGGCGACATTATTGGCTGGTCCGGCGCCATTTCCGGCCTCGTTTATGTTTTCCTTCTACCTTGCTTGGTAAGTCTCGTTTTTTTTATAAATTTCTGGTAATTATTTTTACTTCCAGGTCAATATCGCCATTCGAAAAATGCGACGAATTATCACTCCAAAATATTACATTCTGCAATATTCTCTTATTTTCCTTGGAATCTTTATTCTTGGTGCGAAAATCGTCACCGCTGTTACTGGATAAATTCTACATGAAATCAAAAGCCCTATAATTTTATCATCTAAATCCACCGATTGCCTTCACAATTTCTCATTTTCTGTATTTTGTTACCTTGCAAAGCTATTCTCAATCATTTCTAAATCGGAAATTATCGATATTGTTCTATCTCTTCCACTGTAAAAATATTTGATAAATAAAGTTTTCACTTCATGAAGATTTATCTAAAGTGGCCTTTTTGAAGATTGATTTGCAACATTACTGGAATGTTTTGAATTCAAATGAGCAACTGGGAAGATTTAAGACGCGAAGCAGAATTTTTTTACAAAGGTTAGTTTTTCTTCATTACAGTAGCTAACCTTTGATCGTTCAGAATACGAAGCGCTAGAGGTCCTCGGCAGGGGACTTTCTTCAGTCGTACGCCGCTGCCGCCATCGCGAAAATGGCCAAGAGTACGCAGTTAAAATCATCGACCTACTTCAGGAAGAGTCGCCAAACACGGCCGAGATTCAAAACGAAATAGCGCTACTAAAAGAATTTGCGGGCGTCGATTATGTAATCCACTTATTCGACGTGTACCAAACTGAAACTTACGTCTTTATGGTTTTTGAGCTTATGAAGGTAATATTCTGTCCACCGTCTTAAAAAATAATTATTTTTAAGTGTGAGCTATTTGAGTACTTGAATAAAGTTCAACGAATGCAAGAGAAGACAGTCAAATCCGTGATGAAGCAACTACTTCTCGCCGTCAACGAGCTCCACTCAAAAGACATCATTCATCGAGATATCAAATTGGTAAGAGAAAGTGTCATATTTTTGATCCTACCGTTTATTTAGGAGAACGTGTTGATTGATGATAATCTGGACGTAAAATTGACTGATTTCGGTTTTGCACTGCGAATTTCGCCGGCCGAACACCTGCGAACATTATGCGGAACGCCGGCGTACATGGCCCCTGAAATGCTTCAGTGTGCTTGCGACAAGCGATCGCCGGGCTACTCGTTTGAAGCTGACGTTTGGTCTTGTGGCGTGCTGCTTGCGACGCTGTTGTCCGGTTCCTCGCCATTTTACCACAGAAGAGAGTTGATCATGTTGAGATTGATCATGGCCGCAAAGTATTCTGTTGAGGGGCCAGAGTGGGACCACGTTCAGGCACCGGCGAAAGATCTTGTCAAGAAGATGCTAGTCAAAGAGCCGATAGAGCGGATTTCAATAGAGAAGGCGCTAGGTAAGAGAACTTTCTTTGCGACTCGGAATGATCAATCTTGTAGCTCATCCTTGGTTCGATGAAGTCATTGAGGAAGAGCCGGCTGTTGAGGACGAGGCCGCTGCTGCGCGACGGAAGATGCTCCTTGGCAAATTCAAAACCGCTGTTCTAGTGATAATGGCAACCAATTACCTGCAAAAACTCCCCATGAGTATTGAAAACATGAAAAAGAATCCATACGCCACGCGCAAGGTCCAACAGGACATGGACAGCATAGCCTTTAAAATTTACGGCCACTGGGTCAAGCGAAACACCGGCCAGGATCGAGCAGCCCTCTATCAGCAAAACTGTCACAGTTCGAAAAAGCCTCGATAGAGCTTCCTAAATCTTCTTTTCCTATTTTGTGTTCTTAGCATTTTATCAATTTATTAATCACGAGTTTTATGTTAATGTTTAATATTGAATGCGTTTGTTACTTTTATGCGTGCTCCATTCATTTTAACCTTCTATCTGTGATTGTTTGCGTATTGTCTGTTTATATATATTTTTTCTTTCCCAAGTGCACCTATTGCTTCAGTTAAAAAATTCTAGTTTTCTTGAAGTATAAAAAAGAGTTGTCCCTCCAAAGTTCCGCCGTTTAGGTTATCAAAAACGAATTTTAAAATCATCAAATTTATGTTTTATGTTTTTGTTTTTACTCAGTTTCATCCTTATCAGTTCGATTCAACAAATACCGATACATCTCAGTTTTGCAAGGTGTCTTACTAAACTTTCTACAAGAAAACGATCGATCTTTGAAGCTAACTTTGAAAACTTTCAGAGAATGCCACAGAACGAACATATAGAGCAGCACATCAGGCGGCACGGTCGCCGTCTGAATTACCTCGAAAAGAAGCGAAAGAAGGAAGGAAGAGCTGCTCATGATCGTTCTAAGAAAGCGAAGAAAATGATCGGACTCAAGGCAAAACTTTACAACAAAGAGCGAAGAAAGGAAAAGATCGAAATGAAGAAGAAAATCCTCATGCACGAGAAGCGCGATACCAAGGTAAGAACACGCGTTTTGACCGTTCTTTCATCGTTTTCAAGCAAAAAGCCGAAGAGACTCAAGAAGGCGCTATGCCTCACTATCTTCTTGATCGTGAGAATCAGCAGAGAGCGAAAGTTCTCTCCAATATGGTCAAACAGAAGCGAAAGGAGAAAGCTGGCAAATGGGATGTTCCCCTTCCCAAAGGTAATATCTATCCAAAATCTCGGCATTCTTTCGACTCTTTCTTTCAGTTCGAGCGCAGGCCGAAGCCGAAGTCTTCAAAATGATGACGTCGGGTAAACGAAAGAAGAAAGCGTGGAAACGAATGGTCACCAAAGTCTGCTTCGTTCCTGAGGATTTCACCCGAAAGAACCCAAAATATGAACGATTCATTCGCCCGATGGCGATGCGATTCAAGAAAGCGCATGTCACACATCCAGAGCTCAAGGTATCAAAATCAATAATAAATAACTCGTCTTTCAAAAAACATCTCTTCAAGGCGACCTTTTGTTTACCAATCATCGGTGTCAAGAAGAATCCATCCTCCCCAATGTTTACTAGCTTGGGCGTGATCACAAAGGGTACTGTCCTCGAAGTTAACATCTCCGAGCTCGGTCTGGTCACACAGGGCGGTAAAGTCGTCTGGGGCAAGTATGCTCAGGTCACGAATAATCCAGAGAACGACGGTTGTATTAACGCTGTGCTACTCGTATAAATAAACGTGTACATTGCATTGCCTCAATTTCTCTTTGATTTCTTTTTTCAACGAGCTTTTTTCTTAGAATGGTTCAATTAACGATGATTGCGAGAACCTCGGACGGGCTGCCGTTGACAGCCTCGCTCCAGGACGAAAACCTGACAGATTATCAGACTCGAGCAAAACAAATTTTTCGAAAACTAAATCACGCATCCGCTCCAAAACTCGCCATCGAGCACAATAACATGATCTTTTACTATCAAATTGACAAGGTAAAACCCTCATCAAGTTTCTCTTTTCATCCTTTTTTTTAGGGAGTGTGCTATTTATGTCTCTGCGAAAGAAACTTTTCAAAGAAGCTTGCCTTCGCATACCTTGATGATCTGCAGTCCGAGTTTTACGTTCAGTACGGGAATCGAATCGACAAGGTCACCCGTCCATATCACTTCATGTATGCTCAGACGAAAAACTTTTTCTTAAAAATTCTAGTGAGTTCGACACTTACATCCAAAAAGCGAAAAAATCCATTCTCGATACTCGAAACCACTCGGCCTTGAAAAACGTCGCCAACGAGCTCCAAGATGTCCAGAAAATTATGGGTAACTCAGTTACTAACTGGAAGTTGGTTTCGCAAGCTTATCATTTCTAGTCGCAAATTTGGACGAAGTCCTCGCCCGTGGAACGAGCTTAGACGTGATTCAAAGCAAATCTTCCAACCTCTTGAGCTACTCGCAGCAATACCGAGACGAAGCAAAACAGCTCAATAGGAAATCAAAGTAAGCCCCCAATTTCATCGCGTTTTCCTAAACTCTTTAGTCTAATCAAAGTCGGCGGCGCTCTGACCTTCATCCTCTGGATCGTCTGGTACTTTATCCTATAAACAAGTTCCCTCTTTCGAATTTCCTTCCGCAACACATTCATTTTTGAACAAAATATTGTGGCTGAGTAGTCGGCATTCACTGTGCAATACCATAATCTCGTCTAAGTTATCTAACCTTCATACTGTAATAAGAATATTCTAGCGAATAAATGACTAAAACATGCGTCAGGTTAGGCTTTTGTGATGCGCACTCGATCCTAGTGATAATTTATTTCTTCTTCTGCTAAATTCATATTTTACTGAAACAGTTTCGTCGTTGCTTATTCTGTGTGCGACCATTGGGTGTAATTATCATCAACCTTACCTGATAATGAATAGTAAAATTATAATTCTAAGCGGCTTTGCTCCTTTAATTTTTTTATAGATGGTGTTCCGGGCGAACTTGAATCCGAATCGTTCAGACATCCAAATCGGTAAAGACTACCAAGCAGAAATACCAGAAATACTGGACTTCGACGAGGACTGTTTTGAAATAGAAACTAGTCAGCTTTTATGGGACCCAAAGGAAAACACACTCACTGAGGAAACTTTCAACACATATCTCGAATATGCGGCGACTAAAAATTACAACGAGTTCCAAGCGCTTTGTTTGCTGCATAATACAAAGATGGATACACAAAGAGCTGTGTTTTTGATGGATTCTTATGAGCCGGTAGGGTAAGTTCCTTCTCTTGCTTTACCTGGCTAAAAACCTTTATATTCAGGCCGATGGATAAATGGACACAGCAAGAAGCAAGCTTGTTCAAGTCGGCCTATGCACAAGTCGGAAAGAATTTTTCCTCTATGAAGAGCCTCTTCTATAACAAAACAGTCAACGAGCTAGTCGAGTTGTACTATCATTTGAAAGCAACGAAACAAGTCATTTCGCCAAAAGAGACAGCGAAGAAAACGACAGTATTTCCAGGTAAAGTCAATTTCGTTCTTTCAATAAATTTCTGTTTCATTAGAAGCTGTTTTGGGGAAAGCAAAGACAAATAGTTCGGACTCATTTACTCTCGAACTGGAAGAACTTGGAGAGAGAATAGGTAAGCTGGATTATTTGAGCGAAAAATGGTAGTGTTTCAGTGAATTCTGGGACAGAAGTTAATCTCGAGAAATTTGATGAGTCTGATGAAATCGTTGAGCGGAAAAAAGAAATTATCGATACCAACAAGCGAATAATGGCGATAAAAGAAACATATCTTGCGCTGAAAGAAACGAAGGACTTGGTTCTTGAGACAGCCTTGAAAGACAACGGTTCTTTGATAAGAGATAAACATGGCGAGCTTGCTGTCAAGTAAGAAAAAAATTACTGAAAATAGTTGAGTTTAAACTTTTCAGAGAAGATAAGCAAGTGATCAATACAATTCGCTGGGAGCACAGCGAAGTTGAGTGTCTCCGAAAAGGCCTGGCTGATTTTGGTCGAGATTGGGAGACGCTCGCGCGCATTGTCAAAAGCAAAAAGTCATCCCAACTGAAAAATTTCTTCGAGCAGCAATATGAAAAGCTCAATTTGATTGAAGATTATCGCAAATTTTTGAGATCAGAAAATGGAAGTGACAGAGAGATCATCGCGGGCGACTCTGGTGGAGCTGCCTCTCCACCAAGAACGCATCAGAATTCCGGCGACGAATTTGTCCCATCGGCAGACGCGGACCGAGAGGAGTTTACAGAGATAGTAGAAATGGAGGACGACGACAGCGATTTTGAGATTCTTTAGTTACTTTTTACATACTCTTTCATTTATTCTGAAATCACTGCCGGTTAAAAAAGCGTGCATCATCATGTACTCTTCCTTGATTTCACCAAGTTCTTTTAGCATGGAAGTCGGGCCGGTAGTAACGAAATCAATCGTTGAAGATGTTCATGAGTCTATCAAGAATACACCAAGTCTTAACACAGATGAAGAAAAGGAGGCATTCAAGAGTATCGTCAAACAAAGCAATGGGCTGGAACTGGGCTCGGCAAACTGTGTCAGGAACAGACACAGGAACAGGAAAAAAATATTCTGTCCCATATTTTACACAGGTACACAGGTCAGGAAGCAAAAATATCCTGATTTTAGACAGGTACTCAGACAGGTTTTTTCACACAGCTTATCAAACAGGTTACACAGGTCAGGACCTGCCTGAACAGGTCTGAGCGGGTCAGAAAACAGGAAACAGGCCCTGTGACAGGACAAAAAACAGGAAATTTCTGAGAAAATATATTGCAAAGAAACAAAAAGACGCGAATTTATCGGTTATTTTGATTGTTGTACTCTTTTTCACGTATTTCGCTATTGATTTCTTTATACATTTTCCCTGACTTATGAGTTCCTGACCTGGTTACACAGGAACCTGTCTATGGTCAGGACCTGAGCGGGAAACACAGGCCTGTTTAAGACAGAAACAGGAACAGGGACAGCAAAAGAAAAATTTTTCCCCCAATTTTACACAGGTACACAGGACAGGCCCAAATTATTACCCGATTTTACACAGGTACTCAGACAGGTTCCCCAAAAACAGGAAACAGGACCTGTGACAGGTTTTTACACAGCTCAGTTTGCCGAGCCCAGGGCTGGAAGTTCTCTATCATGATATGACTCCACTTTTTCATTCGGTTAAACTTGGGAGACTTGATCATATCGAAGTCCTGATAGAAATGAAAGCTGATTTCATAACACAGTGCCAGTATAAATCAATCGACCAGTTTATCGCTGAGAATGAAGAGAACTGCGTGAAAATTTGCAAAGTTATCCGCGAAGCTGTAAAAAAACGAGGTGCAGATGGAGTCAGGGAGACAATCGTTCTTGGAAAGATCAAAACTCTCTACGAGAAAAATAAGATGTATGACCCAGAGGAGGTGCTCTTATCAGTATCCAGGCAAATTGAAGCTCTCTCGAAACTGGGCTTGAACGCGGTTTTTGAAAAAACAAAAGAAGCAAACAAGGATTATGTGGTTTTTACATGCCGAGATCCTGTTGATGATGTAAGTACAAAAATCATTAGTTCGTTCGTTATTCGTTGTTAGAAAATAATGGAGTATCCTGGCAAGTTCGATAAATGCAGACACTGGGCATGTTTCGATTTGAAGTCATTCCTGATTCGCAATAAGGGCGAACTCAGGAAGCAGCGGCCTTTTCTGAAATGTCCAGTCCCCAATTGTCAGTTCAAAACGACTAAAGTTTCCAATCTACAACTGTGCTCATTCATCCAAGAGGTCATAACTAAATTGAACAAACCGGAGAAAATACATTTCTTCAAGAACGGAACCTACGTTGATCCCTCTAAAACAAAACCTGATCAGGCAGTGAGAGAAGAACCAATAGATGAGCAGCCAAACAATACCTTTTCAGAAGAGGAATCATCTTTTACAGATCCGGTTCCTGAGGTAGAAAAATCTACAGCCGAAGCTCCTGCGCCTGCAGCTGCTCCTGTAATAACCGTCAAAGCGGACCCAGATGCTCAGATACCTGTCCCTCTTGCGACTTCAACTCAACAACCAGTCGATTCTTGCGTCCCAGCACTTTCTAAGAAGCGAAAAATGTCAAAAGATATTGTCCTTTCAGATTCAGAAGAAGTCGACAACACAACAACTGTGCAACAGAGTCAAGAGGTGTCCCTGAATGATCGGATTCTTGAAGAAGCAAATCCTGATCAACTTGTTCTGTCTGATGGAGCAGCCGATATTTTATCCATTGACAAAGAAAACTACGTTCCTTGTGCTAAAGATCTGGAAATTCAGAAGCTCAGAGAACTCGTTCGCGATCTTCAAGATTCGAACTCACTGAAAACTGAAGAACTCAACAATGCGCAAGAAGAATTGCATAAAATTAAAGCAAGTGAATTGGCGATGCGCAAGAAATTCATGGAAAGCCAGCGCGACAATTCAAAGAAAAGGAAAGAGTTGAGAACTCGTGAAAGAGAACTGGAGGCCAAAGTTGAGAAACTGGAAGAGGAGCTTAACAAAAGATCGACTGAGGATGATGATGAAGTCAGGGCAGAGCTGGCTATTGCGAATGCGAAATTGAAGAGGTTTGAAGCTGAGCGCGAGCAATTAGGTTCGCTACTGAAGGAAAGCACGATGATCATGCAACTAGTTGGCGTCAAAGAAGAGCCCGTGCCACCTGCTGAAATTCATGATTCAGAAGGAAAGGTTAACTCATTCCAACAGTTCTACAAGAAAAAAGCCTACTTGCGATACCTCAAATTTTTAAAATACATTAATCAAACCCAAGTTGACCTTGATAAAGATGAAGTTATCGCACCAGCAAACACAAGCGTCATCGAAATCGACTAAATTTCTTCATTCATCACCCTTTTATTAAAAATTTCCTCAATGTTCAACTTAAACACATTTTCTTCACTTTCACTAAACTTGTTACTGTCGCACACATATTACATTGATTTCGTACTATTTTAGACTTCACTGCCTTTTTTATTGAAACACTTCTTAACAACAACCTCGTGTTTTCTCAAATCTACAGTCTTCAGAAATGGGTATTTTCAAGCAAATCGGTGCAGCTCTCGGCCGAAAGGCTAAAGATCCGGTCAAAGCAGCTCCATCAGTTCTGGATCGCATGAAGGATCAATTCAACGTCAAAGCCCAGGCTGATCAGATTTCCCAAAACAAAGAGGACGCGTTTGCCGAGCTTGAGAAAATAAAACTTGCGCCCATTCGAGTTGAAGCGGCTGCGGATAACTTAACTGAGGAAGAAATTGAGGCGAAACTGCAAAGTCTGGCGAATGAAAAAGCGACGCCAAAAGACTTTCTTAGCATGCTCAGCGATGTTCAAATTAACAAGCCGAAAGAGCTCGAGGAAATTGAACGGGCGCAAAGAGCGTCTGATAAATACAAACCAAAACGACGAGAAAATGCTGGCGGTAAATAATCGCTCATTTTGCTTTTCCATATTTTGATATCTTTCAGAGCCCTTGGAACTACCACGCGGCAAAGCTTACCCTCCTATGCTAGTGGACATCATTTATAATCATCAGATAAATCCTCAACATTGGAATGTGGAAAATTTAGCAGAAGAAACACGTCTTCGAGAGTCAGATATTGAAATGTTTCTCAAGAACTTTGACTTGATTAATGAACACTCAAATATTTTTATCGAGGGCGAAGGGCCTAATGCCATCGCCGGCGAGGATCAATTCTCGCCACTCGACGACATGCCTAAACAGATATCTAATTAAAAACTTCCCGCTCTCTCTTTCAATCTCCTCTAGCATGTTTATTTTAAGAATGTTTGAAGCAATCGGGTCGCCCATGTTTTGGACACTGTGTCTTCTTGTCTTCGTTTTAGCAATCGCCTTGATCTGGGCTCGGCAAACTGTGTCAGGAACAGACACAGGAACAGGAAAAAAAATTCTGTCCCATATTTTACACAGGTACACAGGTCAGGAAGCAAAAATATCCTGATTTTAGACAGGTACTCAGACAGGATTTTTTACACAGCTTATCAAACAGGTTACACAGGTCAGGGTCTGCCTGAACAGGTCTGAGCAGGTCAGAAAACAGGAAACAGGCCCTGTGACAGGACAAAAAACAGGATATTTCTGAGAAGAAATATTACAAAGAAACAAAAAGACGCGAATTTATCGGTTATTTTGATTGACGAACTCTTCTTTACGCCTTTCGCTATTGATTTCTTTAAATATTTTCGCAGACTTATGCAGTTCCTGACCTGGTCACACAGGAGCCTGTCTATGGTCAGCGGGAAACACAGGCCTGTTTAAGACAGAAACAGGAACAGGGACAGCTAAAGAAAAATTTTTCCCCCAATTTTACACAGGTACACAGGACAGGCCCAAATTATTACCCGATTTTACACAGGTACTCAGACAGGTTCCCCAAAAACAGGAAACAGGACCTGTAACAGGTTTTTACACAGCTCAGTTTGCCGAGCCCAGGCCTTGATTTTTACTATCGCCTATCTTTTCGTTTATCTTGGATACTTTACTGCCATCGACGTAAAAGTCGAAAAACCTGAAATTTCTGGACTTATGTACGCTTACAAAGGTATTCTATTCAAGAAATCCACATCTTACAAAATTGAAGAATTCGACGATCAATTCGACGAAGTTCCAAAGCTCTACAAATCGATAGCTGAAGACTACCCGGAAAATAAAACGCTCGGCCTGTATGAAAGTTATGATGAGAGTTATACAGAGAGTGTTTTCAAACTTGGGGCAATAATTTCTGATGAAGCAGAGGTTAAAACAGGCTATTTGCTCGGCACTCTTCCCGATTCTAGCGCTGCGATATGGTATGATTGACAGGGAAGCGATAGATAAAGATGGATTCTAGTTCTTCGTTCGAAATCAAAGACCCGATCCAAATCTCGGTCGGGTACAAACGCTGCCGGGAAAAGATGCTCTCTTATGCGAAGGAACACGATTTGAAAACTGATACTTTTCTTGAAATTTACTCGCCCGACAATTCTTCATACTACTTTTTGCAATAAACTGATTCCTCTTCCGCCCATTCGTAAATTCGTTCATTGAAAATGGTTCAAGTTTAGACAGTTGATGTCGGTGAATACTGACCCTTTTCCTCCAGGAGTTCGTGTTGAATTGACCACGCGCCTGGGGCAAAAGTTCGACGGAGATGTCATCTGCTTCGATCAAAACCAACAGCTCCTTCTGATTAGCTCTCAAATCGAACAAGACTCAAAACTTTGCAATATCCATTTAGGCAAGCCCGAGAATTAAACTCGTTATTAACGCCTATTTCCAGTCAACTTAAAACATGTAAGCGATGTTAAATACAAAGAAGAGCAGCCCGGAGCGAAAAAGACAGATTTCTTCAACCAGAAGTTAAACAGTGCCAAGCTGGAGCTGAGACGGCGCAGGAATGTGGAGGACAAAAGAAACGAGGTAAGGAGCGACAACCTTTGCGCGAAAGAGCGCGGCTTTTTCAGGCTTACGCTTACAGTGAAGAAATTGACCCTGTTGGACGGGAGCTCTACTCGCTAATCAAGAAGCAACTGCCAGACGGACTCCGCTGGGTGAACAAGGACATCGAGGTAAATCCCCCTCCTTTTGGCCGCAGAAATAACGCGGGGTTCAGGTTCAAGGAGTGCGAATATCTCCGCCCTACGAGGAGAAATCCTGCGTCATCACCAATGGAAGCCAGCAAGCCCTAAACCATATTCGAAACATCATCAAATACTATCACTCGAACCAGCGTCAGTAGATCACACCCAAAATTGAACCCAGAACCCGGCCTCCACTAGAAATTCATCCAAAAACAGCTCCAAATCTGAAATTACCCAACTGATCCTATCCCAATTTTTGAGTGTTTCCAAAAACCGATTAATAAATTTAGGAAAAATTTCACAAGCTCGCACAATTTAAAAATTACTAGAAACGGCATTTATACTTTTATTACTTCCCGACTTCTTTTAGGCTATTTTTGAAGAAAAAAAATGTAAAAATTCCAAAAAAAAAACTGTTCACGCGCTACAAGATCTCTGCTAATGAACCCTGTTTCTAATACTGTAGAAACTTACTGTTATAGTCAATAGTATTATCAGAGATTTGAAACCTGGGCAAAAAACAAGAAGACAGGAAGAACTCGTGTCGGAATTCACTCACGAGTTCTTCGGCTTTGATTTGATTAATTAGCAATTAAAGCAGCAATTTATTATAATAAAGGTGGCAAACTTTCAGCAGCTTTTCTGTAATAATGTTTCTTTATCTTCTTCATTTCTACTTTTCGATTGAAATTGCGCATCAGTTGTTTTCTTCTAGCGCGAGCGGAGAAAAAGCTCGTTCCGGTCATTTTTCCCGGCTCTGGAAGTTTGAAGAGTTTTCTGATGTCTTTTGATGACATAAACGAAGAGCTAGAAATCGGAGTTAATAAGGGGGTACTGGACCTGCGCTTGGGAATCTGAGTAGAAAACCTGAGTCAGGGTCCTTGACGAGCAGCTCAATCTATTTAAGAAATATCGGCGAAGCCGCTACGCGGCTTCGTTACTTAGAAAGCCGATTCGCGGCTTCTCTTTGAGACTCTTTCCGGACCCTGCGTTACGGTCTCTGACTCAGGTTTTCAACACAGGTTGCCGGGTGGAGGATTTTATCTTACGTTTCTCCCGCTTCTAGTAGTTTAGTATCCTTGTCTATCGACTCTTCTTCTTTTGTGATAATCGTACAATCAGCAGGAAGAATTTCTTTAATAAACGGTAGATACTTTTCGATATTCGGCTCGTTTGGGAGATTTGACAAATTAATCCACTTCAAGTTCGTCATTAGTCGCAAATAGCCGAGGCCCTTGACGGTGATGGAACTGCCCGCCAGATCGAGGTATTCCAGCGTCTCGCTCACTTTGTGCAGACGCGTCATACTGATCAAACATGTTATCTGAGACATAAATTAATTTACCAGTCGAGGGAGTCAAGATACATCAGTCTCGAGTCTCGAGATTAAATTCCGAAAATTGAATTACTCACCAATGATCGTCAAAATAGCGCGTGTAGCTGGCATTTAAATACTTCAGATTCTTCGTTGCTTTCAAGTTTTCCAAACCGTAGAATCCCAGCTTGGAGAAGCGAGCATCAATGGCGATGATATTGAGCTCCCTGTTATTGGACTCAATAATTCATTTGATATTCATTTGAAAAGCTTCTGATTAAAAAAACATGCGAGGAAAAGTTTTTCTCAAGATGACCAACTGTGAGTTCGAATAGGAATTTTTTATTACTTGCTTTTTTACAAGAAAAGTTCATGTGAGAAATCTTCTTCGAGCTTTTTATAAGGTCAATCCGAGATGACGTCAATTTGACTAGATTCTTTCAAAATATTCTTGTGAAGATAGGCTAGGCAACCACTGCGGAAAAGCTGACTCAGGGTCTTGAAAGGACTCCTCCAAAAAGCCGCGTAGCGTATTACGACTCTTAAAGACAGCTTTTCTACAAAGGTTACCAAGCCCAGTTCTGAAGCTCGTCAATCTAATTGAGCCATTCCTTGGATCGAAAATCTGCATCGCTCTAAAATCCTCCACCCATTCCATAGTCCCCTCGGGTGCATTTTGACACTCGTAATAAACCGCACAATCCATTTTGTTCATCAAAACATGCGCCGCCATTCCAACTGGGCCCGCAACGGAAAGGTACTCTTGCTGCTTTTCTTGATTGTAGGGCAGATTTGCCATGTAGTAGAAATTCTGATCGCGACGGAGCTGATAGCGGAAGTGGCGATCGATGATGTCCTTTTTTGAAAAAGGATTGAAGGTTCTGCTGATTCGTCCGCGAACGCGGTCTATTTTTTCTTTCTGAAAAGGATGAGCTGAAATTCGATTAAAGAAAACTCACGATTTGCGATTGTTTCTCGGTCACCACCACCATCTCCTGTTTCCTCCTTGACCATTTGACGACCCTTTGCTCTCCCCAAAGAGCTTCATTCTCCGGCCTTTCCAGAGGCACTTCTTTTACAAACGTTTTTCGAGCGCCCCAGGTGTCGAACTTCATCAGAGCATCGGTTTTTGGAGGAACTGTTTTGAAGCGAACCGCGGTGAAGATCAATTTTGACGGTTGGAAGAAAGTTCGAAACATTCGGTTTTTGAATCCGATTTCTAAACGTTCATTTTAGTGAGATCAAAGCTATCATCTTTATCTGTTTAAAATTCTAGCGAAGCTACTAGTAGCCTACTAGGCCTTCAAGCTGTTCACTTATTGATATTTTAGCAACACGATTTTTGCAACAATTTTTTTGCTTTTATTTACAGCGAAGATTTTCGAGCGCAGTTTGAGTTTTTTTCTTCCAATGTGACATCAGTTTGATAATAAATAATAATAAGCATATTAATATTATTTGTGAAAAGATCAAGTTTGAACTGGACAGAGTGATTTTCTAGGTTTGATTTCTAGTTGGATTTTCGGAGTTTGCTTGAGGCGTGATCGACGGGATAACAGGAGGGTCGTTTTCGTTCGGGACGATCTTTTTCGCGCTGCAGTTCCATCTGCTTGTGCATGAATTTCTTGTACAGGTTTGGCTTGTCGGCGACGATCTGTTGGGCGTTGTCGTCATCGTCGGAGTCGTAGTGGATGTATTTGGGGAACTGAAGGAACACTTTTAGCTTGTTATCGACGAGGTCATAATCCGGGCTTGTAAGACTGTGTAGTAACCTGAGCTAAGCTCATGAAAGAGCTAAAATTGAAGGCCGCGTAGCGGCTTTTCCAAGAACGAAGCCGCAGAGCTACTTCGCAAAAATTACAATTCCAATCCATTAGGATTGTAAGGTTTCTTGATTGAACTTTTTCAAACGAAAACTTCTTCGATCAAACTTTGCTAAAAACAAGATGGCGGGGCTAATGATGAGGGTTTTCTGTAGGAGAAGGAGGTCACCGGGAGAATGATAAAATAAAAAAGTTTGTTTTGAAGAAGCGCGGCTTGTTTCCTTTAGCGCCTTCTTCACTCCTTGATTCGCACTATAAACGTCAGGCGCTGCCCACGAGCTCGGCAATAAAAGTATCAGACTTGAGAGGCTAATCATGTGATTTGCACTCGGTAATGCACCATCACAAAGTCCCTCGAAAACTCCTCGGTAAAAAATAATTCAACAAATAAAAAAAAATCAAACCAAATCAACGAACAAGAAAATTTGAGAAAGAAAATCTGGGTCAGAGCAAACTAAAAAGCGAAAGAGAGAGAGATAGTATGCGGAAATTGAGGAAGAGCTCGTTTTCAAGAAATAAAGGTCAGTCAAACAAAACTTTGATTGAAACTGATAGTTTCTCTTATTTGATAGTTTTTGAAATCTAAATTGGATTAAAAAATCATGCATTTTTATCATGACTAGCTAATGAATCTATTCAATAATGTTGAATAGTAATAATCATTTTATGAGGTGCCCCTATTAAATTCTGCAGATGACGAATAATCGTACGATAAATGTATTTAATCTAGAGCTACAAATTCGTGAAATATGAATTGTTGCGATAAATAGGTATCGTTATGGTCTGTTAGTTCAAACTGCACCTAAGAGCCATTTTCGAAGAAGCCTTATTTTACAATTAATTTTTGTTTCATTTATATTTTGAAACTTACGGTTTCTGGAGACTTTGAAGCTCTTTCCGTGACAGTAACAATTTTCGCTTTCGAGAAATTCTGTCTGTTTCTACTCGGCAAGTCTTCGAACAATCTGTTCATCTCTTCTTCTTTTCTGTTCTCTCAGGCTCCAAAATCAGAATAATTCTAGCCAACTCGGGGCGGGATTGGGCGCCCAGCTCTAATTTTGTCCAATTGCGCGGAGTGGCGCGCCTGGACAAAAAAATTTGGGAGGTCCCGACCGAGAAATAGGAAAAAAAAAAGAAAGAAAAAGAATATTGATCTTGGCCTGGGGCGAGTGCGACCAGCCCTGGAGAGGGGAGAGAGCGCGCTACACACGCCTCGCTCGTTTACTCTGAGGGCGAGATTTTCTCTTTCAGTCACTCGCGGAAATGTTAGGAAAAGATGACTGTAACTGAGAATTGTGCGGCACGGTGGCTGTAGTTTTGTTCCCTTTTGAACTGAAAGAAAAATAAGAGCGAGAGATTTTTCGATGAAATGAAGGAAAAACGCATTCTTGGAAGAGATTTTTGACAAGAAGATTTTGAAGAACGAAGATTCTTTAGTAAAGAAATGTCCATTCTTTGAAAATCAAGAAGAAAATGGATAATTTTTTGCGAATCGATTTTTACTTAGAGCTAGATGGGGAGGTGGCACGAATCGCCAAAATTGCGACAATTTTTACGAAATTTTGGTCAAATTTATGACCAATCAGATGTCCGCATTCGACTTGCAGGCCAATCAGATTTCCGAAAAAACTTCCGAATCTTAATTGGGCTTTTTTTCATATTTTCCTCAATAAAAATTCAAGAATCCTATTTTTTGTATCTAAACGAGTACTTCTAATATGAATTTATCAATAATTTTCGAATAAAATCTTCCAAAATAAATGCGCTGTGTATATTTATGCCTTGACAAAGCATCTCTAGAATAGAAAAAAAGGCGCTATAATTTTCGCACACTCATCCCAAAATCACAGTTTCGTCAGCACTTGAACCGCCAGAGTCAATATTTATCAGCAGAGCATTTTGTATGCCCATCTGATTCAAGAGAGAATGCTCCGTCTTTTGCCCAAGTTCGTGAAAAAAAAAAAAAGAAAAGAAAGCATAATTGAGACAATAATCTCAATTTTAGTCTCATTCATCAATATTTTTTGTGACACTTTCTTGAGCCCCCGCGCTGAATAAAAATTAACGTCGTCTTTTGTAGAGATAAAGGATGATCTGATGTCGGGCGAAACAACGAAGCAACGAAAACTCCAACACAAGAAACGCCGACCGCATTTCCACAGGTACACCCTTAATCTCCGGAAAGAGAAAAACCGTAGAAAATCAGTAGGCAAAAATAGCATAATTCGTAATTCCACCGCTTTACTTACCACTCAGAAAATCGGGCAAATCGTGGCTCAGGTAAAAAAAGAACAAAAACGAACTTTTTTGAAAGAAAACTTACTTGCTACTGGTAATTACATTTGCGTGCCAATTAAAACATAAAACCACTACGAGTTACAGTAAGTTCCTGGGCTCGGCAACATTTGCAGGAGACCTGAGTCAGGCTTCTAAAAGGACTTCAATGAAAAGCTGCGGCTTTTTTAAAAAAGATGAGCCGCGAATTTTCATTGAAGCTCTTTCAGAACCCTGACTCAGGCCTCCTACACAGGTTACCGAGTTCGCCTAATTAACTATTTGATTTTTGATCATGCGTTTTTGAACTAATTAATCGAGCTAGCCGACTAACTCTTCCTTTTTCAACCTTTTTGCGTTGGAAAAAAGGTCATTTGAGCGTAATAACTTAGGACCATTTCCACAAAAACACACATTTGCATTTAAAAATTAAAATTGTATGCGTTCCTTCTTAGCTAACCTTTTTGAATAATTAATCAAGCTGCACAAGCGATAAGAAAGAATAAATTTTATTTTCAGGCAGCGAGAAAAGGTTCTCCGTGGAAATGACGATCCGTTGGCGGCGGTATTTTCTTGGGGCGTCAGGTACTTATCTTATTTCCGAATCGTCTGTTGTACAAATCTGCGTTTTAAGCCATCATCAGCGAGAGCTGTCTGTCATTCCTCAGCCGAAAATGCTGCTAGCTGACGATTTCAAAGCGTATTCCAAGCTATGTGTTTGAAAATCGAATAAAAAAGGAAGAAGGCATCATTTGATGGCAAAATTATTCAAACACTGTCAGTTAAAAGTGGAAAATCACGCGTTCAACCGAACCTTGTTACCTGGCCACTACAAGGCAAGGGCTAATCGATACTGAGAAATCGAGTTTGATTACTTTGGCAGGAGGATAGGCTCTTTTTTCACTCAATAATACAGGCTCATCGGATTCATTCTGTATTTATCCGCGCTTAATCCGCGCTCTACTGAATAATTCATTCTATAAATGATGCATATTCTGAAATCGAAACGAAATTATTTGAAAAGGCCATTATCATAAATCCTTTCTCCTTTTTCCTGCCAAAGTTTCAGTACTTCAAGTACCGCGCTAACCCCTCTAAGGTCAAAGAGTACTGCCCATTAGTTTTCCGCGGACTGCGAGAGCGTTTTGACATTTCCGAGGTAAGCCCTAATTTGTGCAGGAGATAGATTTGCCTATTTACCTAAATTAATCTAGGATGATTATACGGATTCCCTATCGCTGCATCATATTGAGCCTCTTATTACACAAGGAATCGTTCTCTAAAGAAAGTACAGTATCAATCTTACATAAAACAATACGGTATTGTCAATACCTCTATGCTGAGCAACCTGTGCAGAGACCTCAGTCTGGGTTCTGCGCGACCTTCAATGAAAGGGCTTTCAGAACTCTGACTCAGGTTTTTACGCAGGTTCCCAAACTGAGCGTCTGTGCTTGTTTCATCTTCTTTTAGTGAAGATATTCTTTTTTGAAACGAGGAAAAGATGAAATCGAAAAGATGGAAGAGGCGAACGCAGACGGAAGAATGCCCGGAAAACTGCGAAAACGCGACATCCTAAGATCCTACTGCGGTCGATTCATCGTCTCCCTCATCTCCACCGAAGATGTCGAGCAATTACATAATGTTTTGCCTAGCTATTACGCCATGGATTCGAAAAACGTTACTTTTCAGAATTGATCAACTTTTTTTACGAACTTGAACTTTGTCCCGTGACGAGTAGTATAACAGCCGCCGTCACGAATCTATGAAATGTTTATTGCCATTCTGTAATTCATAAAATAAGTCATGAATCCGAATGAAAGCCCACGTCGTCGAGCAAAAAGGAGAAACCTTGCTTCCAAACTGGCTTGGTCTCTACAGATGCGGCATCAGCAATCGCTCAGACAGATATTTACTCGTCACTAAGTGAGTCAAGGCTCCAGTAGATTGCAACTAATGACGGGTTTACTAGATCTATAACGCGGCGGATCGAGGTGCTCTCCGAAGCCTTCCGACTCAAGGGGACGAAAATGGAGAAAATCGAAAAGAAGCAAAAGAAGGAGAAGAAAAAGGAGGAAAAAGAAGAAGACAAGGAAAAGAAAGAACTCAGGGTGAGAAAGATTCCTTTGAGGGTTTTTTGTATTGTAGATAAATAATAGTTTGTACATCATACAAGCATAGAAAGATCAGTGTGAGGTTTTGTGTCGGATAAGATAATGGATTTTCTTCATTGCCTTTCGCTTGAACCTCTTTCCGCAGCTGAGACAGACATGTTTCTTGAGCCCAGCCCGGACCTCGTCCCAGCTGGAAATGCTAGACCAATTCATGTCATGAACGAGCTCATCTTCGTGCGCATTTTCCATGTGAATTTCGAGCGCGCCGGCGTGATAGAAGCTCTTTGCGCAATAGTCGCAGTAATACTCGACGATTTTTTCGTTTCGTCGCAGCGTTTCGGAGTTGATCTCTGTCCTGTTAAGGGTTAATCGTCTTCCGAGGCGTTGGTGACGGGTGGGGATTTCACTGACAGACTTGAGCTTTTTAATTGTCGCGTGGCGGGAGTAGGAGACGATGTCGGTGTGAGTAGTTGTGCACATCTTTTTCTTGTTGTTTGAGTTTTCTGGGTTCTTATTCCGCCGATCTGGTTATATAAAATCTTCGTCTAGCGCCCTCTCGAGATGACCAGCAGGTGATCATAACAGGATCGGCGGCTAGGAGCCTAATACAAGTAATTATCTAGGTTGCAGGATCAGAACAGCCGCCCAGCTGCGCGAGAAATCCCTATCGGCGAATTTAGGACAACATCGCCAATAGACGCTACGTCCCGCGGAAATTTACCGCACGCCGCCTATTCTACTTAGAAAATACAAACTCCCAGAAAATCTCGCTAATTAGCTCTTTGAAATTTTTGATATTGTGAATTGAATCGATAATCTTGCTCTCAGAAATTAGAGCTAGTATTGACCTTAATTTAGGAGCCTGAGTGGCTGCAAAGTGGAAATCGCCTTCACCTTATTCCATCTGACGCGGAAAGGTTCAGAACTTATTTGAAAAATGACCTTGAGGTAGGATGACCTTGAGCGATGAAGGGGTTTTAATTTGGTTATCATTTTAGCTCTTGCAGCGATTGAAATTGATGAATTACTCGCTCGATGTCCGCCTCTGTCCTCAATCAGGTATGTAACTTCGACACTTGGCATTTGAAGGAACATAAGAGTCTTTGATTTATCATTTCCTTAATGACAATTAAATCAAAAGACGACGAGAAAGAGGAGAACCACGACTCGGGGCACGATGGCGGCGCCAATTCTGGCGACAATCGCGATTCTGAAAGCGATGAAGAGGACGAGTTTGAATCGTCGGAGGCTCCTACCTTCCGTTTCAAGCTAGGTAACTCAAATATTTATTCCTCGCTGCCGTTAAAACAGACCTTCTTTTTAAGAGAATGGCGGCATTGTGTATCTGAGCTTGAATGAAATTCTGAACCACTACGATACCAAGAAAAAGGCCCAAAACGCTGTGAAATCCGCGACTCATGGTGTAAGTCCTTATTCCTTCAAGTAGCCTCTTTTTCAGGTTTATTTCAGTGCTGCAAGCAAGTTCCATGTTGCACCAACAAAGAACTAAAAAGACAAAGCATCGCATACGCACAAGAGTTTTATGACTTGCTTGTCTCCTATTTTTTCGGCGCAAGCAGGCTCGATTGCATCATGAGTTTGACCGATTTCAAAAAGACGTCTTTGATGCATCCGTCTAAAAACTGTTCTGTCAGTGCAGAGAGCGACTTCTTTTAAAGCAGTAATCGTAATCAACTGAAGGCAGTTATCAATCCATTAAAGCATCAGTTACAGCCATTTATAAGCAGTTACCATTTATCCAGCAGCTTTGCTCGGCAAGCTATGTAGTAGCCTGTGTCTGGGTCCTGAAAAGATGAGAAGAAGCGTAGCGGCTTTTTTAGAAAAATAGCTTCGCGGCTACGAGTTTAAAAAAGCCGCCACGTGTCTTTTTATAAGAGCTCTTTCAGGATCCTGACTCAGGTTAGGGCACAGGTGTGGAGCCTAGTCCCACAGCCAGGGCCCTAGAATCACGTAAACTAAGATTTCAACTTCAGAACGACGAGGACAAAAAAGTCAACCCGGAACGATATAGCCGCCAGTTCACTGAATTCCTTTCTTCTGCTGTCTTCACCCAATGGAATTAACAATTTCAACCTTTCCCGCGCCTGGTTCATCAAATAACTATTCATCCTAAACCAACTCGGAAACTCTTCATTCACCGCACTTTTTCCAAAAAAGAAAACAAAATCGTAGTCCATCTCTTTTTGTGTCTGTCCAAAAATATATTTATCAAGAGTTCCTAAATGGATAAGCAGCGGTGCTCTCTATCATTACTTTCAACTTCAATTTATACAAAAAACAAACAGTACATGATAAATCGTATGATATCTTCACTGGAGAAAAAAGAAACCACCCGTCCAAAATTCTTTCCTTTATGTTCATCCAACAAGTGATTGTAATTCCTCAAGTATCCATCCGACTCTGTTCAGTGTTGTGTTTAACTTTATAAAAAGAAAAGTCCTCTTTGGAGGACGAAAAATCTTGAATTGAAAATCTTAAAGTGAATTTCAGAAATAAGAAATTCGAAAATATTTAAATACAAAATTCAAAGTTAACGCAAATTTAACATGCCTTGTCTTTTGATTTCAGTACCGCGGTTGGCATTTCTGACTGACTAACGCACATTTCATTAGCACATTTCGCAACGCTAAAACATAGGGCGTTTGTGCTAACTAGGCCCTTGTAACCTATCTAGAAAAATAAAATTAGTCAGTCAGAAATGCCAACCGCGGTATATTTGATATACCAATAAACAAGTTGTATATTTAGTCGCTCTCATATAATTTTACGCAGTCTGAAAGAGAGCTTGAACTTTTGCTTAAGGGTAATGGTATACATCGGCGCGGCGCCGCTCGCTCGATCCGCGCTCCGCAAGAACCTATTTCTCACGAGGCCGTAAAATCTGAACGGATCGAGATTTTTTCGAGATTTAAGCAGATTTGGAATCCTCAAAGTCTCTTCTATAAACTGATCGAAAATTAAAACAATTTACAAAGAGAAACAATGTGAAAAGTGCCAGTTTCCTTCAAATGACATTTTCTCCATAATTTCTCATCCAAATTTTTTGAAAATTAGACTGTCTTGTAGAGAATCGTCAGCTCTACAATTCCTGTGTTTCAGATTTTTGTTTTAAGCTTTCATTAATTTTACATCGCAATTTGTAAAGAGCGCAGCGGGAGCGCGCCGCGAGAAATAGGAAGCGGAGAGGCGCGGGCGAGAATAACTCTCTTCAAAAGAGCGCACATAATTTTTGAAAGCCCAAATGAAAAATCTGAAACACAGGAATTGTAGAGCTGACGATTCTCTACAAGACAGTCTAATTTTCAAAAATTTGGATGAGAAATTATGGAGAAAATGTCATTTGAAGAAAACTGGCACTTTTCACATTGTTCCTCTTTGAAAATTGTTTTAATTTTCGATCAGTTTATAGAAGAGACTTTGAGGATTCCGAATCTGTTTAAATCTCGAAAAAATCTCGATCCGTTCAGATTTTACGGCTTCGTGAGAAATAGGTTCTTGCGGAGCGCGGATCGAGCGAGCGGCGCCGCGCCGATGTATACCATTACCCTTAAAAAGAGAAGCCGCTTGCAGCTACTAGAGATTTATATTATAGCCGCGCTTTGTGCGGCTTTTTTTAAGGTCGAAGCCGCAAGCGGCTTCTCGAACTTACGGACAGGAGTGAAGAAAAAGAAGTAATATATTTTCTGAAATGCATTATTTTTCAAAACCGCAATTTTCAGAAAAAATGGACAGTTCGATCGGTCTCCTCAGCAACGTCGCCACACTGGTGACAATATTCATGTTCCTCTGTCCGTTCAACGAGTGTCGGACCGCTCTACAGACGAGGACGCTTTCCCCTTCCTTCAACATCCTTCCATATGTAACGACGGCAATGACTTCAACGCTGTGGTTTACTTACGGCCTCATGACAGAGCAGCCGCCACTGGTGCGTGTCAACATTGTGGGCATCGTCCTCGAAGTCGCCTATTCGGCGATTTTTTTCAGAATAGCGAGAACGAATAAAAACGCCAAGATACTTGTCGGAGCTCTTGCATTTACTTTCTCCGTTCTTGCGCTCACTTATATTGTCGAACCACCAGGAACGTTTCAAAATAAAGGAACCAAGCTAAGCCTATCTGAATCTTTCTTCTAAAACGCGTGAAAGAATTCGCAATACAACTGCTCGGCCTGGTTTGTTGCTCTGTCAATATCATTTGCTTTGCTTCCCCGCTAGCAGCTGCTAAAGAAGTAATCAGGTGATGCACAAGCTCGCTAATCAAGCTCAAAAATCTAATGCGCCAATTCCAAGAACGAAAAGTACAGAGTCTCTTCCTCCTTTCGTCGTCCAAGTCTCAATGTTTTTCACCCCTCTTCTTTGGTTTTTCTACGCGTATCTTATCGGTAAGATTCGTTATCAAATTAAAATGCATCATGCTTTTCTTCAGACGATACGTTTCAAAAGATTCCAAATGGCTTGGGCGCTCTCCTAGGATTGTTTTCAATGTATCTTCGTTACAAATACAAGCAAGGAAAATCGAGAAATGACTATCTTCCACTTGGGGCCTGAAATTCCAAAGAAATCGAGATTCTATGCAGAATTCTTTTAATACAGATAAATACTTTCTTCTTTAGTTAGCTTTTATGAATATTTAGTGCTACTGTAGCTCGCTGTTCTTCCGTTAAAATCTATTTTTCGCAATCAAAGTCGGTGTAACAATGCTTCAAAGACTCTCTCTCTCTCTCTCTGATACAGATATGAAATATATGCAATATGCAGCATATTATATGCTCAATAAAAATTCATCATGATACTTGAATGTCTCTTCTTTTTATTCAAGATAATTCTTAAGAATGCCGAAAAATCGCCCCATAGACGATTTCAACTCGCTTTTCGGCGCGCCGATCAGCATGAAAAAAAGTCAAAGAGGAATCGAAGAAAGTCAAGAAAGGCGAAAAAACAGCAAAAGATCGCTTTCTTGTCAAAGTCGATGCGTCAAAGTTGAAGGAGAAAAAGAAGAAAAAGGCGAAAATGAAGGAGATAAACGCCAATTCCTCTCATAAGAGCGACAAAGAAAGAGTCAAAAAGAAACTCGATGAACCTAAGCCACCGAAAGTCGAGACCTCATTTAAACCTGTTCTGAAAGGTACTTTCTTTTGATTTCACGGTGTCAAAATTGTGACTCGCGCTCTTTAGAAAAAGTGAATGGCAAAATTCCGCAGAAATCGAAGTCACCGTTCAAATCATCACCGTCTCAGGACTCGTCTTCGGATTCCGAACTCGAAGGTAAAGTAAAACGCAAAAATGACGCGCTTATGGAAGGCGCTTATGCAAACAGTCAGGAGCAACTTGCTGCCAGTACTAGCACTGCGAGCACAGGTAACAAAGCTCAACAAACAGGACCTGGTGAAATTCCATTCCAATGGTGATAGTCCTAAGACTTTCCGAGAGCCCCTCCTCGGATGATCTTCTACTTGATTGATCGAATGGTGAATTTTAAAGATTTTCGATGTTTTGAGAAATTTCAGTCTCGAACTCGAAATATCGGAAAAGGTGATATCTGGCCATTGATCCTCACAAAAAAGCTTCTTTTAACAGCATCATCTTCAGCGAAACCAACCTTATTTCGGCAATGAGAACATTTTTAGACGACTTGGCTGCTATCGCTCTGGAATCAAAACGAAACCAGGACGAATTCAAGAAAGAGGGAGAGATCAAGAAAGAAGAAGCCGTGAAGGAAGAATACATCGATAAGCCTGTCCTGGCCGCCCAAGCAAATCCTGTCAAGCGAAAAAGTTTTTTGTCCGAATCTGCCTCCTCTTCGAGCTCATCGTCCAGCTCGAGTTCCAGTTCTTCAAGCTCATCTGACTCCGCAAGTTCCTCAACAGATAGGTTCGTGATCAAATTCTCCTCCTTCTTCTTTACCAAACAAATTTCTAGTTCCGGCGACGAGCAAGAAAACGCCAAGAAAAAGCCAAAAGTTCAAGCAGGCAACAAGCCCTTATCAGAGTTGAATGGAAACGGGACGAAGAAACGCCGCGGCCGTCCTCCAAAGGCGAAAGTTGAGCCGACTCCTCAACCACCACCAAAGCCGACGACCTTCATTCCATCCGGCGTAAGATGGGCCGAGTCGGATTTTATCACGAATTTTATACACAAAATCTTTCATTCTGAACACCTCAATCCCGAACATCGCCCATTCCTGGTAACCTTAGGCATCCAACTATCACTAACACGAACTTCAGCACCCTCGACTTCACCCCCTCGGAGGTGGTGTATCTTTGCACGCACACTACCACGAAGTAACGAATCACCACTCGGTAACGCTCGACGAGTTTTCTGAAACCTTCGCTAAAGTCGCCATTGCCGAATACGAGCCCGGTCTGCCTGCATTCAACATCTCCATCTTCCACGGAAGCGCTGTCAAAATTCCTGACCCACTAGAATATTTCGCTAATGCCCATCCTGACCTCAATGTAAAGGTAAGTCTGGAGAATCAACTGGATGAATGCGGCTTGCGGCATCAATAAAGCGACTCGCGCGACTCAATCTTTTTCGCTCGAAGCCGCAAACGAAATACAGATAACAGTAATCAACTATAATTCAAGGCCGAAGTCCTTGGAAACAAAAAAGAAGTACGAACAATGAAGCTGTATGAATACAAACGAAAGGTTGATGCTACGTTTCAACCCTTTTCGAGGTAAACTTTTCTTTTCACAACTCATTGTGTAACTTTAATTACAGGATGTTCCGAGAAGGACCAATGCGAGAAATCTCTCTTGTTGGAAAACGAGGCGAAGAAACCGGATCAGGTAAGAAGAACGATGGGGATTTTTTCTGAGCGTCATTTTAAGATTTTTCGGAATTCACGAAGATGCTCCAAGAAAATGTGCCGATCATGAAATGGCTCCTTCCATGGGGAAGATTGGCGCTGGACGAAATCGACAGTCCAAATAAATCAGACGACGGGCCAATCTGGTGGATAAGACCTGGTGAACAGAGTGTTTCATGCCAACATGGTACTCCAGTCAAGGTATTTTATCGTCACTTTTTTCGTCGTTTTCAACGAGAAATTTAGGCAAACGTCGGAAAAGTTGGATTCAAGCGAGCAAGAGATTCGCGCGAACTGAACGTCATCGATCGAACATTTCCTCACTTGGATCATCAAGACGATCCTACCGGAAGAAGAACTACCCATGCCGTGGGCGTGTTGAAAGCGGTCAAGTGCGGAAAACACTTTCCTGGGTAAGATTTTGCGATGACTAATTATCTTTCGAGGCCACGACCTGGGCTCGCCATACTGTGTAGAAACCTGAGTCAGGCTCTGAAAGATCTATGATGAAAAGCCGCGCAGCGGCTTTCTTTAAAATCAAGCCGAAAAGTCTATTTTTGGACATCGACTCAGGTTTTTTACACAGGTTGCAGGGCTCAGACCGCGGCATTTCTCTAATATGAAAGAGATTTTCTCTTTTCGAGTCGTCAATTTTAAAAATTTCCGGATTTCTGGTCTTTTCTTTTTGTCAAAAAGTCGTGATGAGTGTATTTTTTTCGTTTCTTGGATTTCTCGGTTCCGAGTGATAGGAATTCTCCCTTCTTATTTGAAAATTCGAAGTTGGCGCCCTGAAAGCGCGCCACTGATTGGCTCGTGTTGATTCACTACTCTCGCCACGCTTTTTCTCCGATTGGCCGGGCGCCGCGTCCCTCACCTGACGAATCACGCAAAATGTGTAAAATTTTTGCTCCTGGAGAATGCGCGAAAGAGAATTGACACCAGAATGCGCCAAATTTCGACTCCAAAATTAATCGCTCGTCTTTAGAGAGCCCGTTCAAGTCAAAGATGCCGTCCTTTTCGACTCTAAGCACAAGGAACTTCTCATAAATGCGTTGCAGATGGACACTTACGAACCTCCTATGACTCAGGTACGAATTTACCAAAAGAGTTGTTTATAAAAATTATTCGGAAGATATATCTTTCTTGAAGTGTATTCAATAATCTTGAGAAAATCATCAATAACGTCCATTTTTAGCTGTTTTTCTTATAATTTTTCATTGATCAAATTTCGAAAAATTCATTTAGACTTCTGGATGGCTTTCTCTTTCCAAGCTGAACGGGTTGCGATCAGATTATCAAGTCAACTTTACGAAAGTCGAGCTCTACGACGATGACATCTACCTGATCCCAAGAAACGTAGTCCACCAATTCCGCTCAACAGCGGCCATTTCCTCGCTGGCCTGGCACCTGAGGTTGCAGAGGTTCGCAAATGAGAAGGACGGCTCGCCAGACAAATGAGTTCATTCTACAGAAAGTCAAAACCTACTAGCTGTACTCAAATTAGAAGAAAGAAAAAGAAACCTTCGTTCGATCAGACAATGACCCGCTACGCTTCTATCTTATATTATCAAGACTTTTGAATTCAAAAAAGAACACTTCCAGGCATTTTACTCCAAAATCTGAAATCAACTTATTCTTTATTTTATTTTTTTGCAAATTTCCTCCCTAGAAAAAAGTCGCTTAAATTCCCTCCTCATTTATCCACTGCCCTGGTTTGCCTTTTCTCCCCCTTGGAAAATCCTCAAGGAAATCTTTTTACTATTCTTTAAATCCGAAGCGGTGAAAATCAAGAAATTCTAAAGTTTTGGTGTTTTCAGACTCGCTCGGCTCATAAATCATGGCTGCTGCTAAGAACGCCGCCAAGGCCGCCCTCAAGGGAAAGAACCAGCTCCGAAAGAAGAAGGTCCGAACCAACACCTCCTTCCGACGACCAAAGACCCTCTCTCTTCCCCGAAGCCCCAAGTTCAGTGTTCAAATTGATCATTTTGTTCTCTAGCGAAATACCGCATTTTCTCGAATTTCAATATTTTCCTGATAAATTTTTATAATTTTGAACACGACCGGAAGTGTCCACGAAAGTCTGTTAACAAGCAGCCTCGACTTGACCAGTTCTCGATCATCAAGCACCCCTTGACCACCGAGTCCGCCATGAAGAAGATCGAAGACAACAACACCCTCGTCTTCATCGTTGACATCCTTGCCAACAAGCCCCAGATCAAGGCCGCTGTCAAGAAGATGTACGACGTCGAAATCCAGAAGGTTGCTATCGTGCGATTATAATTATGGTGAAGATTCTATTTCAGGTCAACACCCTCATCCGACCCGATGGCGCCAAGAAGGCCTACGTCAAGCTCGCTTCTGACTGCGATGCTCTCGACGTCGCCAACAAGATCGGAATCATCTAAATTCTGTTTAACGAATTTGAAAAATTGATCTCACGGTCTGTAGCCGCGCGAGCTTAAGATAGGTTTATTTAGACACTAAGTCGGCTTGAAACAATATGGCTTACGCCGCAGGAGCCAAGATTCTCAAGGATGCCGGCGAGCAGGCCACTGATTGCGAGAAGCAGCTCTCCGCCGCCCTCGTCGAGGTCGAGAACAACGCCGCTGCCGACCTCAAGGCTGTTCTCAAGGAGCTTTACTTCAAGGTGAATAGACGAGCAACGCCAGGGCTAGATTTTATAACTAGATTTTGTAGTCCGCCAAAGAATTCGAGGTTGGATCCGGCCGAAAGGCCATCGTCCTCTTCGTCCCCTTCCCACAGGTGAAGTCGTGGCAGAAGATCCACCAGAAGGTCGTCCGAGAGCTTGAGAAGAAGTTCTCTGGCAAGCACATCGTCATCCTCGCCCAGCGACGAATCCTCCCCAAGCCCACTCGAAAGACCCGAAACCAGAAGCAGAAGCGACCATTCAGCCGAACCCTCACCAACGTCCACGACAAAATCCTCGAGGATCTTTGCTACCCCGCTGAGATCGTCGGTCGACGAACTCGAGTCCGACTCGATGCTTCCCGACTTCACAAGGTAATCTTCGTTTACTCGACTTTTGTAACGCCTATTCTAGGTCCAACTCGACAAGAACCAGCAGACCGAAGTTGAGCACAAATTGGACACTTACACCTCTGTGTACAAAAAGTTGACCGGTAAGGAAGTCGTCTTCGACTTCCCCGAGCAGCTGTAATTTGTTTCTGTTTTCCAGAACATGAGACTTTGCGGCTAAGCCAGTTGTCTGACCATTGGATTTGTTTAGAAACGGACCACTCGAAATGGCCCTCGTCAGCGCTGACAAGTTCCAGCACATCCTTCGTGTCCAGAACACCAACATTGATGGTCAGCGAAACATCCAGTTCGCCATGACTGCCATCAAGGGTATTGGACGACGATTCTCCAACATCATCTGCAAGAAGGCCGATATCGACATCACCAAGGTAGATATCAAGGAGGACCAACTGAGCTCTTATTTTCTTTTCAGCGTGCCGGTCAGCTCGATGACGAAGAGATCAAGCGAATGGAAACCATTATGCTGAACCCCCGTCAATACAAGGTCCCAGACTACTTCCTTAACAGACAGAAGGACGCCAAGGACGGTACCTTCACCCAGGTCATCTCCAACGGTCTCGAAACCAAGCTTCGAGAAGATCTTGAGCGCATGAAGAAGGTAGGTCAGTTGACCGGTGTCACATACTGCTCAGAAATCTCACCCTCGATTCTAGATCCGATGCCACCGAGGTCTTCGACACTACTGGATGCTCCGAGTCCGAGGTCAGCACACCAAGACCACTGGTCGACGTGGCCGAACCGTCGGTGTCTCCAAGAAGAAGTAAATCTTTTAAGATCTGCATCTTTCACTGTCTCTAAAAGAATAAAACACCGAGAGACGGATATCTGTTTGATTGCGCTTCATTTAGTATGTCTGATAAAAATGAGATCTCCCTGGAGGACGAGGTTCTAGACAAAGTTGTCAAATACAGATGGCTTCTCTCAGTGCTGATGGGCCCTGTGTGGGGATTTCTAGGGCTCCAGGGGATCTTCGGAATCGCGTTGTATGGCCTTATCATAACGATGTTTTCGCTATCGATTGTTCGCCAGACTGGGTGAGTTGTGAAACTCTTTATCTTATGACATCTATTGCTTTTTTTCTCAGTGAGGAGAACGTTGAAAAAGTTGGAGGATTCACGGTCATCGCAAAGGAAGGAGGCATCACTGCCATGGGCGTTTTCATGGTGACCTGGGTAATAAACCGAAATCTATCCCATCTAAACAGAATTTTAAAGATATCCGTCCATACGATGCTTCAATCGAGCTAAAAGACCTCAACATGTATACATTTGAAGAAATTCTTCACATTAGACCTTTCATTTCCTTCTGATTCTAGTATCTTGCAATTAATCCGTGCCGCTTGCTTCAGCTCAAATTCTTGACCTACTAGTTTTAGCATGGGCTTGCTCGATGAATGCGAAGAGCTCTTTGGCTCTGAAAATCTTTTTGAAATTTTCAAAATAGAGGAACCTAAGACCGCGACCGAGTCGCAAATCAAAAAGGCCTACTACAAACTCAGTCTCAAATACCATCCAGACAAGGCGAACGAAAATGAGAGAGAGGCTCATACGAAAAAGTTTCAAGTTCTCTCCAAGATTCATCAGATTTTGAGGTAAATTTGTCTCATACTATTGAAAGCATTACCCGCTTATAAGTGACAAGCAAAAACGAGAGCTTTACATTGAGACGGGCGAAATCGATGACGATGGACCTGGCCTTGATCCCGACTCAGACTGGGTCGACTACTGGAGACAGCTCTACCCGAAAATTACGCTCGAACAGATCAATAAGTTCACAGAAGATTACCAAGGCTCCGAAGAAGAGCGAACTGATCTTTTGGATGCTTACAAAAAACACAAGGGAAAGATGGGCAAAATCATGGAGGAGATCCCCGCCTCCACTTTTGAAGACGAAGACCGTTTTGCGGAAATCATCAAACAGGCGATCAAAGACAAGGAAGTGAAATCCTACAAGGCGTTTACAAACGAGTCCGCTGCATCAAAGAAGGAGCGTCGAGATGCTGCGCTAGAAGAAAAAGAAGAAGCCGAACAACATGCCAACGACCTTGGAATCGGAAAAACCAATAACACCGATGATCTGGCGGCGATGATTCTTGCTAGAGGAAAAGCGCGCACATCATTCCTTGGTAAATTGTTCGAAATTTTCAATCGCCTCATCTGTTTTAGACGATCTTGAAGCGAAATACGCTCCCAAGCCTAAGAAGGGAAAGGCTGGCAAAGAGAACAAGGCAAAAGCCAAGAAGACCCGCGCCAAAAAGACATAATGAATTGTCATTTCTCACCTGCACTCACACATGTTAGAAAATTTTCAGTTATCCACTGCCGTTATCACAGATTTTTAAAAAGTAGCTCAATTTTTGTACTTTTCAGGGATCGAGAATGGCGGGTCGGACACAGCTGGCTCCAACCTTTCGGGATATCCTCGATGATTCGATCACAAAAGTTGCGGAAGTCTACTGGGCTCCGTACAATCAAAACAAGAAGGAATTCGACGTGAAAGTCATCGAACTCATTTATCAAAATGATCTGCTCCACACACGTTTTAACATCAAGCGAACCATGCTTCTTGAGTTCTCACAGTACCTAGAACGATATCTCTGGCCTAACTACAAGCCAGAAACCTCCAACTATGCTTATGTAATGTCAATCGCTGTCATGGTCAATGAAAAGTTCCGTGAGGCCGTTCCCGCTTGGGATTGTTTCCAAGACAATCCGAAGATGTTTGGTCATTTCTTCGAGCAAGTGATGAAAATGTTGCTTGACAATCGAAATGTCTCTCTTCTGGAAAGAATGATCTTGATCATCTTCCTTGATCACGCGTTCAACTCTCTCGAAGTTGACTGCATCAGAGACGTTGTTCAGCAAACACTTCTATTATCCTCCTGGATCTCTTTGCACAAATCTCTACTGGATGAAAAGTTGAAGTCGAATGAAAAGCTGAAAAAATATTGGCGGGGCATCCAAAAGAAAGACAAAAAGCTTGACGAGATCGAACTCCAACGAGCGCATTTCTTCAGAACGTTCTTGAAGAGCCTCATCGAAAGCTATCTGCAGGTCCTTGAAGAGATCCCAGAAACTGGTGAAATCTCAAAAGATCACGTGTCGTACTGCGAAAGGTTCATGGAATTGATGGTTGACATGATTGCTCGGTTGCCCACTCGAAGATGGTTTCACTTGATTCTACAGTCGACGCATATGATCGCGCACTCTGATCTTTCAGCGCTTGCTCGTCGGCGCGAAGGTCTACTCTTCAATCAGCTCAAAGAGATGGTCAAGTTTTACGACACCTTCGAAGTCGATGACCTAAAAGGAACAGCACTCACTGATCGCGAAAACAACGCCATCCATTACGACAGAATTCACGCTCTTCAGAAAGAAATCTTCAAGCGTTTTCCAGCCGAGGATCACCCTGAACTGCGTCGATTCGCGTTGTCAAACGTAGGCAATGTTGATAAATCCGGACCACTTCGAAAGGCGCTTCAATTTATGCAAGAAGACGACCTTATCCATCTTGCTATCGGTCTCAATCTAATCCCAGAGTCAGTTGAAGAAGGTGAAATCGATCCTGTCTTTACGAAAGAGTTTTTGGTTCACTTGCTCGTCAACACTTACTCGCGGAGGCCACCAAAGCTCGACCAGTTCAACGCCCAGCCTCTCTACCCAACTGAAGATCTTCTTTGGGACGAAAACATAATGAACACCGAGTACTACACCGGTCTCCAGTGCCTCGCCCTCCCAAAACTTGGAATCCAGTTCCTTACCCTTCACGATTATTTGGTTCGAAACTACAATTTATTTCGTTTGGAGTCGACTTACGAGATTAGGCTTGAGATCGAAGATCAAATCGCTCGCATGAAGCCGTGGCGTGGTGATGATGGAGCCTGTGTGTTCGGTGGTTGGGCTCGAATGTGCCTCCCTCTTCAGACATTTTCGATTGTTGAAGTTGCCCGACCTCTTCTTGGTGAAGTGAGACCAAGATCTGTCCGAGCTGATATTGTGATTGATGTCGATCTCCGACGAGACATGCGAAATGAGTGGGAAGGTCTGAAAAAGCACGATATCATTTTCCTGATGACTATCCGACCCAAGCTGCCATACGGAACACCATTCGATCGAACAGTGAACTTCCTCCACCAATATGGCGTTGAATATGTCAGAGGAGCCGAAGTCGAAGGTTATCTCGACGAAGAAGGCCGAGTCATCGAAGACTGGATCGAAAAGCCTCATTTTGTTGGCAATCAGCGAACACTTCGAGTCTGGCTCGATACAAACCAGTACCACGCCGACATGACGAATACTCTTCAGAAAGGAAACGAAGATGTCTACAAGACATTCAACTTGATGTTCCGCCGAAAACCAAAAGAAAATAACTTCAAGGCTGTGCTTGAAACTATCCGTGACCTGATGAATACAAAATGCGTCGTCCCTAGCTGGATTCAGAATATCCTTCTTGGATACGGTGATCCTGCGATGGCTCATTACACGAGAATGGAAAATCAAAAGCGTACACTTGATTTTAGGGATACATTTTTGGATTGGCATCATCTCCGTGCTTCATTCCCAGACTACAAGGTTGAAATTGAAGGTGGCGAGGATCAACGTCATCAGTCACTTGATCCGCCGTACTTGCTCACATTCCCGCCTCAGAAGCCAGAGACCGATGACGAAGCTGTTACCATCTCTGTCAAGAGTTACACCAAGCCAAACAGAGGCCCTTATCCGCAATCTCAGCCGAAAACGAATTCCGTTCCTTTCACGCCAACTCAAATTGAAGCTATCCGCGCGGGAATGCAGCCAGGCCTCACGATGATCGTTGGTCCTCCAGGTACTGGAAAGACTGATGTCGCTGTTCAAATCATCTCAAACATCTACCACAACTTCCCTGACCAGCGAACGGTTATCGTCACTCATTCCAATCAGGCCTTGAATCAGCTTTTCGAAAAAATCATGCATTTGGATATTGATGAACGTCACTTGCTCCGTCTCGGCCATGGTGAAGAGATGTTGGAGACTGAGAAGGACTTCTCTCGATATGGAAGAGTTAACTACGTTCTCCAGCAGCGTCTTGCTCTATTGAAGGAGGTCAACAGAATGCAACAGAGCTTGGGAGTGCAGGGAGATGTCAGTTACACTTGTGAAACAGCTGGTCACTTTTACTTGTACCAAGTGCTTTCTCGCTGGGAGAAATTCGAAGATGACATCAAAAACTTCCAAGAAGCTGTCCTCGAAAAGAAGGAAGAGTTCTCAGGTAATTTATTATATTTGAGATATTTCAAATAATGGCTATTTTAGTATCCAAAATCGGCGATTCCTTCCCATTCCATGTGTTCTTTTCTAACGCTCCACAACCCCTGTTCAAGGGAGAAGACTGGGAAGAAGACATGGAGGTTGCAAATGGCTGCTGGTGGCACATCAAGAACATATTCGAACAACTCGAGGAGTTCCGAGCGTTTGAACTTCTCCGAACAGGCCTCGATCGAACTAGATACTTGCTAGTCAAAGAAGCTAAAATCATTGCCATGACTTGTACTCACGCCGCACTCAAAGTAATGTCTTTTTTTTCGCGCAATGATTCACTCTTTTTTAAGCGAAAAGAACTCGTCGATTTAGGTTTCAAGTTCGACAACATCATTATGGAAGAGTCGGCCCAGATCTTGGAAATCGAGACTTTCATCCCTCTCTTGTTACAGAACCCCGAAGACGGCTTCAATCGACTTAAACGATGGATTATGATTGGTGACCATCATCAGCTTCCACCTGTCATCAAAAATCAAGCGTTCCAAAAGTACTCAAATATGGAGCAATCCCTATTTACGCGATTTGTCCGTCTTGGTGTGCCGATTATTCAGTTGGATATGCAAGGTTAAGCTTATTATCCTGATAAAAATCGAATTAAATGTAATTATTAGGTCGTGCACGACCCACTATCTGTGAATTATACAATTGGCGATACGAAAAGCTGGGCAATTTGCCTCATACTTCCACTTGGCCCGAGTTTAGAAAGGCGAATGCCGGCCTTGTTTGGGACTATCAGGTAATTAATAATAAATAATGATCACGCATCTGCTGATACAGTTCCATTACCACTATCTTTAAGCTCATTGATGTTGGCGATTTCAACGGAGTGGGAGAATCCGAGCCTTCGCCATACTTCTATCAGAACTTGGCCGAAGCTGAATACATCGTCGCAACATTCATGTACATGCGACTTTGTGGGTATCCAGCTGAGAAGATCTCTATCCTGACCACTTACAACGGTCAGAAGCATCTCATCAGAGATGTCATCGAGAATCGATGTGCAAACAACCCAATGATCGGTATTGAGCATTTTCCCTTTCGTCCCTCTCAAAATAAATTATTCAGGGCGACCAGCGAAGGTCACAACTGTTGATCGCTTCCAAGGTCAGCAGAATGACTTCATTCTTCTTTCCCTCGTTAGAACAAAGACGGTTGGCCACATTCGAGATGTTCGACGACTTATCGTCGCCATGTCTCGTGCTCGTCTTGGTCTCTACATCTTCGGAAGAATCGGTCTGTTCCAGAACTGCTTCGAACTTGGACCCTCTCTTAGACTTCTTACGGCTAGGCCGACCAATCTCATGGTTGCACCAGGTAAATGAACAGTACTTACCGAACGTATTAGCTCATCTTTTTCTTCAGAGGAAATCTATCCAGCTGTCAGACCGTTCGGAAAAGCTCCAAAAGAAAGACCGATTTCCATCCCTGGTATGTCTGCGATGCACAAGTTGGTTTACAAGATGTACCTCGAGAAGATCGAAGCGATGGAGAAAGACAAAGATGAGATGCTCAAGTTGATCGCCGATCCGAACGACGAGTTCGAAGACGAAGGGGAGGAAGGAGACGAAGAAGCTGGCGAGGAAAACGGCGACACTAACATGGCAACTGGCGAAGCTGATGGTAGAAAGATACTATTTTGTGTTCGTATTCAACCCTTTTTAGAAGTCATCCAAAACGAGGTAGAAGAACCGATCCCAAAGAAGCACCAAAAACCTGCTGAAGCTGCCGAAACAGCTGAGAAAATGGATGAGAGTTAAATTACTCATCAAAAATAGGAAAATTATGAACTGCCCTTTTACACGACCCCTTCATACCCCTTTCTGCACACTGCCTCACTATTTCACTGTACTGATCTGATAAAAACTGATCCAGTGACTATTCATTCTTTCATTCTAACAGCGCGAGTTTTTGTTTTGCTCAAGGCTCGAACTGTTAGAGCGGGCTGTTTCAGGGGAAATGGGTTTGTCTGAAAACAATAAATAAACAAAAAACACAGTTTAGAATGAACGGACAATGAGGTTTCTTTAAAATGAACTAACTGCCAAAAAGACGTACAGTAGATTTGTCTTTATTTCTAATACTGCTATTATAATAATTTCAGAACTGTTATTTATGAGCTGTGACAATAAACTAAACTATTGATATATTTTCAAAGCCAAATAAGCGGGAAGCTTCCACTTCTTAGACTCTGAAGTAGAAAAATGTTAACCCTCCGATTTGCTGTCCGTATTGTACTATGTTGAATCATAAATTTGTCCTCGGCAAATAACGGCTCCGCTTCCCAAGATTTACGTTTAATGCTCCTTGCGCGATCGGGAACAACACTACGCAACTTTATGAGAACGGTGAAAGCAATAACGTACGACTCCTTCGGGGGCCCCGACGTGCTCAAAGTCGGCGAACGCGATCTTGGGGAGCTGCGGCCGAAAGATGTTAGAATTAAAGTAGCGTATTCTGCGCTCAACAGAGCAGATCTTTTGCAAGTCGCAGGTCGATATCCCAATCAGAAAGCACCACTTCCTCTTGGGCTTGAAGCAGCTGGGGAGATTGAGTCTGTAGGAGAGAATGTCGAGGGACTGAAAGTAGGGGATAGAGTAATGGCGCTGCTAAACGGCGGGGGCTATGCTGAGATGGTTGATGTCCCCTCTGGGATGTGTATGAAACTTCCTGAAGAAATTCCGACAGAAAAGGGGGCTGCTATTCCAGAAACATTTCTGTTTGGGTTCGAATTTCTAACTATTAAGTTATTTTTATCATCTTCTAATTTTATCGACTCGATCTTGAACCCTTTGTCTCGACAGCCTATCAGCTCCTGCACTGGGTGGGAACGACACAAGAGGGAGCTAAAGTGTTAATTCACGGCGCAGGCTCTGGTGTTGGGACGAGCGCGATTCAGCTCGCTAAACTGAACAAGAACAACATTTACGCGACTGCGGGTGCTGAGGTGAGTCGTTCAGATCTGAGGTCAGTCAGATACTGACCTGGTTCGAGCTGATAATCCCGCACCTTTCAGTCCAAATTGGAGAAAGCCACAGAGCTCGGGGCCGCGAAAACCCTCAATTACAAAGAGAATGATTTTGGAGAGCAGTGGGCCGCGGAGAAAATTGATGTCATTCTCGATTGCGTTGGGGGTGATTACTGGAAGAAAAACATGAAGGTTAAATTCATCGTAAAATATCTTATTGTGAAACTTGAATAGGTCCTTGGAATGGACGGTGTCGTTGTTCTGTATGGTCTTATGGGTGGAGTGAATGTGGATGGCCCTCTGCTGGCAATGATTTTGGGTAAATTTAAAAATCTTACAATATTTCGCACTCAATCAAAATGAAAATCGATGATTGTCCTCAATCTTCTGAGTTATTATCGCGGTAATCAACTTTTCTCCCTTAGGGAAACGAGCACAAATCAGAGGAACAACACTCATGAGTCGCTCAGAGGATTATAAGACGAAGTTAGGAAAGGGTGAATTTTGAAGAGGATGTTTGCTGAGGCAGTCTCGATAGATAACATTATAATCAGGATTTTTCCATATGAATATCACCCGTGAAAAGTTTGTGAATTTTGGAATGCAACGAACACCCATTTTGTCAACGGCTCCATCTCTCCCGTGATCGATTCTGTCTACGACATGACTAGGGTCTACGCGCAAAAAATGGGCTACCTCTTCCGCTTATTTTCACGGAAATCCAATTGTACCATATTTTAGAGCATCCCCGAATTAGTATAAATCGGTTTTAAAAAGAAAAAAAAATCGAGTTTTTCAACCCTTTTTCTCATGTCAAAGTTCCCAAATTCTGGTGTTTTTCAGTTTTTGGCACCGGAAGTGGGTCGCACCCCTATAAAGTACCCTTTTTTTTGTTCTCTGATAATAGCTTACCGTCTGTTGCATCTATATCAGCAAAAAAACTCGTATCGGGTACCTAGTGCAAGATGAGATTTTTAAGTCGGAAGTTCCTCCGGAAGCACTAAAAATGCCGAAATTCGCTCTACTTCTCTGAACTTGGGATTTCTTGAATGGATAACCCCTGCAACTTATCAGAATTGGTCTTACCAAGACTTATCTAACCGAACCAGGGCCCAACCAGCCGGTAACCGCGGCCCAACCAGCCGGTTTTCTTCAAGAATCATCGAGTGAACCATAATAATGTATGTTTTTTGAATATTGATCAATGGACGATCATTTTGCTCGGCCAGTAAATGGTCACTTATGGTCAACTTTGGTCTTGTTCGGCCGGAGGATCCCGGAGGACCTCCCTGGTGGAAGACCATCCGCTGGAAGACCAATATTCATAATATTCAATATATGGCCGCGCTCGGTCAGTATATGGCCACCTTTGGTCATCATTGGTCATGTTCGGCCGGAGGACCCCGGAGGACCTCCCTGGTGGAAGACCATTAGATGGAAGACCAAAATTAAATAATAAAATAAAATGCCTTGCTGGGCTAAAAATTGACAATTTAGGCAATTTTTGGTCACTTTATGCTGGAGGACCCCTGGAGGACCCCTTTTGTCGGATGACAATCAACTGGAAGACCAACCTTTAAAAAAAATAAAAATCAACCAAAGTCAATTCAGGTAGCGACGCCCATTTTTTTTAAATCAGTGTCAGGGCGAAGCCGACCCGAAGGGAAGGCCACGCTCGTTCATTCTTTTCAATCTGAGTCAGGGCGAAGCCGACCCGAAGGGAAGGCCACGCTCGTTCATTCTTTTCAATCAATGTCAGGGCGAAGCCGACCAGAAGGGAAGGCCAAGCTCGTTCATTCTTTTCAATCAATGTCAGGGCGAAGCCGACCCGAAGGGGAGGCCACGCCCGATTATTCTTTTCAATCAGTGTCAGGGCGAAGCCGACCCGAAGGGGAGGCCACGCCCGATTATTCTTTTCAATCGGTGTCAGGGAGAAGCCGACCCGAAGGGGAGGCCAAGCTCGTTCATTCTTTTCAATCAGTGTCAGGGCGAAGCCGACCCGAAGGGGAGGACACGCTCGTTCATTCTTTTAAATCAGAGTCAGGGCGAAGCCGACCCGAAAGGGAGGCCAGGCCCGATTATTCTTTTCGATCAGTGTCAGGGCGAAGCCGACCCGAAGGGGAGGCCATGCCCGATTTTTCTTTTCAGTCAGAGTCAGGGCGAAGCCGACCCGAAGGGGAGGCCACGCCCGTTTATTCTTTTCAATCGGTGTCAGGGCAAAGCCGACCCGAAGGGGAGGCCAAGCTCGATCATTCTTTTCAATCAGTGTCAGGGCGAAGCCGACCCGAAGGGGAGGACACGCTCGTTCATTCTTTACAATCAGAGTCAGGGCGAAGCCGACCCGAAGGGGAGGCCAGGCCCGATTATTCTTTTCGATCAGTGTCAGAGCGAAGCCGACCCGAACGGAAGGCCACACCTGATTATTCTTTTCAATAAGAGTTAGGGCGAAGCCGAACCGAAGAGAAGGCCACGCCCGATTCTTCTTTTAAATCAGTGTCAGGGCGAAGCCGACCAGAAGGGGAGGCCACGCCTGTTCATTCTTTAAATCAGGGTTTGGGCGAAGCCGACCGGAAGAGAATCTCATTTGATCCATCTTATTAAGTCTGAGGTAAAGCAAGGCTTGTCTCTAAAAATATTTCAAGTTCACGAATTTTTTTAGATTTTCCAAATAACTTCGTCTCCAAACTCATTCGGAAGGTTTCCTACGGATTCAATATTCGGGATTTAAGAGAGTTTAAAAATTCAACAAGACAAAAGCGCAACAGAAAACGGTCCTTTTTGCCCTGACTCTGACTGAGAAGGATGATCCAACATGGCCTCCTCTTTGGGTCAGCTCCGCCCTCCCTCTTATTAAAAAAAATAAACGAGCGTAGCCTCCCCTTCAGGTCGGCTTCGCCCTGACTCTGATTGAAAAGATTCATCGGATGTGGCCTCCTCTTCGGGTTGTCTTCGCCCTGTCACTGTTTAAAAAGAATAAACGGGCGTGGCCTTCCCTCCGGGTCGGCTTCGCCCTGACACTGATTTGAAAGAATCAATTGGGTAGGCCTCCCGTTCGGGCCTGCTACGCACTGACACTGATTTTAAAAATAAAACGGGCGTGGCCTCCCCTTCGGGTCGGCTTCGCCCTGACTCTTATTGGAAAAAATGAACGAACGTGGCCTCCTCTTCGGGTCGGCTCCGCCCTGACACTGATTGAAAAGAATAATCGGGCGCGGCCTCCCCTTTGGGTCGGCTTCGCCCTAACTCTTTTTAAAAAGAATGAACGAGCGTGGCCTCTCCTTCGGGTCGGCTTCGCCCTGACACTGATTTAAAAGAATAAACGGGCGTGGCCTCCCCTTCGGGTTGACTTCGCCCTGACTCAGATTGACAAGAATGAACGAGCGTGTCCCCTTTGTGTCGGCTCCGCCCTGACTCTTATTGAAAAGAATAATCGGGCCTGGCCTTTCCTCAGGGTCGGCTTCGCCCCGACACTGATTGAAAAGAATGAACAAACGTGTCCTCCCCTTCGAGTCGGCTTCGCCCTGACTCTGGTTGAAAAGAATGAACGAGCGTGGCCTCCCCTTCGGGTCGGCTTTGCCCTGACTCTGATTGAAAAGAATGAACGAGCTTGGCCTCCCCTTCGGGTCGGCTTCGCCCTGACACCGATTGAAAGAATGAACGGGCGTGGCCTCTCCTTCGGATCGGCTTCGCCCTGACTCTGATTTAAAAGAATAATCGGGCGTGGCCTCCCCTTCGGGTCGGCTTCGCCCTGACATTGATTGAAAAGATTGAACGAGCTTGGCCTTCCCTTCGGGTCGGTTTCGCCCTGACATTGATTGAAAAGAATGAACGAGCGTGGCCTTCCCTTCGGGTCGGCTTCGCCCTGACTCAGATTTAAAAGAATGAACGAGCGTGGCCTTCCCTTCGGGTCGGCTTCGCCCTGACACTGATTGAAAAGAATAATCGGGCCTGGCCTTTCCTCTGGGTCGGCTTCGCCCTGAGTCTTATTGAAAAGAATAAATGGGCGTGACCTCCCCTCCGGGTCGGCTTCGCCCTGACACTGATTTAAAAAAAATGGGCGTCGCTACCTGAATTGACTTTGGTTGATTTTTATTTTTTTTAAAGGTTGGTCTTCCAGTTGATTGTCATCCGACAAAAGGGGTCCTCCAGGGGTCCTCCAGCATAAAGTGACCAAAAATTGCCTAAATTGTCAATTTTTAGCCCAGCAAGGCATTTTATTTTATTATTTAATTTTGGTCTTCCATCTAATGGTCTTCCACCAGGGAGGTCCTCCGGGGTCCTCCGGCCGAACATGACCAATGATGACCAAAGGTGGCCATATACTGACCGAGCGCGGCCATATATTGAATATTATGAATATTGGTCTTCCAGCGGATGGTCTTCCACCAGGGAGGTCCTCCGGGATCCTCCGGCCGAACAAGACCAAAGTTGACCATAAGTGACCATTTACTGGCCGAGCAAAATGATCGTCCATTGATCAATATTCAAAAAACATACATTATTATGGTTCACTCGATGATTCTTGAAGAAAACCGGCTGGTTGGGCCGCGGTTACCGGCTGGTTGGGCCCTGGTTCGGTTAGATAAGTCTTGGTAAGACCAATTCTGATAAGTTGCAGGGGTTATCCATTCAAGAAATCCCAAGTTCAGAGAAGTAGAGCGAATTTCGGCATTTTTAGTGCTTCCGGAGGAACTTCCGACTTAAAAATCTCATCTTGCACTAGGTACCCGATACGAGTTTTTTTGCTGATATAGATGCAACAGACGGTAAGCTATTATCAGAGAACAAAAAAAAGGGTACTTTATAGGGGTGCGACCCACTTCCGGTGCCAAAAACTGAAAAACACCAGAATTTGGGAACTTTGACATGAGAAAAAGGGTTGAAAAACTCGATTTTTTTTTCTTTTTAAAACCGATTTATACTAATTCGGGGATGCTCTAAAATATGGTACAATTGGATTTCCGTGAAAATAAGCGGAAGAGGTAGCCCATTTTTTGCGCGTAGACCCTAGACATGACTGACGTTGCCAACGCCCACAAGTACATGGCGACGAACAAGAGCAACGGGAAGATTCTCCTGCGAATGAACCTTTGAGTAAAAAATTAATGAATTCTACGACCATTTTGCCATTGAGTTTCTCAGCACTTTCTGACACCACTGGCTTTAAATATTCATCCCCGATATACTCACTTTCGAAATCAACCAAGGCTCTCTCTGTAGATCGAAGGAACTCAGCTGAAATTTGAGACTCGCGATCGATTTTTAGGAAAATTTGCATTCTTTATTTTTTTTCGAATTTGATTTTCACAGAGATTATTTTTTAGAATGGCGTGGAGATCGCGACTAAAAGCTCTCGTCGCTCCAACGCTAGCTGCTGGCTCCGTTTTGACCCTCAGAGAGCAGTCCAGTTCCGAAGGTACCCCTTTCACCATTCCAAAGCAAGAAGTCCAAGCGAAGTCGAGGCGAGACAGAGATGAAGGTCGACAAAAAGTGAATTCAAAGCGTCGCCGTTTCGAGAATTTCGCCACGGTCCAAGTCAACGGGGAGCTTTTCATGACTCCTGCCGATTTCCTCGAGTCGGTAACAGAAGACAATCCTCGAAAATCCTCGTACAAGATTTCGTACTCAGTCGCGGAGATCGAAGCAAACCTGAAGCAGCACACCCCTGCTCGCAATAAAATCCAAAAAGGAGCGACCGACTTTTTCAGAAAGCTCGGAAAGAATGGAATCATTTCCTACAACGAGTATTTGTTCCTTCTTTGCATTATTACGAAACCGAAGCAAGGCTTCGAAGTGGCGTTTAAAATGTTTGACACAGATGGCAATCAGCTGATTGATTCCGACGAGTTCAAAGTCCTCGAAGACATATTCAGACAGTCGGCAGAAAACGCGACTAACCAGGTAGCGCTTTCGCCAGTCCGAGTTTAGCTAGAATTAGTTTTTCTTTGTGATAGAGATGGGATAGTAGAGCGTATTACGAAGAGGTAATAACAAAACATACCAATCGTCCAGCACGAAATCAAATCATTTCGTTGCACTATTGCATGAGAAAAAATTGTCAAAATCAAATCTGATCGAAAATCAAGAATCAAGTCCGAAAATAAGCATGATTGTCCTTAATATTTACCGTAAATATCATTTACAAATGTTTATCATACCAAAAACGGGGGTAACAATTCTTCTTTAGGAAACGATCAAAAACGATTTCGAAGGGACAACTCTTCGGTATCTTTTCTTCGGCCAGGATGGAAAGAAACAGATCAACCACGACTTATTCTACGCTTTCATGCACAACCTTCAGGTAGAAAAAATGAAAAGAGCGGCCTTTCTTTAATCTTTTTGGATAGGCGGAAGTATTGGAGCTAGAATTCAACGCTTTTGCTCGTGGAAAATGGGACATTACCGAGCTCGAATTCGCAGAAATGCTCCTTCGCTACACGGATCAGTGGGACATGGACCAGCAGCTCGAGCGCATTCAAGGCAGACTCAGCAACCAGGAAGGCATCAGCATGGAAGAGTTCAAATCTTTTTTCTTCTTTTTGAACAATTTGGAAGATTTCGCCACAGCGGTTCATTACTACGCGCTCGCTAACCAACCCATAGGCCCTGGTGAGAGAGCTTTTGTGAAATAAAAACTGGATTTTCTATTTTTCTAGAGGAATTCCACAGAGCAGTCAAGATCTCCACAGGCGAAGATCTGAGCGAAAATCTCGTCAATGTCGTTTACGCTATTTTTGATAAAGATGGCGACCGAAAGGTTTGTTTGTTTTTAGCCAAGAAAGGTTCACATGAATATCTTCTAGCTTTCGCATAAGGAATTTATCGGTGTCATGTCCGATCGACTCAGTCGACAGAACAAGGTAATCTCTCTTTAAGTCGGTGACTCTCTTTTCGACGGGTGAATATTATTGAATTTGGGGTTTTTGAAAATCGGTATGCTATCTTTTTATTATTTTAAAAGATTTGTGTGCAATTTACTCTCTTTTCTCCGCTTCTGTACAAATTTCGCTTTGATATGAAGGTAAAGAATTTGGTGAAGAACTGCTCGCTTACCCGCTTGCACGTGATTGTCGCATGAACTGTAATTGTGTTTTAGACTACTGACACCGCTGAGCTGACATATTTGGTAATTCCAAATCAATTCATTTATCACTTTCATTTTCCATTCCATTTTGAAAATATATCAATCGTATGCTACAGTAACTGCCGAGTAGAGTCACAACAGTTTCATATTCTTTTATAAAATATATGATTGATATATTGACCCAGCATCTGTTGAGGACCTCATCCCGTGACGAGGACTTGTAAAAGATAGTTGATTAGTCTAATTGACAATCCTCCTGTCTTCATCGCTTTTATGAGTTTAGTACTTTGAAACGTAGTCCATACGTTTTCAAAAATTTTGTTGAAAAAAGGCATGAACTTTCATCCTTGAATGTTGTCCGGTCGATGAAAAGTTCCTAGATTCTAGGAGGTTACTTTCTCGAAGTCCAATCGTACAGCTTTAACCGAGAAAATGCAATTATTGACAAATCAATTCCTTTTGAGATTACAAATTGCATAACAAAAAATAGAGTAGATCATAATTATATACTAAATATGCCCTTGTTTGTTTGTGAAACATTTCTGGTCCTCGCACGCTTCAAACTAATATCACCTCCCTAAAACCGCAAAAACGCTTCATTCTGCCGATTAGACCAAAAGTAAAGAGCGATCTTCTTGGGACACCTTGAGACACTGCTACACTCAAAAGCAAAAGAGCTACGAGTAAAACGCTCGCGACGACTCTGATACGGAAGCGGCTGTCCTGCAAGAATTTTGCTCGATCTCTAACTCTAGAATGCCAAGCCAAAATAACGAGAATCAAATTTTAAATTTGCGTGGTTTTATTTGTGATTTGAATGACGGAAAAGGCGCGACGCGGGGTTAAATAGCAGCGAGATTCGATCAGTGTTTTTGAGCAAGCGGTTGTTTTTGAAAAACAATTTTTCTATCGAAAACAAGGAAGAGAGCCCGCGGCTTCTTTTAGCGGTTTTTCTTGCGGGAAATCCTTTCGGATCGATTTCTTTTCGGAAGAGGAGCTGGTCGAACTTGCCAAGCAAGTTATTTTCAAAGGTTTCGGGAGCCGGCGCCGCGCGTGACGAGATAAAACGCAAATTAATTATTATTTTTTTTTTTATAATAAAAGCAGAAAATAATAACAGCCACTTAAACTTCTCACTATGTGACCGTAGAAGTGACTGTTAATTATGATTGAAATAAATAAAGGATGAGAAAAGTAAAAGAATATATACAAAATTTTAACAAATAAATTGAATAAAATTTGGTCAGGATTTTATAAAATAAATTTATCAAAATTGAAATCATAGAAGAAGCAAATTCCAAGGAACATACCCGGGGGAAGTTACTGTCGCGGTTCGCACCGTATCTTCTCTTACGGATGAGCTAGTTTGCGACAAGCGGACGCACTGACAGAGAGTTTGTCCGACCCCACGGCACCGAGATGATACGACGGTTTATCTGCTCGTTGGAGTTGTTGTTGTTGAAGAAGGTGTTGACGGCTGTTCTGTTGTAGACTTTGAATCGTATGTACTGTCAATAATCGAACTTTAAAATCGCAAAGCAATGATAAGAAATATCAATAAATAGATTAAACATGCGGTTTTGCGAATTGCATATTTTTGATGAATTGACGTCAGATCGCATTATGATGAGAGCATATGAGCATTCCAATGATAGAACGTATAGATCGTAAGGAGATGACATGATGATAAGACAATTTTGGGTCAATCTGGCTCGTTAAAACTGACCATCTTTTCATTTTAAGTAGAATATCGTGAAATGATTTTTGCAAATATGTCTGATCAATTTGGTGATACCAAGCTGACAAGACAAATTTAAACTAGCGTAGAACCGAATTGGCGTAAATATTTGGCCGTGAAATAAAAATTTTTTATTTGGCTTGAGGCGTTGTTCCCTAAGGATATCACTGTGACCTTCCATGGGTCCCAAACGAGCATCTTTATCGCCCATCTTTTTCATATTTCAGTTTCAAAGTCCGGAAGAAAAACAAGAACATTTTTACGCATTGGATGATTTGGAAATTTTTTAAGCAGTTCTGTTTCGATAGATGCCTGTAAAATTGTTTTTGAGCAGTTTCGAAATTTACAGGGTAAATCATAAAATGCGCATACAGTTTTTAGCTCGGGGACAGTTAGTTCGTACAACGTTCGCTCTTTTTGCACTCTAAAGACCGCAAAAAAAAAAGGAGTTGTCCGTTTCTCGATTTGCGCCAATTCGGATATTCTCTACGAATAGTTTCCTTCACTTTTATCTGAAGTTTTGCCCTTGATTCCTCAAGATCAAATTCCTGATTCATTTTAAAAAGAATGAATAAAAGAGAGTCTCTTGTTAATTCGTTCAGTTTGATAAATATACCATTTCCAACATAGGTCTCCTCTATGTCGTCTGTATTTTTCCATTTATCATTAAGATATTCGAAAAACTCAAGATCATGATTTTCCATTTTAATTAAAATTGACATGTTTTCCAAATTATTTTCAACTGTAAATTTAGCAATTTTACGCTCGACAACGGAATCATCAGATTTTTCCCTTCTACGTTTTATAGCAACTAGCGGATCAATTTCGGGCAATTTATCGTACGATGTCAAATTAACAGAGAGCTCAGAATCAGAACTTGATTTCTCGGAATCAAGCACAATGTCTGATCCATTTCCTACTTGATTCAAATCACGTTCTTGATTACCATTTATATTCGGTACTGGCATTTCTATCAAAAGAGTCGATGAGGATGAAAAATTTTCTGGTTCTGAAGAAGAACTAGACCGCTCCCGATAAGGTTCCGATTGTAAAGACTGATCTGACCTTTCGGAGGAGAAAGGTTCATGCGCTTTTTCCGATTCTTTTTCTGTGGGGGAATTTTCAGCAAACCGGCCGAGGGAATCCTTCGAAAAAAGACAGTTTTCGGAAAAAAATTCAAAAAACTCGAGATCGTTCTCTTGTGGCTTTGTCACAATCTTGGAGTATTTTTCAACATCATTATTCGTCTCTAAAATTGAATTTCGCTGAGAATAACTTTTCATATGTTCCGCATGTCGCCTAAATTCGTCCTTATCATTTTTAACAGCGTACCACAGACCACTCGGGGATTTAAACGTCACTTCATAAGGACCTAAAAACGGAGGAAATTTTTCGCGGAAATTTTTAATAAGAACTTTATCGCCTAAATTGTATTCTTTGAAACGGGGATTTTCAAATTTGGTCATTCTTTTTTGCTTTTCTTGTTCAATTTTCGCACGAATTTTCCCAAAGTCTACGTCGATTTTATCTCCGTATGTTCGCCAATAAGGGTCTTGAAAATGATGACTGCTTTTTATACCAGTTTCTACACAAAATGGGGTTGTTCCGAGTACTGTGTGTAAACTACTGTTTATTTCGTGAACAATTTCAAACAGAAAAATATCCCAATTCACCCAATTTGAACGAGCCCTGAGCCTGGCTTTTATGGTTCTATTGACGTTTTCAACTTGCCCGTTAGACTGGGGATGACGCGGGGGAATATAATGTACACCAATTTTATTTTCTTTCAAAAATTTTTCAATCAGAACGTGTTCCTTCGCGTTATCTAAAACCATATATTTTGGAAATTTTGGATTTCTAAATAATACGCTCCGGAATTTTTGCAGTAAATAATCCGATTTTTTGCACGATAGGGGCTCCGCGTAAACTTTTTTGCTAAAACCGTCAATAACCACCATTATATATTTATGACCAAAATCAGTTTCTTGAAGTGGGCCAATTAAATCAAAGTACAAAATTTCAAAAGGGCCGCTTGGTGTTTCAGATTTGCCTAAAGGAGGTTTGTTAGGCTGTAGATTTGGTTTTGAAATTTGACATTTGTGACATGATTTTATAAAGCTCGCGACTGTATTTTTTAATCCCGGCCAAAAATACTTTCTAGAAATTTTTTCGGTTGTAATATCGACTCCGAAATGAGAGTGATCATGATATTCGCTGCAAATTGTCTCTGTCAATGCCTCGGGGACGCAAAATCTTTTTTGATAGGCTGGAGAATTTATAGCTAGCTCACCAGACCCAAGGATTTCAAGGTCAGGTCTACGTAAAAAGAATGGGTAAAGCTCGCTTGGTGGGTTATTTGGCCATCTATCAATACTAACGAAACGTCTAACTTGTGATAATACTGGGTCAGATTTTTGAAACTCTACGAATGATTCAGGGGTAAATTTAATTTGATTGATCGAACAATTTAATGTATTACGACTAAGGCAATCACTTATTTTCATTTGATGAGTTTTCCTCTGTTCAATTCGAAATGAAAAGCCCTGAAGCTCCGTAAACCATCTTTGAATTTTTAAATTATTCGTCTTGAAGGATTGAGCGTATTTAACACAAGAGTTATCAGTAATCCAAAGAAAATCGACATAAGCAAGATAAGCCCTCCATCGTTCCATACATGTCTTCCCACTATAAAGCTCTTTTTCCAATGTCCCGTATTTCTGTTGTGCCGGCGTAAAATTAAGCGAGTGGTAAGCTATCGGTTGTAGGCAATTATGCGAATGATGGTGATTTTTATTTCGCTCCGCGCAAAGATAAAGAACTCCACCAAAACTATGATTAGATGCGTCTGTCTCGAGTACGAAAACACCGTCATTTAGTGGGGGGATTTTGAGCTCAAGAGCGTTATGGCAGATGATACTTTTGAGCTTTTCGAGTGAAATCGTCGCCTCTTTTGTCCAACAAAATGACCCTCTGTACGTTTTTGAAATTTCTACTCCCAGGGGTGCAAAATTTTTAATAAATTTTCTGTGCTGCGAAAGAAGTCCGAAAAGTGATTGTGCCTCCTCACGGTTTCTCGGAATAGACAGATTTTTAACCGCTTCGATCTTGTCCTGTGATGGCCGTATTCTCCCTTCAAAAATTTCAAAACCCAAAATGCATGCTTTTCGCTCAAAAAAACTCGCTTTGTCGATGTTAATCCGTAAATTATTTTGGTCTAAAATTTGAAATAATTTACGTAAATTGGCTAAATGTTCTTCTTCCGTTCTTGAATGGACCACTAAATCGTCAAGATAAGCGCAAATTTGAGTTTTCGGCGTGTCTCGTAAAATAACATCCATGCATTTTGCGAAATGAATAGGGGCATTTTTGAGACCCATTGGAAGCCTTTTCCAAGTAAATTGTCCGTCTTCAGTCGAAAAAGCTAGTTTTTCTCGCGATTTCTCATCTACGAGGCACTGATGAAATCCTTTTCGCAAATCAACACAAGAAAAAATAATGCTATTTTCTAAATATCCTAAAACGTCTTCAATTTGTTGCAACGGATGATGCTGCTGGAGCGTAAACGAATTTAATTTCCTGTAATCAATACATAATCTGAATGTACCATTCTTTTTCCTTACGAGTAACGCGGGGCTATTATAGGGTGAATTAATTCGCATTATCATGTCTTGCCCAAGGTAGGAGGTAGTAGTACCGGTCATTATTCCCCGCAAGGCATATGGCGTTCTGTACATATTGCTACAAATCGGGCGATCAGTCTCTAGTTCAATCGAAAATTTTTCAAGGTTCGAAACAGGCAAATTGTCGTCCTCGTCTTGAAATAAATGGGTGTATATAGCAAGAAGACCAAAAAGTACCGGCTTATTCTTTTTCGATATATTCCCTATTTTTAACCGCGAAAGAAGAAAATTAAGATCTTTTTTTGAGGGCTTGATTTGGGCGATCTCAGCTATTTCCGCTAGTTTCGCAAAGGCCGTGCCAGCAGGAATTCTAACTGTAGAATTCAGGGGATTTATAACAAGAATACGAAAGAATGGATTCTCGGGATCAACTCTCTGGAATGATTCTATTAACTCTAGCTTCGAATTTTTAAGCTGGCTTTCTTCTAAAAAAAGATTCATTGATCTGTTCAAATGAGGAATTTTCAAATCGATAATTTGCTCACTTTTGCCTCGAAATGTGTAAGTTTGCTCAGAAACGGCATAAAAACTGTCTTGCTCAATGTTATTAACTGTTGGGCTTTTTGATGCATTATTACATAAATTCGCCATTCGCTCTATAGGACCAGATTTAACTAGACGATTTCGATGAAGATTGATCATAATTTCATTAGATTTAAGTGCTTCCGAACCGAGAATTGCCTGACAATTGTCATTTACAATATAAAATCGCGATTTACCCCATTTTTCCGTTTTAACATGAAAATCACATTCGACAAAACCAAGAATTTCAATACTTCCTCCACCGTAATTTTTAGCAAAAATATCAGGGGCTTGAATTTTAACATTATCGGGAATAAATGATTTGGGCAAAAGGTTAAGTTGGGAGCCAGAATCGACGAGCATTTTTATTTTTTTTGAAAAAACTGTCATTTCTACAAAATATTGTAATCCAATGCGAAAAATTGAACAAGTCCTTGGAACTGGTGCCTGACCAGGGCTTTCAGTTCCATTTACTCGTTTTTTGAAGTTTCTTCTCCCTCGACCCGAGCAGCTCTGTAAATTCTATCGGGATTATCGGGGCAAGCTGTTTTCATGTGGCCTTTTTTCTGACAAAAATGACAGGTAATAAAGGGGCAATGCGATCTAAAATGAGTGTCTGTGTTACAAAATCCACAAAATCGTCGAGGCCTTGGCCGATCCGGGTTTGGCGCGCCCAAATTTCGACTTTGAAAATTCCGTTGCTGGTTATTTTGACGCGTCAAACTCTGATCGTTGCGGCGATCAACTTCTAATTTTGCAATTGTTGCCGTTAGTTTTTCAATTTGATCATGAAGCGCACTCGCCCGTTTTTCCGCCGCCTCTTCTGATTTTTTCTGTTCAATTTTCAATTGAGAAATTTGATCCTCAAAGGACATTGTCGATTTTGAAATTAAGTCGGAAGTCGACTGGAAAAACGAGCCAAGTTTCGCGTCAATTTCGATTTGGGCAATTTTGGGGATAGTCTCATTTCGTTTTCTTTTGTCAAGAAATTTGGATATTTCCTCGGGTGTTTTTTCAAGCATACACTGATCGCGAAGAAAATTCTGCAGTTCAGGCGTGAGCGATTTTCTAAATTGCGCGTCGATAATGTATTCTCTCGCGTCCGGTTTCTGCGTAATTTTCTCCGCGACAGTTTTAACACGTGACAAAAATATCTCGAATTTTTCATTGTTCTCGCTCTTTCGGGTGAGATTTTCCATTTTTTCTTTGTTTCGAAGGATCTTTTCCTCGGGCGATTCGTCGCCAAAAACAGACGTCAAAAAAGACAATTTTTCCTCAGCTGATTCAAATCCATAAAGATCTTCCCCGTATTCCCTAAGAAATTCCGGCTCGCATGAATTATAAACAAAAGAGCTTGAAAGGCGCGAAAATTGAGCCTCGAGGTCCTCTTTGTTTTCGGGTTTATTTTCCGCCAGAGATTTTTCAAAAATCCATTTTGCACGCTGTAATTTGTCTTTAATTGTAGAATTAATCAAATTGAATTCGAAATTTCTCATTCCTAATCTAATCATCTGATTTGGGGAAACCGAAAAAAGCGCATGACTCTTGTACAGTACCTCTTCAGGAGTTGGGGTCACCATGATACGGAAGCGGCTGTCCTGCAAGAATTTTGCTCGATCTCTAACTCTAGAATGCCAAGCCAAAATAACGAGAATCAAATTTTAAATTTGCGTGGTTTTATTTGTGATTTGAATGACGGAAAAAGGCGCGACGCGGGGTTAAATAGCAGCGAGATTCGATCAGTGTTTTTGAGCAAGCGGTTGTTTTTGAAAAACAATTTTTCTATCGAAAACAAGGAAGAGAGCCCGCGGCTTCTTTTAGCGGTTTTTCTTGCGGGAAATCCTTTCGGATCGATTTCTTTTCGGAAGAGGAGCTGGTCGAACTTGCCAAGCAAGTTATTTTCAAAGGTTTCGGGAGCCGGCGCCGCGCGTGACGAGATAAAACGCAAATTAATTATTATTTTTTTTTTTATAATAAAAGCAGAAAATAATAACAGCCACTTAAACTTCTCACTATGTGACCGTAGAAGTGACTGTTAATTATGATTGAAATAAATAAAGGATGAGAAAAGTAAAAGAATATATACAAAATTTTAACAAATAAATTGAATAAAATTTGGTCAGGATTTTATAAAATAAATTTATCAAAATTGAAATCATAGAAGAAGCAAATTCCAAGGAACATACCCGGGGGAAGTTACTGTCGCGGTTCGCACCGTATCTTCTCTTACGGATGAGCTAGTTTGCGACAAGCGGACGCACTGACAGAGAGTTTGTCCGACCCCACGGCACCGAGATGATACGACGGTTTATCTGCTCGTTGGAGTTGTTGTTGTTGAAGAAGGTGTTGACGGCTGTTCTGTTGTAGACTTTGAATCGTATGTACTGTCAATAATCGAACTTTAAAATCGCAAAGCAATGATAAGAAATATCAATAAATAGATTAAACATGCGGTTTTGCGAATTGCATATTTTTGATGAATTGACGTCAGATCGCATTATGATGAGAGCATATGAGCATTCCAATGATAGAACGTATAGATCGTAAGGAGATGACATGATGATAAGACAATTTTGGGTCAATCTGGCTCGTTAAAACTGACCATCTTTTCATTTTAAGTAGAATATCGTGAAATGATTTTTGCAAATATGTCTGATCAATTTGGTGATACCAAGCTGACAAGACAAATTTAAACTAGCGTAGAACCGAATTGGCGTAAATATTTGGCCGTGAAATAAAAATTTTTTATTTGGCTTGAGGCGTTGTTCCCTAAGGATATCAGACTCTTTATTTCTGCGCGATAAAGAGATGCCAAATCTGCTGATTAATTACAGACCTTCCTTACCTGCAACTATTCTACCTTTTCCATGTATTCCTGTCTTCAATTCAAATAATACACGTGATTTGTTTCGTATTTCTTTTTTATCGGTCTTTTTATCAAGTGATTTTCTACGATTATAGATTTATCACGGCAATTGACAACAAGTTTTCCTAAATTATCGATATTTATATTATAGAATCTATAGATAAACGCCCTTAAATAATCCCATTTTCATCTTGTCAAAATCTTTTATATTTTACAACACTCTTATTCTATAAAAATTATAGTCTAAGTAAAAGGGTAGGATTCTACTTTTTTCTTTTAATAGCGACAATCAATGCTTATCCCTAACCCAACCCTAACCCTGACCCTAACCCTTAAGTATTATCGAGCTCCAAAAGTTCCGGAAAGAAACATATTTTTGAAACTATAACATTCTCCGTAGTTCCGCCGAGCAAACACACTCAGAAGTAGCTTCGACATCTTCAAGCGATGTTATTTCCAGACCCTCGCCGAAAGTAAGTTTTGCGCGATGTCTATTTTTAGCGTCTTTAACACTAATTTTCTCTCATTCAATGTCATTTAACTTGCATTCTAGATGGCGACATTGGTAAGCAGTTTTACCACAATTGCACATTTTCAAGTCTAACCAGCACATTTTTGTCTTTTTGGTTTCTATTGAAGACTTGCACTAACGATCTCAGACAATTTTAGATAGAATTTGACTGCGCATTTAGTCGCAATAGTTGACATTTTTTACCTAGACCAAGACACGGCCGCCCAACGAATCTTATTCAAAACCCGCCAGGCATTTGTACCAGACGACTTCGAAATATTTCTAAAAGAAAAACTCGCCAAAAAAGACGCCTCACTCGCGGAAAACCAAAAACAAAATTAAAACAATCGATGAAATCCTCCCTTTTCTTTCTTCAATTCTCGCAATTTCAACTTCAATTCGCAGCTTCCTCAAGTTCCGAAACCACCATTTTCTTTCTTTTTTTTTTCTAAGTTCAACTTTCTTTCTTTTTTTTTGAATATTCCTGGCATTTTTTCAGCTCCTAAAGTTCATTTCTTTCTACTTTAGTTCGCAAGTTCACCTGCAAATATTAATTCATAGTGTGTTTTCTTCAACAAAATGTCCTCCAACGGGTTTATCCTAGAAGTGCCCCCGTCGCCACCTGAGATTTTTCCAACAAGAGATTATTGACGAAAACACGAATAAAATGCAAGCACCGAACCCCAGCGCCGGTCCTTCTGGAGCAAGAGCGAAAGCAATCCCGACTCTCAGAGATTCCGTGGTTGTTTCTAGCAGTAAGTCCGTTGCGAAATACCTTTCGTAATTCAAGTGCTGTATTACGCCTGGAGGCCTTAATGAAAGAGAACTTGAATTTATAATTAAGGCTCCGCAGGTCTACGACAACCGCCAAAGCGCAAGATCGAGATCACCAACGACGACCAGTCGCTCTTGAATATCGAATTTGACATTGATTTGGGACTCTTGAAACGAAACATTCCGCCCCGCGAACTTTTCGAGGAAGATAACGAAGCATGGGACTGGGAGCAAGAATTCTCCAAAATCGCTGCTGAATTTTCCGCGCAGCAGTCTGCCAGCAGCGCAAAACAGTCAAAGAAAGAGGTTAACAAGCAGGTTTCGTCTGTGCCAGCTTCCGCCCCGATTCGCCTGTAAACTTTTACGACATCCGTACGACAATCATTATTTTTCTACTTAGCGTCTTCCGCAATCCAAGTACTTTCTTATAATAAACATATTCTATTTTTGAAAATAATTGAGTCAGGCTTATTTTGAATATTCTCCTTGTTTTGGGAAAATATGTTTAACCCTTGTACAACTCTTGTCCTTTTTGGTTATTTGCCAAAGTGATGACGCAAGCATCTGTTTGAATTGAAAATAGGCTGAGATAGGTACTTATTCGATATGGGTTGAACCCAGTGCAACTCGGGACGTTTAAGAATGTGGATATGTTTATTTTTCAATAAAAGGAACGGAAAGCGTTTAGAGGAAAGAGTTTCCGGGAAGGGTGGAGGCATCGACAGTAGCAGCAACGACTTCGCTCTCGATTCCACACTCGTTTTGTCCTCGGAGAATCTTGAAGAGACCCTTGTCTCCCCAGTCGGAGTTCCACGAGTTCATCACCAGCCTTAATGCAACCATTAGACCTGTCATTTTGGTTTCTTTTCTTACCAGTAATCGTCTCCACCTTCGGTGCCCCATCCAATTATCTTGATCGCATGGCCGCCAAGCTCACTGCCAGAAGTATGTCGGTAAACACCGGATTTGTACGAGGGGAAGTCAGAGTAAACTGTAAATGCCGCCTCAACAGGTCCGTAGTGCATAATTTCCTGCTGAATCTTCTCGACATCGTTGGGGACGGAGTAGGCCTTGTGTCCGTGCACTTTGTCGTCTCTGTACGACTTAGTGGTGTAGTCTGGGATGCACTCGTGAGAGCACTTGGGGGTTCCGCCACCCTCAGTGCATGGAGGTCGATCGCCGGGGACGTGGTGCTCACATGCTTCCAAACTTAATAAAAACAATACGGATTTGATTGTTATTGGTCGCAGACTTACGTGTAGGGCTGGCAAGTGTCTTTGGTTCCGTAGAGACCACCAGTAACCAATCCACGGGTGACGAAATACTCCATAGCCGCAAGCGGATAACCTCCATTGCAGCCGTTTCCGCAGGACAGGCAACAGCTCAGCACATCCTCAGCAGCGTACATGACATCAGTGGCACCCTAAGAAATTAAAGTTTGAGATCAGAGTGCATATTCTTAAATTTTTACCTTGGAAGCAATGCAGATTCGATCGGAGATCGCTTCAGCAGCGCCAAAGGCCCAGCATGAGCCACAACCACCCTGGTCTCGGACTTTACCGATGACGGTGCACTTGTCCCAGTTGGATCGAGAGTCGAAAGTAGCAGGAATGTCTCCGACGAGGTCGTCGTGGGGGTAAACCTGTGGCCAGTCGTAGTCGGCATTGGACCAAGCTCCGAGCCAAGATCGAACATCCTCGAGAGTGGTCTGCTCGTGGAAGTTCTCACCGGCAGTCCAGCCAGCGTTGGCGGCGTTGACCTCATCGATGATGGGGCTGAACTCGCTAGCGGCAGCGAGGCCGAGGATAGAACCGAAAAGCTTCATAGTTTTTTTTAGAAAGATCAGGTAATTCTGCTTTGTCAAAGCGGACTGATGAGGAAATATGGAACTCGTCGACTTATAAAGCGGTTAAATTTATTGATTATTAAATATGCACATCTATCGACGAGACTCAAGGCCGGAAGGAAACGCCCCCTCAGTCGCATGGCATGATAGTAATTTAATAACGAATTTTCTCGTTTTGCTTTGACCGCAAGAATTATTCCGAGTCCTGCTCACCCTGCTTATTACCAGCAAACAAGTTGGAATTCGACAAAACAATAAAGACATAACAACTGTGGTTTCTATTTCTTAGTTTATTTTCACTATAGAAGTGAGCACGAATTCAATTGTCAATTGAACTTTTAGGAAGGTTGCTTTGGTAGATTACACTAGCACTTCTGACTCAGTGCTAGAAAAACCCAAGCACCAAAGCAAACTAGAGTTTGATAATAAACAATTCGATAGAACCTAATGCAACTAGTTCTATATCATCACTATTTCGGTAAAGCATGAGCGGAACCTTGTTTTTTGAATGAATACGGTCAAATTGATTGTCTACTAACCGGAATATTCTCACGGTATTATTTGACGTCTAGGAGTATTGTTTCACTCTTGTTGTTTGTAGGTTTGTATAGAAATTGATTTAAAAAACAAGTTATCTAATAGAAAGGGTAAGAAATGTTTGAAGCTAACTTTGATTCAAAATCATTGAAGAAATTTACCATTTCTGATAGTTTTTGAACTATGAAGGATTTTGTCTAGTGAAGTTGCTCAAGATTCACGGCTAACAGAGAGAGGGGGGAATTTTTCAGGAAAAGAGGTGAGCTAGTTTTACAGTTTGTCTTGGATAAATTTAAATAAATATGCACGGATTTAATGGCTGTAGATTTCAGCAAATAGTGGGCTCATGTTTACCCCTAGCACATTGAAGTCGTTGAGTTGCCTTGGCATCAGCTGGTCTGAGATATTTCGCAATTGGGTGAGCACGGAAACCGCTACGAAATCACATGAATCCTTCTAGCTTTGATACCGAATACTACCTCTAGCAAAAGAAACGGCCCCGGTTGTTTGTTTCAAATGCCATTGAAGCGCCGTTATGATTTCTTGGTGGAGAGCTTCTGTCTTTTCTCGTTCTTCCTTGTTCATTTCCATCTGTGTCTGGATTTATTCATTTAAAGTTAAAGAAACTACAGGCACGTCTTTGGCCAAGCGAGTATCGAATATCCGGACAAACCATCTTCAAAAATAGACAGCTTTCGCTTTAGAGAAAAGCCTGGTTTTGAAGAGAGTAATCCCTCTTTGGAGACTAGACAGATTCTTAAAAGCTTATCCGTCAAACAGGCTTTAATTCTCTGTAAATATTATGACTCGTTTAAAAAACCATAGTTTTAGAAATTTGATGAGGATGATGAATATCAAATGAAAACGTTTGTTGGTTAAAATCCATTCCGAAATGAAATGTCGATCGGGCGAGGTTAGGGTCGCGGCCATGAGGAGAGCAACTGTCGTGGAGTCGTTGAATTTTTTATTGTAGCAGTATCGCCAAATACCGAAGATGGCTGAAAATAAATATAACATTCGATTCGATTTATGGTAATATGAGTCGATGAGGAAGATTTTGATGAGCGCTGTGACAGATTTTTAAGGATGGAATCGATAATATTGGCGTAGGTGCACACAAAATCTTTTCACGTCTAAGTAACTATTGGAGACTTCTTGTACGCGTATTGAACTGACTGCTGAGCAGCGACACCTACCGTCGATCATCTCCGGACTGAAGCCGCACGTGCGAAAAGCATCCTTCGGTCGGACAATTCCATCAATGAACTTTACTTGGTCGCTCTCGCCATCGTAGTCGGTGGTATTATATAAAACCATTGCCTCCGTCAAACCACCTGAAATTAGACGGCAGTCGTAAAAGATTCTTATAATCCCGTAATGATCATAAAATGCCAACCCAGGAGAGTCCCTAAACTCACTTTTTATCAGCGTTATTTGACTGAGCTCGGGCATCTCCTTCCACATCGGAATATGCTTGCAGAAGTAGATGATCTTTTTCACTGAAGAAGATAAATTAAGTTGCTTTGTGTTATCAACGTCATCTGCTACCTTTGACCGCGGCCATCTGCGACATGAAGTTAAATGATTCAATGCGATCTTGGGGCAGTTTCACAAAACGAAATCCTAAGTAATTAACACTGGAGTCGCCTGGGTTTAAAAAATACGCTGATCTGTCCACGAGTAACGGAGCTGACCCCATTTAGCTTTTGTAAGGTTCAAGCTCTTAGGGGCCTGATTATTTTGAATATTTTATGAGCTAGTCCATAAATTATGGAACATAATTGAAGATCTACGTAAATTTGTGAATCCACTCCTGTATTGCTGTTAATTTCTAACGACGTGACATCGTCCATAATTTGTGCCATTCCGTCCCAGCCTTCACGTAAACCTTGTTCTGAGTCATTACAACCATGTTACGGGTCTTTTAAAGATAGGGCTTGTCTGATGAAAAAATGAGATGAGAAACATTAGTCTCAGAGTTTCGGGTTTTTATTGACGACTTTACGAATTTAGCTTGACATTTTCTTGACTTAGGTAAGCAACGAACAAAGCTAACGACCTTTTTTACACTCCCATAAAAACAAAACTGAAGATTTTCAAGACTCTTGCCTTCGATGATCACGCGGTATTTCTGAGGCATTGGTTCTGGAGGCTTTGGGATCTTTTAAAGACTCGGAAAATTGGAACGTCTGCTAGCCAAGATATATCTACGACATATTTAGGAGAAAATCAAAAACGTGAGGAAGAAGAATTTTTACGATTGAATTAATTTTGCGTTTCCGGATCCGTTCCTGTTTTGCATTTTTTCGCTGTCGATTGATTCTGTTGATGTATTCGTCTTTCATTCCCATGTTGCGGCACTTTTGCATTCTGCAAAATTGGCATCTTGGGCGATGTCCAGCGAGGACGGAGCAACTTCCTGCGCCGATTTTGCATCTGTACTTGAGTTTATGGACCACTGCACGGCGGAAAAAATTCTAAGGATCAATTTGACACAGATAGTTCATGAACGAGAGGATTTATAAAACAGCCCCCGAGTAATTATATCAAAACATTCACTGACTAGTCCCATGATGTCTACGGAGTTGTCTATCAATCTGAACGATTGAAGACTTTCTTACCTTGCATGCTTCGCAACTGAGTACATTGTAGTGAAATCCAGTAGCTTTAGCGTCGCAGATTTTGCACGTTTCGTTTCCAAAAAGTTTCGGTGCCTGAAATAAATTTTATTTCCGCTTAATCAAATATTACAAAAACTAAAAACTAAAAAAATTACTGTTTTGTTTAGACCGGAAAAGCTTAAAAAAGCTTTATAATTCTACTATTTTTTTTGAATAATTGATCATGTCACATCGTTCCGATCTGATCCTTTTTCTTACCGGACCCTTTTTGTTCTTTTTTCTTGGAAGAAGGCCTGGCTCAACTTTCGGCGAAACGGGGAGGGAATTCGACCTCTGTTGCTTAGGCTTCTGGAAGTGGAATACTGGTTGGGATGCTGGCTGCGGGGACAGGAAACTTGTCGGACTGATAACTTCGCGTTTCGGGATGATCTGAGGCTGAGGTTTGTCGCAGGAGAGAATGGGCGAGTTCGGAAGTGGACTTGATTGAGTTGTAATTGGAGCACATGTACTGATTGCTGGCGGTAAGCTAGCAGCACTACTGCAAGGGGAGTTTTTTGATATCTCGTTGATTGTCGGAGAAACTGGAAGAGATTGAGGGAGCTGTTGTATGAGAGTTTGAGGCTGGAGTTGAGGTTGTACTTCGTGGGCAACAGGAGACGGTTGAAGGGGATGAGGAGGGAAGAAGGAAAGCTTCGGTTCTGAGGTCAAAAAGTTCGGGCTTGCTGTTTGCCCTGGGAGGCAGCCGAAGACGCCAGAATCGTCGGAGGATAAACTATCTAAGATCAAGGCGATCTCGTCTTAGCCGCGGTCAATTCGCATTTTTGCATTTTCATTTTAACGACCAGACGAAAGAGTCTTCTACCAATAAAATGGAATTGATGAAGATGAATAAAGAAAGATTTACAAGTAATTGATTTACTATTTGTTGTTGAAAATCGACTTCGAGGTGTGACTATAATTCAAGTTCAAGTGGCGAGTGGAGAAAATCTCATGATTTCCAAGAAATTTATACGTGATTATATAGCATGTATTCTTTGCTTGAAAGTAATATCATTGTTGACTTAAAATAGGAAATAAGCAGGGAATTAAAATCGAGTTGGTTTGGTTCCACGAATAAAAGGCGCTTTATAATTACGAGTTATTAACAATGGTCTATTGGAAATTAAGTTTAAGTCGAACAAAAAATTATTGAAAATGAATTGACCCTCCCTTCATTCATGTTTGGCAAACACTGCCTTCCATAAGCAGTCGCGCTCGCTGGCATGATATTGTTTTCTTTCTTGTGAACTCTGTGTTACCCTGGTTTCATTAATTGTTTGAGCACGGCGTATTCAAGCGTTTTTTATCTGCGAAAATCTCTTTGATTTCAGGTCTTTTAGGTAGTTTTTTGGGTGTTTTCGGGGAATCGGTTTTGAGGAGGAGTGTTTAAAATTATTTTCAAGAGTTGTAAATCTTGATCAGTAGATTCTTCTGAGACTGGACCTCTTGATTTGAAGCCAGCCGTGAGAAGGGTTAGCCGTAAGCGTTTGGCCTCCGCCCACGAGCTAAGAGAAAGCGACTTGTGCAGAGTAGCGCCCCGGTCTAAGGCTCAGTGAGGGCACTATACGGCGCCCTGGTCACGCGTCTTCTGCTCAAAAGAAGGCTGATAATGTTACATGAGCTTGGTCGGGGCTTAAAATGGGGGATCTTCTGCTCGAGAGTTGCGGCTCAATTATTATTTGGTTAAATGCATCAGAGGCGGGGCACTGGCTCATCTCAAATGCAGTTTGTTTAACCCTCTGCTTGCTTCGCATCGATTGAGATAGCCCCTTAATTGTTTGACGAATGATACCCTAATGAAGGGACGTGGTCAAGTTCGAGCATATTTAACTGAAACCATGGCGATAATTATCTCATTATCTGTTAGCGACTTTAAATAGAAAAAAACTTGTTAAATCTTTGGTTAGAGAGAGTTTCGCATTATTAATCGACGAAAGTCTTTCATTGAAATTCAAGCTAAAACGTGGCTTTCGGCCAGGGTGGCTATTTTGGACAAAATTTTGGGGTCTGGCCATCCAATTTCCATCCAATAAATTTTGAATCGGAACTATCCATCCAAAATCCAACCCAACCCAATTATTACCCAATTCCCCAAAAATCCCCAATTCCAATTAGATCCAATTGGATTTCCAATTTTTCCAAGGCTTTTAGCTCTTTGAAAAGAAGGGAAACAGTAAGTTTTTATCCAAAAGGAGGCTCAACATAGCCAAAACAATGATTTTTTATCCAAAATTTCTCATTTTCATTATGAAAATGACCCTTCTTTGCATAGTTTAGCGATATATTTTTTATTGGATCCAATTCCCCAATTTCCCCCAATTGCCCAATTTTCCCCAACAAAATCCGGTACCCTGGCCATCCAAATTCCATCCAAACCTTATTGGATTGGATCCAATCCAATTCCAACTAACCCCCAAATCCAAAATAGCCACCCTGCTTTCGGCGAAGCTTTTTCCAGATAGTTGTAAAACTCGGTTTCGCGTTACTCTCGATGAGTTTATGTCCAAACATTCTTATCGGTCTAATTCTAGGCCGCAGTTCAGCGTTACATGCTTCCCAGTTCGCCTTATCTCCACGGGTTTAAGCCCATGTTATGCATCATTATTTGGGCTTTCTTGCTACGGTAGTTGGAAATTGCAACATCACAAAAGATTGCGAAGGAAAGAAACACAGCCTTTTCAGGCGGTGATTAATTTGTTGTTATCTTGTATCGATTCTGTTTTGTCAAGTTAGAAAACATAATTCCTACCAATTGAGGTTGTTGTAAGTTCTTGCTACCTGCATTTTATTTTATAACATTCAAAAACCAGAAATTGCTGTTTATTAGTAAATTGTAAGTGGCCTCTCTTTTGAAGAACTTGCGTGGCATCAACGCCAAAGCCACGTTTCGCGGTATTAATTGTTAAACAGGTTTTATCAAGTGAAAGCACATATGTTCTTCGAAATGGTCAAACTTGCGTGCAATTTGTTAACACAAGAGCGTGCAAAACAATTGGAAACCGCGAACTGGAAGAAGTTTACCACTGAGCCGTCCAGTTCAAAATTGGATCAATGAAATATCTTTGTGTATTTTTTTGTTAGTAGTAGTACAGATTTCCAGAACTTGGGCATGATAATTTATAAGGTACTCATACGCTTATAGAAAAAGAAGAAGAAACGGGATAATGGAATTAAGGAAATGGGAAGAGATCAGTTTGAGAGGAGGGCGAGTTAGCAGAATTAAGAAATGCAAACTCTAGGTAAGACAAGGGTTGTGATAGGATTGAACAATAATAATGAATATTCGGAAGAAAGCACGACATAGTACGAATCTAGTGTTGGCAACAACATGTGGGCCTTCCAAGGTTTACAAAGAACGTTTAATAAAAAAACTAGAAACGCCGGTAGTTTTCACTTACAACAGAAAAAATTAAACAAAAGTTTAAACTTAAAACTTTTGAGTTTATAAGCAAGCAGAACGACGCGAAGGAGAGAAAGGTTAAAACAGCATTAAAATAATAAGCGGGAATGTAGATTAACTCTCGTTGAAACAGAGTAGTGCGGAAAGGATAGAATGCGGAATCAGAAGTAGAAGTTCTTTGTTCAGTTAGATTTTCTGTCATCAGGATTTCTTGTCTTTGAGGAGCTGCTCGACTTGGTTCTCAAGCTGGCTGATGCGGTAGTTCTAAGATTTAGCGTTAAATCATTAAAATAAGCATTTTTAGACAAAGGAGGGCATGGGCAAACGAGCCATTAAATCCCAAGTTCATGACCTTCGGGTTGTAAATCTTTAGGCTCAAGCCGTCCGTTTAGGCGGTAAGGGGCTTACCTGCTTCTCAATAAGCCGCTGCTTAGTGTCAATGACTTGTTGCATTTGGATTCTTTCTGCTTGAACAGCCTGTTCGGCTTTAGACGCCTTTTCCAGCAGCATTCGCGAGGTCGATTCCCCTGGGTCTAAATTATTAGGTCAGCCGCGAAAAAAAGTAGACGTAAGATATTTTAACGATTAAAAACACCATTTTTAGACAAGTTGTAAATTAAGGAGTCATCATTTTATCGGTTATCGGAGAAGTAGACTTACCATTGTTGTTATTGCTTTGGCTATCAGAGAGTTTTTTCAGTAGCTTGGCGTTGTCAGATTCAAGGCGAAGAATTTTAGATTCGAGCTCTTCATTGATTTTAATTAGCTCCTCTGGGTCTCGCTGAAATGAGGGGTTAGAGACTTTTGGGGAGAATTAGCTGCTTACTTGGTGATTTTGATTAAGCCACGTGCTTGTTAGTTCATTTTTCGTCCGCATGCCGATGCTTTCTTGAAGGTAGTGCACTTCGTTGTCCAACTCGTCAAGCGCCTTTTTCGTATCGATGCCGTTTTGATTGAGGTGGATGGGAATGAGCTCGGGTGGAGAATTCGAGTTGAAAGATGGGTTCTGGAATGAAAGGGGGTCTCTTCTTGGTGTTAACAACGGTGCTGAAGGAAAATGATAAAGAATCTTCAATAACCGTATCGCCGCCTGTGTCGGTCCGATTCTTATAAGAAAATATTCTTTTCATGCTATTTATCTACTTATATCAAACGGGCTCTTTATCATTTCATTCATAAATTTTAATTGTGAAAATTATACACATTAGCTTCCAAAGAAAAGTGAGAATATGTTGATCAGATTGGAAGCAAGATTGAAAATGATGACTATCAAAGTTTATGGAAAAACTATTGATTTAGTCGTTGCCAAAAATGAAATGAAAACTTACTGGAGGAAGGCTTTTCTATATAGATTTCGTTTTCGTTTTCCAAGCTCGATTTAACTTTGTCGAGCACATTGCGTAAGTCTCTTAGCTGCTCGTTTCTCCTCAGATCCTCGTTTTGCGCCAGAACGGAGCTCAGTACCTGCTGTAACTTTGCCAGTTCCACTCCAAGCTCAACATGTCCCTCGAAACCCGCTTTTAGCGGCATCTGATATATTTAAATTAACGTCGATGCCGGCTTAAATCCCTTCTGGGAGAGGGCAGTCTATTTTTCACCTGACGAGTGGAGATTGCTTCTACGAAATTCTTGTACTCGTCACGCTGCGAGTCGAGCACTTCGTTGAGGTATGAAAGATAGTCTTCTTTGGCTCCGAAGCGGGCGCCGTTGGCCATTGATTGCACTATTTTCGCGGTCAAGGTGAGCGTCCGGCTCGCCCGATCGTTCGGCAGCGACGGCGCCAGTGCGAACAACGAGGGCGTTAATAATGCTGGACATAATAGTCGGAGAAAGAGCGATCCTTTAATGAAAAAGGTTAATCAATATATTCATGTTGCAGAATCAGAGTCGTTGTTGACAGTTCGCATCTCTTCAACAAGGCAGCTTTTACCCGCGAGTTCGAGTGATTAATAAATAAACTACAAATGAGAATCAATATTGATGTGAACCTTGACAGACCTTGGTAAACATTTATGTCGATTTTTTTAATCATTTTTCATACTCATCAAAAATGAAACTTTCCATCCTTTCTATTCGGGCGTCAAAATAATTCATTTGAAAAAGAAAACTTGTTATCTTTGTTGATTCAACAATTTTGACAAGAAGGATAATCCAATTTTCAAAACATTAATAACATACAAGACGCATTTAAAACGCTTGCAAGTAACAAGTGCTCAATTCAGAACCAGCTGGAAAAACAATAATTTGATTCAGAAAACTCAGGTTCCAAATCTGCTTTGTAATCAGCGATTACGATTTGCTCTCAGACGTTCCACTTCAATGTTCGCCCAGTTTGATGGCATAATAAACTCGAGAGAAGTTACTTTTGGCTGTCTAGAGGATTATACTCTGGTTTGGTCGAAAGTGGATTAGAACAGTTCGGGGACGCTCGTCTAAATTACCAAAGATTTTTGGTAATGCATTACCAAAAATTGGTAATCCATTACCAAATTTTTTCAACAATTGCAATTTTTTTGCTCAAAAAATACGTAAATCACTTCAAAATGTATCCTACCAGACAGGCGCGGAGCGCACACAGGCTGTCTGACCTAGCAAAATCAGCCATTTTTGGGAAGTTTGGTAATGCATTACCAAAAATTGGTAATGGATTACCAGATAGTAAATTTAGACGAGCGTTTCCCCAACAGTTTTCGCGAACAAAATTTCGAAATCATGTTCGTTCAAATTACCTGCAATCAGACGGTCGATAAGTTTTTCGCGGCCCCATTCTTTCGTCCGATCTCGCCAGGCGACGTACACCTCGCGCAGTTCATTTGGGAAGAAATTCTTTTGCGCGATGATCCTTCTCACGGCTGTATACGCAGTGCGCGTAAGCTGTGATCGATTTGCCTCCAAATCCCCATTCGGAGATAATCTTTTTCGACCGTTCAATACTTTCAATCTGGGTCTTCCAGGTTACTTTGTGCTCTGTAGAAAATTGTCTGTACTAAGAATGCGAAATTATGTCCGGCTTTCCTTTCTTTGTCGACTTCGCAGTCGATTTCGCCGGAGTTGCTGATCACATCTCTTACAACTTGACTCAAGCACTCGTTGAGGTAATTTCGACAAACGAGTTTCAGAAACGATTCGATGGATTTTGATCCAATTGAGTTTTCTCTGAAAAGAAGCGCTTCTTGTTCTTCCCCAAGACGTTTGACTTCAAGTTCCATCAAATCGGTCAGATAGTCCTAGAAAAACAAGTTTGGAAGAGAAAGAAATTGACTTGAGCGCTACTTTCAGCTTTCCAGTGTCCATCATCAAGCGCACCATGGATCCAGCAACGCGTTCTTTCTGCTCAGCATTCATAGCGGGGCCAAGGATTTGACTTATTCGGAGGTAGTGTGTGGTGAGATACTCAGCGAAGGGTTTGTACAGTTCAAGCGGCAATATTTTTAGGGACTGGTAGCGTGTCTTAATTTTCAGAAAATAGCGTTGAAGGGGGGAAAATGGAACGAACCTTCATACGGACGGATATTTCAGATTTTGAGGTCGACTTCGGGGTTGTTACTGGAAACCATTTTTCGAAAAATTGACCCGTAGTCAACGAGCTGATCGGTATATTCACAAGTCCTAAAGAGACACTTTCAGGATTACAAAAAACACGATACAAATTACCGATATAATCTTTATCTTTTCTATGTTTCTTTTTGTCCGATTCGCGATAGATGTGCAAACGAATGGTTTCAATTCTGATGTCCGGCAGAAATGGAAACTCGAAGTACTCGCCCCACACAATCGACCCAGATTGAATACCGTTTGAGCTGTTTTGGATTTCTTTTACAGACGTTCTACGAAACAAGTATTAACCCAGAAGACTGAGGAGCAAAGCGGCTTACCGCGCGTAGATTTGTTCGTTAAAATGGACTTCTGCATAGTAGCGTCTATTTTTTGTTGGCAGACCTTTCGCTTCAGACACCCAAAGCTCAAGCTGTGTAGCATGGCGGCGCCGGTTATTCCTGTCAGGCGACTTGTTGTTATGGAAGTCTGCCAGCCAGCGTTCCACGTGACCTTGTGACTCGCATTGAAGCTTGTGAATTCCCTGAGATATTGATCGATAGAAAAATCTAGTCATTTACTCAGCACCGACCTTGTGAGGATGAGCTACTTCAATCGTGTAGTTCCGGCCGGATATGATGCTACTGTGCAGTGGCCGAGCGGTCCAGGGCTCCGCAACGGAACATTTGAAATTGTCAGCTTTTGTAAAAACCTCGTTTTCGTCCTGCTCTCGAATCATTTTCTCGCCTCATTTAAGACACCATTCTAAGACAAAAAGACCGCGATATTTTTTGAACCATTGCCATCGTTAAACTCCCAGCGAAACAAGCAAATTATTACTCAAAAGAAAGTGTAATTATCCCAAAGAAAAATGAGGTTTCAGGTTATTTTTTAGCGAATTTGCATGATGTTTTACAAACTGTACAAATTTTACCAACTCAATCAAGTAAGAACCGTATACATTCAATTAGCCACTTCCATGTTTTTTTAAATGTTTTTATTGTATTCGTTTATTTGCTCAGAAAAGCAGAACATGTTTAGTTACAGTAGATTACGAAGCAAAACAAAGGTTTCAAAGTGTTACTTCAAAAGCTCAATTCTTTGTTCTTCAAGTTGACGAATGTTTGGGCAGGAATGAAACACAACACGGAGGAAATTGGGACGAAGTTGTCACAGGAAGAGGACTTGGACTGTTATGTCGTCACGGTACATTCGACTTTCTTCGGGCGAGTGAGCCAAGCTGCGGCGGACTTCTATCTCGTCATATCCTTAAAAATATAAATATCATTGACGCTTGCGGAGAGGCCCTACCATCCCATCCTTCTCCAATGGCTCTTCTTATTAACATCGTAGCAGCATTTGCTTCAAAAACTTCTGGATCGCGCTCAAGATACGCTCCAATAAGGTGAGCAACATCAGCGTGCCCTAGAACGTCCCAAAGACCATCGCTGGCGAGAACGATTGCGCGATCTGTGACGCCAAGGCGATGATAACGAATCTGAAGGATCGATCTTGATCTCGCTCGAAGAGGAGGAAGTTGATTACCTGAGGTTTTGCAGAGAGGTAAGGCGGTGTTCGGTAAAAAGGTAAAACAAGTTTGTCTGGCTGACCATCATTGTCCAAATCAAGGTTGCGGTCTTCAATCGAGGTAAGTTCTGATAGCGTCATTTTGAATCTAAGCAATTTTTGAACATGCGATTTTCACGAAGAACAAGAATTCACCTGCAGTCGCCAAAAGCGCGAAGAGGGCTCAAATATCCAAGAAGTCGTTGATTTCGTAGCACCGATCGGGATTCGTTCTTTGGATGATTGGAGAGCACTCGCTGGACTTCGCGCTGATTCTGGCCGCTGTGGACCGAGCTCATTTTCTTCGGGATCCACTTTTTGTCGCCAGCTTGTTGGATGAGTAGGCCGGCTGCGTCGCCGATGTTTCCTACGTAGAGATGCTGGTTCTGGATATAGGTAAAGCAGGAGACGGCGCCGGATACAGCAGCACGAATCATCCACGGATCGCAATCTGGCTCCAGCGCGTCAGAAAGCAAATCCTTGTCCAACTGTACTGCGGCGAGATAAATCGACTCTGTCGGCGAGCGACGTTGCGTTTCAAGATCGCTGATAAGCTTCTCGCCAAAGTTCATGAGCTTCCTCAAGAAATCAGCGTTGGCGTAGGTGATGGAAAGTGAGGGCTCGTGGGCAGTTCGGAAAAAGTTCGGGTTCGACTTCGGGGATTAGCGAAATCTAAAGTTCACGTCGCGACAAAGTTAACTGCGCATTATTCAATAGTTTTAAGGTCAATTAAATTCGAAAATCCCTCCCGGAAGGGGCTTGTTCGAGTAATAGAGATCAAGCATCTTTTCAATATCTTCGTTTGAGAGACAAGCGAGATGGATGTAGTAAAACAGACGTTCAGATGCAAGCTGAAGGCGCAGTTAATATCAGCTAAAGCGAGGAAGTGGATGGAAAAGTTTTTAAAAGGTTAACCTTACTACGCTAAGTAGTGCATTTGCGTTACCGGAGCGCTCAGTCCTTCGAATAATTAAGAAAAAATTAGTCTGTTCTATCGACTTTTAATTCAGTAGTGACTTACTTGAGCGCACCACGGACCAGCATGACCATCGAACACGCCGCTCATGATTGAATGTCCATTTGCCGAGCGGGATTGACATAACGATCGGCTAAGCGTTCAGTAAGAATCATCAATCGCAAACAGTTTTCATTACGCAACACTGTTTGAGTGTGTGAACTTTTGTTTCACCTCGTTTTCGTTCAAAATTTGAACTCACCGATCCTCAGTTGGATTGTTCGAAGGGAGAAGATTTGAGTGGACTTGTCGAACGCGGCTATTTCGCGAGTTGAAATTGACGATTTGCTCGCGCAGGCCGAGAATTGACTGTACTTCTTCGGGCGATACTTCTGGTTTTGAACATCTTTCCTAGGAGAATATTAAAATATAAGACCTTTGCAAGAGAATATAACATGAGAGCGTCTTGAAATTTGCGGAAGCTTCTTTGGTGGGGTAGCTTCTTAATTAAAATTCAATTATGTTCTTTAATTGAGATGGGAGGAAGTCGTTCAGTGGGATTAAGATCTACCCAAATCTAAGTACAAGACTTCACCGAGCGTTATCTTTATGTAAAGTTTTCGCACAGAGAGGTTTGGTTATTGGGTACATTCTTATCTCACTGAAAAACTTCCTGTTATCTCGAGTGTTGAACAATAATTGAACTTTATAATTAGACCTAAGAGTCCGCGTTATCAACTCTTTCAAGTAGAATGAACGATTTCCTGCAAGAAAAATTTCTAGCACCCTAGCCATAAAAATTGTGATTCTCGGCGAAGTAGGTGGCGCAGCGTCATAGCTTTTTCAAACCGATTTCTTTTTGATAGACATTCTGTCCAATAAAGGTCTAGAAAAGCCGCTTTTCTAGCTATTATATTCTAAATTAGGAAACCTGTTTTCGAGTTTTTTTTTCATTTTTACGAGGCGCTTAATCTACTGCCCTAATTTCTACTTACGAGTCTTGTTTGTTCGGCAAAGCCGGAGATTCTTCGCAGTTGTTGAAAATGGCTGGTCTTGAGTGCTCTTTGCATTCAACTCCTTCGGTCGCTACTTTCTTATTTCTCGATAAAGCGGCTCTTTCAAGCCATAATCTTCTGATTCGATCTCTGTTGTCCAAAAGGAAGTTCGGTTATGCAATTGGGTTTTTCTCTAGCCACACCTCTTGAGCTATTCTAGGGTCAGCGAGGAGTTTATAATCAATAATTTCTAGCTCGTTTCAAATCCAAAGAGCTTTTTATACGATTATTGCTCAAGAAATTGGAAATTAAAAAAATTCTTCTTGCAAAATTGATATTTTTCTCCTTGAAAATACAAAAATGCAATAATTGTTCTCAGACCCTAGCTTTGTGGGCGTTGCTAAAGCACTCTGTAATGGTATCTCTCTGTAGGTGTCCAGAATCAGCACAGTCACAGTGCGAAAATCGCGAATAGGCGATTGTTCTTACGATAACGAAGCGAAGCAGCTTTTTCTGAATTCGTAAATTTAGACTCTTTTTTATTCCGGCCGTAAAAGTGAAAAGTAGGGCGGTTGACTTCTGTTGAATCAGTCTGAAAAAGAACCAAAAGAACACAAATAGCAAAATAGAAAAGTCTGTAAAAAGGGTCGAATGAGAATTCTGCCATCGAAGCGCGGCTGAACTTCTTTTGTGTATTCATGGCGCCCACGATATTCCAAGATTCCAAAAAAGGAATCTACTCCACCGGATCCAAAGAGGATAAACCTTTTCTTTTTGCATCGAGAACGGCAACCTGTGTAGACAAGCTGAGTCAGGGTCTGAAAGATCTTTAGTGATAAGCCGCAAGCGGCTTTATTAAAAACGAAGCCGTAATTATAAAATAGACTGAAGTGGTAATATTCTAATTTAAGATCTCTCAGACCCTGACTCAGGTTTTCAACACAGATTTCCAAACCCATGTAAGAAAATTTTCATTTTTTGAAATAAAAGTTATTCTGAAATGATTTTCTCTATAAACGCTTCAAAGAAGTTTTTAGGAAATGTTTCATTTTAGGAAAGTCGCGACTAATTAAAGAAAATCCTCGAGATATTGGATGAATGTTTCGGAGCGTTGCGAAGTGGTTCGAACGGACGAAACGAACCAATCAGCGCTAGTCTCTCGCGCTGAGCGACCGATGACGGGAAAAATGGATTTTCCTTTTTTCGCACTTTTGTTTCGCCGCCCAGATTTGGTTTTAGAGAAACTGCACGCGTGTTTCTTCCTTCATTGTTTTGATATTTACGAATTCTTTTTTTAGATAAAATGGGAGATTTCGGTCAAAATCCGATGGCAAACCAAGGATCGGGCTGGTCCGCGCCCAAAGCAATGGGAGGAGGCGGCGGTCCTCCGGTAATTTTGCTTTTTATGACTATATAACGACTTCTCTAGCCATTTATGAACGGTCCTCCTGGAGGTGGAGGCTTTGGCGGCCCTCCAGGCGGCGGAGGATTTGGCGGTCCACCAAGAGGAGGCGGCTTTGGAGGTCCTAGAGGGGGTGGCTTCGGCGGACCCCCGAGAGGAGGAGGCTTCGGGGGCGGCTTTGGAGGTCCTCCCGGTGGATTCAACGGAGGGGGCGGCTTTGGCGGCGGCGGTGGCTTCCGAGGTGGTTTTCGGGGTCGCGGCCGTGGCCGAGGAAAGCCAGCTCCAACTAATGTCGGTGAGTTACGCTTTTCCGCTTTCCCGCGGTTGATCAAATATTTAGTGAAAAAACGAAAAGGGTACAAGGGAGCGGCGCAAAAGCAAAAAGAACCCGCCAAGCCATCAAGACAGCTTTTCGTCCGCCCAATTGAAAATGGCACTAAGTAAAAACAGAAACATAGAGGAAAAGGTAGTAACGATTGTTCTAGGGTCTCGGAAGTGCGCGACTACTTCCAAGTTTTCGGAGAGCTGCGCGACGTTTACCTGCCAAAGGACTACTATACAAAAGAGATGAAAGGCGTAGCTTACGTCGAGTGAGTTTAAAAACATTCGTAACAGTACTTGTAAACAGTAACAGTGTCTTGTCAGCAACTGACCGCTAGAATGACTCACAAACGATCAAAAAATGAAAGAGTAACAGCTTTTTTCGCTCAGAATAATTCAAAGGGCCTCAATTTTGCCAACAAAAATAAGACCTCAGGATACAGACCAGAAAGTTTTCCTCCCAGACGAGAAAAAAAGCTCAGGATTGATAACACATAAACTTGAAAAATTAAGTCATTTGAGAAAGAAAAGAATGTGTGAAAGACATCATCAGAGACCTTTGAATCGGTGTGTCTTTTAATGATCACTTCTAAGACTACTTTCACTCATCCGTCTGCTTATGAGTCCGTTCCTGCGTCAAAGATTCACTTTTATTAGAATTACTTTTCTAATTGGGACTTCCTGTTAGCTCTTAGTTGTATGCCAGTAGCAGAGCTGCTAAAAAAGATACGCCTGCATAAACAAAAGCAATCTTGTTAAAAATTTCAAGCCATGGTCATTAAAATAGCTTTCCTAAACTTTAAACCTAACCGATTCCAAAAGGTATAAGGAGCAAGAAGACGCCGAAGAAGCCCAAGCCGCCATGGACGGGTGCGAATTTAACGGCAAAAATATCTCAGTCACTTTCGCTCAGGGCGACAGAAAATGTAACTAGTAGATCATGAATCTTAATTTTAAAAACATGAAAAATAGCGAAAGAAACGATGGCGACAGGAGTGTACGCTACTAACATGGAAATTGAAATGCTCAAAAAAGAGCTCGCCAAAGAACAGGAGAGACTATCGAAGGCGGCAAGAGGAGAACGGATTTCTCCACCAAGGGTACGGAAATATTTTACAATCACCATGGCGCTAGCTTGATGCTTGTGTAGTTCGCCGAATTGGACGACAATGGAGCTCCCATTGTCAAGCCAATGGTCAAAGATGATAGAGACAGAAGGAGAGGCGATCGGCGAGATCGGGACAGGCGAAGAAGAAGTCGAAGTAGAAGCCCTAGACGAGGCCTTGGCGGAGGACGCGATAGAGGACCAAGAGACGATGACGATGATTGCCCAGAGTTCAGAAAGCGTCCTGTAAGTAATCCTCGAAAGAAACAAATCCTTACCTCTTTTAGGAATCCGATAAGGTAGATGATCATTGCCGTGCAGCAAAATTTGCTGATATCCGGCAATCAGATTAGTCTTTAGAATTTCTATTGCCTGTAAATTTTTGATATTCTGACGAGATCTTTGTTTAGGATAAAATAGATGATTGTCCAGAGTTCGCAGGTCGCCCTGGCCGAGACGATCGAAGTCGAAGCCGTCGAAGTAGCAGGGAGCCAAGAAGTAGTCGAGGTGATCGTGACGATCGACGTGACCGTGATAGGGATCGAGATAGTCGTCGTCGAGATAGAAGCCGAAGCCGAGAGAGGCGAAGATCTCGCGACAGGTGATTTAACATTTTATATCCCCCGATCTCGAACTCTCTTCTAGACGCTGAAATTGCATCTTGATTTGGTAAAAAGAAGGAACCGACTATTTCGACTTTCATCGCGTGATCCTCCTCTCTGCCACCTTGATCCTCAACCCTACCCAACTTATGATCGCCGATGGAATACTTTTTCTGTCCCCACTTTTCGTTTATGTAATAACTCATTCAAAACAGCTTATTGTCAGCTCCATTTATTGTGAAACATTTATTTATAATAAATCTATTTTCTTCAGTCAACATGTGCGTCGATATGATCTTTTACGATGTTCCAAATTGTACCGTCGGTAATTTTGAGCGCGACAGCTTCGATATCAGTTGACAGAACCCGATCAGTTGTCATGAATTGTGCGCTGCTTCGTACGCAGGCGTGTACCTTCTCCAAAATTGGCGTTGATGTTAGAGGTCGACGTAGGTCAACGGCTTGACAAGCGCAAAGAAGCTCAATCGCCTTAATGAGAATAGTTTGTTTAATAATCAGATGAGGGGTGTTACCAAGATTCGCTCGACATTTTCAACGACCGTAAGGGCCTTCCGCGCTGCCCAGCCGCTCATGCTGACGTGATCTTCGTAGCCAGCACATGTAGCAATTGTGTCGACTGAAGCTGGGTGGCAGAGCGTTTTGTTTTCTGAGACAAGCGCCGAAGCTGTAACTTGGCCGATCATGAAGCCAGAATTGATGCCCCCTAAATCATTGTCAATTAAAATCGTCGAGGTAAAAAGCTGAACCTGTAGGAGTCAAGAAAGCAGGGAGCTCAGAACACGCTGGATTGAGAAGACGCTCGATACGCCGCTCGCCCATATTGCCAATTTCGTGAACGCCGATTGCCAAATAATCAAGCGCCTTTGAAATATATCCTCCGTGAAAGTTCCCGCAAGTAGTAGTCGTATTTTGGTCGACGAGAACCATCGGATTGTCTTGTGAGCTATCCAATTCGTTTTCAATCAGCTCCGTGGCGAATTCAACGACGTCGTTGCTAATTCCGTGAACTTGGGGAATGCATCGCAGTGTGTATGGATCCTTAATTATTCAATACTGAAGCCTTTGTTGCTTAACATTTGCGTACCTGAACACGAGTAACCGCCCAAGACTGGCCGATTTCCGACTTCTGGTGTTGGTTGTTCAACAACGATCGAATCTTCCGTGCGACTTTGATCTGCCCTTTGTGCGGCCGTGCATTGTGGATGTCCGGATCGAAGGCATCTGTAGTCCCAACAAGGCCTTCGATCGTCATTGCAGCGACTACAGAAAAGCTTGAGTGGTTATGTAAAGACGTTATGTAAAAAGCGGTAAAATCGCTCATAAAATCATAGTTCAACAAGTGCCAGTTTTTACAACTTACCAACATCAGCTACATTTACGATCATATTGGCTCGATGGGCCGCTTCTGCGCCAAGAGCAGCTGCAAATGCATTTCCCGAAATCATTGAAATGGCGTCTTTAGGCTTCAACTGCAAATTCTCAAGCTCATTTCGACCAAGAACCACACTTGCACTCGCTTCTTCCGAAAAACTATCCCCGCTCCACATTTTACCTTCGCCTAGGAGCCCCAAAGTCATGTGGGATAGCTGTGCCAAGTCGTGGGCCCCGACTGAACCTCGCTCGGGAATGATGGGAAGGCAGTTTTTGTTGAGAGCGGCCAGAAGAGACTCGACTGTACTGCGACTGACACCGGAGTATCCTCCAGCAAAGTAATTGAGTCTCACTGCCATCAACGCTCGCGTGCGCGCCGCAGAGATTGGATTTCCAGTTCCAACGCAATGCGATCGGATCAAGTTCTCGTTCAGCTCGATCAAGTTGTCCTCCGAGATGACCACATTTCCAAGCTGAGTGCCGATCCCTGTGTTGACAGCGTACTTCGTTCTCCCTGAGCTGAGAATTTCATCTACAACAGCTCGAGACTCATCAATTCGTTTCCACGCATCTTCAGAAAGCTCAACTTTCTCGTTGAAATCCTATTCATTATAAGTTCGATTTCTAGACCTCGCCTGTTTACCTGGATTTTGAGAATGGTCTCACTATTCAGAGATTTTCCGTTTAGTTGAACCATCTTTTCATCAAATTCTCTCTATTTTTCTATTGACGTTAGTTTTCTAAGTTGTCCAAGTTGAAATTTCCCCGCCCAGAAAAAACGGCAATAAATTTCGACTCTTCGCCACGCCTATTTCACGCGACGGGCTTTATTGATGAAAATATTTTGATTATAAAAATTACTGTTTTAGAATGGCGGAATTCGAAGGAGGAGGACCATCTCCAGTTGCAGAGACAGTGTTTACAGTTCTCCCCAGTGCCCGAAAGATATGTGGTCTTCTCGACAGCATCTTGAATATTTACGATCCGGTTCTTGCTGGTCACTGTTCAGCGCCAGTTAGCCAACCGAAACCGCCAACTGCACCTGTAAGTCTCAGTGTTGGCAATCTCAAATTATGTTTGTTTCTAGCTCAATCCTCCTCCCATGCTTCTCAAAGATCTGGATCAATCCAACTCAATGTTGGAGCCACAAGCGATTGATGGCTTGAAGATGGGCGTCAACTGCCAGCTTAATGATCGCATCGGAGCGTCGACCAACTTTCAATACGGAAGTGGAATGCCTATGTTTGGCGTGCCTGGGCTCAAGTTTGAGGTGCAGAAGAAACTCTAAACGGATGAACATTATTAATTGTTTCTTTAGAAAACTTTGAGCTGGATGGGCAACGACTTCGTCAATTACGAAGGTCAGCTTGCCCCAAATTTGCAAGTGATGATTGGACCCTTCAACTACGGCGATCTCGTTAAGGTAATCTGATTCGCACGGGGTTAGTTCTGTAATTTTGATGATATTTAGGGTGATCTTGGAGGCATGCAGCTGGTCAAACACGGTCGAAACTCACAACTCGTTCTTATGAACCAAGGAAACTACCAGCAGTGGAAGCTCATGGTTCTGGCGCACAAGCAGACCATCCAAGCGGGTCCCCTCAATATGAAACGTATGAAAATTGCATGATTGAACATCTCAAACCGATTTTAGTGAACTCGACGCTGCAATCACCTGGTGGTCTCGGCGGAATCTACGGTGGTCAGTGTATGGCGGAGATTGAAGCTGCTGCTAATGTTGGCAGCTTCCGAGGAATGAACGTCCACATTGGTGGTTCGATGGGAACTCAGATTCCTGCATACGATGGTAATAAGATGAGCTATCTCACTGGTCCTCTCACGGTAAGCTTGATGTTAACGCTCTGTACTGAAAGTATTTTAGGCCGCTGTCGGAGCTGCTGTGTCAACTTCTCCGTACATTATCTTCCAGAAGATGCCCAGCCCTTACCAACAGTGTCACGCTTTCGATACAAACGACACTATCGCTTTACGATGGAGCCGAGCGGAGAACAAGGCGAAAATCACGATTTCGTCAACTCCAGCTGGCGATGGAATGGCCATCTCTCAGGCCATCAAGTCGCCTCATTATTTGAAGGAAGTTCCGAAGTAAGATTACTCTTCGTTGCCAAATTCTTAAAAACTCTTTCTAGGGCGGAAAGGATGGAGTTGAATCAGTGGGCCAACTCTGAGAGACACGGCTACATGCTCAACTGTGAATATGATTATTCAGCTCATCTTGTAAGTACAGATGAATGTTCTCCTATCAATTAAAATCTCAGATGAATTACTCCGTGGCGTGGCAAACGAAGTTTTTCAACAATAAGTCCGGCATCAAGGTCGGTCTTGAAGGCAAACCCGGGGAAATTATCCCAAGCTCGATTAAAGGTAGTGGACTCGCCTAACAGACGTAAATTAAAAAATGCTTTTAGCGACGCTTTCGGACAATATGATGTTTAAATCTTCTGGCAAACCTGAAGACGCATCCCCTCTTACTTTAGATTTATCTATTGCCTACGAAGCGTCCGAAACTCCGAAGGCGCCCAAGATCGGCCTCGCTCTCAATGTCGAGCTCTAGGAAATTAATTTATTTTGTGTCTCCTGTATTTATAGTGTAATTGAAATGATACTCGATTGTTATTTGAATGAAAAAAAAAACTTCAATCCTTTGCCACCTGACCACCTTTTATTTATTGACTCTACCTCCCGGAAAGATCTAATTTATTTTTTGCTTCCTTCAATGCTTGCTCTTCCGGGCGGAGGAGAGATCCACTCTCATGAGTGCCTAATTCATGACTGCCACTGTAATTGATCGTAAAATTACACGCATAGGCAAGAAATTTTCGTAGAGTTGCGTTCTTGATGGGAGCTCAACTTGGTTTTTCATTGTTTATTTTCCACTGTCAGACAAGGTCAGCAATATCGCCCATCAAGGCATTGTGCAGGGCATAAATAGCTTGCTTCTTGTGTTTCCTCGACGCCACTCTCTCTGCCTGATCGAGTTCCCACTTGTCACAAAGGTCGTTCAAAACTGAAGCCGCGCCCATGCATAATAGAGGGCCCACTATAATCACAGGAAACCCCAAAATCACTTAAAAATGTTAGTCGGCTAGGCAGACAAACACTTGTCAAGTAATTGGTTTTGTAAGCACTGCAAGTAAAACCTATAAGATATGTCCAGGTGTGTTCTGAATGCACGTTCATAAAAGATTCATTAATGATCAAAGGATGGATCAGAACATGTTCCTGATTCGAGCTGACTGCAAAAGTCAATTTTCTGGGTATTCAAATTGCCTCTCAACGAAAGAAACCGTCGATACATTTAAAATTCATAAAATACCCAGCCTGTGACGTGGTCAGAAAGCAATCGAGAAAGCTTCAGCTTGAACTCGTCCGAATCATCTTTCAGTAGGTTGATGGGATGAGCGTACGATTAAAATCCGTTATTAATGGAGCCTATCAGTAATGAGAAAAGCACTTCATTCTGAGGTGGCGACATTGACAGCGAGCGACAACTGCCATAGTAATTGCAACTAAAATATTCATCCCTTGTGATAGATTGAACTAGACTCTCGCGCGCTCATAAGGGCTCGCACATGCGGCGACTCCGGATCGCGCACTGTTGACCACATGAGCTCTTGGCAAAGTTTATGTTGCCCTATTTAATTTTGTCGGGGATCATACTATCAGTCATTTTCATGTCGTGCTTCGCCGTAAAGAGAATAGAAGTTTGGGCAGAGAGACACTTCCACGGCAATCAGGAAAACTCCACGTCAAGACTTGGTAAAAAGTTCTCCCTGTTTAAATTATAGCGTGAACTAAAATTCCCGAATTTTAGTTGTTGAAGGCTAACACTGAATATTAGGGATTCTAGGTTCACTCTCGGCATCAGCCTTTGCTGAGCAGTCGATCGTTGAATTGCACGCGAAAACTACGAACGAATGCGGCAGTGCTCAGGTGGCGACAGTAGCAGATGTATCAAAAGTCACCACAACCCAGATCCTATAACACGATATTCCGCAGACCTAGGATGTTTGTATCATTGATTCTTGAAAAATAAAGATATTGCACATACTCTTTGTTAATATCTTTCAGCTTGTGTAGTAGCTGGCACTCTTCTTCGTCACTTTTTGAGAATATTTATCGACCAGATTTTTTCGGAAAAATCACGGAATAGTGGTTAAATAATCTGGTCTGTAGTTAGAATATCCGTTCCCCAGGAGTTGCCTTGGCAAATTTCGCGAACAGCGAATTCTCATCAGATAATATATTCATTGAATTCTTGAAAGGAGTAAGTATCACTTATACTTCGCGAACCTCGTTAATAATCTCCGTTATGATGTAATGGCTGCAACATTGTCGTAGCTGATACACTCGCTTGCATTTTATCTTCGTTTCGAGCTCGCTTTCGTCATAATTATCAGAATATCAAATAGCCTCGTTTTTACCTGGTTGTTTCAGGTATGGCCGAGTAAGCATATTTAAAGCATTTCTTGCATGTCTCGTTGTCGCACTTAGTTTTCTGCTGCACCAGTACTTGATTCACTACGCTTTCAATATTTCGTATTGAATTTTTCCCTGCTTCAACCACTTTAGGGTGTTTTCGTGAAGTCGATTTTAGAATATGCATTCGCATAACTCTAGTTATTAAATAAACACTTCTCTTGAATAAGTAAAAACAATAAGACAGCAGTGGTCTTCATTCTTTTCTTTGAAAAGTAGAAAAGATCCCCGAAGGATCGGCTCATTTAAGAAATAGTGCCGTTTAATTAATTGGACCCGGGAGAGGCTGCAACTGCTTTGTATACGAGAGTGATTTCTTACATCTAAAATCAATTTGATTGAAAACAATAATTCTCCAGTGGCAGATTTTTAATATCCATTTGATTAATAAAGATTGTTTTTTTTATTTATTGAATACAGATTATTTAAATATGTGAAACTTTTCGGCCCTGCACTTGGCATCCAAAACAACCAGTAAAGATGATCATGAAAAAGAGGAATCCGTAGACACCTACTCCTGCAGAGCCGATTTCTTCGAAGGCCTTTTCTATTCCAGAGTCAGCCAAGAGAGTATCAACATTGAGATCTGTCAAGACATCACTGAATACATTAATGAGTACACGGGTATTATTGCTGATCTTACTCGACGATGCTATCGACCAGTGTTTCTACGTTGACGCCAGCATTATTCAAATCAATCGCAAGCTGTTCAAGAGCATCTGAGTTTGAGACGTCGATGGTGCCATCTGCTGTCACGTAGTCACCGAGTTCGAAGTCTAAATTTTACATTAATCTTAAATTTTGAAAGAATTTATACTTGGAGCTTGTTCTTTGACCGCTGCTTCAAAAGTGTTCAGATCGATTTCTTGAATAAACTGTCCATACTCGCTGTTTGCAAGCTCAGTAGCAAGATCTTCATTGATTTGACGACGATTTCTAGTGAGAACTCCCGCCAAGTTTTCGCCTGCACCGCTTACTCCACGAGTGAGATCACTGAAGTACGACTTCAATTGAGTTGATTTGAAAAGAGACGATTTTTATGACGGATCAAAAAGTCATAAAAGCGATTTTTGTCTGATGCGAGAAATGATCGATTAGATGGTTTCTTACCTGAGCGAGTCATCGAGCAATCCACGAACAGCAGGGTTGAAAATCACAACGAGCATGGCAATGGATACTCCCATGACAATGAAGTACAAAATCGCTGACAAAACGGATAGCATGGCGGTCAGGCACTTGCAGCAGCTGCTGTTCATTTTCAACGACATAAAAACGGAAAATGAAGCTAGCAGTCCCATCGCCAAGGGTACGATTCCGACGAGCTGGGTTCAAATTTTACGCTTCAGGATTCAAAAGTCACTTACTGTTACAATGAGGATCAGGAGATCCGTCAACTCTTCAACATTTCTTCCGAGGAAAAGACCTTGTTGCGTATCCAAAAGATCAGCAAGAGAATCAACACTTTCGAAAAGATTTTATGAAGTGGGAGAAACTATCGGCTACCTCAACTCAATTTTGATTCCACCAAGGTCCAATAAATACTCAAAATTTTTAATTGAATCGGGCAATTTGGCTCCTAAGTACCACCCAAGAACAGCCAGTAAAACCACATGAATGAAGACAACGAATCCGCTTGTTTATGCTTTTTACAAAAATGACACAAGTCTCATCTCTCGCAAGTGAAGCATTTCCTGATGGCGAATCCAGCCTTTCTATTTGAGCACATCCTTGTCTTTCTCTCGTCCTTGCCTTGGAAGGGCCTTTCACTTGAATAGAATGCCTCAAAAGTTGATTTAAGCCAAGTGGAATTACCTCGAGCGACGTTTTTAACACCAAAGAACGCTGCTGCTTCTCTTGGTATTCACTTATTTTCGAATGATAATCCAGCGCCTGCTGTAGCTCGAAACAATAGTTAGATAATGTTGCCTTTTATGAAGAGTCTCCTTCCTCTCGTCAGAAGAGCGCCGCCAAAAATTGGTGGAAATTTTGTCCCAATTTTGAATTAATGGCTCGTATTTTACGAGGAGAGTGTAAGTTCTTTCTTTGAAAGCTTTATTCCAAGTACGTAAAACAGAAAGTGAAGGTCTCTAAGTTTAGTGCTGCTGGTGAACGAGGAATCCAGTGAACTTCGCTGAGTTGTAGTCGGCTCGAAATTCAATGTCTACGTTTGAACAAAAAACGTCGACGACATCTCCGACCTCCAGATTCAGCAGAGCGTGCATCGTAACTGCTGATTCAAGGCCTGAAAATGATGATGCTTTTGCGAGTCTATTGTAGATATACCTTGATTGTAGTCTTTTTGAACAGAGCCCATGTAAGCCCCGTTTTTGCGCAAATGGACGTACCAGATTTTCTTCGTGACTCCAAATGAAATCGCCACAAAATACATTCCTGGTACTTGAGCGACAAATTGTCCCGTGTTTTTGTCATAGGCACCATCTAGGAAATTTAATGAGTAGGCTGTCTTTGAAAGTGATGATGATTGTTAACTGACCTGTTGTGTCGAGAAGCTGTTTTCCGAAAACAATGACGCCATGGCGGCCGATCCACTTTTCAGCTCTTGAGTACTCCCAGCCAACTTTTTCATTGAGCTTTCGAACACTTTCGGAAATCTTCTCCTGGAAGTTGAGTAGACTGTCGATAGCTACAGATAAATTTGAGGTCTACTCGTCAATCGTGATAATTACCCGTCAAATTCATCTGGTTCAAGTTATCAGATACGCTCGCAACTTCTTTCTCCAATCTTGTTATTTTTATCTGCGATGAAAAAGCGGATAGAATCTTGTCTTCCACAACAGAGATCCTGGAAGTGATGGCATCCAAGTCCGACGATCTTGATAAGACCGCGGTTGAGAGCTCTTCGATTTTTTCTCCGATCGTTGGTTTTCTTGAATCCGGTTGATCGTATTTTCCAACTGGTTGATTTTCACGAGGACGTGGTGAAGGAGAAGCTGGTCAATGTCCTTTGAACTGAAAGGGGTTAGGGTTAGGTAGATCGATTTATTATAGATTCCATCCTACTCTTAACGATGTAGGAAGAATTACCTTGGCGACAGCCCTAGGGGGCTATTCTCGACAATATCGCATAACATGCATTGATTTCCTGCAGTCAACTCGAAAAAACTCAAAAATATAGGAACAAGCATTTTCTGAGGCCGGTTTCTTTCCATCGTTCTTTTTATATCAACTCGCAACGAACCCCCGCGAGGAAATATTTATTTCTCCATAAAAAACAGCAGGATTCGTTGTAAGAACTTTTTTTATTATGTTCAATCAAGGATGAGGATATCGATTTATTCAATGTGGAAGTTGATACTGAACTGAACTTTTTCTGGTTTTTCGCGGCTCATTTATCGATACGCAGTTGGAATGAGCTCTGCTTCGGCTTCTACTTTCTTGTGCATCTGGCGGTTGCCCGAAGCAGTACCTATAAACTGAGGGGGATAAAGGGAGTCGAAGCGATAAGAAAACAAACCTTCGATAAGTGCGTATCCGATGACAATAAACGAGCCGATTGTATAAGAAATCACGAGCACGAAAAATGGCATGTCAGAGTCCGAATCCTCATTTGCCATTTTGACGGTGTTTTCGCTGATGTTTGTCTTCATTCTCAGTTCTGGGATAATTTTACTCGCAACTATTGCTGAAAGAAAATGTTTAGTACCGTTCCCAAGAGGTTAAATTAACTGGTACCTACGAAGAAAGCAAGACAAGCCAGTGAAACTATGCATTCTTTCCTAATTTTTGGGTTTATTTCATTCAGATCAGGGCTCTAAATAGACTAGTCCGGGCTCGGACTTAGTCCGAAGTCCGTCCGTTCTAGTCCGGCCGGACGGACCAGACTTCTGATTTTTGGCTGAGAAAATTTTCGGACTAGACCAGACCAGACTTGCCTTTTTCGCCGGACTTAGTCCGAAAGAGTCCGAAAAGTCCGAAAAAGCTGGACCACTTTCAGACTTTTGTTTTAGTCCGAAAAGTCCGAGAAGTCCGAGAAAGTCCGAGAAGACATCCTAACCCTAAGTGCTAATCCAGGGGGCTTCGCACCCTTGAAACCCCCCCTAACACTAACATTTAGCCCGGTTACGTAACTTACCCCGAAGATTGACCGCCTATGTCGTAACTGACAGATACTGAATTATAGTTTTATCACCGTTCAACAGAATACCTTTACACTTCTCACTGAAAAAAAAAATAATCCCGAGAATAAAAACCAAGAAAGACACAACTGTCTCTTGATAAGCTTACGATTTTCTTAAACGAATTTATTTCGAACAAAATACGAAAATTTTACATGATTTTGTTCAAAAAATTTTCGAAAAAAATTCTAATGAATAAGTGACGATTTCTCTTATTCGAATTTATTTCGAACATAATACTAAAGTTTTTCTTAATTTAATTCGAAAAATTTTCGAAAAAAAATCGAGTTTTTGTTGTATTTTATTCGAAAAATTTTCGGACTTTTTCGGACTAGACCGGACTAGACCGGATTTTTTGGCTTTTTTCTCGGACCAGACTTTTTCGGACTTTTTCGGACTTTTCCCGGACTAGACCAGACTTTAAGTCCGAGTTTTCCGATTCGGACCAGACCAGACCAGACTTGTAAATTTCGGCCAAGTGCCCGGACCTGGACAGACCGGACTTTTGATTTTCGCCTCAGATTTAGAGCCCTGATTCAGATTGAACTGCTTATTGCTTGATATCAGAGTTGCAAATTTGCTGAGCTGAGTGAGCTGAGCTGACTGAGTGAGCTGAGCAGTCGCTCAGCTCAGCTCAGCTCACTGATTTTCGAAAATGAATTTATCTGCTCAGCTCAGCTCAGCTCAGACAATAATAATCACTCAGCTCAGCTCAGCTCAATTATTCTCGAACATGATCTGTTCTGCTCAGCTCAGCTCAGCTTAGAAAAGTATCATTCAGCTCAGCTCAGCTCAATGATTTTAACACAATTTCACTACTAAAAAACAGTAAAAAATAGCTCAAATCAGCTCACTCAGCTCAGCTCAGCTCAGAGAATTTCTCATTCAGCTCAGCTCAGCGAAAATAAAGCCAAATTTGCAACTCTGCTTGATAAACCCTTTCTCTTAGAAATATTCCATAGCACTTGTAAAGCTTGGTGACGACCTCTTTTTTCATTTTGTCGCTATCTGTGTCAGTGCGGGCTTTGCGGTTGCTTCAAAGGTGGCTAATTGCATCGGTAAATGTAGTAGAAATTAGCCCGCTGGGCTGATCCGAAAGGTTTAGATTGGGATGGAACGACTTTTTCTCGGATGAAAACACAATCAATATTGGCTGATTGGAGCAAATTGCAATTCGCGCTGGAATCTTATTTTTAGCATGTCAGATGCATCATGCATGTGCTTATCAATCGGACAGCATGTCTATTGCGTGGCTGGTTGCATAAAAACCGGGTGTAGAAGGGCTCAACTCGCTCAGTCTTAGTTTTAGACTTTCAGCTAATTCTAACACGGAGCGACTGACTGATACACAAACAAGAGATTCAGAGTTTCACTCTGGCATTTCGAGTTTTCAAAATTCTAACCAGCCTCTCAATTTAAGAAATTTCAACAGACTTCTGTAACTCTGAACAGCTCAATCTTCATGGTGGTGTTCGCGTGCGTACGATGGCCGGCAAAAAGGGCTCTCAGAAGTTCGAGTTCTCATGCAGCACCGGAGTGGCAGCATCCGTAACGGAGCTCAGCTGCTACGACGATGGAAACTTTTACGCGTCCAAAGCTGACAAGAAAAAGGGCCGACCCTTCGATACGAACACCGTAATCGACTGCCTCGGTAAGAAAATCCTTTGTTATCAGGTTAAACAGAAACTTTAGACGGTAATTCTGGTGGAGGAGATTCTCTCGAAGAAGCTTGCTACGTTGCTTTCGATGAATTCTTTGAGAAGAAGGGACAGAGTTTGAAATTTTCGTGACTCGCGAGCGGCTCTCCTGAGAGCGAGCGAGCACGAGCATGATGCTCTTCGTGCTCCCGAGCGCATTTATTTCAGCGTTCGCGCTCTTTGCGCTCGCGAGCACATTTCATTTCGCGCTCTCGCTCTCCTGGCTCCCGAGCACTGGTCAAATTTTGCTCTCGCTCGATTGGCTCCCGAGCTGAAAAATCTGACTCGCGAGCAGCTTTCAAGAACCTAAAATGATTCGACGACCCCGTAACCTCGTGAGTCAATTCCATGGCGAGCACGAGAGCAGCCGCTCCCGCTCGTCTAGCTCCCGAGCATTGCCGACAAATGCGCTCGTGCTCTCCGCGCTCGCGAGCGGTTTCAAATTTGGGCTCGCGCTCTTTTGGCTCTCGAGCATATTCATTTTCATGCTCCCTCTCCCCTGCTCTCAGAGCAATAATATATTTTCGCTCTCGCTCTTTGCGCTCGCGAGCATTTGCGAGCATTTCAAACTCTGAGAAGGGAATTCATGTCCAGTATATTGAGGGACTAAAATCAACTTCAAACGGACTTGAGCAAAAGTTTATGTGCGCCACTCAAGCAAAAACTATGATGGTGAGTGCAAAACCTATCTTCAGTACCTCATTCTTTTTTCAGATTGCTTGCAAGGAAGGCAAAAAGGGCAACGTCATTGTCGGCCTTCTCGGCGGCAAGACTACCAAGAAAGCCATCAAAAAATGCTGAGCGCGCTCTCTTCCTTGATTTCAGCCTGTACCCCCTTTTTTCAAATAAATCGTAGAAATTTGTGTTTTATTGAGGTGTTTTATTGTGAAATTTTCGATGATATTAGTACTTTTGGGCAGTAAAAGTACAAAAGAATGGCCAGTACGGGGATCGAACCCGCGACATTCGCGTTATTAGCACGACGCTCTAACCAACTGAGCTAACCGGCCCTGACACTGACGCTGAAGCAGGCAACTATGAAAAAAGTCAATTTTGATGAAAAATTTCAGCTTGTTTCTAGAGCCTCTTTGTTGTGATTCCCAGAATTTATTCAATCTCACAGAACAACCAAAATCGCCACAGGTAACACATGATTTTTTTAAATTTTTCATTGAATTTTTAAAATAAGAAGAAGTTAGTTTCTGATAAAATAAAAAGTTGTTCGAACACTTCCTTTTATTAAAAATAAAATTGTTCAAATGAATATTTAAAAAGTCTCAAATTAAAGATAAAATGTCCCAACTTCAGTTTTTGCGCGAAAACGCGCTAAAATCGTAATTATAATTTATGATTTTCTAGATATGATTATTCTTATTATTCTTTCGGTTTTAGTTAAACTCATTTTATTCAGCGTCATGTTTGGCAAAGGAAAAGGCAACAAGGTCGACTCTCGCCTCGAAGGCGTCAACATCGAAGAGCATGATAAGAAGATCGAAGAGGAAACCATGCGACTCGTCGAAATCCTCAACGAAGACGACGGCCAGGTCCCTATCAAGATTTTGCTCTCCGTCACTCTCGTTTTCCTGTAAGTTTTGATCTTTTGATTTTTCGGATTACAGCTATTCTAGTGCTTGCTGCACTCTCATCCTGACCCCCTTCATTATCCGACAGTTCGACAACCTTTGCTACGAAGACAACACCACCCCCAACCATCCCATTGCTTTTGCCTTCGGTAAATCTGAGCCCGTCTCGTTCCAAGATGCGCAAACTTACTGCAATGATTGCTTGGGATACGCAGCCACAGCTGAAGGTGCTTGTGGCGGCGTTGCTGGCGCAACTGGACGACTTGCTAACATGAACACCACGGATGTCGACGCTATGAACGAGGTAAGACTACCTACAAACCTCAGATCTATCTATGATTTTAGCTTATCGTCGAGGTGATGCGACCTCTTTACGACGAGAAATTCTGGGTCGCCCCACATGACATTAATGGCGCGCTGCAGTACATCCAAATTCCTGAATCGTAAGTCATTAAGTTTATTCAAAGAATTTTGCGTTTATTCTTCATTTCTCAGCACTTCTTTCGATATGGACCCAGAAGTTAAAATAGAAGAGAACGCTGAAGCCACACACCAGGTCATCTGCGTCTACGAAAAACTTACTTGCGACCAAGAACGACAGCAGCGTGGTTACACTCGAATCTTGGTCCAGTAAAAACTTCATGGAAACTGCGGTTCTTATTCTATTCTTGTCATACTCTTAATAAATATCAGCATAACCTCATTTTGCAATAAAGGTAACTCGCCTTTACTAAAGGAAGTTATCTTATTGGATATTGTTCTTTTTGAAGGAAGCGGGCCTTTTGGAGTCTATAATTTACAGGTAAGTCCATCATCGACTGTAGTTGACCTTTTTCCAAGAAAACAACTGTATCTCTAGAATATCATGTGTTTCCTTATCTTTAATTCTTACTCGACTTTAGTTCGTATCGCAGAAATCCAACACTGTTCGCTGAATGGGGTTTTTCAGCAATAAAGCAGCTGAGGTACTGTATAAACTTGCACAATTACAATGTCGCGTTGTAAGAGAACTTCTGATAGACAGAAAAATGAGAAAAGAGGGACAAATCGTTTTTTTTTTAGAATAAGCTGAAAGATGAGGTGGACGCAAAGAACCAGCTCGTCGACCAGCTCAAGAACGAAGTTCAGCATCTGAAGGACAAGCTTGAAGTAGCTCGTAGCGAGCTTGAGCGATTTAAGATCAACTCTGGAATGGCAAATCTCTCACCAGATGACCAGATTCGAAAGTATGACAAGCTTCTTGTCGAAAGGACTGTTATAAAAGCTTAGACGAATGTGTTCATGAATTATTGGGAATTAAAAGCTTTTTTAACCAAAAATAGAGACAACCAGATCTCCGAGCTAAGAAAGGAACTCGAAGGTATGAAGCGAGAGATAGACGAGCAGCTCGCCACTCACGCCAAGAAGATGGAGGCTGTTCTCAACGAGAAAGACAAACAAATCAAGGTTCGTTCTAGAAAATCGCCCTTTTCACATTTTTTTTTTAGAAACTTGATGCTGGTGGTGCCGTTCGAAACGCTGTTGCCGCCGAATCCGACGACCGAAAAGTCATCGCTACCAAAGAGCTCGTTGTTATCCCCAAGAATGTTGCTGAGAAAAAAATTATCACGGATGCCCTTCTCTCCAATACATTCATGCGAGGCCTTAACCAGAATCAGCTCAACAAGTTGATTGATGCTATGGAAAAGGCCGAGTATCCTTCCAACACTGAGATCATCAAGGAAAACGGAGCTGGTGATGAAATGTACATTATCCAGGAGGGCGAAGTCAGCGTCACCAAGGTATTCGTCGAAAATAAAAGCAGAAATAAGCAAAGATTCTAGGGCAAGGGCAAGAACGCGACCCACATCGTCAACATCAAGAGCGGTCTCTTCGGAGAACTTGCCATTATGTACAATTGCAAGCGAACCGCCACCGTCACCACAAAAACTAATGTTCAACTTTGGAAACTCCACCGCCAAATCTTCCAGATGGTGGTCAAATCTGCCGGTCAAGAGAAAGACGAAGAGAGATTCCAGATTCTCAAGTCCGTCAAGGTAATCATCTCTTACTCGTTCCGATGTTATTCAGAAAATTAAGGATTTCGCCGAGGTCAGTGAAGGCAAATTGAGAAAGATTGTCGATTGTCTCGAAGAAGAGCACTTTGAGAAGGGTGATACTATCATCAAGCAAGGAGAAGTCGGCGACAACTTCTTCATCATCAAGTCTGGAAACGTCAGGATCACCATCAACTGCCCAGTCTCCCCTGATCATCCTGAAGGCCAACAAGAAGTCGCCCGGAAGAGTGCTGGTGAATTTTTCGGCGAGAAAGCCCTCATCTCAGAGGACAAGCGATCCGCGAATGTCTACGCTGTCGACGGACCTGTTCTTTGCTTGACTCTCGACCGAATCGCCTTTACGAACCTTATCGGCACCCTTGACAACCTCAAAAAGGACGATGAAGTCGCTGTTGATAACAGTGGCCCAGAGCGAGTCATTCCTGATTACATCAAGGACTCAACCATCAAGGATGTCAAAATCATCAAGCCTCTTGGAGCTGGTGGTTTTGGCTTGGTCAAACTTGTCACGTAAGCTTATAGACATCATTATTTCATTAAAACTGTAAATTTTAGTTTCCATAAGAACCCAAGTGAGACTTATGCTCTCAAATGCATCCAGAAGCATCGAGTCGTCCAGTATGGTCAGCAGCGACATATCATGGATGAGAAGCATATTCTTGCTTCTATGAAATCTCCCTTTATTCTTGGACTCTTGAAGACATACAAAGGTAAATTTCGGATTCCCTTCCAGCTTTATCATTGCAATTAGATTCCAAGTACGTCTACATCCTCACCGATGCTTACCTCGGTGGTGATCTCTGGCGTCTTCTCCACCAGCGAGGCCCCTTCAACGACACCGTCGGTCGATTCTACACCGCCTGTGTCATTTCCGCCTTCGAATACCTCCACACGCGGCACTTCTGCTACCGAGATCTTAAACCCGAAAATCTTATGGTCGACCGACAAGGCTACGTCCGACTCGTCGATCTTGGCTTCGCAAAGAAAGTCCTTCCTGGCCACAAGACCTGGACTTTCTGTGGAACGCCCGAGTACATCTCTCCAGAAATTATTTCCAACACTGGTCATAATATCTGCGCTGATCTCTGGTCCCTTGGTATTCTTATTTACGAGTTGCTGTCCAAGCGCACGCCCTTCCGAGCTAAGGACGATCTGGCCATTTACGAAGGCATTCTCCGAGGAATCCACTCTATCCAGTTCCCATACAAGATCTCACGAAAGGCCGAGTCCCTTATCAAAGCCCTCTGCCGACAGGATCCACAGGAACGAATCGGTTACCAGAAGAATGGCTACGACGACATCAAGAAGCATCGATGGTTCCAGGTAAACCAAGTCATAAGTAGATTTTGTATGAAACAAAAAATTAAGGGCTTTGACTGGGACGCTCTTGCTCACGAAAAACTCATGCCACCATTCACACCAGAGATCAAAAACAACGATGACACCAGCAACTTCGAACGAATCAAGGACGATGATAGAGCCAAAGTTCCCGATGAAAACTCCGGCTGGGATGCCGAATTTTAATCTGCTTAAATATTGTTCTGTATATACGAATAGAATAGCAATTTTTTAAATGACCAGCAACTGGTTGTGTGTTTGTACTGTATTTTTGGAAAGTTACAGGCTAGAATGTTGTTTTATTTGAAGAAATAAATAGGCGAGCTTTTGTACTCACTGTCGTGGTTTATGAAATTAAACAGGCTAATTCATAATGAATGGTATGATATTCAGAATATCTCTAACATTTGACTAGATATATACAGTGGAGACTTTTCAATCAGTTTAGACATAATGTAGCCATTTTTTCTCTAATTTCGCGGCTCCTGTCGGTGCAGCCATAATCTCAATTTTTGCGGCCTCACGAACCATACCAGAAATAAAGACGTCTTCTATTCTGAGACGGTTTCGGGGAACTTTTGGAATATTCTCGAGAAGGTTCAATGCGGTTGATTTTGATACGAGAAAGGCGCCAACACAATGATCGGGGTAGAATGTAGCTAAAAACGGTAAATTAACGGGTTTCGTTTTTATTAAACGGTCAGGGTTAGGGTTGGAGTTAGGGTTATGGTAAAATTTTTACCTTTTGGAAAGGTGCCGGCGATAATGAATCTTTGATTATCAAAGTAACTCGGCATTTGCTCATGAACCAATTCCTCCAGGCAAATGATAGAGTTCTGCATCTTATGATCATAGACTTTCAAGATTTTCTCCTCAATCACGTCAAAGTTGAGGCTCGATCCCAAACGGCCGATAATAAAGACTTCGCCAAAATTTTTGCCGCAATTTTTGATGTACTGAAGAGCGGCTTCGTGGCTTCTTGTGATTTCTTGACTCAGGTAGAGAATATTTTCGTGCTCTTCGGTATAATTGGCGACGATGATATCTGCGTTGAGTTCGTCGTCAAGGAGAAGGGATCTCGTGTACTCGTAGAGTTCTCGTTTGTTTGCTCGGCCCATGAGAAAGTAGTAGAAGTTGTGCTTGCTGTATAAACCGTGCCTATTGCAGTTGGATTCTTCGCAGACATTTCTGTCTTTTTTCAGCTGCTCTCTGAAAAGCTTCCTTTGAAGTAGCTCGTATCTTGTTTGAGTGAAAATCGTTGTTATTTGCAGATTTGCTTTTGGATCCTCGCGTGCTGGCTTGCATGGTGACTTCGGTGTAAAGAAGAAATCGATTTCGGAATGATCATTCGAGTCGGACGGAGAATAGACCCATTTATTCAGATTCGTCTTTGAACAATATTGCTCCATGGAAACTCCAAAGTCTTAAATATCAAATATCGTCGGTTTTAGGATCAGGCAGCGGGAGATAAAGTTTTAATCGGTTATTTTAAGCCGCGAATGTTGGCAAAACAACAATCCACGGCGGATTATTTCATCGCCAACTTATTAATAGAAAGTGCAAAAATACTCACAGTGTTGGTAAATGTCTGGGTTCTCGCTTAGAATGTCACTTTCGACGTAAGAGAGCTCGCCGCTGGTGACTTTTTGGTGCAAATTGTGGCGGAGTTTTGTGATGTCGTTCCACTGGATTTTGTGTGGCATTGAAAAGCCGTTGATTGTTGACATGTTTCGTTCTGTCGGATGTTCTGCGAATTGAAGCTACGAGTTTGAAGCTTAGGAATGAATATTGATAGTTTTCTTACGTAACAATGCTCTCCAGCTGCTCGGAGGCCTTTCTTGCTGAGCGCTAGTTGATGGGGAGCATGAGCTTGTTCGTCCGCTCTGAGCCTGATGATGTCTGTTGAGTCTAGCATCTCCAGCGCTGTTCGTAACTTATCCTCAGAGATGTAGGCATTGTTGAGATCCATGATAAAGGCAGCGTCGAAATCGAAAATTTTTTCGTAAAACAAATAAGTTTGCGTTCCAAAACCGAGTAAGGTTCCATACGGTTGTGCGGGAGTAGCACTAGCGGCTGCGAAAGAGAAGTTAATTTTCAGAAAAACACGAAAAACAAGAACTTACTGGGATCATATTGCGAGTCGTAATTTAGCCCGCGTGTATTTCTGAAAACTAAATCTTCGCCAGAAAACGTATATTTCGACATCGCTTTTCCATGAATAAAAAACTTCAAATCGACCGTCCAGTCTTCTGAAGCGAGACCAAACTTGTTATAATGATCCCGTAGAAATGCTCGTTGAAGATGGTAGTTTTCTTTGCATTCACTGTCTTTATCTTCGCAGGGGTCAAGAGATTCGATTGCAAAATATAATTTTCTTGGTTTTTTCTTTATTTTTGCAGTATCAACTAAAATCCAATCTAAGCCAATTGTCGTCTAACGCACTTTACCTGAAGATTGTGCTTCTGAATTTTGTTTAATTTCTATTTCATTTCTCTGTTTTAAATTTTGCCGCCAAGCCAGGGCAAAAAGAAGTGTAACAATCCAACCGGAAAACGAAAAGGCGTGCCTTTTTATCATTTTATATTTTCTATTATAAGACTTTCTCCGATTTTGTTTTCCTTATCGAGGCGCCGTGGAACGTAGCTAGAACCCGGAGGCGATGGCACCAATCGTCTCATTGTCAGCAAACTATTTATAGTGGAAGAGACTGCCTATTCCTACTTTTAAGTTAATCAATTAAATGCATTTAAATTTCCAGAGATACAATAATTTATTATTTATATTGACAATAAGGCATTTGAAATGCCGCATTTCTTTAATTATTCTTTAAATTTTTTTATTGCAGGAATTAGACTAAGATAAGGAAAATGTAAGAAAGGTTCAATCGTTGATTTTTGCAGTATAACTGGGAGAAAGAATCATGCGGCGGGTGGGTCAGTGAGAACTGGAGGAATGCATCCATATCCAGCAGGTTCTTCCCAATCAATTCTGCATGAAAAGCTGATGCCCTCAGGAAAATCACAGGGAACATTATCCCAGGTGTATGGATCGGCATTTCTTGTCATGACGCAAGTGTTATTAACGCCATCGTTTGGTTGGCCGGGTCCCCAAGAGAAAACATCGACTTCAACCTCCATTCGACCGTAGTGCGCTCCCCAACCGCTTTCATATTCAGGTTCACGGAAAATTCCAAGAACTTGTTCGCGGTACTCCGTCAAATTTGCTTCTTGGTTGAATTGATGAAGCTCGGATTGAGAGCCGAAGAAGGGAAGGCTACCGATTCGATCCCAGTATGGCCAAAATTCGAAAACAATACTTTGACAGTAGTCCCGAGCTTCGTCGAATGATTCTGCTTGGAAAGGAGCAAGTTCAAAATGCACACAAGTTTCGACCCCCCAAGGAAGCATTTGGCCTTCTTCACAAATAGCTTGGTTTTTCTCCGCACAGTTTACCGACTTTTCCTCATAAACAAAGGTCGGAGGACCTGGTGGAAGTGGAAGAACAAATTTTTCTTCAATCCAACATTGGTCAGACCCCGCCCATTGAGGATCAAACCAAACAAATGAAACATCCTCTTCCTTCATTGTCTCCTTGATACCATAAAGCCGGAAAGGACTCTCAGGATCAGCAAGCCACATGTTTTTCGCAAAGCAATAGCCGCGAGCTTGATCGTAGGTCATTGTCTCCTCGGAAATGTGGTAAGAAATGGGTGCAGGATAGTTTGGCGGTTTATTCGCGATCTTCTCGATCTTTTTCAACGCTTTATTGATTCTTTGTTTTTCTGCTGGAGAAATAATTGTATGCCACTGTTTTGTTTAACAAATATACCGGTATAAAGGTAAATAAATTTCTGCTTATTATTGCTTATTATGTTAATATTGATTAAACTTTCCTGGATCCAGCATTCGGTCCAGTGCTTTAAATTGTTGATGTTCGTTTGTGGGCTTGTTTTCTCATCAAAACTTTGCCAGTAAGTGGGTAGAATGCACAAGCATTCACCAAGGGTATCCTCATCGACGTTGGGCCATCCATCGTAGTATCGTGCAGCTTCTCGGACTATTTCGTAGTTCTCAATCAACCGTTCGGCTCTCGCAGCATAATTTTTGATTGAATGGCGACACTGGTAGGCAAAGACATCCGCCGCTCTCCAAAAATCAAGGAAATCGTAGTCAAAGATGACAGATGAAGTTGCCAACTGGAAAATAATTGCTGAAAAAATCCTTTTCATTTTCAGGTTCTTTTGATTTTTTCAATGAAAAATTTGCTTTTATACAAAAAAAATCTGCCGAGCTGGATTTTGATGGAGTAAGAGAGCTTTCAAATTTGTCGCTTATTATGAGAAAGCATCCGGTGAGACTGCTTCCACGGGAAAGTTTTATTAGACAGAAGTTGTCCTACAAGTTCCTACCATGTGATCAGCGTTCTAATTTTATCCCGTGGAATGACAGCTTATCAGTTTATGGCGCATTTCTATGTGACACACTTTAATCTCTATAAGATTTATCTGCGAATAACAATTGCTGCGTAAACTTTCCTAGCAGGAAACTGAAAGTACCATGTTTTCGAATTATTTGATGCACCGTAGCCGGCTTCGCACAAATGAACTGGCCTTCACAGTTATCGAATAGGCTGAAAATTGTTACTAGAACAATGTTGAACAACTGAAATAATGGAAGATTAAAATCATATATTTTCTTATCACTGGCGAGATTTATTAATAAATTTGATCCGCTAAGAAAGCAAAATTTTGAACTAATTTTTGAGTCGGTAAGGTGGAGGGTCTTCTACGTTTCTTTGATCTTGCTCGTTCACCATGGAAACGCTTGGTACCGGCTGTTGCCCAAGAGGTTGCAAAATGAATGCTTGTTGACCGTTTGGTAACTGGAAAGCAAAATCTGAAAGTTTTTTTTCAAACAAAACTAAAGTAGATTTACTTTGAGGTTGAGGCTGGACAGTTGTCAATTGAGGTTCAGATTGGAAATTCGTGCTTTGAGGTGGAGCATCGTCTTCAGATAGAGCTTCGGCTGGAGTTTGTTGAGAATGCATCCAGGGTTCCAAATGTGCGAACAAAAAAACTGATAGTCAGTCACTGATCACCGAGGAAACCGTCGCAGTGCGATCGCGGTAGTTCCAGCAAAATTTGGAACCCTGGTTGAGTCGTTTTTGGTCCCGCGAAAACGTCAAGAATCGGCTCGGGATAGATGTAGCAGCATTCACATCTGCATGTGTCCTCCGGCTCCTCTACACATCTGCAGCACTTTGAAATAGAATATCAAAACCCAAGTTCAAAAATAAGAGTGTACCTGTGCAGGAGAACCATGGATATTAGTGATGTAGAAAAGAAATCCCCATTGAATCATAAAGCAGACAAGTTCACCAACCAGAGCGTACGGGTATTCGGGATCATATTTACGACGACGATGGTACCATGAGTGTGAATACTCGTATGAGGAACTCACGAACATCCCAGTAACCACGACGACATAGAAGAAAATGCAGAATGAGAAAGTCATGGTCACGTAAGCCTCGAATGTTGTTCTTTGGCAGTGAAAAATATAAGACCAAATTACCATGATAATGACGTTTTTGAAAGCCTTCTTGAACTCTTACATGTCCTTTATCGCCTCCGAATACTTGATTCCAAGATAACCAGTTCTCATGCCAAGAAGAGAGACGAAACAGCCCAATCCAAATGTGTATGTCCAGAGGTAAGTTGCAACTGCATCGAATCTTTTATCGGTTGTTTGTTTAAAATTCGCTTGTACAAAGTAATTTTGAAACCCAATAATTAAACAACCCGTTCATAAGTTGAAAGAATGAAATGAGGATCAAGCCGTTGGAATAAAAGAGGACGACATCTTGGAGAGTTTTACTCATGTCGTCGTTTTTGCTTTGACTTTTTTTTGCTGTCAATTCTCAAAAGTTTCTTCTCTCAAATTTTTATTTTCTGAATGAGTGGTACGAACGATTGGCCAGTGCAAAAATCTAGAAAGAAAACTCGACCGAGCCATTAGTGGCGCAAAATCTCTAGACATCAAATTTGAGTTGGCTGTTTTCATCGATAAGCGTTCACAAAATGCCACGGAAAAATAAAGAGAAAGTGAAAAAGGGCGAAAGTGGCGGATTCATCCCCCAAAAGAGCGACCATTCGCCGCAATGCAGCGTTCAAGGCTGTTGCTCCCCTGCTGTTTCTCCTGGAACCAACTGGGACGAAATGTTCTCTTTGGAAGGGCAAATCTACACCGAGTTCATCAAGACTGTTCCGGCGGATACCTGTACGCTTTGGGAAGTGATGGAGATGTACCAGAACATTTCTGAGGAAGAGAAGGAAAAGTACACCAGAATGGCGCAGAATCCCTACACAGAAATTCTCAAGACCGACCTTCGAGACTTGTTCAAAATCAAAGACGAATATCACCGGATCCGCCCAGAAGTAGAAGACCTTCGCTTGAAAAATGAGAGCCTGATGGAACTCTGTTGCAAAGATGAGCGAAAGCTGATCAAACAGTGCCTCGATTTGAAAAGTGAGATCAAGTCGTATTCTTCGGAGAAAGAGCTCACCATCAAAGTAAGCCTATCACATCTGCATTCCGAAAAATAGACGGAAATTTTTAGATTCAAGAGCAAAAACGTGAAATTGAAACTCTCCAACAAGAAAATATCGATGCTTTCCGAAAAATCAAATCGCTTTCGGACGATTTCAAAGGTAAAAACAGGAAAAAGAAATTAGCCGTTAAAATTTTTTCTTAGCCGACACTTCATTTTACTGGCGAAATCTTCTTGCACACAACGAAAAAGACAAAAAACGACTAGAGGAGGAAGTAGCTGCAGAGAAACGAACGAACAAGTTGCTTTACAAGAAAATCGAAGAGCTGCGCGGGTCGATCAAAAAGTTCGCAATCAAGGAGGACAAGATGCAGAAAGAGATGGAAGATGTCCAAGCCAGACTTGAGATCGCGAAGGCTGCCGATTCAAAGAATGTCAGCGATTTGGAGAGACGAATCGAAGATCTTGAATCGTGCTCAATTTGTTGCAAGTAAGCTTTTTGTTCATTTTGTCATTTGGTCATTCGAAATTAAGTGCCTTCGATGAAGGGGAGTACCAAAAGTATGCCAAATTCTGCGGCCATTTGACTTGCTTAAAGTGCTTCAAGAAAGATTTGGCTCGACAGCGACAAGGTACTTGAAATTTATTCTCTCCGCTTTTAACTAAAAATTTTAAGATCCAAAGAAACAAGGCAAGCCCAAATGTCATTGTGAAGCAATTATCCACGAGTCCAAGGCCATCCGACTATACCAATGATCTTTCAGTTGAAAAAAGAACTCCAGTTAACGTAAAACTTAAAAACTAGCCAAAATAAAGGAAAAAAAAGGTTAGTCGTTGTTGATTTCAGGCAGATTTATTCGCGATCAATGTATTGCAGGTTTCAAATCAGTCTCTCGATTTCGGGATAAGGGATGAAGAGAATGGTCGATTTGATTTGTCTAAAGCTTCCTCGTACTCGCAGTTCCCGCAGCTCATTTTCTCCAGGCCTGTTGGTGCTCAAATAAACCATCATTGGGGCTTAGGTGGGGATTTCACTCCATAAAGATTCTTAGAGCCTTTGAACTGTTGCCACAATATCTGCGGAAACGTAGTGTTTGAGTCAGGCATATATAAAAGGAGCTGATCCCAAGAAACCCGTTAGAATTATTGATCCAACGCTAATCTCCTGGATAATCCAAATCATAAACTTATTGAGCACTTTCCTATATTCTCCTTCAAATTTTCGCTTTCTCTTCAATTTCAGAAAAATCCAGAAAACGGCAAAAAGCACGATATTTCTCATCTCTTCTCGATTTTTGATTAATTCTTCGATATTTTTTTGAATGAGAAAATCCCTCTTCCTTTTTTCTTTTGTCTTCCACCTGATCCTTCTCTTCTCAACGCGCGTTGCTTTTTTTGTGTTTTAAAAAAAATGGCTTTGAAAGGGAAGGAGGGTCAATCAAGATTTGGGGCCTCTTATGGGGCCTGCTTATGTGGTCAAGTGGGATTATAATTACGGTGGGAGGAGGAATGGAGGGGAGCTACTTGTGCTCGGCAAATATTTACTTGCTCTTCTTTTTGATCAAATTCTTTTGCAAATGTGAAGTTTGAGGATGTGTAGTAATGTGGGATGTATATGCACTTTGGACGGTGTATATGAACGCGTGAGCCGACCCTTGAACATTCCCGTAAACTTAGGAAGAAGAACGCCGAAGCAGGATTTCCCGATTCCGATTCCGATAAAATTTTAGCCGCTTCTTTTTTTTGAAATTTCAACACCCTTCTTTTTTTTTATCAAGGCGACGAGTGAAATCTAAATTAATCATCCACGTGTCTGGCTTCTCCCGGTGTTGGAATTTCTCTATTGACATGGAAACAGAGGCTCTACCAAATTTTTATGCATCAGGGCGGCGCGGGGTCACCAAGGGTAAGTGATTTTTTGTTATTGAATAATATTCACACCCTTGTTTGGGAGAAGTCTTGTTACATACATCATCACTCACGTTTTACTCTCTTCGCAAACTGCTTTAATTGCTCGGGCCGGACGAGAAGAGAGCCTCGCCCGTCTATCTTTCTAGTGCAGCTTGAAGTTTCTTTAAGCGCTAGCATTAAATACACATCAGGGGCAAAGATATGCAATTTAAATCAGATAAAGGCGACTCTTTTGGATGTTATATTATCGCTGGCTGGGTTGAAATTATAAGACCAGCGAGTCAACTTTTTGGTTAGATAAAAATAGCCCTCTACATAACATTTTACAGACTGTTATATACTGTATATGCTACATAATATATGAAGCAATGAATTTTACGATCGCTTTGAAATTGGTCCAGATCTATGAGATTTTATGAAAACGAACTAATCCAACCGAACCAACACTTATCTGATTTTATATCTTTTTGCTCTTTCATACCCCGCTGAGCAGAAAGGTAACGATTCAATCGTTTTCTACTGCCCTCCTTTGGTGTCCTGTCAGAATATAACCGATCAAAATTAAGGGAGGGTATTCTGAAATTATGAAATGAAAACGAAAACTCGTTCACCGTCTCGATTTCCATCCGCATATTCTCTGAACACATAAATTATGTGACATAATACTGGAAAATAAAATGATCTCGAAATAATCGTGAGCTACTATCGCCCCGACCATTATAAAATTTTGCAATTATCAAATCAAAAAAATTCTGTACCTATCGCAAACCAACACATTATAAGGCACTATTCATACCAAAAATAGATTCACTCTATCTTTCTAGTGCAGCTTAATATATCGACCGAACCAAAAATTATCTGATTCTAATCTTTTGGATAGACATACCCGGGATACGATATCCCGCTGAGCAGTATCTTTTTCTACCGCCCTCTTTCGACGATAATTCAGTATTTAATCGACTCTGAATCCTCATATTCATAAGATGTAAAATAAAGACGAAATTATTACGAACGATGTCCTATATTTCGAAAAGAAATATGTATACAAACATGAACTCTACTAACGTAAAATGAAAACTTAAAAACTTCATCAATATTTGTAATCTCTGACGATACTGAATACACTGAAACATGAACTGTTAAAATCTGATATTCTTGAAAAAATAGCTCCACCACTCAATAAACGTTCCAGTTTGCGAATCACACCTGTCGTTCCGAACGACGTGTTGTTAAAGTGGGATCTGTTTTCACGCGCTTCCTCTTGCATCCAGAGCTCAAAATGCACGGAAAATAGGGCTCGTGATTTTTCCTATTGCATTTGCTTCCAATTTTAATTATTTGAAGGACGGGATCTTCTTGCCAATAACGCACTTGGCATAAGCAGCTGTGATGACTTCAAGACGCTTCAAGAAGTTTTTTTCATCACCCCTCGTTTGCGTTGGTAACCACGTAGTAATGAATGCAATGCGACCAAATGTTTAACCCGTGATGACCGCCCCGCATGTGCCAGATATCCAAGGTCCTTACAGCCCCCCACAGTTTATCGATTTCAATATTTTCGCGACCAAGTTTTGCAATCTTTTAGATTCGCACTCGAAAATTGTAACTCAAAATTTCGAGGAATTCCAGCTAGAAATCGGTACTTTGCGATTAAACACTTGTTAAAACTACTTTTCTAGCTTCTTCTCAACTATAGTTGGATCATCTTCAATGTAACTGTATATTTTCATTACACAATCTTGAAAGATTGAAGCTCCCTTTGAACTAGAAATCTCCAAGCCCTCTCGAAAGTGGCTTATCCCCCGCTCGGCAGGTGACTGCTTCACTCCTCACTCGTCCTGTTTCCTCCTCACATTGGAGAAGAAAGTCTAAGTCGCTTATGCAAGAAACGAGAAGAAAGGTGAAACAAGAAGGAGTATATTTTATTTTGCATAAGGCAGGATTCTGACGCAGATTCACGCAGATGGTGGCGTCTGGACGGGGTTAGTTCTTCGTTGCTTTCTTCTTTTTTTCGTTACTCTTCCGATTTAGAATCCCCCGCCGCCTTCTGAAAGTGAATCTTAGAGACGGTATAGGACTGTTGAGCAGAGCATCAGCTGATAAAAAAGGCTTAACCCCTATTTGCCACCTTTATCTCCCCACAGCCACCGTGATATAACCATCTGGTTCCTTTTTTGCAATGGTGCAGAAATTGACTCAGAACGTTAAACATTGAAAAGATACAGTATTTGAGCCCTGTTATCTTTTTCTGTACATGTGACCATGAAGCCTTCAATAAGGGTTTCCCTTGAAAAAACTGTCTTGGAGGTCTTCATTTTAACGCATCGAAAGTGGCTCAAGACGACGCTCATTTTAACGGATTTTCTAGCACGAGGACTACATATCCGGAAACATATTAGGGGGGTCCTTAAAGGAAAATCACCGAAAATCCGTTAAAAAGAGCACCCTCTTGAGACATATTAAATCCGTTAAAATGGAGACTTTCCAAGAGTTTTATCCGTTAAAATTGGGGTCACATATTTCGTGATATTTTTTGAATTTTCAGACCCTCAATTTGATTTAAACATGATTTAACAGCGAATGCGTTTATTATTCCAAAAGGCCAAGTATATTATTCCGGTATTATAGTTCTCAGCGCGCGATAAGCTAAAGGTAATTGCTCTTTCGCGCGGTTATAAATTTACAGCATAAGCAAAGGACTAATTAGAGACTTTCAGATTGAACACGAGGGATTGCTTAGATAGGGTTAAATCGATTAAAGTCGCCTGTTGTGAAATCCACCAAGGAGGAAAAGCACCTGCCCGCGACACGCAAGCAGCTAAATTAGCCTCTGATCCAGAAATCGTAAAAAATTATCGTTTGTCATGACATTAAACCGTTCGTGATGCCATCTGACAGATTGCAGATTTAGAGCAAAGACCCAGAAGGGCGGAAATATGATCGATAGCTTCACTTTTTTACTGCGGCAGTTGTTTGCTTTTTACGTTATTCGCAAAAATCGCAGAGCTAAGAGTCAGTGATTAATGACTCCGAAAAGAGCTGCTAAACAAACATCTGCGCATTCCGGTTACGAAGAAGAAGGCAAGGGCTTTGAAGTTCAATAAAGAATTTGAAGTCTTACGGTTGCTTCTGCTCGTTCTCGGGTTCCAAAGATGTCGTTGTCACGGTGCGATCGCTCGGATACTTTTTTGCCCGTTTTGTGACCCGATTCTTGTTGATTTTCTGAAATAAGAACCGCTCAGTTTTGACCCAGGCCTTTCTCGGGCTCGGCAACCTGTGTAGAAAACCTGAGTCAGGGTCTGAGAGATCATATATGAAAAGCCGCGCCGCGGCTTTTAAAAACGAAGCCGCAAATCGGCTTCAAAAGAGTCGAAAATGGATTGAAAAAAATATTTTGCAAAGCCATTTCTTTTGGACCCTGACTCAGGTTGCCGAACTCTGCCTCTTACCTTGGTTCATGTTGAAGATGTCAGATGCATTTTTATTCGAACTAGTGTGCTTCTTTCCTCGCACCTCGGTTTGAACTTCTCCGTCACCGAAAACATTGCTAAAAAGAGTACTTAGTAATTTGTACTAACTACTACCTACTAGTCTCTCAGAATGTAAGTTCGCCTGGAATGACATCTCAGATGTGTAAAATGAAAATAAATCTACGTTTCCGCGAAAATCAAATTCATGCAGCCCGACAAATTGAAATGACCCGCCTTACTCAGCAATTAAACACTTTAAGGGACCTGGGCGAGCAGCGCTGAGCCAAACTTCACGCGCTCGCCGTTCTTCTTGGAAACAAGATTTTTTGAATTTTCTTTTTGTTAATTATATCTCCAAATCTTCAGCTTTCTTTTGCGATTCTTAGTTTTTCTCTATCATTCTTGGTTGATGAGCTAGCGAGAAAAAGAGAAGCCCAACTTCAAAAGGCATCAAGTCTTGCAGACTAAATTTTTTCTTCATGAAACTAGCACCATTAAAAAGAGCGTTAAATTCTGAACAGATCCCACTCCATCAGCTTAACTAATTCTGTACTTATTGGCGTGTAAGGCCAGATTAAGAAAATTACTTAGCGCGCGCAGCTGGTCGCGGCGCGGCTGGACGCTCCGATTTAGCTATTTTGGGCTTCCTGGACATGATTCCCGCTGCGCGGGGGCTAAGTTATCTTGTTTATCTGGCCTCTATCTCCAGTATGTACAGATTTAGTTTAGCTGATGGAGTGGGATCTGTTCAGAATTTAACGCTCTTTTCAATGGTGCTAGTTTCATGAAGAAAAAATTTAGTCTGCAAGACTTGATGCCTTTTGAAGTTGGGCTTCTCTTTTTCTCGCTAGCTCATCAACCAAGAATGATAGAGAAAAACCAAGAATCGTAAAAGAAAGCTGAGGATTTGGAGATATAATTTACAAAAAGAAATTACAAAAAATCTTATTTCTAAGAAGAACGGCGAGCGCGTGAAGTTTGGATCAGCGCTGCTCGCCCAGGTCCCTTAAAAATAAACTGGACCAAGATTCTAGGACTCCAACTGTAGCCTGCGCTCGGCAACCTGTGTAGAAAACCTGGGTCAGGTTCTACAGAGCTTTAATGAAAAGACGCGCAGCGGCTTTTATAAAAACGAAGCCGCAGCGCGGCTATGCCAGAATTTTTGATAATGGTAATATTAGCGAAGCCGCTTCGCGGCTTCGGTTTTAAAAAAGCCGCTGCGCGGCTTTTCATTAAAGCTCTTTAGAACCTGACTCAGGTTTGCTACACAGGTTGGCGAGCCCAGATTGTAGCGCTAGAATCGCATTAACCTAGAAAAAGATAACTTTATGTAACTCTTGTTTTCTTTTCGAAATCGAGAGCTAAGGGTAGATGCCGTAATTGAAAGGTATTTTAGAAGCTTTAAAAATACGAACCTGATTTGAGCGGAGGCCATATTTGTTCTGCTGCACGCTGGAAAATCTGTAAATTGTGCGTTTAGTTTACTTAGGGGGAGTCGTGGGGAGGGGATGCACGTTTTACAAGCAAAGGGATTCCATCACAGCTGACCACAAATTGGTCGTGTTTAGGTTTGGTTAGCCAGACGGTTACGTATCACATAAACGCGCCCAGAAGAAATGTTCTTATCACTAAATAAACGAAGCTGTCCGGTAATTATCAGGAACTTCTATTCGACGATGATGATGATCAATGGAATTAAAAATCTTTAAATATCTTCAATTGCCCCTTATGTTTAATCCGTCTAAAAGCATCTAAATCAACCTCATTTAATTTCCTTATCAGAATTTTTAAGCCCGAACTTGCTGAAATGGTTTGCAGGCAATTGAAATTAATTGAAAAGAAGAATCAGCGCTTCTTTTTTGTTGCTTTTTAACTGCTTGTTGTTTCTCTCTGTTAATCAAATTCTCCCAAAGTAGAAAAAATATGGATCGATTGTTACAACTCTCTCTTCTCTCTTGCTGGTCCCCCGGGAAGGCCAATAAAGGCAAAGGGTAACTGGATATCAATTGCCATGGGAGTAGACTGGCCCTTGTGTGCTTAGGCGCAGCGGCGGAGGAGGTGACCCTTCACTCAACAACTGAATCGACTCAAAAGGACCTTCACAACCTCATTCATCAAATTTGCTTTTGTTCTCGTAAATACACAGCCGTTTGTTCAAAATAAAACTGTTACAAAAAATCTTTAACGACCCAATTTTCTAACAAAGACCAAAGTAAGCCCAATTTTTTCTATAATTCTACTTGTTTGAACATCTCTTTTGTAGATTATAGCTAGATTTAGGCCATTGTATCTTTTTTTGTAGAATTTAAGCTTGGTTACATAAGACACGTACTTTTGGCTAATGAGACATTGCGTCGCCGCCGAAGGTTTAAAAAATAAAAACACTACTTTAGGCCATCTCAGCCCTTCTTAATCGTCTTTTGAACTTTGGTAGATAACAGGCAAGCGCAACGAACTACAGTAAGTCGAACTCTTGAGAAGAAAAAACTGGACGTGGCGGGCACTTGTGGCACTTGTTGAAAAACTGAACTAGAATCACAAAAAACTGGCTTGATTTTCTTTTTGAAGTCAAAAGCGGCACCACAATAATAACCGTCAAAATGTAACAATTAAACACTTTCGGCGAAAAAGCTGACTCACGTGATAGACAAGAATGCTTCTTCGAAGCGACTCCTTTAATTCCCTTCAAAAAAGACTTAACAGAGCGCGTCAATAGTACTTATGCAACACGTAAGGCGACAGTAACTCGGCCATTTCCCGTTAAACAGCTTGGCTCGGGTGAAAGGTTCCGCATAAGTTCTATCGTTCCTCCAGCCCAAAAGTGTACAAAGCGCTAAACATCCAAACATGCCCAGTTTTCGGGGAAGCCGCAGTTGTTACGAAGTGGCAACAAACTAGGATTTTTTAATCTTAATTGGGTCTAATTATGTTGTCAATGAAAACGATTTGCATTGTTTTTTTGGAAAAAGACCCTTCTCAAAATAAACCATCAAAACTACCATTCTTCAAATATTTCCTAAAAAGCTTATACGAAAGAAATGTTAAATTGAGTTGTTGAAATCGAGAATTTCTAGCTTCTCGGATTCGTTTTAGGGCTTGACCCGCCATACCAAAAGCCACGTACGCGATTCAATTTACATTTTGATTGAATAAATGGACCGGGATTCTGTAGATACGGGCTTTAGTGAGATGTTTCAGTATATGGTGAGTGTTACAGTATTGATCTTACAGGCGCTGGGGGAGCTAGATGAGGACTCCGTCGATTTCTCCCTTTTCGAGTTGCTCCATGGTTTCGTCCAAAGTCGAGTTCAGCAATTCTTGCGCTTGAATTCAAATTTAACGAACCATCAACAGAATTGAATGACTGTACCTGACTCCTTGAGCATCGTCTCCGTTTTGTCCATATCAACGTTGATCTTGCCAAGGATGGTTTCCATCTGAGCAGCTTTTTCTTTGAAAATTGTCATGGCATGAATCGCATTGTTGATTTCTTTCAGCATTTCGTTCTTTTTAGTTTCGAAGTTGCGGATTGGCTTTGCTTTCGAATTCGACTTCCGGTTTCCCAGCACTTTTCTTGGCTTTTCATCATCGCTTTCGAACGATTTCATCATTTTTGAGCTCACTTTGAAATTTAAAAATCTCAGAAATCATTTCCTAGAATCTGAAGATTCGTCTCGATCGCGTTTTCTATTGCTGCTTTGATCGACTGCCTGGACGACTGTCATATTCTAATGGGATGGAAAAGTCTAATTGAAAAAGTCGAAAAGGAATTCGCCTCCCCTTTCCTGTTGATTTTGTTGCTGCATCATTGTCTGCATGAATGTGTTGAACATGGCTTGCATGTCCATTCCAGGAGGCAGTTGGAAACTTCCGTTCATTTTCTACGGACTTATTGTCAAACTGGTTTATTTCTGAGGGTTTACTCGGCAACCTGTGTAGAAACCTGAGTGAGCCTCTGAAAAATCTAAAATGAAAAGCCGCAACGCGGCTTCGTTTTAAAAAAAAAATCATTTTTTAAAAAATTTCATTTCAGCTTTTTCAAAACTTGACTAAGGTTTTCTACACAAGTTTCCAAGGCTGGGCTCGAAAACCTGAGTCAGGTTTTGAAGAGCTAAAATTGATAGCCGCGAACTGGCTTTGCGAAATAATCACTCTTTTCTATAAAAATATTGGCGAAGCCGCTTTGCGGCTTCGAATGTTAAAAACCGCTACGCGGCTATCAATTTTAGCTCTTCAAAACCTGACTCAGGTTTTCTACGCAAGTTGCGAAGCCAATCTCTAAGTTACTGACCTTTACTCTGTTGATCTCTATCTGAGATTGTTCTGTTGAACCGGCAGAATATCAATAGAAAATCTAGAAATTGATAAGACTGAGAAAGACTAGAAAGGGACTCTTTTTTCCGGAAGGTTGAAAAAAAAGAAAGATCTTTGATGAAAAACTGCATTCGGGAGGCCAGTTGATTTTTTTTGTTTCTGAAAATCGAGCGTTATCCGCAGGTTGATTCTCAATATTTGACGAAAAGCGAACGTGGGATGGTCTGTCCGTCGCTCAGGTGGGTGTCGGATTTACGCCGAAAATTGCCTCAATTGGGATCAGATCTACGTTTCCATTCTGGGTCTGCCGGATCATCCCCGCCTCGCCCAAGAGAAAGAATCATCAGCTTGCGGCGAGCCATAAACATCACCATACGTAATATCGTATTTGACGAAAGTTAGAGACTCTCACCAAAATCGACCCAGCATCACTTTTTTCTCCAAGAAGACAACAATTTAATCCGCTATTTTTTATGCTGATGCACTTATTTTGTACACGAATGCTTTGTCTACGTTTTTGTTGATGCTTTTTGTTAGAAAAGTGATTTGTTTCCGTTGAATTGATTCATTTCACCACGTTTTGATACTAACAATGGTTTGTTTGGAGCATCGTATACGCATTTCGAAGCATTCTAACGTCTTTTTACGAAATATGATGAAAAAAATGAGTCACGTTACTTTTCTAGCGCCGAAAAGAGACTCCAATTCGTCCAGAATACGTTCGAAACTCAAGAGGCACATAGATTGCTGGGCGATAATCTTTACTAAAAGGTCTAAATCAGACTGGTCGACAGTGATTTTCATCTGAGGATGCTTAGATTGAGAGTTGCCACTTCAGAATTGTCGATTATTCAAGTGATAAGACAGCCATTATAACGTGAGACCCACTTATCAGCTCGAAACTTCAGGCACAGACGTAATTTATCCTTATCCCTCTGTAGAAAACCTGAGTCAGGGTCTGAAAGAGCTGAAATGCGGCTTTTCATTTTTGATCTTCAAAAACCTGACTCAGGTTTTCTTCACAGGTTGCCAGGCTCCGATAAATAGAATCCAAATTGAAGTAGATAAATGTGCTTCTTCTTTTATTCATGAATTCATTTTATTTATTGACGCTACAGTCGACCAAAACTCCTTAGAATTCCTCAGAATCTAGCACAATTTATTTTCGTTTCGTTACAAGCCTGTACCGGTAAATTGTTCATCTCCACGTGGTTGTTAGTTCCGAGCTCTAATTACATTTACTATCAGTCGTTTCTGCCTGTTTATAGCATATTAACTGGGTGTAACCGTAAATTGTTAGCTCTATTTACACTCTATTTGATCTTGAAAATGATGAAATCGAGTCTAACATCGATTACGTTCATAATATTTTTACTACCGTTCGAAGCGATCTTTCCTTTCTTTTTTGGGTCTAATTATAGCTACAGTAATGTGGTCTTGAGCCACTAGAAAAACAGTTTAGTATATTCCGCTACTTTCTAGCAAATTATATCACGCAAAATGTGCTCAAATGAATGAACTCGAAATACCACTCAAAAACCGCTATATTCCGATAAAGATATAATATCATGGTGGAGCGAAAGGGCTCAGATGTAACAATTTTCATGGCCGCAGCGCAAACACCAAGCCAGCAGCTGATTACGCAAGGCGCTTCTAACCGTAAACGAGTTATCTTGCAAAATTGGACGCCTCTCTGATCCAGCCGCCTCACGTTATGTTCAGTTTTTACTTCAGACAACGGCGAATTGATTAGACCTTCTATTCAGGTTCAAGAAGAATGAACGAGGCTTGGAATCTTGGCTCAGGACCCCTGAGTCAGGGATCTCAAAACCTGAGTCAGGTCAGAATCCGATAGAGCTTTGAATTGTTTTAGAAATACAATCAGTTCGATCTATTTCAAAATTCTGATGAAGCCGCTTTGCGGCTTTGTTCTAAAAAAGCCGCTACGCGTCTTTTCATTTTAGCTCTTTCAGAACCAAGCTCAAGTATTAAACTCAGATCGCTGAGCCCAATTGTGTTCAAAATTGAACCGACCATTTGTGAACCTAGCTGCCCGGCACCCCAATTAGTATAGCAATCATAAATGAGCATGCTAACATATTTCGGTACAGAAGATTGATTGATTTGCAATCAACGTTTCTTATTCGAATAGAATCATCACGTTTTATAAGCCCGGCTTCGGCGAATCTCGCTAATTGAATTAAGCAAATGTTCGGATTTTTCAACAAAACGGTTTTGATTAGGTCGTCATGAGCAAATCTCGAGCGGGGCTGAAGCCTCGTCCAAATATCAAATTTCAAACTTTCGATAAAATAAATTTGCGCCGCCCCCTCTCACCATAATACGATCATAATATCATGTCATTTGGGAAAGAGTCATCATCGTTTGTTTTCTTTCCAGATTGGAACAGTTCTTCCTCAGACGACGCAAGTACTTCCGCCGCGTTGGCGCTTCCATTCCGCCGCATCGGAGGTCACTTCTTTTAATCAGAGCACTACTTTTTAAAAAAGAATTCCTCTTTCGACGTAAAGGCTCAGCGAGATTATTTCTCGCGCGTGAAATTTTCACTGCCGGGAATTTTCGTAAAAGGAGGATGTCGGATGCGAGATTTCCAAAGTTTTAAGAATACACGTTTTTTAATTTCGAATTCTGAAATCTTCTGAAATAGATTTTCGAATTGGTCAACAAAATCAGAATTGGTTTTACAGGTTAATCGTCTTTTTGGCTATTCTCGGGACTCTAGTCAATCCAGATTGAGGATTATCCGCTGTACTACTAGTACCCACTCCTAAGGAGCCCTAGGTGAAAAAAAGATACAATTGCCGCGCTAACTATCGTCAAATTCTGAGTGAGCTTCTGAAAAATGTAGAATGAAAAGCAGCGTAGCGGTTTTTCTAAAAACGAAGCCGCGAAGCGGCTTCGCAAATAATATCATTTGAATCTGTCTCCAAATTTCGGTGAAGGCGCTTTGCGGCTTCATTCTTGAAAAAACCGCTTTTTGGCTTCTTTCTTGAAAAAGCCGCTATGCGGCTTTTCATTTTTGCTCTTGGGCTTAACTTTGAGGAATATAAAAAAATCTAAATTTGTATTGATAGTCGAGCTCAATTATTAGTTCATTTCAACATCTGCTCGTCATATTCAACGCAGACGTCACATTTCACAAAAGTCGACTAACTCTGGATGTTTTCGCAACACACGATAGTCATGTGCTATCTGCGCTGTTTCCCGATAACCGGAACTGGAAGACCTTTTTGAAGCGAAAATTCAATCTTCACCTTTTTCGTTTTATCTCAACACTGGAGGTGTTGGCGCTTAATCCGGCGCGATTCATGGTGTGTAAATAGTGAACGAAATTTTCTCACTAAAATTTTCGCCGAGGAAACAGCGGATTAATCCACTTGGATTCAAACACAAATGAACTGATTTTGAAAATGATTTTCACAGAAAAAATATCTTTTTTAGATATTTTTATTTCCAGCATTTCTATATTCTCATAAATAAGGGGACCCCAAGGGAAAATATTTCATTTTTATTTTCAGTATCTTCAATAAAAAGTAAAGGAGGGGGTCCCTTATTTACCGGACAAATAACTCTTGTAGGTCTTCCTTTTAACGGACTTGATAATCGTTAAGGGAGTCACCATTTAAACGGATTTTTTAGCTCCAGGTTTCTTGCCTGGATTTTTGATGAAATCCGTTTAGCTGGGGACCCCCTTAATGAATATTGAGCCTGTTGAAAGGAACACCTTCAAGATTTATTTGCCCGTTAAATAAGGGACCCCCTTCTTTACTTCCTATTGAAAATGCTGAAAATAATAATGAAGTATTTTCCCTTGGGGTCACCTTATTTCATTTTTCAATAGAAATTCTTGAGATCTAATAAGACTTCTATTTTTAGCCAAAAATTGCCGCTGCATGCTGCATATAATTTATTTTTAATCAGAGCCGGAAATCAAATCTGCTTGTTGGTGAACGTGCCAAATCAAAAAAAAAACTTCTAACGCAGCGAAGCAAATTTGAAATTGCCAAATATTGAAAAAAATCGGGAAAAACGTTTTGCGCGTTCATTTCATTACCCGCATCGGAATTCGTGCCATCGCGAAAATCTGTATGAAAAAAATCGTAACGGAACGCGGGAGCACTCTGAGCCGACGTGGGATATTCATTCGAGATTACATTTTTCGTGAAATCGTGTGTGAGGAATGCTCCCACTACAGTGCGGGCGACAGGTGGACAGGAAGCAAAGTGTAATTATCGGAAATGGAATTTTTATCCGAGGAGACTTTAAAACGTGGATTTTTTTCCTATATGATCATTATGTCTGACTAATTTTCGTCTTTCGGATTGTTACTACTAGACTAGAACCAGAGCTGCAAATTTTGCTTTATTTTTGCTGAGCTGAGCTGACCTGAGTAAAAATTTCTCTGAGCTGAGCTGGCAATTTTCAGAGGTCATTGAGCTGAGCTGAGCTGAGCAGAACAGATCATGCTCAAAAATAATTGAGCTGAGCTGAGCGAAAATTGTGTGAGCTGAGCAGATCAGGTCAATTTAAAAATCACTGAGCTGAGATTATTTACCCTATTTTGAAGAAAGCCAAAGTTGGGCAAAACGCGGCTTTTTTTCGTTTATCATCGAAGCCGCAAGCGGCTTTTCAATTATTTATCATCTTTCAGCAACTTTATTAACAGTCAGAATTGATCTGAAAACATTTGTTTTACTATATATATAGTTTACTATACAGGAAGAAAAATCGATTATGTGTGAATTAACGATAATTAAAATCAAGTAAATCCTTCTGGTGTTTACATTATCTCGCTATATGTTAACATTTGTTCTCCAAACAATTTTAGATCTATGAAAATATATAAAATGACTGGAGAAATCAAGAATATGGTTTCTGAAAATGTTTAATTCGATGATCCTGTTTGCTATTTTCTAGTTTTCTGGCTTTTGTGAAAGTGAGAAAGAAGACTAAATGTGAGTAATCACTGTGGCAGCAAGGTTCTAGTAATTGGGTGTCGTTTCGTCGCTTCGACGTGTGTCCACAGAGGAAGTCGGTGTCGCCATGTCTGGGGACCTTTTCGCAGCTCGCCTCGCCGTCCGACGTCGCCGTTTTCGCGAAATCAGACCAGCTTCTGGAGTCGCCACTTCCGGACAAGAAGGGCAGGGAGCGAGGCATCACACGAACCCTCTTCCAAAATCAGTTTCCGTTCTACGACCTTTCCGATAATTCGCCTCCCTAACTGAAACGAATGCTCCACGAGTCGATGACGTTTGCATTTTGAAGATTTAGAATCGTATAAATATCGATTCAACAAAGCCTCAAAATGAATCTGGACCTGAGACCTACTACTGAGAGTCTTCACTATGTTTTCTTTCAAAACCCTGACTCAGGTTTCTACACAGGTTGAACTCAGGTCAACCAAAAACGAAGAACGATAGGAACCCTATCAGAGGGTACTCCGGATACCGTAAGTAATGGACCGCGCTTCATTTTTCCATTTCTTCGCGAAGAGGATAATCCACTGCGCCTTGGAGAAAACAGCGTTATTGAATAGTCGAATCCGCTGCTTGTGAAATCCGACGTTACGTTGAGTGTGAGTTTGTGTGTCATCAGTCGAGAGCCAGATTAATGGATGCGCCCGTCAGAAAATGAGAGCACTCCGGAACTCAAAGCGGAAGTTTTCAGTCTTCACGAAAACCCAACCGCCGATTGTGCTCCAGTTGATTATAGAACAACTAGCCCGGCTGCTTGGACACGAACAACGTTTGGAACGGACGGATTCCATGCTTAACTCGTGCATCCAAATTCCGACCTGAGTTGTGCCTCGTCAGATAATTTCGCTTCCTGTTACCGTAACCATGATTTCTTTGATTTCGAAATCGTAATTTTTAATTTACGGAACTTTGGCGGCTGATGACGATAGCGAAGAGTATTGATCATAAAAGTTTTAAGCCAATTTCATGGTATGATGATGTTTCCCAAAATGATTCCCAAAGGTGACACCCTTAGCTCGTCTCAATGCACCGAGATGACAGCGATCGGACTTTTACCAGAATTTCACGTGCTGCTCGGGCAGTTTTTATTCTTCACTACAACTTCGCAATCATGTGTTATTTTTAAATATTTAACTATTTGACCTTCACAGATTTCAGTATATAATATTCGTGAAATCTTAAAAGATTGCACTGGTAGATGCTGTAGAAAAAAATTAAAAATCTGATAATTGGCAAAATGTCATGGGAAGAACCGTACATCGAAATGTACGAGATTTATAACAATACATATACTGAGAGTTCCCGAAGTCGACCGTTTACAAGTGCTAAAGAAACTCCAACCGCTTACCGTGAACGGAAAGCTAGGCAAAAGAGAGAATATGAAGAACGACAACGAAATCGTTTACAAAGGCAAAGGGAGTATGAAGAAAGACAACGAAAAAGAGGCTAGAATACGAGGAACGACAGCGAAATCGCTTGCAAAGACAAAGGGAGTATGAAGAACGGCAGCGGAATCGCGAAATTAGAAAACGTGAATATGAAGAGCGAAAACGGATCCGAGAGCAAAATAAAATCAATAAAGTAAAATTAAAATTATAAAAAAGCAAAAGTGAAAAATTAAGACTGAACGAATTTTGAAAATTCCCGCTGAAAAATATGGGAAAATAATTGGCCGAGGAGGAAAAACCATTAACTCAATGCGAAATGATTACGATGTAAAGATGCACTTGAATGCATGTCAGCTAAAAATTTATGGAGATTATTGGAACGTAAGAAACTAAAAAATATTCATTCAGTGAGAATCAATTGACAATCAATTAAGGTTGACCGTGCTGAGGAAGCAGTTAAAGCACTTCTTGACTGATGTTCCTTAATAAAATTATTGGTCGAAATTTCTTTGAAAGGCTTCGTTTTTTTACAAAAGTCAACTTATAAGTCGTTGAGATTTCAGTCAAACTGCAGGAGGCGGAAAAACGGCTGAAACGGTTCCAGCAGATATCGATGCAATCTGACATTATTTGTTTATAATGTGACCGCAGCGACTCAGAATTTATAGGTTCTGATGCTCACAAACCGAATTGTTTTGGGCTCAGACGGCATTGTTTTGCAAATATTAGCAGTGGCCGATTTGCCAGTTCAAGAAAATGTCACAACGCCAGGACTTCGATAAAATTCCGTATCTTTTTGTTGATTTGGGAGGCAAATTATGCCGTTTTCAATTGATAATTGCGAAAACTAGGGTTGATATTTGAAGGGGTTTGTATGTAGAAATCCTGAGTCAGGATTCCAAAAGCTGAAATAGAAAGCCGCGCAGCGGCTTTTCCAAAAACGAAGCCGCGAAGCGGCTTCGCAAAATTAATCGTCTTGTTTTCTGTATTTCTAACAAAGCCGCGTAGCGGCTTTATTTTCTCAAGGAATTAAGAAAATGAGATGATAATTTTGGCGGTTTATGGAGAAGCCGCTGCGCGGCTTTCTATTTCAGCTTTTTTAATCCTGACTTAGGTTTTTTACAGACTTATTCCTTCAAATATCAACCCTAATCAATAATCAACCCAGCCTTCATAAGTCCTGAGTCAGGTTTTATTCACCTTTTGCCGAGCCGAGCTTCGGACGTCGAAAAAGTGTTTATGCAATGTGAAGAGCTTCGCCCTCAGCTAAGTTTGTCTGATTACGATCCAAATCTCTGTGGAAAAGAAAGCATCCGCAGTGGAATCGCCTTTCATCCCTAGTTGAGCGCTCTTCCGCGACACACCCTGCTCAGATTATTTATTGAGTGAGTTCGAATTTTATCTAACCCGCTAATACGCCCGAACTCCCGACCAGCCTCTCCCCGATTTTTTATTAGAAAATTAATTCAGTGTTAAAGATGGACCCACGTTTAAACAGATTGCCAGGCAGCTCGTCAACCTTTTCTCCAAAAGTTCAGCTTCGTTTTTCGCGATTTAGCTGCTAGTACGTGGTATTTCAAAGCCCTTTGGGAAGCGATTTTAATGCAAATTCCGCGCCATGGAGAATGATCAAACAAGTACCATTGTCAAGCGTTAGAAAGTCGGACACTAATTGTCACTTTTCTAAAATAGCCATTATCTGCGTCACAAGTTAAGTTCATTACTGAATAAGTTATTCAGAATAACCATTCGGGAAAGGGGTTGGAGATCTCAAAACCTGAGTTTCCATTTTAGATTGTTTTTTGAGTATACATCGCGACATCCATTTCTTTTATCAAAACAAAAGTGACTTTAGTTCTTCATCAATATTTTCTGAGAGATGACTTTTTAGATTTCTAAAGAGTACGAAAAAAATTAAAGAATTTTTTCATCTAACTTCGTCAAAAATGACTTACCTTAACATACCCCGACTTCATTTTTGACTAATTATCTCGCTTGAATTCAGATTGTTTCTAAAATAAAATACTTGCTGAAAATCGAGAAGCCGCTTGCGGCTTCGAGTAAAAAGAAAAAGCCGCGCCTTGCGCGGCTTTTGTTCTCGTATACTGAAGCCGCAAGCGGCTTCTCGATTTTCAGCAAGTATTTTATTTTAGAAACTATCAGAATTCCAGTGGTAATTAGTCAGTCAGAAATGAGAGTTTATAAATGGTTATACTGATGTTACTTACTGTTCGTTTTAGCCTGAAGTTTAATCTTACGGTATTCCTCCTACTAAAATTTACGGAACATAAGAACAACATACCTCTATTTTTTGCATGAACATTTATGTCATACAAGAATACCTGTCGTTTTTAGATAGCCTTAGATCTGCCCGCTCATAGCATTCTTATTTTGTCAAGCATGCATATTTCCTTGAGCGCCACACAGGGGTTCCACACCATCGATTCTAATTTTCTAAGTGAGCGGCGAGTTTTGTAAAAGTGATGACGAAATATTTTCTGGGTAAAATCTGAACCGATTCATTACATATTCTATCCCCTGTCAGACGCGCCGCAATTTTGGGCTGGCTTGACAGCGCAGTTTTTGAAAGGAGACAAATTTCTAATTAATGATACAGCAAGGAAATGCTTTGATTCTTTATTAACGGTTTAACGGTTCGAAATTTCACAGGTTCGATTGCCACTGGACTCGGCAAACTGTGAATAAAACCTGAGTCAGGGTCAGAAAGATCTGAAATGAAAAGTCGCGTAGCGGCTTTTTTAAGAACGAAGCCGCGAAGCGGCTTCGCAAAAATTATTTTTTCATTCAATTGAGAAGTTCTTGCGAAGCCGCTTCGCGGCTTCGTTCTCAAAAAAAAGCCGGTATGCGACTTTTCATTTCAGTTCTTCCCGACCCTGACTCAGGTTTTTTACACAGGTTGCCGAGCCAAGGAGTGCCAAGCTGGTCGGCCAGTCTTATCAAGAGTAACTCCAGTCGGCAAGTTGTCTGGAATCGCACCGTCTGAAAAAGAGAACCCCGCGGTTTAATATTTATGAATATTTCGCCGCGAAATAAACCTAATGAATGCATCGAAAACGCTTCTGCGGCAGCGCCTTCGTCGTGGATCAGTGACGTTTTCCCAGCGTATACGCTAGAGAAGGTGTTATCAAATAAAATATAACGCTGGGACTAAATCTGATCCAGTTCCTATTTCCTCCAGCTTGATATTTCGGTTTAGAAGTTCGGGCAGAAGAGCTTCGAGGGTGATTGATTCTGATTCGGGGCCGATTTGGATGTTTATTTTTGAAGGATCCTACAGATAAATGAAGAGAATATTCTTCGATTAATTTTAGCTCGACAAGGTGTGCAGAAAACCTGAGTCAGGGTTTAAAAGATATTTAATGAAAAGCCGCGTAGCGGCTTTTTTGAAAAAGAAAGCCGAAAGCGGCTTCGCCAAAGTTTAAAGAATGGATTCAAATAGTGTCTTGCGAAGCCGCTTTGCGGCTTCGTTTTCAAAAAAAGCCGCTTCGCGGCTTTTCATAAAAGATCTATTAGACCTTCACTCAGGTTTTCTCCACAGGTTCCTGAGCCCAGATTTATTAGTACCTCCCCATGCATGTACTGAATAAGAGCATCTGTTGTACCACCGCTGCCCTGAAATAACAGTTTTTTAGGCCCAGTTTTTTAAATTAAAACTTGAAAAATCGCTAAAACTCTGAGTGCGCGTTACCATAATAAGCGTTCCAAAAATGTTGGCCCCAGTTTTGAGTGCTCGGGGAATGTAATAAGCTTCTTTTAAAAGTTCAGGCCCTTTGTTGGCAAAAATGCACGTGATTTGGCCATACTCGCCGACAATGCCGGTTAAAATCTGAAAGACGGCTTCTTCGTCGGTTCCAAGGGGGCTTCTTTAGTGAGAGTTTCTTTTGGTCGTGCACCGTGGTCTTTCGGGAAAAAACGTTGTTCAAAGGGAGAAGAATGTTATCTGGGTATTCTGCTCTAGCAATTTGCAACTCTCTATCCTTGAGGGAGTGAAGGGTCTTCCTGGCGAGGGTGCTCCAGTGAGAATGTGAAAATCGACGCCTTTGAAGAGGACAAAAACATGTGGCGAACGCGATAAACTTTGTGAAACGTTTTTATCCGTGAAAAGCCACGTGAAGCAAAAGTTATGACCACCTCGCATTTTGATTAGGTCAAAATGGAATTTAGTCCTTCCCTGGAAGGGGTTTGTTATTTTTAACAACATCATGGGCAAGTTGATCGGACGAGACGATAACTTCGTAAGGGCTGATTCCGGACTCGGCAACCTGTGTTTAAAACCTGAGTCAGGATCTGAAAGATCTAAAATGAATAGCTGCGTAGCGGCTTTTTCCAAAATAAAGCCGCAAAGCGGCTTCGAAAAAATACTATTCAAAGATATTGTTAACTTCTTGCGAAGCCGCTTTGCGGCTTCGTTTTTAAAAAAGCCGCTACGCGGCTTTTCATTTTAGGTCTTTCAGACCCTGATTCACGTTTTCAACACAGGTTGCCGAGCCCAGGGCTGATTCCGATCGTTACGATTTTGACGGCTTTTGAACCTGTGTATGTTTTGACCAATTTCGGCAAAAGACTAAACATTCAAATCCGTGACTCAATAATTGCTCTCAAAGAAAGGAGAATCCGTGGCAGCTGAGACTTGATACTCTCTCTTTCTGCCTCTTCCGCTCATTGACAAATTGTCATCGATAGCCGTATTTGACGCTCACCTTGAGATGCCGAGTAAGCCGAAAGTCACCACAGCAACAGTTCTATTTCGTGCTTTAGCCGCCGCAGATTTCGCTTAAACTTACTGTGATGACACGAATGGTCCATTCGGAATGGAACGCATGACAAGTGTTCTACAATGTGGGCGAGGATTACCTAGCTTGTCGATGTAAAACTCGAGTTTGGAGATGGTAGCACGGTCAAGACCGATTTTGTCCGCAGAAAGAAAGATCACCTGAACTCAAGTTCACGATATTTTTTTATAAATTAATTTATTTCAACTGCTTTCTACCTCATCAAATGCTTTCTCGAAGTAATATTTTATCAAAAGCTCTCGAACATCCCGAAAGTCCGTGTTTGATAAGTCGTTGAATCCTTAAAATAAAAGTTTTATTATTGGCAAAGAACATCTGTTCTTATCACGTCATAAAAATGTATGAGATCATAAATTCTTTCGGTGTTCAATGGTAAACCACTCGTGAAATTTTGAATTGGCTTGCAAACTTCCGAAAGTATGATATATAAAAAATTAAAACAAATAGAAAAAGCTCTCAAGTATGGTTCCGCCGTAAAATCTGACGTATTCTCAAGCTTCTTTAGAATTTTTTTGCAGAAAAAAATGTCGAGAAGGTCTTTTGAAAGCGATAGTTTCGATTTTACAATAAGCCCGCCAAGACCGAGATGGGGAAGAGCAAAGGTTGTTTCGATTGCTTCAGGTACTTAGCTTAAAATTCCAATCGATGATTGTGTGTGCGATTGACCGTCACGGAAGCTTTTATCAGAAGTAAATACGATAGAACTTTCAAAAAGTTCTTCCGATTTTTGACAGGGTGGCAAATAAGAGCTCATACTTTCCCAAGTATTTGAGATCATTTTTTGTCTTTGAAGTTATCTTAAAGTTTACCTATGCCTTTGACTAGGGGGCAAAGTTGCAAATTTTGTGAGCTAGCTGAGCTGAGCTATCTGAGCTAGCTGAACTAAAGCTCAGCAATTTTGAGGTGAGGGTCAGCTCAGCTCGATTTCTCTGAAGAAAGCCAGCTCTGCTCAGCTCAATGCTTCTTCGAAAAGGGCCAGCTCAGCTCAGCTAGCTCAATTTTGACCTCAGCATAGCTAGCTTAGCTCAGCTCGGTCTATTGAGCTGACCGAGATCGAACCACTTTTGATGCTTTTGAACCACTAGCTCACCTCAGTAATTCTTAAAAGAGGCCAGCTCAGCTCAGCTCAATTTCGCCCTCAGCTCAGCTAGCTCAGAAAAAATTTTCAAAAATTTGCAACTCTGCTATGGGGCACAGTACCCCTTTATCTTTATAACAACGATTATAAAATATAGACAAACCAAATTCTCTTGACGGAAATAATCGACGGGATTTTTGTTCTGAAAATATTTGGCTTCGTATTTTCTTTTCAAATGCATAGCGTTACTGATGATACGATCCTTCCGGGTCATATTTTTTTCTTAGTTTGAAAAGGAAAGCTCAGAAGACGGGAAAAAGAGAGATAAAGAACAATCATATTTGTGAAAGTTTCAACTCAGCAGATTAGGACAGGGATGCAAATAAGGATTCACCAGTGGTAAAATTTCCCAGTTACCACCATTCGGCGCCATCCAAATATCAAACAAAGTATCGGCGAAAAGAAAACTTTTGAAGTGTTTGCATCTTTTTTCTTCTTATTGATCATTTTCATTCTCATAAAGTTCTATGAGTAGTAAATGAGCCAGAGATACGAAACGGTGGAAAGGCTCTCGCTGGGGGATGAGACCCAGGTCAAGTCGAAGGGGAGACTCAGACAGATTATTACTGTAATTGGAGGTTTGTTGTTTTGAAAATGAAGGGAACTGATTCAAAATTGACATATCAATTTCGAATAAAACAAAAATATGCTGAATTTGAAGAAATTTCTTTTCAGCAATTATCGTCGTAATTGGCGTCGGAGTAACGATCCCCCTTGTTATTCACTTTACGAAAGATGACACCAGCTCCGCTACAACGTTGCCAATAAGCTCAACAACATCCCCCACAACATCAACAACACAATCATCAGCTGGAACATCATCGTCGACAGAAATTTTTACAACCATCGAGACTCACAAATTTTCAACAGGAACTGGAATGATCCCTGTAATCTATCTCGCTCCCGAAAACTACCGTTCCATTAAATTACTATAACACGTTAATCAACTTTTCTTTTTTTGTGATATTATGTCAGTATTGTTTAATAAGCACAGTATTACAGTATCTGATCTGGGTAAATCCTCTGACAGCCGAGCCAAACGATGACAGCACCATAAAATCCACGACCGCGGCAGAACAAACTAGCGATTCTTCCCATACAACCAATAAAGATAGTCTATTTACTACTTATGCTCACACAAGTTCGCCTCATTGGAGCCCGACTGTTACTGAAGACATGTTTACTCATACTACTCCGGGAACACCACTTGGACCTTGCGAGTTGAATCCTTGCTTGAATGGAGGGATTTGTGAGGAAGAAGATGATGATAGTTTTACATGTAAATGTCAAGATGGGTTCTCTGGAGAGCTTTGTGAAATTACTCCATGCAGTGAAAATCCATGCTACAACGATGGAGTTTGTGAGATCTCTGGAAATTCATTCACATGCAACTGCCTTGAAGGATTTTTTGGAGAAAGATGTGAGCTTTCTCCTTGTGCACCAAATCAGTGCTTGAACGATGGAACCTGTACAATTATCGACAACATTGATTTTAAATGCGAATGCTTTGGCGGCTTCTATGGAGAATTATGTGAACTAGGCAGTTGTGATTTGAACCCTTGTCAGAACGGAGCAACTTGCGAAGAAGAAAACGGAACTTATGTTTGCTTCTGTCCTGAGCATTTCTCTGGGGTCAATTGCGAAAATGATGCATGCACACCAAATCCCTGTGAAAACGATGGAATGTGTTTAGTGAACGAAGAAGGCTTTAAATGCGAATGCTTAGACGGCTACTCCGGTGAAATATGCGAAATAACACCTTGTGCGTCTGAGCTGTGTGAAAATGATGGCGTATGCATTGAAAGTGGAGACTCTTACATTTGCGAATGTCTAGATGGATTTAGCGGAGAGCACTGCGAAGAGACGCCGTGCTCGCTTGAACCCTGTTACAATGATGGAGTGTGCGTTGAAACTGGATCGTCTTACGAATGTCAATGTCCAACAGGCTTTTATGGAGAAAACTGTGAGTTCAGTCCTTGTTCTTCAGAACCATGTATAAATGGAGAATGCGAAGTTGTTGGAAGCGGTTATCAGTGCATCTGTCTCGATGGATTTTCCGGAGTCGATTGCGAACTTGGCCGCTGTGATTCAAATCCTTGTTTAAATGAAGGTGTTTGCGCCGATGAAGAAGATGGCACTTATGTTTGCACATGCAAAGAAGGCTTTTCCGGGGTGAATTGCGAACTGACTCCTTGTGCTCCGAACCCATGCCACAATGACGGCACTTGCTCGATTGTTGGCTCTTCGTTCGAGTGCAAATGTCTTCCAGGATATTTCGGCGAAACATGCGAGGAAAATTCCTGCTCCGACGAGCCCTGTGAGAATGGAGGAAGTTGTAATCCCGTTGGCGAATCTTATGAGTGTATCTGCCCTGACGGTTACACCGGCGAAAATTGTGAGCAAACACCGTGTACGTCAATGCCTTGTTTGAACGAAGGAATTTGTACGATAACTCTTGACAGCTCTTACGAATGCGAGTGCAAGGAAGGCTTCTCGGGGGTGAATTGTGAACTTGGCCCCTGTTCGTTGAGCCCCTGTCTGAACGAAGGAATTTGCAGTGAGAATCTTGATGGGTCTTACGTGTGTGACTGTTTAGACGGCTTCTCCGGGGAAAATTGCGAGAGAACGCCCTGCGCTCCCAACCCTTGCGAAAACGATGGAACTTGCTCCATCCAGGGATCGAGTTTCACTTGCGACTGTCGTGAGGGATTTCTCGGGACGACATGTGAACTCACACCGTGTTCTTCTAAGCCTTGTCTAAACGGCGGCCTTTGCGAAAATATCGGCGATTCCTATTTGTGCGAATGTCCAAGCCCCTTTTTTGGCGAGAACTGCGAGTCAACCCATTGCTCTTCTGAACCTTGCCTCAACGGTGGAGAATGCATTGCTAACGAAGACGGTTATACATGCAAATGCACAGAAGATTTTTCTGGAGATAATTGCGAAATTGGCGCATGTTCTTCAAGCCCCTGTCTGAACGGAGGTGTTTGCGAAGATAAAGAAACGACTTATGAATGCCAATGTCCCGAAGGCTTCACCGGGGTCAATTGCGAAAAGACTCCTTGTTCAATAAATCCGTGTCAAAACGATGGGACGTGCTTGGTCGATGGAAGTTCATTTATTTGCACTTGTCTTCCTGGCTTTTCCGGAAATACTTGTGAGACCACTCCTTGTTCTTCCGATCCATGTGGCAATGAAGGAGAGTGCTTAGTTGTTGGCGGATCTTATCAGTGTCGCTGCAAGGAGGGCTTTTCCGGAATAAACTGCGAAGAAACTCCCTGTTCGAACAGTCCTTGTGGGGCGAATGGCTCGTGTCATGTAATTGAGGGATCGTATCAGTGCACCTGCAATGAGGGATTCTCTGGCAGCAATTGCGAGATAAATCCTTGCACTCATAAACCTTGTCAAAACAACGGGGAATGCATAATTGACGGTGGATCATATCAATGTCATTGCGAACACGGCTTTTCCGGAAACGATTGCCAGATTACCCCTTGCGACGACATGCCGTGTCAGAACAGCGGAGTGTGCAGCATTTCTGACGGATCTTACCAATGTCAATGTCCAGAGGGATTTTCAGGAAGGGATTGTGAGACGACTCCCTGTACAATTAATCCTTGCAAAAATGATGGAACGTGCGCTATAATTGGAAGCTCTTATCAATGCACGTGTTTGGACGGGTTTATTGGGCAAAATTGTGAGTCTGTGGTGATCGACTCTTGTGATCCAGATCCTTGCCAAAACGGAGGGGAATGTACGACGGATGGCGAATCGTTTATTTGTTTGTGCCCTGATGGGTACACTGGGAACGACTGTAGTGTTACTCCTTGTTCGAATTCGCCGTGCCAAAATGGCGGCGAATGTATAATTAATGAATCATCATACCAGTGTAAATGCGAAGAGGGATTTTCTGGCGAAAACTGTGAAACCACTCCTTGTTCGATCAACCCTTGTCAAAATGATGGAATGTGCTCGATTATTGGCAGCTCTTATCAATGCACTTGCTTAGAAGGCTTCACAGGACCAAATTGCGAATCTGAAGTTATAAATCCTTGTTCACCAAATCCATGCAACAATGACGGTACCTGCGAAATAAGTGGAGATTCTTTTGTATGCACTTGTCTTGAAGGATTCTCTGGTAAGGATTGCAGTTTAACTCCGTGCGCTCCGAATCCATGCAGCAATGACGGAACCTGCAATATCAATGGAGAGTCCTACACATGCGACTGTCGCGAAGGTTTCACTGGAAATAATTGTGAAACAACGCCGTGTTCCGGTAATCCTTGTCAAAACAGTGGCGACTGCATCATCATCGGGGGTTCTTATAATTGCAATTGTCAAGAAGGCTTCACTGGCGAAAACTGTGAAACTACTCCATGCTCAAATAAGCCTTGCCAAAACAGTGGAGAATGCATCATCATCGGTGGATCATATGAGTGCAGTTGCGCTGATGGCTTTGTAGGTCCAAATTGCGAGGAAATAGAAATAACTCCGTGTCGCCCAAATCCTTGCAATTATGACGGAACTTGCACGATTATTGGCGATAATTACGTATGTAGCTGTCTCGAGGGATTCTCTGGAAGAGATTGCAACATTACACCTTGCTCAGGACGTCCTTGTCAAAATAGTGGCGAATGCTCAATCATCGGCGGTTCCTACGAATGTTCTTGCCCGGACGGATACTCAGGTGAAAATTGTGAGAAGGATCCTTGCTGGAACAATCCCTGCAAAAACGAAGGACAGTGCAGCGTTAATGGAAGTTCCTACCAATGTAGCTGCAAAGATGGTTTCTCGGGCGACGAGTGCCAGATCACGCCCTGTTCCATCAACCCGTGTAAAAATGATGGCACGTGTAACATCGTCGGCGGATCATATGAGTGCAAGTGTTTGGATGGCTTTGCAGGAGCAACGTGCGACCTGACTCCCTGTGTTCCGAATCCTTGTGGAAATTACGGAACTTGCTCGCTTATTGGAGATAGCGGAGATTACAACTGTGCCTGCCTCGAAAGTTTTGCTGGAAAGAACTGTGAGCTCACACCGTGCGCACCAAACCCATGTGAAAATGACGGAACTTGCTCTATCAGCGGAGATTCTCATGAGTGTCAATGTCTAGAAGGCTTCTTCGGTCCCAATTGCAATATCACTCCCTGCTCTAACAGGCATAGTTCTCAAATTCCAGTACTTGAGAAAGTAGCGTAAAGCGTAATGGACTGTTATTTTCAAATCAACCTTCGTAACGGACATTTTTATGAACTCTTAATAAGCCCTTGCCAAAATGGAGGTGAATGCTCAATTTCAGGTGGATCTTTTGATTGCTCGTGTCCGGAAGGATTCAGTGGCGAGACATGTGAAACTACTCCCTGCTCATCAAATCCGTGTCTCAACGGCGGAACCTGTAATATAGACGGCGGTTCTTACATCTGCAGCTGTCCCGAAGGCTTCTCCGGGAATCAATGCAACGTTACTCCTTGCTCAGATGATCCTTGTTCTAACGGCGGCTCCTGCACGATTAATGGCAGTTCTTACGAGTGTAAGTGTCCAGATGGTTTCTCCGGATCGCAATGTCAGGTCACGCCTTGCACACCTAATCCCTGCCAGAATGATGGTCAGTGTTCGGTCGTCAACGGATCGTTCCAGTGCCAGTGTCGCGAGGGATTTTCCGGTTCACTGTGCCAAACCACGCCGTGCTCTTCTAAACCGTGTCTCAATGGCGGAGAGTGCTCAGTTACTGGCGGCTCTTATCAATGCAGTTGTCCTGATGGATTTTCTGGAAATAATTGCCAGAATACTCCTTGCACAGGAAATCCTTGCCAGCACGGCGGTGATTGCACAATCAGCGGTGGCTCGTATCAGTGCAGTTGTAAAGAAGGTTTCTCCGGGAACGATTGCTCTACGACGCCGTGCACAGGAAATCCTTGCCAGTATGGAGGTACTTGCTCAATCAGCGGTTCGTCTTACCAATGTGCTTGCGAACCCGGCTTTTCTGGAAAGGATTGCACGACTACTCCTTGTTCTGGAAGCCCATGCGAAAATGGAGGGACTTGCTCGATTAGTGGTGGCTCCTACCAATGCGGTTGCCCGAATGGATTTTCTGGAAACGATTGTCAAATAACACCTTGCACAAATAATCCCTGCCAGCACGGTGGTGGATGCTCAATTAGCGGTGGTTCATACCAGTGCAACTGTAACGAAGGATTCTCCGGTAATGATTGCTCCACAACGCCTTGCACAGGAAATCCATGTCAACACGGAGGCAGTTGCTCGATCAGCGGTTCATCTTACCAATGCAGCTGTCAAGACGGTTATTCTGGAAAAGATTGCTCAACGACTCCTTGTACAAATAATCCGTGTAACACTGGCTCGTGTTATGTCGTCGGAGGGTCATATCAGTGTAGTTGCCCTGATGGGTATTCTGGGAATCAATGCCAATACAATCCTTGCTCTGGAAGCCCTTGCCAAAATGGCGGTAGTTGCTCAATCAATGGCGGATCCTACCAATGTGGCTGTCCAAACGGCTTCTCTGGTAAAGACTGCCAAATCACCCCTTGCACAAACAACCCTTGCAATACTGGATCATGCAATGTTGTAGGAGGTTCGTATCAATGTGATTGCCCTGATGGATTTTCTGGAAGTCAATGTCAAGTGACTCCTTGTACGGGAAGCCCTTGTCAAAACGGAGGCAGTTGCACTATCAGTGGCGGTTCCTATCAATGTGGTTGCTCCGAGGGTTTTTCAGGGAATAATTGTGAGGTCACGCCTTGTAGTGGGCATCCATGCCAGAATGGAGGCAGTTGCTCGATCAGTGGTGGATCATATCAATGTGGCTGTCCAAATGGCTTCTCTGGTCATAATTGCCAAATCACGCCTTGCAGTGGAAGCCCTTGTCAGAATGGCGGTAGCTGCTCGATCAGTGGCGGATCTTATCAATGTGGTTGTCCTGAAGGCTTTTCCGGAAACGATTGTCAAGTCACTCCCTGTTCCTCGAAGCCATGCTCTAACGGCGGAACATGCTCTATTGACGGCAGTTCATATACCTGCAGCTGTTCTGAGGGCTTCTCAGGCAATAATTGCCAGACAACACCTTGCACTAACAATCCGTGTGAGAACAGCGGCTCGTGTAATGTCGTCGGCGGGTCTTATCAATGCTCTTGTCTTGATGGATATTCGGGTACCAATTGCGAAGTTAATCCATGCTCGGGCTCGCCTTGTCAGAATGGAGGTAGCTGTTCCATCAATGGCGGATCCTATGATTGCGCGTGTCCTGACGGTTATTCTGGAAACAATTGTCAGATTGATCCGTGCTCATCTAATCCCTGTCAAAATAGTGGCGAGTGCTCTGTTTCGGGAAGCTCATTCCAGTGTCGCTGTCCTGAGGGCTTTTCCGGTCCTATTTGTGAGATTACGCCTTGCTCATCAAATCCATGCGAAAATAATGGCAGTTGTTCGATCAGCGGAAGTTCATTTCAATGCCAATGTCCTCCTGGTTTCTCTGGAGATCGGTGCCAAAATACTCCGTGCACAGGTGAACCTTGTCAGAATGGCGGAACGTGCTCGATTAATGGAGGCTCTTACCAATGTACATGCCCAGAAGGATATTCAGGAAGTCAGTGCGAGCTTGATCCCTGTAGCGGTGGACCGTGTCAAAATGGTGGCTCCTGCTTTGTCGATGGAGGGTCCTATATCTGCGAGTGTAGCCCTGGGTTCTCTGGACGTGACTGCGAGCTAAATCCCTGTTCTAATAACCCATGCGCAAACGGCGGATCTTGTACTGTTGACGGAAGTGGCTACGAGTGTACGTGTGCCGAAGGGTTTTTCGGAAATGATTGCACGATAGAGCCAGAAATTGAAATTGATGGACTTGGAGAAGGTGACTTGTTTTTCAATCACCGATGGTACGAGTCGATCAACCTTGCAACAGAGGGACATCCCTTTAGAGCGATTTGGGATGAAGAGAACGAAGGGTACATAATAACGATGACCAGAGAAGATGGAGATGTGCAATACTGGAATAGCAATCAGGATGGAACCTATCTTATGTTCGGACCGAAGTACTCGTCGCGATACATGTTTCATAAAATTTCTGATGGCTACGCTCGAATCTGCAACAATCAAGATCCCGAGCAATGTCTCGGGGCTGATTTAACTGAAGGAGCTGACATTAAGTTTGTGAGTATCGTTACAGATACGACTTCTCAAACTATTTGGAAAATAACAAGAGTCTAACTTAGTATTTTTCAATAAATCCTGACATTTTTCTTTCCTGCCAAAAGTTCACAAGCAAAAATGATTCGGCCATAAGAAACGTACCTTTTCTCCAATAGTAATTGCGTTCATTGGCGAAACTGACGTTATCTTTTCATGATTCTCTATCTCTGTCTGTACATTATCCTGTCTCTCGCTAATAAAAAATAGTAAAAGATTCCGTTTTAATCAGTCCTTGTAAATTTATGTAGATAGTCATCTCGCGTCTTGGTCCGAGGAAGTTTAACCCAGTTTCTAGCGTGAAACTTAACCAGAACGTTGTCGTGTTCACGTCAGTAATTAGAGAGTAAATCCATCATTGTTAGCTCCAAGAATAAAGATAATTTGTCCAAAGTATTAAATACCGCATCACGCTCTTTGATAAGGCCCTTTTCAATGTGATGAAATCTCAAGTGTCAACTTCCTGAGATTTTTAGCGCCTTCCGGACCTCTTGGAGCTTCTGTTTTCGAGTTGTTAAAAACAAGCTCTTAATCCTCCTAATCAACTTCTTAACTAGATTCGTTCATTCAAAATGAAATTTTCGCGTTCGAGAGCAATTAACCTTTCGATTGCTTCATTAAAAATTTCATTAATCGATTCTCTTCTGGCAGCTAGACAAAATGGCGAAAAACAATGAAAAGTGATTCGTAGACAAAAAATAATTGAAATCAAATGAAGCCGGAAAAATGATCAAAAAGTGAGCTAACCTTGTTTGTGCGAAGTGTGATTGTCTATGTGAACAAATCTGCCTTCGCTATGCATAATTTTTTCTCACAAAAATAGTTGAAAAGAGCGCATCTGGCACGACACTTGCATCAGAGGCGGCGGCGGGGAATGAAAATGAACGGGCGAGATTGTGCACCGACCGGTCGCATTCCCAGCCGAAATCTCAAGCCTCTTTCAGGCAGACGTCGTTTGAGCCCGTCACGAGTTAGTTTGGTGTTAAAATTGATATTGTTTTTTAGACTCGTTCGTCAACACTTGTTTTTCGTGAGCCAGAATCGTTGCTTCTTCTTTTGATTCCGGGAGCTGGAACACGCTTAAATGATTTGACGATCAAGAGGAGGTCCGAGCTTCGTCACGTTTCATGAACTTGTTTGCGAAAAAAAAAAATAAAACCGCCAACCGCGAAAAACAGCATCCGACAGTTTGCGGCTTCGCAGCTTTGATGCATCTCTAAACATCAAATTGCAAATAGAAAAAATAAATTCCAAGTGGCCGTCTCAAGAACCTTTTCCAGAAATAAGCGTGAAGTGAATCAAATGTTAGTTTTTTCATGTTTTCATTAAGAGTGGTTGAAAAAATGCAGATTTTTGAGAATTTTTTCTCGAAAATTTTGACAATTTTTTTGTTTGAGAAATTTTTTTTCTCAAAAATTTTCATAAATTTTTTTCTCAAAAATTTGACAATTTTTTTTGAAATTTTTTTTTCTCGAAAATTTGACAATTTTTTTTGAAAATTTTTTTTTCTCAAAAATTTTGAGAGTTTTTTGGGTAATTTTTTTTCTCGATAATTTTGACAATTTCTTTCTGAGATTTTTTTTCTCAAAAATTATGACAATTTTTTTGCGAAATTTTTCTCGAACGGACTTGTTTTCCTGAAATTTAAAAAAGCCATTCTAAATTATCAACAAAAAACGACTCATTAGCATCTTTAGACATGTCTGAGAAGAAGATCATCTCGAAGATTTATTTCCACTTTGTCGGGATTGGCAGTCTTGTTGCTTCTCCCACCAAATCTCAGACTGGACTTTTGTAACGACAAAAAGGCAGGGTGCTCGTTTCTAACCAAGAAAGTGGAAATAATAAGCAGTTTACGGGCGCCGTGGCGATTAACTTTTGGATTGTGTAAAAGTCGCTTTGCAGTCGCTTTATCAGCCTGGCTCAATTATCAGCTAAATTCGCGAAACGAGCGGGAAACGATAAAAACTTACAGAACACTTTCTTTCATCATTTATCGAGAGGATCAGCCGCGCAGTCCGGATATCACATTGCTTAATATTTTAAGAAGTTCTAGCCAGAAAGGAGTTCCAGAGGTTGAGATCGGTTAGAGCATACTACTAGTCTTAGGAACAAACTGATAAGAGCGACTCTTATCGACAGCTTTCATGCAACTCGTGAATATCAATCAATATATACAGTAATTATACTTAGAAAAGCAAAATGCAGTTATTCGCCAGTAAGATTTCAGTATGGTTGTAATATAAAATAGGGGATCCCTTTTACCCTAACAATTTTTAAGGATATCCGTGCCCAAACTCGCTGTGAAAGCAATTTTAAGGGACTAAACCAAAAACGGAAGTGAATTTTGGGATAACCATTAAGATTGCTGTATTTGGCTTACCGGCCAATCAAAATCCAGATCCATAAAATCACTTCTATATTTTGGTTTAACCCTTTTAAGGGGTATTCATCTAAAATCTTGATAGGTCAAGAATGCCTCCACTCTATTGTGGTCCTGCTCTGCTCTCTAGTCTAACTGTAGCCTCTAGATAACACAGAAAAGGGTAGTTTAGGTGTTGTATTCAAGTTAGGTGAACACGGACTTGTACACTGAATTGTGTTATGGTTGCACAGACTGAACGCAGTGGAAAAGCGGCGGGCGCCTCCAGATCTCTATCAGATCTAACGGCTTCTTGCTGACCTAACAGCTCCCCAGTCTTCGAAGTCTTCTGACGATTGGAGACTCTAGAATTGAAGAAAGAAGTGTAGAGATGATCCAGCGGAAGATGTCCAATAGGAGTAGAGATGAAAGCGGTGCTGAGCCAAGCGTTTCAATTTGTGATGCGCGTTGAGAAGATCGAACCAAGCGAGTAGAAATTATGCAGTAAGTTGTCCAAACAAGAAGGTTTACCTTGGTTGGGCACTCATGTTTTGGAACAATGAGTGGCGCGTTAGCGACTTGGTTAGAGCATAGTTCCAGTTGGCTGATCAGAACCTGTTGCCAATCAAAGGCGCAACTTTGACGGAGGTTTTGAATATCATCCAGCTCCCCAAACTTTCGGCAAGGCATGAAGTTGGAAGAAGGTTCTAGATGAAGCAGACGGGCGGTTTCGCATCGCGTCCAGGTAAGCATCCCCAAATACATGTTTCTTCTCCAATGAGCATTTGAAGTCCAGGAAATGTCGACATCGACGAGAAGAGTATTTCGGATGATCGTGGCACTTGAATTCTCGCTATTTTCGGACCAGTGCGCGTCCAAAAATTTCGGCGAGCTGAAGCTCTTTTGAGCCAGAGGCGCTTGGGCGTAGCTACAAAAGCATCAGAAGCAGCAAGGTCGAGCAATTCGCTGTAGCTATCTTCAGATGAAATCGACGAGTCAGCACTTACATCAGTTGGCTTTTGCTCGGATTCCTGAGTTGAAGTAGGGTCGGCGGCGTCTCTGTTATGCGACTTTTGAGGAGATTCTGGATCTGGCGAGTTCAACGGGGAGTGCGTGTGAATCGCGACCAGAAGTTGAAGAGTGGTGTCCGTTTGAGCATCAAGAAGCAGCAATTTCTCCAAAATGCTCGTGGCCAAAGACATCTTCGCGGCAACAGCAAGAATTAAATCTGCTTCGTGTTGTCGAGTCGAAGGGTGCCACAGAACAAAGACATCATACGCCTCTTTCACCATTGAGGTAAAATCTTCGACGCTTTTACGACTGATCAAGTCGTATTTAGATGACGAATCCAAGCAGTTGTAGATTTCCAGACGTTCATCGTGGTTGAGACAAGCCTCACTTACAGATTCATGAGCGCTTGCGTCGATGGTGCGGCGTGTCAGCCGAATCAACCTTTCACCAACATCGGCGGAAGTAGAGAAAACGGGAGGTAACTCGCGGGAAACGATGGCGTCGAGAAGGTCCGATTGAAGTCGACAAGCGTATTTGAAGTCGGCAGTATCGATGAGTTCATCGGGGTGCAGGAGTACGTGAGTCATGAGTGCAGATGCGCAGTGAACTTTTGGCGGTGAGCGAAACCAGGCCAAAAATTTTGCCGTTAAGATCGCATCATGAGCAGCAGCGTAGTCGGCGAAAATGGGACGATCAGCAATTCCAACGGATTTCTTCGCGTTTGAAACCCAGCGGACTTGTGGAAATACTGGTCGGTTTCTTGGGCAATCGTGCGCTGGCGAAAATCAGCGGCGGCAGAAGAAGAGGCTTTTCTACCTGTGGAGTGCGCTGAAGTTGATTCCAAGTCGAATTACTTCGAGCGGCGCGATTCCGCGTCTATTTCCAGCTCCAGCTGTTTCGGGCGACGTTGATCAAGTGAAGAGGAGTTCAACAAGGGCGGCGACGAGTTAAAGTTCACCCAGCGAGGCGGGCTAGAAGATAACCAGTCGGGCAGTACGTCTCGAGAAGTTTGAGTCGACCAGTGCGGGGCAGTGGCAGAAATGGCGCTTCCTTTGTCGTCAGTGTTGAAGTCGAAGGTGTTGCGAACAGCGCGGTTACTGTTGGCCTGGTCGTTGCCGTGATGAAAAGAGCGGTCAAGTGTACACGAGACTTGATTTACCTCAAAGAAGCGCTCAAGTTTTTGAAAAACTATGAGCGGCGCGTTGTACGCGTCTTTGGGTCGTGACTTTACTAGCAGAAGTCCATCAGCAACAATTCGGTTGGTCCAAGCAGAAGTAGCGGTGTTGGCGGGAGATGTTGTGATTGCGCGCGGCAGTTGGCGGAATCAGCAACGGCAACGGTTGTTTTTGCCTTGGCGCGCGAAATTTGGGCCAAGTTGACTGTGGTCCGGCGGTCGACACGTCAGCAAACAGTCGAAAACAAGGTCGTCTAGGTCCAGAGTTGAGCGGCAGAATTCCAGTTTAGCTTAACTTGGCGGCAGAATCGATGAAGTCGAAACAAGTACCTGCGTTGACCCCGAGTAATAAACTGATCAAGTTTATTTACTCCGTCAGGGGCTTTGTGGTGAGCAAATTCAGGCAGTTCCGAGGTAAAAATCACCGTTCGTGGCGGAGCAAGTATCAGCAGAAATCCAGCGGTTCAAAGGTCT